CTTCACCGCCGCCATGTACTCGCGCGCTATCAACGCCTGACGTCGGGTGGCCGTAAAAAGTCGCGATAAGCCGAGGGGGACTCGCCGGTCGTCGATTTGTCCCGATCTCGGGCAGGAATCGTCGCCACTCGCGTTTACTTTAATTAAGATCAAGGGGCTCCGATCGAACGTGTACCGGCCAGATTAGCTCGGGGTCGATCGGCCGATCTATCGAGTATCGGGTTGTCTTCCGCCGGGGTAATCGGAGCGGCCGGCGTTTCGCGTAACATAGGCCAACCGGTCGTTTATCCGGTCGCTCTCGACGACAGCCGATCGCCATCTCTCTTGAGAGAAAGAGAGAGAGGGACGTTCGATTTGCATTCGAGGAAGCGGCCCGTGACGAGTCTCCGCCTAGATCGGGAGCGAGAGAGGGACGGAAGGACTCTCGGTACTCTCCGTGCGGGGGATCCGCAATTCTCCCACTTGTCGCCCCCGCGATGACGTCCTCTTATAGAGCCTCGGTCCGGCAGGGAAATGTATTCACCTCGAGGGACGTTATTTCTACCCGCTGGATTAATTAACCCGAGGACGGGGGGGCCGAGCGGTCCTCCGCGGAATTTATCTCGCGCGATTTTCCCCCCCCGCGGAATCCGCAGCTCCGTCGGACGACGCGCGCGCGATCCTACCCGGCCAATTCCGCCACTTGACTCCGCGCGCGCGGCCCACGCACTCGCGGGAGGAATCGCGACCTGGATCCGGACGCGGAACGCCGGCCGTCCGGATCGAGCCTGGGAAACACGGGGAGACGCTCCTCGGGCCGGGATCGCGCGGAATCCGCGGTTCCGCGGGCCGGGCCGCGGGCATTCCGACGCGGAGCCGGCGTTTCCGGGTCGCGCTGCCAGCCGCCGGAGTTTTCGGGCCGCGCGTATAATCCGCCGCGATTTCTGGCACGGTCCCAGCCGTCGCGGCGCGCGTCGGATTAAATGCAAATGTCGCGAGCACCCTCCGCGGGGCAATTCCGCCCTTTGTGCCGCCCCCGTCGCGCGGAAGGGGCTTTCCGCCCCCCTCCTTCGAGGGCTCGTCTCGAGGCGAGGCTTTTCAGGCCGGGGCTACGCTTTTCGCGGGGCTCTTGCCACCCGCCATTGCCCATTAACCGGATTGGATTCCGCAAACGTCCCTCTTTGACGGGTATCTCTCTATTAACGTTTTTATTTCCCCCCCACCCGCCCCCTTCCTGCCCTTGGCGTGGGAGTTTCTACGATGGCTCGCGATCGATGCGCGTCTCGAGGGGCGTTTATTTAGCCGCTTGTAGAGCCGCCGGCCAAAGGAGCCACTTTGGATCCGCGATATCTGGCCGCTGGCAAAGCAAGTGTGCGAGATAGCGCGCTCTCTCGATGGTCAACCTAAATTCGAGCCTCGATCGACTCTCCCCTCTGCCTCGGATCCGATCCTCCGATCGAGCCTTTCGGACTTTCTCCGAAGTCTGGGGGTAACGATAAATACCACTTTTTTTTTTTTTTTTATTTAATCCAGATCGATTTGCCTGGATTCATCGACAGGATCTGTCTGTTACGGTGAATACCTGGACATTCGTGATTACGGCTTAGTCGGGCTCGATTTGCCGGGATTTATTTGTTACGGTAAATACCTGTACGCTCGTGATAGCGATGGATTTTGGGGGTGGAGAAGTGATCGATTTAATCGACCGAACGGGGGTGGACGGTCCTCGTGGGGTTTCGCGAGGTAATCGAGGGCGTTCTGCTGGGATATCGGGTGTCCGATTGTACCGATGGGGTCCAGGTGCGCGGAAAGTACTTAGCCCCTCTGCGCGGGTACGCTGCCGTATCTCTGCGCCCCTCTTTCGTTCCTCTCTTCCTCTTCCTCGAGGTTCTACGTGTATACGTGTACCCGGTAATCTCACGTGCGAGGACTCGCGTTACGGTCCCGGGTACTACAGTTACCTTAATACCCGGGAGAGACTTACCGATCGTTACGACATTACGTGCGACCGGCAGCTTCCTACTCGCCGGTAATGGCGGGTACTCGCGTGTACTCGAGGTGCACTTGTCGGCCCTCTAAGTGGGATTACCGCGATCTCGGTTAAATAAGGACGATGCCTACTCCTTGGGGCCCGAACGACATCGACAAAGTGTGCGGATACCGCAAGTTTTACGGTCACTGCGGCGAAAAGTCACGGAGAAAACGAACGCGGCGCGCCTCGATTCGGGGGAACGGGGCCCGACTTTTTGCCCGACCGGCAGTTACTTGTCTCTCGGTGCGCCGGTCGGGCCCAAAGAAAGAGAGAGATCGAGGTCGCCAAAGCCGCTCCGAGAGGCTGTCGAGTTAGAATAAGAAAGGGCGATAAACCGCGGACATTGGTCACGGCTGGACCGCGTCCAATCGCGGCCTCCGCCGACGCCGGGAGTCCGACTCGCGGCCGTTCCGCCGCGTAACGCCCGCAGGTGCGCCCGGTCGATGGATAAAGCGGGCGCGCCGGGTGGGATACACTCTCGCCTTCTTTCGCGCCTCCGCGCTTTCCCTTCTATCGAGGGAAACCCGGAGAATCCGCGACGGTTCGGAGTCTTTCCGCGAGCTCTCCGCTTTAATTGAAATTAAAGGTCGAACAATTTCATGCGACGGGACGGGCCGTATTAATTAATCTAGTACCCTTCCCACAACTCGCCGCCATATTCTCGGCGGTTTCATGCGAACGCGGGATTATTTTGAGAGGAAACTCGCCGTTGGGGAAAATCTGTCCCGTTGAGCGGATGGATATACGTTTAATGAGGTCGATTATTGTCAAAGAAAAGTCGTAGGAAAAATTTGCCCCGTGGAACGACTCGATATATTAAGAGGTCGCTCCGCTCGGCCAATTGGCCCCTTGAGAACCGGGCTTGCTCTAAGTGCCTTCGCCACTTGTCGCTTGTATTTGTCTCGCCACGAGGTCTTTCCTCCCGCGGGGGTCTTCGCGGTTCGATCTCACGATGCTTAAGCGGCCGACGAGAGGTCCGCACGAGGTCGGGGAGGATCGGGTTTCCGGGGAACGCGGAAACGAGGATCCCCACCTGGAGGGCGAGGTTCACTTTCGGTCGGCTTTGACCCGAGAGTCGATCGATAAATTTCGCTGCCCGTTTAACGAGAGACCATCGATTGCGCCTAGACGTCGAGGCGGATCGTAGGACGGCAAGACGTCTCGACGGCCGTGCCGGAACCCATAAATTTTGGCGGTCCCTCCGCTTCCGGTCGAGGCCCGACCCCTTCTCGGTACTTTGGACGCGTAATTGCGCAGCGTGCTTAGATATTACGTCCGAGCGAGTCGAAGACCAAGAAGGGATCCGCAGGAAGTCACGCCGATCGGGCCCGGAAGTCGCGGACGAGAACCGTCTAAAAACGCTTGTACACGTCAAAAAACGTCTAAAGACGCAAATTTTTTCTCCCCCACGCTCGGGAATTTCTGCCGAATTTCTTCGGCCGGGATATGATAACGCATCCGCGCGATTCGCATCGGAAGTCACGGACGAGGTAGCGTTAGATTCGCACCGGATGTGACCGGCAAACGCCTAGAAGATACGTGCAGAGACGCGCGATAGACACACGTGTCGTAGAAAGAGAGAAAGAGGGGTGTTGGATTTTTTTTCTTCCTCCTTCGGGAATTTCTGCCGAATTTCTTCGGCCGGGAAATAACGCTTCGCGAGGTTCGCATCGGCGGAGGAACCGCGACCGACTTGCCGCGCCTCGCGATATGAGTCACGACCGTTTACCGCGGAGACCTTAATGCCTCGTCACCGTTAAAATATTCCGAGGCGATCTCTCCCTCCATCTCTCTTAAAAGATGGATCCTCCCTCGGCGGGCGGAAGGTGGCGGAAAAAACGCGAAGCGACCATTCCGCCCACGCCTTGCCGGGACGATTTTTCCTCTCGCTTCTTTCCTTCACCGCAAACGAGGCCGCCCTTCCGGTGGAACTTTCCTTCGCTCCTCATTCGCTTTCGGGGATACCTTCGTCCTCATCCTTAGTAGCGACCCCGGCGACGTCCTCGCGCGAGCAATCGCTCGCGCGAGGAACGCGCCCGACACGCAAATCTACCAATTTAGAGCCCCGCTGCACTCGAGCGCATTGCGTCCCTGCAACGCAATCGACACGCAACGTGCCGACTCGCTGCACTCGCCGCGCCAGGGTGCATCGGCCCGCTGAAAGCGCGACGGGTCTCGTTCAGCCCTTGGAGAAGAGAGTCTCGGGCCCTTTCTTCTAGCTGAAAAACGTCGACGGGCAGGCTAGACGCTGTTTGCCCGGCCCTTTCTCTCGGAGCCGCCGAGTAATGGGCTTTTTACTTTTTTCCGCTCGCCTCGCTTACTTTTTCTTTTTTTTTTTTTTTCCTCTCGCGAGCGCGTCGCCGGGGGACTCCTCGCCGAGAAAAACCCGCACGCGGGGCGCTATTTTACGGTTTGGCCATTTCTCCTATACCTCGCGATTTTTCTTATCGATCTTATCGAACGCCGACGAAGTCCGGGAAGATTATAGGAAATTGCGCGAAAACGGGGGCATGGGGAGAAAACGGATTAAGTGTGGCTGCGTACCTAGGGACGCGTAGGCGGAATAGTCGCCGGTCACTCGCGTAACCTTTGGCGCGAGTTGCGTTACGCTCGTGCGACTCGCGGCGGGGGCGGCTCCTCCGCGCGGAGAACGCTCCTCTGTTCGAGCGAGGCGTCCGATTTCTGCCGGCGAGTCCCTAAGGTGCGCTCCCAGGATTCGCTTTCGGCCTCGGTACGCGGATACTCGCGCGTAATTACGTTTGCCCTGAGCCGGCTCTCATTAAATCCGATTCTGCGTGGCCGCGCGGGAAAACCGGACGCACCGTCCCGCGTCGCCGCATGGACTCCAGTGTCGCGGGAATCGCGCGAGCCATTCCACCCCCGTTCTCTATTAATTACACATTTATATTCATCGATTTTCACGGTATTATGGAAACTCCCATATTTTTTCGGTGGAACCCTAAGAGTAAGATTTTCCTCGATTTTCCAGGCTATACCCGGGCGGACGATGCTGTCGTACATGCTGCCGACGGAGGAGAAGCCGCCCCCGGGAGACGCGACCCACCAGAACTCTCGGCCCGGGAAAGCTCCGGCCAGGAAGGACCGCGGCCCGCCGAGGGCCTCCTCCTCCCCGAAGAAGACGGCCGACTCCTCCAGGAGAACCATGGCCGGGGCCCCGGCCAGTCCTAGAAGCGAGGACGGCCCCGCCGACGACGGGCCCGCCGACAGCCCCAAGCACAACGGCACCGCTCGCAAGAGCACCCTCCACACCTCCAGGGTGACCAAGGACGAGAGCCTCTACAGCATCGACAGCGAGGCCAGTACCGTCGGCAGCGACCGGAAGAGCAAAATCCTCAACGGCGCGAAACACGCCAGCCTGAAGAGGTTAGGACCGTCTCGCCTTCCTCCTGGCCAAACCGATTGACCCCGAGAAAATGATAGTGGATTGTACAGAGAGAATGATTTAATTTCTACCTTAATTGAGCATCGAATATAGATACGAAAACGTGCACGCGGAGTCGATCCCATTGGTCAGTGGGTGGGTGAAAATCGAGGGTCTTTATCACTGCCAAGGTGCGAGGCCTGGGAGGAGCGAAACTGGGTCCGTGGTTTGAATCGGCGCCGCTTCTAATTCCAGTCCTCGCCCTCGCCAGGAATTTCGGCCGTGCATCTCCGTTGCGCAAGCCTTCTCTGCATTTATCTTAGGACGCGGACTCGTCGCCCGGCGCGGGCTCGCTCTCCGTCTCCGCGATGCTTTCCGCAACGCGGCGGACGGTCGACACAAGCCGGTATCCCGGAACCGCGGCGCGGAATGACGCGTCGCGTCAAATGAACGTCTCTCTTCGCGTCGCGTCGAGGAGTTTTATCCCCGAGGAGAATGTAACTCCCGACGGAGGGAGATTTAGCGCGACTTGAGTGCACTGCGAGATGGTCCCGCGCGGAGCCGAGTTAAACTCCGGTTATTATTTTTCTTTTTTTTTAATTTAAAAATTTTTTTTTCCTCGATCGTTCAATCCTCGATAATTCTCCGGGCGTTCCTAGGGAAGGTCGAAGTCTCGAAATCGAGCACCCCGTGGGTGTAAGTGGCTCGTATTGACCCAGGGGCAAGGACGAGCGGTATTCCGGCTGGCGTACGTGCACGCGCGTATGCACTTATGCACTTATGCACGTACCGTGCGTTCCCGAGCGCCGTACCGCATGCCTCCTGGCCCGAGTTCCCCCGTGCACCCGGACAGCCCGAGTTTCCCCAGGCCCCGCTCTCCGGGCTGCCTTTTACGACATTTACTTAGGGGGTCAGGGTCAGCCGTGTCGCGTTACCGGCGCACACCTCGGTGGAAGCTAACACCGCGCTAAACCCCGGGTTGCATAAAGGAGGAAAACCGTGCGCGGGGAGTCGGGTCGCGGGAACCGGAGTTAACCTCCGAGAAGTTGTTCCTTCCAATTTCGAGGATGACGATCTGACGTCGTTAGAGGTACGTGGGCGCGAAGGAGAAGGTCGCGCCGAAACCGACATGCTGATGGAGGACCTCGTCGAGTCGAGCTCCCCATATATATATATATGTATATATCTATATATCTTCCTGCGTATATTGACATCTATTTCGGCACGTGATGCACGCCCGACTATTTCCACCGAGGCGCGCAGTCCTGCCGGAAGTTTATTCGATCGCTTGACTCTCGCGGCCTCGTTGACGACGCCTGAAAGGCCTCTCTCTCGAGGCGTAAAAAGCGGTGACAAAACGCGAGAAGGAGGGCGGGGGGGTCCCGGGGGATAACCCGGTGACGATCGAAGCCGTCGGATGGCGTTTAAGCGCGAATGTCATCCGGAGAGAAGTGGAGGAGGACGTCGAGGTCCTTCTCTCGCGCCCTGGCGAGGTGGCGAAAGGAACCGCCGATTGCGATACTTCGCTCTCGTTTTATTTATTTAATGCTCCTTGCCGAGGAGATTACTTTAAAGGTTTACGAGCGCGGACCGGGGAGCAGGGATTCCCGTGACTTTTGCCGTTCTCGCGAGTCGCGCCGCGCGCGGAGCCCCTCGTGGTCGTAGAAAAGGGGAAGCAGGAGTAATGGGTCCTTCCCGCTAGGCGGAATCGCCGGGTACGCGAGTCGACGACATTCCGTCCCGGAAGTCTCGCTCGACCTGGAAAGAGGAGGAGAGGTCGTCGCCTCGGTCCCCCATAACGTTTTACGTGACAGGACGCACTAATCGACCGGATTTCTCCATCGGGCTCCCTCTTCCTTTTCGGCGCGGCGGATCGACTCGCGGATCCGCGGCCGAGCACAGGGCTCTCATTGACGGTACTCCCGGCCTCAAGAAGGCCCTCTTTCAGGCCTCGTTCGACACATCTCGCCGCGCTAATTGCCGCTTTAGAAATAACTCCGCCGCGCCCGGAAAGTCATTTTGATCGCGCGACTGCCCATCCGTGAGAGCGAGGGTCGATCTATTTCATTTTACTTCTTTTTATTATTTTTCGCCGCGTACATACGGAGAGAGGCGTTATTAAAAATGCCCAGAGAGGCGGAAACGTCGGGAATGAGATTACCGGGCGCGAGTGCCCTTTTTCTTTTTCTTTCTTTTTTTCTCTTTTTTAACTGCGGCCTCGCCGCGCAGGAGTTATGGCCAGGTTCGCGCCGGCCCGTGGTCAGGATTGGATCGGGTCGATGGAGAAGGAGGTGGCCTCGACCCCGACCCACCGCAACCCTAAACCACGTCCGGGTACTCCATTCCACCCCTCGCGCCCCTCTCTCTTTCTCTCTTTCTCGTTCTCTCACCTTGAGACCGACACTCGTGCCTCCCCCAGACCGAAAACCTCGAGGGCTGCTCGGGGGACGTCGCGACGCCGCCGGAAGCCTTCGCCTAATCTCGAGACGAGATCTCTTATGACGTTTCCCATTCACATTCTCCCCTATTAAAAAGGACCGCTAATGATTTCTCCCCCTTCCGGCCGATAGGAGTCGCCGTCGGTCGTCGACGCGCACGAGCTAGGGAAGCGCTCCGTCTCTCTCTCTCGGTGTTAACGTTTAGAAAAAGTGCCGCGCTAAGGGCCCTCTTCCTGTGCTCCCAATGAGGCCCCGCGCTGCCACGAAGGAAAAAATTCATATTAAGACCAATCGAACTCTCTCTCTCTCCCCGGCAGGATGAGCCGAGTTCTCGCCGTCCCTCTCCGTCTTTCTCTTCGTATGCGAATTCGTGCCGCCGCCGCCGTCGGTCTCGATTGCGCAACGTTTAATTGCCCCTCGTGGCGCGAGAGCGGGGCGCCCGGGAGAGCGAGAGAGAGGGATCGAGGCGGGAGCGAATGGGCGCGAGAAGGACGGCCCGCGCGAGAGACGGCGAGGTTGCGTCACGGCGTGGGCTGCGCCGCGTGACACGCGTCCCCTGTACCTGCGCGCGCCTGCGCGACTCCTGGCACCGACCACGTGACTTTGACACATCGCCGGCTCCAGCGGAAAGCGCGCCTCCCGGCGCGTCGCCAGATGGCAGCGCCATCCGACTCGGCGCTCCAGCTCGGACGCGAACCAGCTCCCTGGACACGAACCGCGTCTCGCCTTGGTGGTACTCGGGAAGAAATGAAAAATCCTCCTCGCAGAGCCGATTATCTCGGATAGAAATGTACGATTGCGGGATTTTTTTTTTAAGGGAATCTTGAGGGTTTCCTTGTTTTTAAAGACTGGGGTTGCGCCAAGGGGGGGTAACCGGAGCTTGCCGATCGGAAAGTGCGGGGATTAAAGCTATCTGGGCGAGTCCGCGACACCCGGCGGACCGAAGCGTTCCACCGTGCTTCCCCGTAATGGGATACACTTGCACGGCCGATCGGATGCGGAGGAATTACCAGAGATAAGCTTCCCGGGGAACTGGTTCGCCGGGGATTAACCGCGCGACGAGCGAATTCGCCCGGCCGGCCGTTCGCTCGGAGGGACCATCCGGAGCGGCTCTCGAGCGGTGAAATCCTGCTCGACCCTAATTTGCGTGTCGCTTAGAAAAAGCCGCTCCGTTACGGCCGTCCCTGTTCCGCGGCCGAAGAACTGCGGCCCGGGCGCCGATCGTTTCCTCCAAGCCGAGGTCTTCTCCCGAGGGGTCCAGGAAACCCGATCCAACCCTGGGGATTTCGATTCCGACCACCGGGGCTGAACCGTTATCCTGCGGTCGCGGCCAGTCCGGTCTCCCTGTCTCTGTCCCTCTGCCGCGCCGGGTGGAGGCTGTCACGCGACAGGAAATTGAGGTTTACGGTCGCACTTTTCTACCGTCGACGGCGACGACCGCTCGCGCGACAGACGTCCGATCCACTCGAGCGATCCCGGGGGAGATCGATGCGCGTCTCCACCGATGCACCGATGCGCACCGCCGACGGGTCGGCGGGCCATCGACGTATCGATGTATCGACGAGTCGGCGAGCCTCCTTTCCTCGCGGTCGGTCCCTACCGACGCGACCTGGATCGACTCCTCGCGGCGCTCCTTCCTCCGCCTCGCCAGGATTTCATTGGGAACTAACGCCTGCTCGTTTTTTCAGGGTGTCCTTTGGCTCCAGCAAGGGATCCATGGTCGAGACCCTCGTCTACGAGACGCCCGTCCAGGAGGAGCCGGAGATGATGAACCACTTCCTGGAGCACAACGGCCGCGTGCCCACCTCCGGCATGTCCGTCCCTGACACCGAGTGAGTGTCGCCTCGACCCCTGGAATCCGTTTCGACGTTTTATCCCGATACTTAATATACTCCAGAAGGGGGCGCCCTGCCACGGGGAGGATCGCAGGACAAGGGGAACCGAGGGCGGGACGCGTCGCGGTAGTCCTACGCACAAAGTCAGCGCGTGACGCAATTCGGCACGCCCTGGGACCGAAATAGCGAGGTCGTTCGGCGGCGCGTTTGCGCGAAAACCAACTCGCCGGCTCGTTTATCGGCCCGATATCGGCCGGCCTCGAGAAACGCCGTTAAACGAGCCGCGGTGCAGGGAGCAACATGAGCCGCGTTCCCTCCCGGTGGAACGCGCCTCTCGATCCCCGTCGCAATCTGTTTCCTCGAAAGGAACCAAAGGAACGTCGGGGATGAAAAAGATACCGCTCGCGATCCGACGCGTCGCGGCGCCGATGCGCGTCACCTTGCGCGACTTTTCCGCCGCGCGCGTCCGCTGCGCGTATTCCGGGCACGAATCTCCTCGTTAACCCGATCAGAGGTGACGACACGCAGACCCGACCCCCGGGGGACTCGTGGGAACGGGCGGGGGGAAGGAAAATCCCGATCGAGGTTCGCCAAGGGTAATCAATTGGAGGATTTATCGACGAGTCGGGAGATTTGAGCCGAGGACGAGAGAGGCGTCGTTGTACGAGGTGGGCCCGACGCTCGTCTCGGGACTCGTCAATTGGACCCGGTGGGCAGGCCTCCGGGACCAAGGGACTCGTAAGCGGTCTTCCGGCTTTTCAAAGGGGAACGTCGAAGAGCGGGTCGGTGGGAAGGGGAGGAGGGAAAAGTCACCGCGATTACGGGGCGATTAAGGGCCCGGCAATTGGTCGGATTTTCCGCGAGAAGGGGGCCGACGCTTTCCTCAATTTTCTGATAAACCCTCCTCGCTCAAAGGAGAGCCGGTCCGAGGATTAGTCCGCGACGAGGCGGACCCGGAGTGCCCATTGTCCCGCCGAGCGGTTGCTAATTGCCATGGACGATCGAGAGAAGTCGGACCCCATTGTCGATTCGCTACGAGTGACACTCTCCCCGTGACTCACGAGAGAGAGAGAAAGAGAACCAGGTCCCCGTTCTGGGTCAGGTAGATCGCCGTACGATATCTGAAATACGAGGAAGGCTCGTAACTGCCCCCGGACAGGTAGACTGCCTGCTTCTTTTCTTTTCTTTTTTTTTTCTGCGAATTTACGCACGCACTACCTGGTCAGGGTCGATTTGCGGCGAGGGCGAGGGAGAGAGGGTAATTATACCCGGGCCGAGGAAGGGCGCCGTTCCACCTTCGATTTGCCACTCCCTGGTTTGAAGAAAAAAAAAAGAAAAAAAAAGGATTCTCCACCTCGCAAGGTAACTTTGGGACCGATTTTTGAAGGGATTTAGAGTCGAGTCCGGTCGAGCTCGGCTCGAGAGTTGGCTCGGTCCCTGTCGTCGCTCGCCGCGAGGCGCGCGCGCGGCAGCACCGTCGAGCCGCTCGGGCATCTCCGGCTCCCCTCGGCAGTCCTCGGCCGGGGGAAGACGAGACCACCGAACGAGCACAGGCGTGGTGCGCGAGGCACGGAGCGGAGCACGGCGGCCCCGGTTCTCTTGACGAGAGACGCGCGAGCGGACTGCTGCGGATAGCGACGCGGAAGAGGCCGGTTTCCTCGAGGAAGGTGCCGCCGAGAGGGCCCGAGAGGAAAAGCGAGCCCCGAGGAGGAGCGCTCAACCCTCGCGTTGTCCTTCTCTCTCCCGTTGCGCGGCGCCGAGCCTCGTCTTCGTCTTCGCCGCCACCCCTTCGACTAGGGGACGCTCCGCTCGAGCGACCCTCCGAGAGACCGGTCTCTCGACCGACGGTCAAGGATCGCCGTATCGTTTTAGAGTAGAGCCAAGTGTACAGTGCGGAGTTATCTCCTTACCGGTTCTTTTCGTCGCTTTATCGCCGAGCGAGCGCGAGACGCACGTGATCCCCGCCCCAGGGACAAGGATACCCGCGAGCGACGACTCGGACTCGAGCTGGACAGGTGAAAAGGTAAACGTCCATCTTTCTTTCTCTCTCTTCCGGGGGTTCGATTTACCACCCTCGGATTTATCTCATCTCTGGCGCGCCGCGGAGGAATGGCTTCTGCCGGTTGCCATGGCTACGCCATCTTGACACAGTGCAGGATATATATATATATATATATACGTGGGTGTATATATATATTGAAACCTGTACCGACAAGACCTCCCCCTTCCTCTCTCTTTCTCTCTCTTTTACTCATTTTTCGTCCCTTTTATTCCATCTTATTTTCCCCCTGGTTCCGCTTCTCTCCTCGTCTCTCTCGCGCTCCTGCAACAGTTAGCAACCGGCTCTCTCTCTCTCTTCCTCCCTGTCCGTCGCTCCCTTCGCCTCCTCTTTCCCTTTCTCCGTCCCTCCGGGGGCTCTCCCACGCACCGGGTCTCTCCTCTCCTCTCCGTCCCTCGACCCGATTATCGCCTCTTTCCTCTACCCCTCGGTTCTCCCTTTCTACCGCCGGTGCGTCACTCGCGGTCGGACTGTCGAAAAGTGCGCAGATTTCGCGAGGTGTCGGGAGACGCGGATAAATAAATAACGCGATCGGAGAAACGACCGTGGAAACGACTCGAGGCCAGATTTACCAGGCTTGCTCCGATATCCGCCCACCCCGAGGGAGGAATTCGCCCGAGGGTAAATATATACATCAAAGGATATCTCTCAGGACTCCTCTTTCTTTCTTTCTTCCTGTCTCTCTCTCTTTCTCCGCGTCGAGTCTTCGCGAATACACCTGCGACGCAGAATGTAGTCCCGATGAGCCCTGCCAGTCGCTCGGTTTGAATTTCTTTCTTATTTTTTTTTCCTTTCTTTCTTCCCGCTTTTCATTTTTCATTTGACGTACATACATTTCGTTTCGACGTGTATTTGCCCCTAGTGCCGCGATTTCGTTGCAAATCGGAGGGTCGACGTGGGGGAAATGTTTTAAGCCCCTCCAGGCTCGGCGCAGGTAAATCGCCCTGTGGTATCGATCAGCTGGAAACCGCGCTTCCACCCTCTGGCCGCGACCCCCAGGAAAATCGTACGCCGTGCCTCGAAAAGTCGAATAATTCAACGAAAGGTTGATTACACGGGGGGGGGGGAAATTCGGAGCGGATACGGAGGGTCATCCCGGAGGTCTTATCGGCGGCGATAGCGTCGAGGGAAGTGGCCGGGCTTGCCGAAACGGACCTCGGGGGTCAATCGGTGACCGGGTCAGATCTCGACCCGATAAATCCGTCTTCGAGAAAGTTAGCCGCGAGTGGAGTGCACTCGCGAAATAACGACGCGACTAGCGCCGGCTATATGGCGGCTTCCTAGGGTTGCCATGGATACGCGCCATCTTGACGGGCATCCCCGGCACATCTCTAGGAGGCTCCGCTGGATTTGCCCATCCATTAAGGGCACTCCTTTCCCTCGTCGATCCATCCTCCTCTCGCTCCCCCGGGACTCGATCGCTCTCACTTTTCACCTGGGAGGACTGGAGGGACTCCGGGTATCCGTGGGAATTTTTCCTTTTTTTAATCTCTTTTAAAAGGGGTCGAGGGTCACCCTCCTTTCGGCGAATCTCATCCTCAAAAGGGACGTGCGCTCTGGGTATGATTATGTATGAGTTGGGAAATTTTCTCTAGGTCGAGAGTGAGGGAGAGATGGGGGCAGGAATTCCTGGTCGATTTTTTTTCTCTGGCTTTGTTTTAAGGGTGCTCTCCACGGGGCTCATGGGGCGACCCGGTGACATTGATTTTAGCGAAGAACCGCCCTTCGGCCTCATGGCGGAGGTCCTTCGCGTGGCAGACACGGCGGCGCCGACGCCGCCCCTCGCGTGTCCGCGGACGTCATTGTTTGCTCCCGCAAATGTCACCCCTCGCCGTTTCAGGGGCAGAGAAAGCAACTGGGTTACCATGCCGCCCGTGTTAACGATAACAAATAGAAAAACGATCCTCGGGGACGGGCCGTGGTCGTGGGACTCTCCATCGAGAAGAGTTTCCTCTTTTCGGGAGAGACTCCCAACCGGGTGTGGGTACCATCTCGCGTCCCTGAAGATAAGCCGTTTCCAAAAGTAAAACATTTCTCTTTTTCTCTCCCTCTTCCTCTCTCCTTTTATTCTCCATTCACCGTTAATTACTATTTATATTCACGGGCCGTTTCGGCGCTCTCCGTGTATTTATTTTAGCGTTCCAGGTTTTTTTTTACGGCTACTCCGCAGTCTCGACGAGGACGCTCGTCGAATTTCGTAACTCCTCCTACGTTATCGCGAGACTCGCGTTGCGCAACGAGAAACTCGGGAATACTTCCCTGGTGGGAAAATTTCCCCACGGCGACTCCGGCCTCGATCAGCTGATCCGACGGGGACCGAACCGAGGCATCCCCGTGGCATCCTCGATGCTATGCGAGTGTCCTGGAAATATCTTCCTAGAGTCAAAACGTCCTCCGCAGGAAATGGCCGCGAGGGAATCTCGACTCGACGTCGAAAGTGCCGCGTGAGAAAGTTTCTCGGGTGAAATTTCCCGCCTCGCTTTCGTCGTACGCCATTAGGTCGGTTTAATTTAGTCAGCTCTCCCTTTTCCTTACGTCGCGCCCTTTCGAGGAAGGCGAAGGTGACTTCGTAGGCGCGGGACAAATAAAATAGCGGTCGATCGGAGGAAGAGAGGGACGCCGAGATGATGTCACGAGCTCAAGGTCTAATTCCGACTGGCCGTGTCGGCGTATAAACGTTCGGTGTCGTCATCGCCCGAGAACGGAGGAGGTTCCCGTGAGAGAGCGAGGGAGGCGTCGCGACGGAGAGGGAAAAACGACGCGTTACGAGTCCGGGGTACTCGTAACGTGCACGCGTCGCGACGGCCTTAGGACGCGTCCTCCCTCCTGGCCCCTCCGCGTATGGGATCTTTACGGGCAGAAAAATGGCCGCCGGAGTCGATATCGCGCACTTTTTTCGAGAGAGAGAGAGATCGAGAGGTGCCCCGAGGGGAAAAGGGGCCGAGGGCGGTATAGCCGTGAATGGGAGAGACTCGGTGCACCTGTCGCGCCCATTCCGAGGATCCTCGGTGACTCGATAGGATCTTACGTGGGATTGCGCAAGTCGGCAATTTCTCTCGGGCCGGTTCCCTGGAGAGTAACCATCGGGCCCCTAGAAGGGGAAGGGAGATAAGGGGGGAAAAAAAGAGAAAGACGTCGCACCCCGTGGAACCGGCTTCGCGACTTTTTCCCTTTCGTTGACTTTCGCCCGGCGAACCGGCCCCGAAGGACCTCGAACGGGGATCTCGAAGGGGATCTCAAAGAGGACTCCGAAAGGGAGAAACTCTTCCCTAAGCCAACAACGAGGAAGGGAATATTTAATCTTTACTCGTTATAAGGATTCCGAGACGGTAGAAGTTTACGGCCAGAGGGAGGACCCCGCGAATCGGCGAGGTCTCTTTTTAGAATGCGGCCCTCCTCTTCGGCGAGTCATTCGTCTCCTTTTAGCTCCGACCGAGGGGCGCCGGTATTTCGGACGCGCCGAACTCGCCTCGGGGATGAGTTCCCTCCCTCTTTCTCCCCGTATCGAAGGGGAATCGCTCCATTACCCGATATCGACTGATTCATCCCGCGAGTCGGATTTAAACGGGACCATTTGGGGAGGCCGAGAGAGGTCGACCTTCGACTCTCGTTAGCTCCTTTTATCCGACCCCGAGAGGTGATTCGCGCGGCTATTTCGGGCCCGGAGTCCTTTCTCTCCTTTCCTTTACGTTGCGAAATTCGGTGGAAAGTCATCGGGGGGGGGCAAGGGTCGGCGCCGAGTTTCCTCGGGCTCGACCCCGGCGCACGTTCCTCAGGCACTATTTTCTCCTCGGGAACGCATCGGCGGGGCCATTCGTCAGGCCAATCGGACCCAGATTAGGTTTATCCGCAATGACTCTCTACCGCGTAAGTAACGCCGCACGCACGCTGGAAGGAGACGAACCGAGAGAGGGAGAGGGCCCGACTCGAGTGTCGGCCACGTCGCGTCGTCTATTTATACACCGCGAAAGTGCCGATACCGGCCGATATCTTCGCCGCTGGATGCACTCGGCAATTGCACTCGCAATTGCGGCGAAGGACGGGAGAGACGCGCTTGGATGGAACGGGGGGAGAACCCGTTGATCGGACGACGGGGTCGAAATTGAAGAGGGCTCGAACCCCCTTTTTCTTTCGGTTTTCGGCCAATCGATCGAACTCGATCAATGGCGCGTTATCGACTCGAGCGATAACGTTCGTGATTACGGAACGATACGGAACGGCGATTAATAGCGATAGCGAGCGGATCCCCTCCCGATTTCTCTGGGACCCGCGAACGAGAGATGTAGCATCGACGGCCGACCTCGTGGCTGCGCCAGATCCGCGATCGATCGCCGATCGATCGATCCCACCGCAGAGCGAAACCGCATCCAGTGTCCGTCGACCCTGGGCGGGTCTTCCGGGAGCTTTCCTCGCTAAAGAAACGGGAACTGATCGGTTCTAACGGGCTCCTCGGGACCGGAGAACCGTTTTTCGGACTCGATACCACCTCCCCCCTTTTCTTCGCAAATTATAATTCCGCGCGATCGAGGGGACGAGAAGTGACACGGACTAATCGGAACGACGCGTAGGTGGATCGGGCGATTCCAGAATCGGCCGGACTGGGGAATTAAATTAAATCCATCCGAGAGGTCGTCCTCGTTCTCGGAGCACCCACGCCGGTCCTTCCTCGGAGACGTCGACGGGCCGAAGGCAGCGGTTTCGCCCGGAATTGCCGCGCAATTTCAATTATTAGCCCCCACCGTACTGCATTTGGCAATTAGCCGAGTAGCGGCAATTTGTCCTCCTTGGCCGGCGTTTTCTCTCCCTCGTTAACGGAGAGGGACCCGGGATTAATTTACGCGACCTTAAACGACGATTACTCGTTAACCGCGGGGGAATTCTGTCCAATCCTCGGGAATTAGGGGGATCTTTCAGTTTTACAGGAAAAGCGGAAAAACCCAGGTAACCTCCGTCCCTTAACGATTTTTCTTCCTCCGAGCGGCGCGAATCGTCGCGACGCGATCGACGGTTTTTCTCCCCCTTTGTTTCTCTCCCTCGCCAATTTTTCATCCCTCCCTTTTTGAGTGACTCGTTAACGTCAACGCGATCCGAGGTGCTCGATCGAGCGCGGCCGCAGCGGTGCATCGGCCCGTTATGCACAATTGCGCGCGTGCATCCTCGCCGAGGATGCAGCGCCGAGTCGCCACGTCGAGTTGACGCCGTTACGCCGTGACTTTCCGCGTCCGGCTCGAGAGTCGGCTACCAGGCGAGTCACGTTTTCGAACAGCGAGTCCGTGACCGGGAAATTTTCCGATTCGTGGGCCCGTTCGGAAGCCACCGACCGCATAACTCGCCGAACGAGGGGTGAAGCTCTGCATCTCTCGGGGCGAGAATTTATCTCGGGATTTTACCCTCCCCTCGATTTGGTAGGACCATCCCTGTCTAAAATACTTTTATTCCACTCCGCGCGATTTTTCGTGGAATTCCTCCCTCGAAAAAAAAAAATAAATAAATAAAAATAATTGTAACGACGGTGGGACTCGGCAGCGTTGCGTACGACCCCTTGATAAGGGGTTAGTCGCGAAAATAAGTGCGTGACCCCTCGTGCGTGTGAGGATTCTCCAGGGTGAAAAAAGGGAGTTCATTTCGACTTGGCACGCGAAAAGGTGTGGCCGGAAGTCTGGTCGTTAAAGTTCGCCCTTCGTGCCCGAAAAGTTGTCCGGAGGGGCGGCCGGGTCGGGGGTGATTGCCTCCCTCGGCGGTGTTCCGGCGAGCGCCGATTGCCGGGCCATTAGGGGGCGATTGGCGGTGGATTGTCATGTTTCTCTTTTTTTCTTCGTTTTTTTTCTCTTTTGTCATTTTGGCACGACGAGTGATTATGCGTGATTCTCTTTCAGCGAGGGCAGAGAAAGGGTACGCGTGTCGCTGCTGGGCCCGGCACCTTCGCCGGTGACCCCCGGGGTCCTGCTGCTGGAGCCGATCATCCCTCCAGGTCACCTGCTGGACGCCATGGCCGCCAACTCTGCGGAGCTCTTGACCACCCACACGGAGCACACCACCCCTACCTACCACGCGCAAATCAGGTGAGGCCGGGATCCAGGTGCAGGTGTCCCCCTGAGAACCCCCGTGGCCCCCGAATCGCGTTGTCCCGTGCGACCCCCCCGGCCTTAATGGGCCGGAAGTGACGCGCCATCTCTTCCTCCATCCGGTAGCGTCGGTCACGCCGACACCAGTACACGCCAAACGCGTCGGGAAGGTCCGCGGACCCGGAAGCAAGGTGGACTCGTGGCTTGGGTCCAAGTGCGACGGGAGTTTGTTTACACCGTGAACAGGGACCGCGTTTTGCCCGGCCCAGGGTCTCTCTTGGCCCGGCGCGTCGGCCTTATCCCCCGGGGCGACTCCCGGAAAATTGCAAGGAAAATTACGAGGAGAGCGTAAATGGATACCATTTCGGCCGCGGGCAGGCCGAGGGAGAGCAACCTCGAGGAAGTGGCGGAAAAGAAATTTCCGCGGGGGGTCTAACCACCTTGATTAGACTGGGATCCCGTAGGCACGAGTTCCACCTGGTCTCGTGGGTACTTGGGATTTAATTTTTCCTGCGGTACCAGAGTGCTAGTTTGGGAGCTAGGTGTATGGAGAATCGGCAGGGGAACGTTTGCCAACAAACGGACGCGGAGGATATGCGTATTGGGAGGTGTCTAAAAATATGAAGAAGAGCCGTCGGGGGAGCCGAGCGCGAGTGGAACTCGACGTCCGCGCGGCACCGGCTCGACTCGGCGGCGCTGGCCGCGCGCTGCGTGCGCCGTTTCGCCGCCTCCACCACCTCCTGCACGTCCACCACCACCGCCGGCTCCTGCACTTCCACCACCACCACGCAACGCAGCGGAGACATACACAGGAGAGGACGGGGATCGATATAGCGTGGGTGGATGGGCAGCGGCGAGCCGCGGCAGTCCACCAGTCGCGCCGCTGCACGACGGCGGCTGCACCGCCGTCGACTTCTCTCTCTCTCCCGCCGGACCCGGTCACCCCCCCGAGCCGACCGCCCGCCACCCCCTAAAAAATAGTCGAGCCACCCCTTTGCTCGAGTTACGCTCCTTTGACTGCCCCGCGCGCACGTGCCGATCGCTCCACGGACTCTCCGCCACGGTCAGACCCGCTCGGAGGGAAGGCTTCCCCGGGAAGTGCGGAGGGTGGAACCGGCCGAAGGGGTGTGTGCTGACCTGGGACAAGCGAGGCGAGACCGAGACCCTCGAGGACGAGGGTGGAAGCGGCGGGGGGGAACGATAAAAGAGCTCTCTCTGTCTCTCCCTCTCCGGGAGCGAAGCATCTTCAGAGACCAGAGTTCCAGGGTGGATTTTCCGGCTTAAGGAGCGACGGGGGTGGAAAACGTCCGGGGAGAAAGACGTAGGGCGAGTCCCGCGGAGCATTTTTTATTCGGGGTGTTTTCCTCGGGGACGCGAGGAAGCCGAGGAAATCCCGAGTCTTCGACGCGGCGCAGCAGCCAGCTGATCGCGGGTGCTCCCTCGGCTTTCCGGTTTTCAGCCGGTGACGGCCGCGCCGCGTCGCGAGGGTCCTTCGGATCGACGCTCGGCGTCCTTTCGGCTGTCACTCGATGACTGGCGCACCCTCCTCCTGCTCCTGACTACGCGTTTACCCCCTGGCCCACATACGCGCGGCGAGCATGTACGATACATAGAGCCCGGCTCCAGCCCTGACCCATATACTCGCCAGCCCCCTATGGGTGCCGAAGGTGGCGGCCAGAGGAGGGTGCTTCGTTAAAGTTAACGCCAATTACCTGGCGAGCTGGTTAGTATCGCGCCTACCGGGGAAGCCTGCGCGACCCTCTCCGATTTTCCTCGACTCTCTTCAATTTCCGTCGCGTCCAGAAATTCCAAACCTCGTCCTAGCCCTTTTATCGACGCGATCGACTCGAGCCCGCCTCGCCGAGGTCGGATTCGACCTCCTCCACTTCGTAAGCGGTCGTTCCGGCTCGACTTCCGCCGACGATTCCGGAAGGAGCGCGTAGGTGCCCTCGTGCCGGTTTAAACGGACCCGGCCACCGGAAGCCGTACCGCAGGGTCGTAAATAGAGACGAATCGATAGGTGCGTTTCCGCGACTCTTCCGCGTAAGGGTGCACCGTTTACGTCCGCCGCGTCCGTCCTCGTCGGTAGGAGGTGATCGCGGTCGAAGGGAGGCCTCGGCGCCGCGTTGGCAGCGCGTATTGCGGAAAGGAAGAACGAGAGAAACAGAGGGGGAGAGAGAGGGGGAGAAGATCGGCGCCCGCGGCATGGGACCTCGCGAAAATACCCCCGGCCTGAAATAGCGCGCGTCCACCACCCGCGACGCCGCGACGCCCGTGACGCCGGCGTAAAAATAAGCGACTCCTGGCTGCCGAGGAGAGAGGAAGAGAGAGAGAGAGACCGGGACCTCTCTTCCTCCCGAGTGTCGATGCCGAGGCCGATCGAGCCGCAGCTCAAGGGAAACTTGGACCCCTCCCCGGGGAACACCTCGGAAGATGACGACCACGCACGGAGGACACGTCTACTACGTCATTAAGGTCCCCCGCGACGCCGGCGGGAGCGAGAGGTAAAGGGAAAAGAAAAATGAAAATAAGAAAGAAAAAAAGGAGAGACACATCAAGGGACCCTCCGGGAGGAGAGTCGAGGAAATCGACGCCGGGACCTCGAGGGGGCGACGGCGGGAGGGAGTGAAATCGATCGCCTAGGAGGCAAGGAAAGCGGAAGAGCGCGGAAAGTGGGTCGAAAATGACGCGCCTCCTCCCCCTCGACCGGGAGAACGGGGGGAGGTTCGATCCGCGGTGATTTTCCCGGGTTTCCGCGACCCCCCGCGAACTCGCGGGTGCACGGCTCCAGGAAACGACCTTACCGCTAGGTGGAGTGGCGCTGAATAGAGCGGGGTCTTCAACCCCCGATCGTCGTGCTCGTATGCGCGGATGCACTCCGGATGCATCGCGGATGTGCATCGGTGTAGGTGCCCGTCTGGAGGCGCGCGAGATATCTAGGAACGCCCGGGAACGCCCGAGAACGCCTCGAAGAAGGACCCCCTATGAGCTCTGGCCTAGATTTTCCCCTCGTTTACGTGGACGTAGCCGCTCCCCCCAACTGCACCTTCCACTTTGCAGGGAAGCGCAAATTCGAGGCTAGTCGAGAGGAAGAGAGAGCCGGCTTTTGTGCGCTCCAAGGCCCTCGGACACGTCCGAGCGTCTTCTTGGGGATTGATAAAAAAAAAAAGAATTATTCCCTGGCGCGACTCCGGCCTGATGAATTTTTTTCTTTTTTTTTTCCTTTGTTCCTCTCGCTCCGGAGAAGTAGTCGAGATGCGAGAGACGTTAATGCAGACGTGCACGGGAAATCTGGCCGGCGAAAATCCCGGACGAGAGGGTCCCCTGGGACGTTGAACCCTGACCGGGGTCAACCTCGCGCGACCGGATTTAAGAGGTCGGGTGGGGGTCTTCTTTTTTTTTTTATTCGGCACTCTCCAGACCCTCCGGCGATTTTCCTCCAAGTTTACCGGGACACCCTGTATGCGGCACCTCGGTACTTAGCCCCGTAATAATAGGCCTCGTTAACCTCGTTGAGAGATATCGAGGCGAGGCGAGCCACCTTTAAATAGGACCCGCTGCGAGCCGCTCGCGCTGCGAACAGTTTTTCCGACGGCCCTGGAAATGATTTTTCCCGAGTTTTCTCGATTTTTTCGGGATTTTCCGGGATCTTTCCCGCGCGCGGGGAAACATCTTTTGATTAATCACTCGCGGACGGGTCGCGTCACTCGTTTCGTCCCTTTCCCCGATTCGGAGGAATGCCCTCGACGCCTTTTGGAAACCGTCCGAGGAAACGTCGTCCCCGCTGATCTCGTAATATCCGAGGAGTCGTTATTAGCCGATCTGGCCACGAGCCAGCCGAGTCTTCTCTTTTTACCGGGCCTGTCCTCCGGTTTTCGTTTTCGCCCTTTACGAGCCCCGGAACAATCTCACCCCGGGACGAGAAGAACCCCGGAAACGCCTCGCGGGATCGAATCGGAAGTCTCGGTAGTCGAGGCTCTTCCGGCTCCCTCTTCCCCTCCTTCGGGAGTAGCCCGCAAGATGCACCGGCTGCGGGAGCTTCGTTACTATTTCCCCCCCTTCTTTATCCTTACCTAGGAAAATGATATCGACGATTTTCCCCGGTTTTCCACATCCTCGGAAGATCCGAGAGAGGAGGAAGGGGACGTCTCAATTTCCGGCACCCGCCGGAAACTACCGCGTCTATCCGGAGGTGCAGTTTCGCATCTCGCGGTCCACCGGAGTGCACGGGGATACTTTAAAGGAAGCGCTCTCGGGCTCTCTCGGGAGCGCAATTAGGCTCGTTTCAATGCCAAAGCTAATGCCACGGCCATCGGGGAGCGGCTCTTTCCCTCCGCGATTCGCCTCCGCTTGCCGTTTGCGGATCTTTTTTTTTTTCCGCTCGCTCGTCTCGCGCGACCGGCTGGAATCGGTCGCGAAACCTCCGGGGCCTTGTCGCCGAGTAGGAAATTCACCGTCTCCGCGCTTCCCGTCCGTTCCTATTTTCTATTTTTTTTTCCCGAGTTTCCGCGCACATTCGTCCGTTTCGCTATTTCCACGCCGGCTCGCGGTTACCTCCCAGGCGGGTCTCCCGGTATATCGATAACGGCCCCTGGAATCGAGTCGCGAGCACGATCGAGCAAGGCCGCGTTATACGTAATTACCAGGTGTGCGGCCCGGGAGACGCGGAACGTCCGTCCGGTTTCAAGGCGAGCGGACGCGGAAAATCGGCCGATGAGAACCCCGGAGAGCTCGCGTTGCGCAACCCGCGTGCGCAGTCGCTTAGCACGAGGGAGTTAATCGAGGCTCGTCGCCCGTCGAAAACGCTCATTGCACTAACTAATGGTCCATTCTGGCCCCAAGGGGTCGGCGAGTCTCGAGTGGTCGGGTCGTGAAAAAATAAAAAAAAAATATATATATACAATCGCAATAACAAAAAGAAAAAAACATGGACGAGTTTGACCGATCTTCTTTTTTTCTCTCTCCTTTCCAGCACTCTTGGCGACTGGTCGGGTAATTAATGAATAAAAAGAAAAAAAAAATGATAAAATACCCACGAGCTTGACGGATCTCTTTCTATCTCTTTTCCAGCACGGACAGTGGGTGGGACAACCCGTTCAGGCCGGACGGCGACTTGTCCAGGGAGGCCGACGAGATCGTCGAGCTGATCAAGGGCGGCAAGCCCATCACCCCGACCCCGGGCCAGAACGCGCCTCCTTTGCCAGGATGCGAGACCCCCGCGAATAGCCAGGCCGAGGTCGACTCGAGTTCGAGTCCGCTCCTCAACTCTGCCGCGAACTCGACGAACCGACCCCCGAACTCCTCGCCGAGGCTCAGCCAGGGAAACGGGAACGCCCATGGCACGTCGGCGAAGGGCTCGGCCAACCAGCAGCCCGTTAACGAGAAGGTGAAAAAAAAAAGAGAGATGGAGATGAAAAATTATCGATGAAAGAAATCGGTCTTGGTTATATACTCTTTGTTATATAGTCTTGGTCATGTAGTATAGGTCATGTAGTCTTGGTCTTGGTGGCAAGATATAACGTAGAAAACGTGATTTCAGGTGGGCCCGGCGACGAACGCGGCGACCGTCGAGGTCGGCAGGGTGACCTCGCAGGGGCCAGGGGATGCCTCCCAGGTGGAGCACGTCACCCTGAAGAAGAAGCCGAAGTGCAAGTGCTGCGTCCTCCAGTAACGCGGGGGTGGCCGAGGAGAGGGGAGATTCGATGATTCCCCGAGTCGTCGGGACGAGTCCGGGATTCGAGAGCGCGGCAGCGGGCGTCGGTCGTCGACGTCGACGTCGACGTCGGGACGGCGGAGGAGAAGAGACCTCGCTATCGGGCTCGAGAGAGGAGATCTCGGGCCCGAGGACGGAAAGAGACTGCAAAGCGCTCCCGAGACGTGATAGAAGGTCGATATATATATACATACGAGGGGGAGGAGGAGGAAAAAGTACACACGGGGAGAGAGAGAGAGACCAGACCAGGAGGGGAGGAAATGATTAAAGTATATTGTAGATACAGAATGGTAGCTATATAGCTTATATGCTTTTACTATTGTGGTTACTACGATTAAGGATCGTCAGGCGACCGAGGCATGGCCGCGTCGGGGAAAGCGCCCTGGGCCAACTGCAACGAGTGCATCCTTGGAAAATAGACGCCGAGAGGGAACAAAAGGGGATGAGAAAAATGGAAGACGGTCCTCGAAGTGGCGACGGACGCGTTGCACTTGGTCCGGCACGGTTTCCCCCTCGGGAGAACGCGGAGCGAGATTGGTTTACTACGAGGCTGCCTAATTTCACTCTTTCCTTAACATTGGGAGACCAGGCGGTCTCTTTTCCGCTCGTCGTAGGAAAGAAGAAAAAAAAAAGAAAATTAAGACGAATCGGCAACGAAGGAGGGAAAAAGCGGGAGAAAAATTGTGCAGCGACCGCGAGGGGATCTCTCGGTGGTCCGGTGCGAGGGAGAGCACCGACGGCTTCCCCGGGGGGAAGGAAGAGAAGCGATGTAAATTTGTATCTGGGATTGGGTATATAGTGTCTATATATGTTCCGGAAGAAAAAAAAAAAACAAGAATCATACACTATACGATATGTAGATCTTCGGACGACGGGGGGCATCGTTCGGGACCTCCTCCAGAGGACCCAGGGGGTGCGTCTCGACTTTCGGAGCCTGTGTATATTCCCTATATCATATAGTATATATATACATATATAAATATATCTGCTCGCTGTATAGAATCGAGGTATGCCCAATTCGAGGGATGGAGATCTATATTTTTCACGCGTTAGTCGGACATCTCCCCCGGTCCCGGCGAAAATTAGGCGAGCCTGTGCTAAGCCAAGATCGAGGAGAGGCGCGTTTCGTTTACGAGGAACGCTTTGAGGGCTGCGACGAGGAATGCGTCCTCGAGGATTATGGATTTGGACCGAGCCTTGTAAATACATGTCGAATCTCACGCGGCCGGACGTATCGTTGTACCGACCTCCCCGAGCCCTCCGCTCGCGGAGAAAATCCCGGCAGGATCTATCCGCGAGCCGGAGGTCAAGGAGGCGGGTCGTCGTCACGCCGTTTTCTTTCCTAACTGCTGCTAGTGCACAAACTAACCGTTTAACGACTAGGAGCGCGTCATTTTTAAGCGGAACCCTCGACGCCCGGCGTCCCGTCGTTCCTGTTGCGTTCCTTCCACCGCGACACTTTAGCTTCTCTCCTAGATATTAACGTGCATGTTAGGTTTCTATTTATTTAATAGGCGCCCCCCTTCTTGATTTTCAATTCCACGGGGTCGGAAGGTAGACATAGAGGGCGAGAAAGGGCGTACGTGTAAATCGAAGAGCGCGGAGCGAGGAATTGTGAACTGCGAAGCCACGAGGTGACGGACCCGGAATAACGACGGGTTTATTCCCTACTTCGACTAACCGTATACGTATATTGTCTAGGATATGTGCACGCGTTCACGCATTTTAACCCTCAAACCGACGATCAGTCGAGCGCCGCACCCTGTGATCGAGATCCTCCCTTAGAGGCGCGCGTAATGTATACGAACGATGGCCGCGTTGAGTTTCGACGTTCCCGACAGAAAGTACACGTACCGTAGGTCGGGGAAGCACGGAAGGTGGAAGGAGAAAAACCTCTCAACTGTCTGTCCCATGCAACTGTTGACTCTGCTGAGCTTACGGATATTAAACGAACATTAAATGTCTTGTTAAAGAGAACCGATCGTGACGAAATCCTGGAGAATACGAGGGAGGGTTCGAAGCGGCCTCCTTTCCTCTCCGGGCCCAAACGAGGAGTTTATATCGAGCTTATCGATTCATCGCGAGGAGGGTCCGGTCAATTTTTTTTATATGTAAGAAAAAACCCATCTTTTCGCGCTTTGTCGCAACCGCGACGGGATGTTGTACAAAATCGAGGGGGAAGAGAGAAAAAAAGCGACACGATATTCCACTCTGCGGCTCTTCCGCGAGGCGGCGAGCGCACGCTAGTATAGTTATTATACAAGCGATGCCATAATCGATGATCCCGCCGGTTATTAATTTCTACCTGTCCGACGAGTCCGCGGGTCGAATTGGAGTTTTCACCGGGGGGCACGGAGAGGGAAAGTGGCGTGAGGTGAAAATTCCCCGACGAAGACCGGCGTCTATACGCCTCCGGTCGCGTAATGCACACTCGAGGATCCCACGCGAGCCGATAATTGTCCGGCGATTATTTTTTTAAAAGACGACAACCGCCGAGGGCGTTTCACGTCTTTTCGGGATCCCTCTCGAGGCGTGAAAAAAGCGCGAAAGTTGGCCGCTCGTTCCCGGGCGAGACCTCTTTCCCTCCCATGAATAATGTCCCCAGGGGTTTATGGGCCCTGCGTAACCGATTTTGTTTACACTTCTGGGAGTCCTCTCGCTTTTTTTCTCCCCCCCACGTCTTCCTGTTACGCGAGATCTGGACGATCGCTTTTTATATTCCACGTGCACGCGGGGGAAGATCGAACGGTGACATTTGCGGGCCCTCGGACTCGACGTTAATTATTCTTAGCGTGGGCCTCGATCGTGATCGCTCGCCGATCCGGCGATTGCCCTTCGGGGGAATAAAGCAAACCGTATCGATCCTCCTCCGGCGAGGCTACCGACGAACGCGGAATGTGGGTTCGGTTGAGGGGAGCGAAAATGTCAACGGAGAGCCAATCGCTAGGTGCATCCTATTAAAGGTTCAGAGATCATAATGTGGACGTACCCTTAAAGCGGGAAAGATCCCGACTCCGCGATCCCTCGTGATATATATCCGTGGCCTTTGGCGGTCGCTTAAGAGACGATAAATCCACGCGTCGCCGGCTCGGGGAAAAATAATTGCATCCTTATACGGAGGGTGCGGGGATGCCGCGGGGATGCCGCCGGGTCCTCGGAGATGGACCGGGCAATTAACGCTGCACAAATCGGGACCCATCGATTCCAGAAAACAGCCGCGTCTCGGATCGCCGAGGGCCTCCTCGAGAACACGGCCAATTACTCGCGCTCCTTCGCCGCACCCTCTTCGCGGCGTCCTCCGCGAGTCGGCTTTTGTGCTCCAGTCGTGCGTGCGGGAGGGAAATGGCCCGAATGAAAAATGTGCGGAAGAAAGTGCCGGGGAATTTTCATTCGAAGTATTTTTCGATATCTCGCCCCGCGTACGAGCTTTCCCCGGCCCCCCCGGAACGCTCGCGTGACTCGTACAGGGAACGATTAAAATCGGGCCGTGATTCAGCCGGGAGAATGTGAAAAGCAATGAAAGGTACATTCCCCGATCTTAGATCCCGGACAAAGAGATGCATCTGGAAGAAGGCACGCGACCGCGGGACGTCGTAAGGCCCTTTCGTCACCGCATTTGTCGCGATACGATCGTCTCTATCCGTGAGGCGAACCGTCGACGCGCTCGGAGGGGATACACGCGTCGGGCCCGGGGAACGCGATATAAAGAGAGAAGATTCTCCCCGATCTGCGCTACTAGGATCCCGTAGTTCTAAGGCGCCGCGTGATGGTAACTCGCGGTGTGGTGTAGGAGAAATTTAAAAAAAAAAAAAAATAAGAAAAGAAGCATCTCAAGCACGATCTGCCGAGTCGTCATGGATCGTCGCCGAGGATCCGTCAGTTCCCTGGTACGTCTGCGCGAAATCGTGGGACGTGTTGGTCGAAAAAGAAAAGAAAAAAAAGTGCTAAGTGGGAATTAAATTCGCAGATCACTCCGCGTCCGTGTCTCGGTTGTAAATGTTTTAGTTTCTTTTTTCTTTTTTTTTTTTCCCATCACGCACTGTACTCTCCAACTGTGGTCCCCGTAGGTCCTGCTCCTCCTGGCAGGAGCGTGTACCGCCGAAAAGCTATCTCCAAACCAAAAAGCGCCTCCCTTTGCCCGGGGTGCCGGAGGTCTGAGTCTTCCGACTCCTCTGGAGGGTGGTGCCCCGAAGAGCCCCTCGGTGAGTGAGAACGGGGTTCAATGGGACGAGACTTCGGACTTCAAGGAGGTAGACGGCCAGGTCGTCCGCGTGGTCCAGGGCACCCTGTCCTACAACAGTCCTGAGGGACTGCCGATTTTCGTCAAGTGAGTGACCTGCGATAATAGAGAAGTATTAAAAAGGATCGTTAAACTTGAGATTTCACGGTTTACTTAATCGTTGGATAGATGTATATATTTTTTTTTTTTTAATCGTCGCGCGAATTAAATCGTCCGATAAATGAAGATTTGCTCTACGTTGCTTGAAAGGTACATGGCGGACGAACAGGGTAATAAAGCCAGCTTCAGATTCGGTACCGGACAAGGTGGGACCTCGGGAGGACCTCGCGGAGGTCCCCAATATCCTGGATCGACCTCAGGGGGCGGATACCCGCCTCATGAGAGACCCGGAGGCGGATCCAGCACCTACTTGCCACCGAAAAACGTCGACAACACTTATTTGCCACCCTCGTAATATTCCTCATAGATTTCTCATTTCTATTTTTTTTTTTCTCGCCAGGAATCCCATGCCCCGGTCCTCTGCCTATTTTCTAACTCGCATTAATGGATCGAATCGATCGAACGGAGATCGGCATCGAATTTCTTCGGTACACATTCGCATAGAACTACCCCGTATCTCGTGAAATTGTGGAGAGTCGTCGATTTTAGTTATTTTATTAAGGCAATGCGTAATTCACAAAAATATGTACCCGACGTCTCTAGATGACGTCTTCTAAGTTAATGTAGTATTTGTACAATACATAATGTATCTACGATTCTGGGCATGCTTATGAGCTTATGCTGATCCTTACGTTCTAACGAGAGGCAGGGCAGATTTATAAAATTCACCTTAACGATAATAAAGGTAGGGTAGGAGTTACGATTAGGCCAGCTCCGAAAGCTCACCAGTCCGAACCACGATATGTCGTGTAGCCGAAGGGACTCAATAAGACGGGCATGTGGTAGTGATTGGTCGGGTTCTTTACGTCGAAGACTATTTCTATGAACGGGTACATCGTTTCTATTCTCCTCAGAGTGAAATACTTGTCGACGTCGAAGTGGATCTTGTAACGCCCGGCCGTGAAGTTCCACTTGGTCGGGTCGCCGAGGTCGTTGCAATGTCCGTTCGGTGTAGTAATGCTGGAAGGCAAAAAGACGTTAACGACCGCGAAGGGGAAGGCCGATTAAAAGTAGATTACTTTGAGCTAAACGAACGATCGATATCGTTGAAAGTAGAAGGTTAGAGGGTTCCCCGAAAATCTAGTTCCATCCGTGTAAAGCAGAGGTCTGACCTGGATCCGTTGGTCGACTCTTACCTTTCGTTCAAAAATGTCCACCGACCGTCCATAAGTTTGTACAGGCTTACTTGTAGGCCACTGATCGGAAGACCTTTACTGGTATCCAAAACATGGGTGGAAATGCACGGTTTCTGTGCAGTGGGCGATTTTATGGACTTAAGGATTATATGCTAGAAGTATGAAAGATTGGTTCAACGAAGTCGAAAGTTAGCCGGTCAAGTTAACGGTTAGAACTTTAATCAATGTAGGAACCTTCTTGGAGGATTGTTGGATGGGTCCGGTTGTGACCGGTTGCTGGACGATCTTTACCGGGGCAGCCTTTGGTGAGACATCGGCTAGGTTGACAACGGTGATCGGCTTCCGGTTGGCCATCACAAGAGTCGGCATTTTTCCCTTCATTTTACCGAGAACGTATTGAGCTCCTGGGGTGAGCTTGCCTCCGGCCAGTGTCAAGGTTTTACCGACAGAAGTCAACGTAATGGTCTTGTTTGATAGAGATGTCATAGAGATAGGGAGTCCTTGCTGTTGGTTCACAGGATTCACTTTAAAGGATGTGTTTGTCTTCCCCACGGATTGATAAATGTTCGTCTCCTGTTCGCTCGATTCAACGTCCTTTATAGAATGAAAATAAAAATGGAACTTAGCTCCACGTAATGAACATCTTTGTTGTTAATTACTTACCTCAAAGGATTTTTCATGATCATCGCTTTCCTTTTTTCCTAGAGATATCTCGTGTTGTTCGAGCCTATCGTCCTCTTCTTCTTCTTCTTCTTCCTCTTCTACTACCATGTCGGTATGGTCGTTCCTCTCTTCGGGGATGAGGTCTTGATTGGCTTGAGTCGATTCAACGACCATTTCTACAAGTTCTACGTTCATTTGGTCATCCGTTTCCTCAAGATACTCCCCTTGTACGTGAGCCATAGCTTCGGCTAATGTGTCTCGGCATCTCTCTTCCTATTCAACAGATCAATATATTAGATAACAAAGATTCCGATATAAAATTCTCTCATTTAGTTTGCTACTCATTCCCACCTTAATACTTTGAATGGATGGTTTAATATCTTCATCCTCCGATGGCCTAAGCATTTCCTCCTCTTCTTCCTCCTCCTCGGTCACCTGTTCCTCTTTGTGCTTCCTCTGAATTTCTTCTATCTCTTCGTCGTCGACATCCAGTCTCTCGACGACGTATTCTATGTCGTCGTCATTGTCCTCATCTCCCTCTTTGCCAGATATAACCATATGACCCTAATCAAACATTAAATAAGTCCACCTTCCCAATGCCGTGTTCTCAAAACTCTTACGACAATTATACATACTTCGTTCTCATCATGTTCACCCATACTCGCCTCGACCTTGGACATTTCTTGCTTTGCCTTCAAAGCATTCATCTCGTTCTGATGCATCAAGGCAGACCTCTGATGCTTCATGGTGCAAGTGTGTTTCAGCAAGGAGAGTCGGTGCGCATGTAAATCCTTTTTACAGTATGTACAATAAGCACGAGTAGGCTGCAGCGGAACAGAAGTCAGCCAGCCTGAAATTAATATAAAAAATTCACCTTCCAGCATTACCATCTTACTAATTCCACCAAACTGTCATTAGATTAATCGAGTCAACAGTCAAATTAAAGAAATCCTCTTTCTACCCACTGCCATAAAAGAACTAACCTTGAGACCGAAAGAAGTTAAAAAAAGTATCACCGACGTTGACGATTAAGTCGATTAATAAATTCTCGCTTCCGATGGTGCATAATCAAAAAATCGCGCAAAAAGCACCACGATGGTAACGCCATCTGTGACGGGGTCCGAAATTAACCGCGCGAGGTGGACGTCGGAGGGAAGTATTCCAATCGACGTTAAACGGCAAGAGTGGCAACGAGCGCCAACGGAGTAGGGGAGGGTCACCGAGCGTCGGATTCGGAAACACGTTACCTTTGAAGTCGAGCATGAGTTCCCATTCCTTTCGGTAGCGCTGAGTATAGACGCGGGTCTTCGCGTGGCTGATTTTCCCCGTCGGCGTGAGCCGGGGCCCCTTGAGGAGGTTTGCGCGCAGGACCGTCTCGTTGACGGCCAACAACCCATCCAGGTCCTTCCTCTGCATGTCGCAGGAGCGCCGAGGGGGCCGTCCCGCGAACGCGTCGAGGAGTCGCGGCGCGAAGTCACTAGGCTTTTTTTTTCTCCTAGACCGTGCGGGGATAACGGCGAGCCTGGCGTCGTCGCGCCTTTCGCGGACCTTCCCCAGCTGTTCCCAGTCTCGAAATCCGCAGGAACCGCTCTAGTCTCGGAGCTAACTCCCTAGCGATATCCGACAAAATGGCTGCCGCGACGGAGTACCGAAGAGTTTCCACGGTTCGCAGCTACCGCGAGTCTTGACCGCCTGGCGGCCGCGGACTCAACTAATTAAAACACTCAGCGTGGACTCGCTCTTCTTTATGTCGCGGACTCAGATGTTACCAACAGGTTCGAACCAGAGATGAGTTGGGAGATTGCTCACAGGCAAGGTCGCGCGATCGCTGCCTGTGCTGTCCCCTGGTGACTGATGCGAGCGGCTAATATATGTACTTGCCACCTGTCGCCTCTTCGTGAGCTATCACCCAACTCATCTCTGGTTCGAATACCCGTTCTGAAGCTCGCGACGTCGTCCGGTACAACGGAAACAAACCAATCGCGTACTTGCAGCTCGGTAACGTATTTGGAAATTTGAATCCTTTACGTATCAGTGGACCCGCGAAACGTATCGGATGTTTAGTTAACCAAACGTCCAAGCGGTATTGTAATGTAGCGAAAGAACAATTTATTGTGATTCCTGCATTTTCAATTTACACCGATTAAAGGTTTTCCCGTGTCGGGCCACGATCTATTGTTTCTCGCGGGATGTCCTGGCTCCCGTGCTAGTCGCGGCCCATGGTCTTCATCATCTTAACGCGTTAACGCAAATTTATATCGATATATCTAAGTCAGAAGCCGCAGCGTAGACTCGGCTCCGATAGTACGGCTACGAGTTTTTAATACATTCATGATTTGATTTATTGTACAATACCAACCAGGCACAAACTGTTTAACGTGTAGGTGTCCGACTTAAGATACTTAAAGTACCGCAGTGGTCAAGATTTACAATATCGTGCTATGTATCCTCGCGATTACATGCATCAGACGGATGGTGATGGTCAAATGGGTACTTAAGGTTATGCCTGAAACGCTCGCGTAAAAGGTCGCTATGAACCACTTCGTTAAGTTTCTCTCTTTCCTTATTTTACAAAATCCTGTTAAATCTAAGGAAGCTTGCTTGCATCCCGGCAGTGAGTGGAAATCAAATCGCAAGTCAGTGAGTACAATTCGTTTCTTGTGCCTGGAATGTAATCTGCTTTGAATAGGAAAAAAAAGAAAAACTAGACCTTTGCTTCCGGTATACGACCAACACCAAAAATGTACAAAAAGGTTTAACACTAACGACGTAACTTTTTAAGGTGTGTGTATGGCTCTTTTTACATGTCTCCTAGGGCTAAGTAAATTGATTCCTATTTCAAATGTACATCTCGGATCTGATCGTGCGAGATCAGATTGTTGTTATAGTTTTCAGACGATCGAACGGGTAAACGTCAAACAATAGTCTAAACCCGGGTACAATGATATCCGTGGTTACGTGATCCTTTTCCTAAGAAAGTCGATAAAGAGTGTTACAAATGGTACACCAAAAGGATATGGAAAAAAGCAACTAGAGCCTAAAAAAAAGGGTGAAGCTCTTTTGATCCGAATGGAAGGCATTGTAAGATCGATAACAGTATATTAAAAATTGTTTAAGATCTACATATGAGAAGAATAATAATGTATCGAACATATATGTACAATTTGTTGCCATTTGTAAGAATTAGATTAATGTCTTTATCCTACAATCCTTGTTTTTATAACCACTGACATTTAAGCATAGACTGAAGATCGATGAAACTTTGAAAACATGCTTTGCATATCGAATCGTCTTTACAAATCCCAACCTACTAGCGTAACTCAATTAACTCGAAAATGCCTTGGCTCGAAGCTACCATTTGAAAGCATAATCTTATTGAAACGTTGACTTAAAGAGTTTTATTAATTATTATTGTTCATGCCTATTTTACAAATTAAATAAACGGCTATGAATAAAATGGCTCAAGATTATTTTTGGAGTAGTGTCGTGATTTTAATATTGTCATCAGGAGCGCTAAACTTGCTGGGCAGAAAGTGCAATGTCATTTTGCTTACGAATGTGACGTTTCGAGACGGTGGACAATTGTAGTCAGTTGAGCACTCATGGAGATGCTTAGCCATTACTAACTAAAGAGTTGCTCGGTGGCACGTTCCAAGTCCCAATTGTAAGAGGACAGTGCGACTCTCGCATTATGTTCGGCTATGCCCATATCTGTTAGTCGCCTAATTTTATCATCCAGATCAGGCATCTTTGCTGGACCTACGATTGTGGCATAAGCAATGAGCAGTCACCTATAAAATCCATCCAGCACAAGAAATACTTACCACCCGCGTATACAGACGTCCAATGTTTGGCAGTTTGACGGAACATTTCAGGTTGTTCTTTGTATTGTTTAGCTACGACAGCATCTTGTGGATCATCGGGTTCGGCAGCTGATAACAAAGCTTGCAGCGACAGTAAAACTGTCCTTAATGTCATAGCTGCTGCCCTGTGATATGGAGTTAGATCAATAAGAATCCATTAATATAAGTTACAGCCACAACTATTAACGTACGTCTACCAACTTCTAGAATTTCTATAACATACCATTGGTCCTTTAATATATCTAAACAAATGGCTCCTGTTACAGATGATATGTTGGGATGCCATATTTTTGTTATAAATCGCACCTGAAAAAATATTGAATCATCATAAAAGAGCTAGCAAGAAAAATTACGTTTCAAATTCACTCGTCTCTTACCTTAGGTGGATTAAATGGATACGTTTCGGGCACTTTGATTTCTAGCATAAAGTTACCTCCTTCGTACGGTGTATCAGGTGGACCAGCAATTTCTCCTTTGAGTTCCGTAAAACTATCATTCAATAATTCAACTTTAATTGCACATTTGGCAACCTGTAATTATATTTGATCATAAAATGTGCTATTTCAATACCAAGAAAATGTTAGAAATTGTTGTATTAATATGTAACAGAATCATTAAGAACTATTTATAATCAAGAGAAAAGATACAGATTACGATTTATCCAATTACTCAAGCAAATTCAAAACATTGATCACATAGAACATATGTCGTCATGGATTGCTAAATAATAAAACTAAAAACATTGTAACCTCTGACATGGCAAACTGATAACAAAATGGTGAAATACTCCATAAATGCTAACTCATTGAAATCACCATGCTTAGTGTTTATGTGGGTCTGAAACAATTCAGACGAGCTTAAAAATTCCATTCGAGAGTGACACACATGGAATCCGAATATCTGGGATCTCAAAGGAGTAAACAAGAATCATCGACCAAAGATACAATGGCCCTTGAACAGGCTGGTACGTAATCTCTATCTTGCGTCTACGATCTAACATGAATCTTAATACGTTCTACCACCCAATTATTATTTAGACCTGTTCCCACCCCTGGCCCTCGAAACCAGATCACTTCAGAAATTCCCCACTTGCAATAAAATCCAAATAACAAAGGATTAAAAGATGCCCAAAGGAAAACACATATAGAAGAGACGACTGGCATATTCTTTTAATTCTTTGTACTAGACTTTCCCACCAGAACTCGTCCGTCTACAAATAGCCGATGACAGTCCAGATCATAACAACAGTTGCAGCATATAGAAGGCAAAAGACAACCTAAAACAAGCTCGCTGTGTCCGAACAAAGAGCACGTCGAGCAATCTCTTTTCTCCAATCGATGCTACGAAGGAAGATGTTCTTTGCCCTGAATTTAAAGGAACATGAAAAATCGGACGTGATCGTTATTCGGTTCTCGGGTAGCCGAGATGAATACGCAGAGAAGTCGCAAAAAGTCGCAAAAAGTCGCAAACGGTCGCGAGGGAACCACGGGTGTTCGGTCGCACACCAGAGTCCACGGCTCCCCGCTCGTTCTCCGCAGAAGGCTACTCACATCCTCGCTCATTATAACCTCTTTGAATTCCCGTTTGATTCGCTGGGCCGCGATGTTCGCCATGACTTCCAAGTCGGCGGAGCAGAGTCTTCAGCAGACCGTCATCGTCATTCGAGCGGGTTTTGCGTGAGGCGCGCTCGGCGTCTCGAGGCGGCCCGCGACGTCTCCGGGTCCCGGGGAAGACTTTGGCCCGGGTTCGCGTCGGCTCCTGGACGACCTACCGATTTACAATCCCGCTGGCAGCCGTGCGCGCCGCAGCCTCTCCGAAATCGCCGCTTCGGTCTCAATCTATCATTCGATTACCGCCGGCGCCACAGTGATGGAAAACTTGACTGTCACCGGTTACTCGCTCCGTCCCTTTCTCTCGCCCTCCTCCTGGGTGATCTCTCTCTCGCGCAGCGTCGTCTGCAGACCTCCCCGGAAAATCCTATTAACGCTAACCGGCCGTAAACGAATTACCATAGGGACCTCGGGCGCAAATCCTAAAGGACGGCCGAACGACGAGTCGTTCTACGATCTTCGAATTAATTGATGTCCCTGCGAGACACCCTCTTCGGCGAGGAAACGTCGAGGCGGATCGCGTATCCGCGGGTTTTGCGCTGCCGCGCCACGATTGGCCGGCGCCAGCGGAAAGTCGCTCGCCGATTGGCTCGCGCTAGCCAATCACGGAGCGCCTCGAGGTTCGCTGTGGGTGCCGCTAGGGCGCGCCAGCGGCGGCGCGTGTTTCGCTGACTTCGCTCTCAGAACTTTGACGACGTTCAATGACTGCTAATGGCGGCCGATGCGAGTCGATCGAACGATATTTCCCCGTGCGGATGAGTGACCCGCGCTTCCAGAGTTCGCTGGTCTCGTGTCGATAAGCGATCGCGAAACTCGATCCCTCGTGGACGCGACTCGACGGTGGGGGCGAGAAAACGGGGCTCCGATAAGGGGATCGCGAAGCGCGGCCGAGCGCGATATCGCGACCGCCGGTGGGGGAACGAGGCGCGGCGGAGGCTTGCGCGCGCGGCTAGTCAGCCGAGTACGTCACATCCTTCGGGCCTGCGCTGCACTCCGATTGGTCCCCTGATCGGCTCCGTCGGTTTTCAGTGATGCCCGTCTCCCAGCCAGTGCGTGCCAAGAGTTTGTTACGCGCAAACTTGGAGAAGTCTCGTTGCGGCCCCTTGCAGAGCAGAATGCCCAACATCAAGGTCTTCAGCGGCACCTCGCACCCGGACCTGGCCCAGAGGATCGTCGATAGACTCGGCATCGACATCGGCAAGGTTGTCACCAAGAAATTCAGCAACCTCGAGACATGGTAATGGTCGCGAGCGTCGTTCAGCTTCTTTAGCGCGTTGCCGCGCGGACCACATGGCGAGACCGGCGTACGTTGCGTGCTTTTTGGGTTAGATCCTTCTTAGCGGTCTTCTAGGCTTTTCGGTTTTGATACCGGTTTTTTTTCTCACTCGCCTTTGTCACAGAGTGACACCTGACAATTCCGTCGCGTTGCTCGGACCGCGTCGGTTAACCGCTGTCTTTGCTCGGCATGGAATGCGGTTTTACTGAGCCTTCGGTATTTAGATTCGATGATTCGTGTTGGTTCGATGCTTGGACATTTCTATTTGATGCCCTTGCTTCGTTGCGCCTTCCACGGACGGATATGTACTTGGGTATTTTTATCTTTTTTTAATGGTACAGATACCTCAGGACGTAACTCCGTTTTGCAACATGGAGATAGGTGCATTTTTGGATGAGATATCGTCTGCTCGGGTTGATTTCTTTCACTGCTTGTTGATTTAGCTTTATTGCAGTTTTTGTGTGTGCGAGGCGACGATCGAATTCATTGTTTGTAGCGTGGAGATCGGGGAATCGGTACGAGGAGAAGATGTATACATTGTACAGAGTGGAAGCGGAGAAGTAAACGACAACCTAATGGAGCTGCTGATTATGATCAATGCTTGTAAAATAGCGTCAGCGTCGCGGGTAACGGCGGTCATTCCCTGCTTCCCTTATGCCAGGCAGGACAAGAAGGACAAGGTAAGGCGTTTCTATTTCTTAATGACAAAAGTATTTTTATCATTTCTAACCGTTGTGTCTTTATAAGTGACTTACCAATACGATTATCATAAAAGTAAATAATAACCTTTGTATATAAATTGAAAAAAGCGATTTGAATAATGCTTAATACAGAGTTTCTAAGGAGGCAAGGTTAAGAACGCGCTTGCAAAGTGATAAGTTTTTTCTTCTGTTCTATTCTTTTTGTAATCAGCTCTGTCTAACCTGATTTAATTAGTTTGTTTTATTTCATCATAATCGCCTCATTGCTGAAGTATATTGTCATTTATGATTAACTAATCACACTAGATTATGTGGACATTTTAATTCAAGTACTTTATTGTTACAACATGCGCTTTATCGTTCCGGTGATGGTTTAACCGAGTTGCATCATTTTTCTCTTACGTTGCTTAACAACTGTCTACTTTCATTTTGCTTCGTTGACTTAATTATTTCTGCAATGTTTTTCTAGCCAAATCTAATTTAAAACCAGCTAACGATTGTCAAAGTTTTAATCGAGAACTCCATAGATGCTCTATATTAGACCTTCCAATCATATTAAGTATTAGAAAGAGCAGTTCCCTTAAAGACTGGTCAATTGCAAAGGAAGCAATTGATGTTCGGACATCCTGTAAATCTTTTGATTATGATACATTCGCAGGGCAGTGACGGTGGGGAGAAGTCAGACAATAAGACTCGCTTTGTCATGAAGTCGAACGAGTGGAAGTTCAGGGTAACTTGAGGCAGTCCTTTTTTCTGCTGATTTATTTTAATCACTTGCTTTGCAATCATCAATGGGAGTAATATATTTACTGGCGAATTGGAAACTACAATCCGGTAGGATCGTCCTTGTGCTTATAAGGTTCAGCTTCTCGTCACTTGGAATAAATTGCACAACTAATTTTGGGCGTCTTCGACATCCAGCATGCTAACGTGTAACGGAGGGACTATGCGCCGATCGTCGACCAGGCGAGCGTGCTTATTAATTATTAATTCATAACCATTATACAGTGCGCACTAGGCGCTTTAGAGAGTTAACTTAGTTTCTTATTTCGTGGGAGGACGCATCCCCTGTATTCGGTGTCCCTGTTATACGATGTACGAAGTCCTAAAAGGAAAGGGAGGCATAAAACTTAATTTTGAATTTCAACCGGGATCGTTTTGTTATGGCATGTTTACTTTAGCATAGATTTCATGTTCGGAGTCGCTCATTGTACGCTGGGAAAAAAGATTCTATAATTTTTTAAGGTCACACGAATTGTTAAAAAAAAAAAAAATCACGAGTAACGTACATCTTCGAATTACACTTGGAGCCGATGTAGCATCCGGCCAAGATTTGTTGTCTTCGTGGACCCCCCGAAGGGTCAGCGGTCAGCATGCCGTGCCGTTATTTTCGAGCAATTGTTAAATAAATTTCCCCATTTCGTTTGCGTATCGACGCAAGAGGAAAGATTGGAGATAGGGGGAGAGTCGGGAGGGAACTGCATCCCAAAGTGATGTAAATTCCACCACGACTCTCAGTATTGGCTCGTAATAACAGTTTAGGGTGTTAAAGCTATCGGCAGGAGATAACTCCCGGGTTATCACTACGAGCTCCCAGTGGAAGTCGATTACGAAATCGATGTTGTACTCGATGATCGCGGGGGGGCATGTGTAATCACTTCTGTACGCAACATCGAAACTCACGACATACCGGACTTTGGGATCACGTTACTTTTATCGCGGAGGGACATAATCGCGACCGATGATTACTCCAATCCGCATACCCTCTTAATATTGAGTAAGCCCCATGACACGGAAGCAATAATTGTTGACTCTAGTCTATGTAGAAATAGAAAAAATAAGAGGATGAGACTATCGAAGCGTGCGTTGTTTCATACGGAGACAAGGTTTATGAACGGTTGGGTATTTTCAGGACTTTGCGCCCGACCTGTCTACAGTGAGTATATTAAAGTGCAGCGAGAATGTCGAGTGAGGCGTTTGCAATGGTAACTCGATGACCGGTTGTCAAACACTTTGTCATTTCGTTGGAGAGCGATCTCTTCTCGTAGGACTAACAAAACCTCTTGATCGTTGCTACATGGTACGACGGTACCCTTGCGAATGAATGGAATACACGGGCTCGTAATTGCGCTAATTAAGCACCTCCGGTGATCTCTCTATTCTTTCCTATTTTTGTTCGCGATCCCTACGATCTATGCGAATGAGAGGGCAAAATATTAATACGACAGCTACGTGTATGCACATGTAAATATCTATTTACTAGTCATACACCCTGAGATGCATCACGATGTACGTCTTACGATCACGCGTGTACACGGACGCCTGCGTCGCGACGTCACGTACATACTGTGGGGTACTCGTTTGTTCCTTGGGTACTAATTATTATGTGGCTTGCGAGATTACCGTCGATATGTCGGTTCTGGTGCACTAATCACAGTAACGAGAGGGTGGGCGATCACCCGGACCGTTGACACCGCTGTGTATATCGTCCATTAACACGAATTCAGAGCCGATGCTAATGTGGGCAGGCGTTTAACACCATTCGGCTTTTTCATGACTTATTGATAACGTTAATCTTAGATAGCAGCCTGCCGATTACACCTACGTCGTCGCCTAGGAGCCGCTCGCGAAACCCTGTAAATCCTGCGTCGATTCTTGGCCTCTCTCGATTTATTACAAATTCAAGTCTGTGGATCAAGAGAAAAAAAAAAAGAAATTAAGTTAATAAATAACGATAAGGGATTCACCTAGTTTCGCGCGACACCTCGACGGTTTTACACCTTGTACTTAACACAATGCACTTCGGAATGCAGTAGATTAATCGTTCGGTGGTTGATTTATGGATAACTCGCGTGGATTAAAACGACTTCCCTTGTCTTGCCTTAAGTGTGTGTTCTGTGTCCTCCGGAGTATTTTCTTTTTCTTTTTTTTTTTTTCTTTCCTTTCGTCTCCTCGCTCGCGGTCCTGTCGTCTCGACGAGAACGGGTGCACGAGAGAGGTGCATTGTGTTGTTGCTTTGCATATTACATTACGATAATTTTTTTACGAGTTATCGCGCTTCACTCACCACTCCCGATCGAGTCTAACCCCGGGTGCATTTGCAACACTTTTTTCCTTGTAAACTTCTCTCTCTCTCTTTCTCTCTGTTTTTTATTTTCTTTTTAATTGTCTCCGAATTGCCAATGGTGAAAACCGGGAGGAAGGATCGAAGAACGCCTTCGTCCAAGTCCCAGCTCTCTTAGCCGTTGTATTTATATTTTGTCCCCTCGGAGTATAAGCCCGGTCCATCCTGGATCGTTTTCGGACTCGAGATATCTTTTTTAGGAGTCCGTGTAATGACAAAGGTAGAACGAAATTGTACGCGCAAATGGTCTCCGATTTCGGAGGCCTCGTCAATGCGGTCTAGCTGTGCACCTGCGCTGCGTTCTTTTGCTCATTTCTTTTTATTTTTTTTTTCCTTTTACTTTTTCTTTAAAGTAGACCAGGTACGCCTATATTCTCTACCGTGTAGAACGTTTCGGCTTCCAGGGGGATAACCAGTTGCAAATGGACTCGGAAAGGGCGGACTCGCTCGCCTCGGCAATCGGCTGATATCTCTGATCTTGATTTCCAGAGCCGCGCTCCCATCTCCGCGAAACTGGTCGCCAACATGCTCTCGGTCGCCGGGGCCGACCACATCATCACCATGGATCTCCACGCCAGCCAGATCCAGGGGTTCTTCGACATCCCCGTCGACAACCTCTTCGCCGAGCCCGCGGTCCTCAAGTGGATCAAGGAGAACATCGTCGAGTGGCGGAACAGCTGCATCGTCTCTCCGGATGCAGGCGGTGCCAAGAGGTGCGTGACGAGGACGGTGACTCCGGTGCACCTGGAAGTGACACCGCGTCGCGGGGTATACCTCTTAATTAATTCCTAATTCTCTGCGACCCAGGGTCACGTCGATTGCCGACCGCCTGAACGTCGAGTTCGCCTTGATCCACAAGGAACGGAAGAAGGCCAACGAGGTTGCCAGCATGGTCCTGGTGGGCGACGTCAAGGACAGGGTGGCCATCTTGGTGGACGACATGGCCGACACCTGCGGGACCATATGCCATGCCGCCGAGAAACTCGTCGAGGCAGGTGCCACGAAGGTCTACGCCATCCTGACGCACGGCATCTTCAGCGGGCCTGCCATCAGCAGAATCAACAACGCCTGCTTCGAGGCGGTCGTCGTAACGAATACCATACCCCAGGACGGGCACATGAAGGAGTGTCCCAAGATTCAGGTGAATCTACGCGAGGATATGAGATAGCTGTAGAGACATTACATTTGATTTGGTACCAACCTCCGGTTTTACGTTGCAGTGCATCGACGTCTCCATGATGTTCGCCGAGGCCGTCAGGAGGACCCACAACGGAGAGTCCGTCTCGTACCTGTTTTCGAACGTACCTTACTAAACTTCTCCTCTATCGGTTCCTATATTTTTTTTTTCCTTCTTCTTTTCCGACGCGCCTATAACCAGAGCCCTCGAGTGCTCCCGCGGGTGCTCGTTTCCGCGTTTTTTAATCCCTCGCGAAAAGCGCGTTTGTCCAGCGGGACGGAATCCGTTTCGCTGGGTCAGCCGGCGAATCGATTCCGCACCGATCGACGCTTGTTTAGCTTGGCTGCGGATTCGTCCCTGGTACCAGGCACCGAACGAAGGTCGGATCGATCGCCGAGGGTTTTGGGAGTCGAGGGAACCCGTCCTCGGGTCTCGGCTTGGAATCTCAGGGCGGATCTCGACTCGGGGGTGCGGATCGGTGGACTTCGCGAGTCCTTCTCCATGAGAAGTTCTCGCGAGTTCACGGGAGGGTTTCGCCGTCTTCAGACATCCTAGTGGTTAGCGTTATTCAATTGTTATCACCCCGTAGCCGCGTTTTGGACGATGGCGAGGGTAGGAGCGCCTACTCGTGTCGCACTCGGGCATGGTACTGGATGCGTCTTTCTCGCGCCAAGTCAATCGAAGAGGCTGGGTCTGAAACGGAACGACCGTTTCCTTTTTTATATATATATACACATGTATAATGCATATACAATAAGTGTGCATTACGATCGCCGATCACTTTGGACAAAGTGGACAGGCCGCGTCTCGACACGCGTATCGGGGACTCGGGGAAACTCGGGAATTGTGAGCGTTTCTCGACCCGTTGCTCGTATGCTAATTAAGAATTAATACCCGGGGGGCTTTCCCTCTTTCGCGGCCCTTTTGCGATTTCACTTACCGGCGGTTACGAGGTCGTTGCGAGCGCTATCTTGTACACCGCGGCGGCGGTTCGCGGCGCGATATTTGAAACATGACACATGGATCGCAGGGAGACACCGACTCCCGGGCGATTCGAGAGCGATTAATGTAGAACTCCCAGGCGGCACTGTGTGCTAAGAAACGACAGGGACGAGTAGGAGGACTTCTCATTCCGAGGGTCGTCGTAATTGGGTTTTGTACCGACAGACACAATAAATCGTTTTCGCCCTGGCTGGTGGAAAACCGAGTTCAACGCTGCTCTTGATTGGGTGTTATCTTTGATAAGTCGGACCGTGCTGTCCAGGCGATGGAAGAGACCGCGTAGACTTAAGCTATAGAAGCTATCTGCGAGATGGCGCGAGGTTATCGCTTCCCTGCAGCTTCGGCTTGCAGCTGAGAGCCCAGTTTCCCGCGCGGGACATTCGAATCGGCCCGCGAGCCCGACTCGGCCGGTGACGTCAAACGGCGCGCCGGGCCGATTTTAGACCGGGGAGCGAGGCGAGATCTCGTCGCGTGCCTTCCCCTGCGCTATATATCGGATATTCGGACGCAGTCCGGCGCGTGGGGTGCGCGCCTCCGAGGGAGAGGAAGTCGCGTCCGAGTCGCGTCCGAGTCTCGAAGCCGCGCCCTCGGCCCGAGTCGCCGCGGTTGCAACGCACGCACAAGGGCCAGTGCCTCGACATGCCGGTGTCTCGGGATTTCGCGGGACCTGATAGGAGATAAACCCAAGGATGACCCTCACAGGTAACCGCGAGAGGAGGGAAATCGGCGGGCAAGGTATTTACCTTGGCGAAAGGGGAGAAAACTTTTAACCGGAAAAGTCGAGCGTCCAGAGGGTGTCCTCGCGATCCAAGATGGCGGCCGATCGCGTGCCGGTCTCGCGCGGTTTTACAGCGGATTTTTTTTTTATTTAATGTTTGAGAGGGTCCTGGGGGGAAAGGGATGATTTTTATCGCGGAAAGGGTCTATGGGGTAGAGAACGGCGAGGGGTTTTAGTCTGGGAGGTGGTCGGTCAGGGGAAGCGATTTTTTTTCTTCTTTTTTTTTTTTTGGAGAAACTGGGTCCTGTTGAGTGCGGTCTCCTCGGGGAGAGAAGGAGCTCGCAATTCGACGGGTCTTGACTCACGCCGCCTGCTCGTGCGTGGCAATTTCAGCCGTATTTTTAGACCCACGTCGCGCCGGACAGAGCTGGCCCCGGCTCCTCCCGATGCCGGCTCTTTCGCGACACCTGTCAACGTCGTCACCCTTCGGCGAGATTCTTGAGGACGCCCTCTGCATCTAGGACCCTCGAGTCCATTTGTTTTAATTTTTTTTCTTTTTTTTTTTTACGCGACTCTTGCCGAGATATACCGAGCGAATCGTCCCTGATGAGGATGTTCATGTATGTGTAACTATTACGTCGCGTCGAGTATACCCTTTCGACAAACTCGGCTCGGTATTTAATTATTAGGCGTACTTAGAGAGCCTCCCTAATGGTATGTAAAGCTTCGGCGACGTTTTTAGGTGGTATTTAATCTAGGGTCAGTTGAGACGAGTGCGTAGTTCCTGAGAGAATTATCTTTCAGATCGCAAGGCCGGGACGAACGGACCCCGCTGGGAGGACGAGGACCAGGAACTCGCGGCCAGCGGGAGGATCGGCCAGGACATCGTCGTCGAGGCGAGGCTTAGAAGATGCAGAGAGTACGAGAGCCTGCACTTCGAGCTGTAAGTAGTCGCCGGAGATCGCCGCCCTCTCCGAAGACTACCCTCGATGTCCGGTCTCCCCGATTTGGCGTCGCGTTCCGCGGTGCCAGGATTTCGCAACCCACGGCAATTATGACGTTACGATTTATGGGACAGGCTGCTTTTAAATAGCAACCATGCTATTCCTATCGAGGCGAGGAAATCTCTTCGTCCCTGGAGAGGAGAAGAGGCACCTGGACCTGGGTCGTACTCCCCTTATTGTCTCACCCGACGCCTGCGCTAAGGTCGGTCTTGGTCTTGCCGAAATGTGGGAAAAATGTATATTCATTCAGAAAATGCGGATTCAAGACCAAGACCACCGTGGTAGCTCGTCACTACTGCTAACGAGCCGTGCGGAAGGTTCCGGGAACTCCGCTGTGGTTCCCTTCGGCTCTTGTAATTCAGAGTTCCTCTCGCGTGGGCGCGCGTCGCGACGCTCGGCGACCCGGCGATCTTTCCCGAGAGGTGGCGTAAGCTCGGAAGGAAGGAAGGCACTCGGCTCCTCCTCGAGTGTGAATCGAGCGGCCGAAAGGTGTCCTCCCCGGTTGTAAAGTCCGCGTTGCGAAAGAGCCCGGTGACGTTCCCGCGGCCGTCTAATTCCGACGTTAGCCGGCGCCCGCGCCCCTCGCGAAAGCGAGCCCGCGACGCTCGGCGCCGCTTTCGGACCCGGCGAAGACGTGGAAATGGAATTGGGCTCGGCCCGTTCTATAGACACTCTGGCCGGCCGCTCTCTGCCTTCCCGGCCTACCGGGAGGTGTTAAGCTCTCTCCTACCAGTCAACGTTAAGCTTCCCTACCAAAGACCGTCGCGGCGACCATCGCGGCGTCCATCGCGACGGCCCGCGACTCGCGCGTCCACGTACACGCGAGGTACGGCGCCTCCAGGTCGCTCGGTCCCCGCTAAAGGAGAGATATCGCCGTTTCTTTTTCATTTTATTTCATTTTCCTGAATCTTGGTTTTTTTTTCCTCGTACATTTCCACGTCTTCGGCGTCGCGGACTCGACCCGGGTGGTGCAGTGCGACAGGGGGGCGTCCGAGGGTCGCGCCGGTAACTGCAACTCGTTGCGTTCTCCGATGCGCTTTTCCGCACCTCGCGCGACAGGTGGAACCCACGTCCGTCCGCGCCGGGACTTTCCGCCAGACAAAATTGCCAAGGATCTAAGACGGTATCGGGAACCCGCGAATTATGTTGCCGGGCCAAGATGCTCATGAGAGTTTTCTCGTAAAGTTGCTTTGACAAATCGTAGGCGCGTCGTTGGGGCAGGTCGCGCCAAGCGTGGGCGAGGGACGCGGACGGAGCGCCGTTACCGCGAAATTTCGGCGTTGCCCGAGCCGTTGATTCTTTCCCCGTTGGCAAACCGCGTCGTTCGTTGGTCCACCTTGCTGCGGGTAATTCATTTCCTCGCGTTTTAAGAGGGCCGAGGGAAAAGGGCGCGAAGCAGTTACTGGCGAGCGCCTCGGACTTCCTCGCGAACCGAGACGCCATGTTTTTTCTTTCCCGCGGGAAGAACCTTTCTCGAATCGAACGCGAATAACCGGAGGCGGCGGAGGACCCGGAGAAGATGGGCAGCCAATGTTGCAAGTGCGCCAACGGGAAAAAGCCGAATGCCACGGGATCGTCGGACGCTTCGGGGCGCCGGTAGGAATGCACGTCATTGCGAGATTACACGACAGGAGCGAAGGTGTTAACGCGCTTCCCTTAAGCCCGCCTACGGACGACGTCGACTGCCAAATGCCCACGCTCGAGACTACTCGAAAAAGGAATCCTCTCCATTCACTCGGGTCGCCGTCAATAGTCTCGAATAGTCGGCCTTAATCCGGAGTTTGTCCTATTTAATTCCGATTTTTTGGACGCTTCTTTCCCTACGCCCTCGAGGGCTCTACCGCCATTTCCAAGATGGCGGCGCTGACGCTCCACTAGGGACGCCGATGCTAGGCGATTTTAATTATAGAGCGACCGATCTACCTAGTCGAAATTGGGATTATCGAGTACCTGGGTATCTCGGGCGTGTTTTTCTTCCGTTTATCCGAGGAATTTCTCCTCGAGCTCTTCTCGTTACGCCTTTTCCCGCGCTTCCTCGGCCCACGCGGCCGTCCGAGATATTAATAAGCGCGCCCACTTTTTAGACATTTCGCCGGAGGGTCAAGTATTATGGCGTTCAGGTATTTGGGTCCTGCGCAAAGCGACCGCGAATCCGGGCATCTTCAACGGCATTCCCCTGTCTCATTTGACGATCGTTAGCGCATCCAAGGGGAGGAAAAACGCCCGCTCGGAATCCTGAAATAACAGCGGCGACTAAGTCGACTCGCTAACTGGGCTGAACGGCGGACCGACTTAGCGAGAAAAAGGAACGCGCGTACCTTTCCTCTCTGCAGATTGCGTAATACCTACGCCAAATGAAGAAAATGAAAATAGGAGAGGAAACGTCCGCTAATCGGTCTCCATTATTTTTTTTTTTTTGGGTATTTGCTTTTTCTTCCAGCCGCGTCGTTTGGATCCCACCTATTTCTTCTTCTTTTTTTTTCTCTTTCTTCCCTGTTTATTTATCTTTCTTTTATTTCGGGCCATCTCGGCCGAGGTCTTCGGGAATCCTCCTCCCAGGTGTTAGGATCAGGGGCCGGGGAATACGTCCCAGAGGTATTCCAACGATCCGGGCTCGCGTCTTCAGGAACGACGACGCGTCGCTAGGAAGGTCGCTTCGCTAATTCGAACGACGCCGATGACCTAACTACCAAGTCCGGAACGTAAAGACCCGAATATCTTCTTTGGCTCGACCCACTGTCCCTGTTGGATTTTTTTCCCTGCCAAATCCGAAACCCACGCGACTCTCGAGCGATCGAGACACCGGGAGGAAGGAACGCGCCGCCATTTTGGAGAACGCTCTTCCTCCCTTTTCTCACGGACCTACCTCGCGTTTCGAGCGGCGGTTTTTTACGTGGATTCTGATATACACGCAGAAGACTTTTCATCGAGGAAACGGGAAAATCAAAGCGAGTCGGTCGCTTGGCATTTCGCTGATTCAAGGGGTTCGCAGTCTCCCTAAACCGACTCAACCTAGTTCGATAATTATTTTTAGCGTTCCTGCGATTGTCACTAATTCGGGCCTGCGGTCTCTCTTCGGCCAGATTGGCCGAATACCAGAGTTTACAGAGACCCCTAGATCGCTTCCGCTTCCGGGGCAACGATCTCCCCGATGGCAGAGACGACGGACCTGCCGTCCATTCGCTCTGCTATTCTCGTAGGCCGGTAAAAGGCTCCTCTTGTTCCCCGGCCTCCTCTCGGACCCAGAAAACGAACTATTCGTTGCACCGACTCTGTTAATTAATTCTTCGTTTCTTTCGTCCTATTATTTTTCTCCTACACTTTTTACAGGATCCGCGGAGAGCTGCCCGTCTCTTCGAACCGATATCGAGTGCAGACCCGAGAGAACGTCGTCCAGCTGACCCTGAAGGAGTCCAGAAGAGACGACGCTGGCCATTACTCGCTGATCGCGAAGAACGTCTTCGGCAGCGCCTCGAAGAGGATCCGCCTGGTCGTCGACGAGCCCAGCACCGACGACGGAGATCCTCCGCTCTTCGTACGCCGATTGTGCGACCTCGCGGTCAAGGTCGGCACCAGGACCAGGTTCCTGGTGGAGACTCGCAGCTCGACCGACCTCAAGGTGCGCCCTTCCATCGGACCTCGGCTCAGCCTCCGGGAATCCCTTCCAAATGGACCGCCGGTTAAATTTGTCCGATCTCGACGGACCTCGCGACTCGGCGAGGCGCCTTTTAGGGGGAACGCAATAACGCATCTAGGCACGCAGCCAGAAGACCGGCCAATAACCCGGAAGGGAGCCCTGAAGCACGCGGTCCTTATGTCTGCGCCGAGACGCCTCGCGGAATTACGACGGGGACCCTCGATCCTAATTCCGGAGCCATCCTCCTTTTTTATTGCTATTTCCTCGGCCATCTGCCTTTCCCTGCGAGCCGTGTCAAGCTTACCTCCAAATAAAGTCCGGCAGGGCTCCTCTCTCGGCTTGGATCCTCTGGAATTGTTCTGACATTTTTTTTTCTAATTTTTTTTTTTAATCCACAGGTCACGTGGCACAGGAACGACGTGCCCATCCGGGAGAACTCCAGGTTCTCCTTTGTCCACGAGGGGAATTTCTACTGCATCGACGTGTCTCCCGTGACGATCGACGACGAGGGGAACTGGACCTGCATGGCGGAGAACCTGGGAGGGAGGTCGTCCTGCACGGCCTACCTCAGCGTCATAGGTGGGATCGCAAAATTGATTTATTGTTTTTCTTGGGATATTGGGAGTTAAAAAATGTATATTCATTTTTGTGCCGATTACAGTGCCAAGGGCGTACAAGAGGCCGGAATTCGTCGAGGAGCTTCGAGCCCTTCTCACGGAGACCGGGACGGTTTCCTTGGAGTGTAAGGTCGTCGGAGTGCCGACTCCTGTTTTAAGATGGTATAAAGACAACGAGGAGATCAAAGCCGGAGATGTCTTCGCCCTCACGGCCAACCCTGAGGACCCCACTTCTCTGGGGACCTACACCTGCGAGGCTGTGAACTGCATGGGGACGACTTACTCCTCTTCCAGGGTTAGTCTTCAGGGTGGATAGAAGATCCTCTTGTAGTCGGATACTATTTTCAGGGGTGTTATTTTTTTTTTAGGTCCACGTGATGGGAAGAGGCAGTAGAGAGGGATCCCTGAAACCCGCCGATACCCTGGAGCCCTCGGGACCGCTTCCGATTTTTCGGCTGCCCCTGAAGGACGAGGACTGCAAAATCGGCGACAGCCTCGCGCTCTCTTGCTCGGTCCAGGTTCCACCCTGGCCAAAGGCGATCAATTGGTACAACGAGGCTGGCCGAGTCGAGCCTGGTGGTAGGTACCACCTCCTGGAGGATGGCCTTGGTGGGTACTCCATCGAGATCAAGCCGGCGGAGGCCATGGACCAGGGCGAGTGGAAATGCGTCGCCACCAGCTTGGAGAACGTGAAGCAGTTCACGAGCTGCCACGTTGTAATGTCCAGTAGGTTTCGAAATTTTCTTGAATCTTTATCGACCCATGGGGTGGCTCTTTTAACGAGGCTCGTGCTGTGCCAGTTCCCAAGAACTACAGGAAGCCTCGCTTCATGGAGAGCCTCAGGGCGGTCCTCACGGAGGAGGGGTTGGTCTCCTTCGAGTGCAAGGTGGTTGGATTCCCCACTCCTCTCTTGCGATGGTTCAAGGATGGACAGGAGCTTCGACCTGGGGATGTCTACCAGCTGACCGGGACCAACTCGTTGGGTAACGCCTCTCGCCTTTGAATCCTGAAACCCACCCCGCGGATTTTTTCTAAACGCGGTTATTTTGCTTGGGACTTCAGGGTCCTACTGTTGTATCGCGAAGAACTGCATGGGCGAAGCCAGGAGCACCGCGGAGCTGACGGTGGAGGACATCCAAAACCAGCTAAACGAGGAGGAGCGTCTTCAGCTTCTGAGCGCCAACCAGCCCCCGAAATTCATCAAGGGCCTCAAGAGCTGCGAGGCGAAGATCAACGAGGATTTCCGATTCACCGTCCAAGGTCTGCGACCTTCCCTCCTGAAACCACCGAAATTTTCTCGTCGTCTTTAATTTTCTTAATATTCCTGATGGATCTCTAGTCAGCGTTGCACCCGAGCCGGTACTGTCGTGGTACAGGGACGACGAACCGGTAAACGAAAACGACGAGCGATACAAGGTCATGAAGGAGTCCCTCGGTACTTGCCATCTCGATATTCGCAAACTGGAATTTTTGGACCAGGTAGGACGAGCGATAATCCCGCGACGGGATCGTATATTACAATCTTCACGGATATATTTATTTTAGGCCGAATGGAAGTGCATCGCCAGCAACAACTTCGGCCAGAGCGTGACGGCGTGCTTCCTGAAGCTCGTCATCCCCAGGCACTTCAAGAAGCCGAAGTTCTTGGAGAACCTCCGAGCTTTACTGTCCAATGAAGGAGCCGTTAACTTGGAGTGCAAAGTGATAGGCGTTCCTCAGCCGGTCTTGAAGTGGTACAAGGATGGCGAGGAACTGAAGCCTGGAGATATCCACAGGATTGTCTCAGGTCGAGATGGCACCTGCTGTCTGGGGACCTACACCTGCGAAGCCACGAATTGCATGGGCACAGTCAGCAGCTCGGCGTCTCTTCTGGGCTTCGAAGGTAGGAGGAACGTCCCTTCTACCCAAGGAAACTCTGCTATTTTTTTTTTTTTTTGTATCAATGTCTATAATTATTTTTTATAACAGATCGAGTCTCGGTGCGGAAGGAAGTGGAGATAGTCCCCGGGCACGAGCTGACCCGCAACCTTTCGCTCTCGACGATCCACGAGGAGAGAACCTCTCAACTCCACGATACGACTCCGCACACGGATCACTCGGTCACCCTGGATGGTAGAGGAGAAGTCTCCTTCAGCTTCGACGGGAAAGAGGTATCGGTCAGTCTCTACGAGACGCCAGACCTCACCGAAGAGGAGGCTCTGCAGATCGTCGAGATGTATGCCGACCAGTTGTCGGAGCACGTCTCGGGTAAGCCGTCCGCAAAGTGTGGCTTGTCACCCTGGTCCTACGGCACTACCAAAAAGATCCTAGAATCAATCCGTGATCGATAATCAATAATTCAATAAATTTTGCATCCTTCTAACCCCGAAGATCTCCTGTGATACCAGAATTTTTATTAAGACGTCCAGGGTCTATTAACAATTTATAGAAATTTACGCGCCATCGTGAACTCCCATTTGCCAGAGCACAACGTGATCGAGCTGCCGCCGATGCGATTCGTGAAGGAGACCTCGACGTCCGGGAACCTGCTGATGGAGGCGGTGGTGATCGACGTCTCGCCGGATTACTTCGTCTCGGCGGAGGATTCCGACGACCTGCGAACCGAGGCCGACGTGGAGGGCATGTCGATGATGGAGGACCGAACGGAGGCCTTGTCGTCTCCGGGATTCGACCAGGTCGAGCTCCACGAGCAGGCGAATGGTCCCTCCTGGCCCTCTCCCACGGCGGATCCCGAACGACCGAAGAGACCCCCTAGGAAAAAATCTGGGAGCATCTCGTCGAGGGAGGATCGCGAGCTGAGCGCCTTCACCTCGATCAGCGCAAAGAGTCCCAGTCCGCGACCTAGTGAATGCCAGAGTCCCAGGTTGGAATCCGAGAGTTATCACAGTGCGAGGGAGGCTGCACCGGACCTGGACCAGTCCCGGAGAGACGACAGCGAGGCTTTCGCCGATGCTTTCAGTGCCTTTTCCGGAGTGGCGAGCGAGAAGTCGGACAACGAAGCCAAGGATCAGGACTCTCGGCCAGGGAAGAGGAGAGTCAGCTTCGATGGCACCTCCAGTCCGGAATTCGCATCCTCCTTCGACTCGGCGACCAGTCGATCCAAACCCAAGTCAGAGGGAGACCGAACGACCGCCGCGGCCAGCGAGGACGAGGCTGGGAGATCGAGAAAACGAAAGAAGAAGAAGAGGTCTCAGGACGAGGTCTCTTCAGGGAAGAGGCCCACGAAGAGCCTGTCGAAGACCAGCTCGGAGGAGTCCTCCGGGGCCAGTGGGGGGAAACGAGGGAACGTCTCCGGGAAATCGGGAGAAGACGAGGAGAAGGCTGTCCATCGGACGAAGAGTAACAAGGAGCGACTCCTGGACAGCATCCGTGATCTCTTGAGACCTGTCCTGGTGATCAGGGATGCCTTGATCGACCCCGATTCTCTGGTGGACTCGGCGGACCCGAAAATCCGCGACGAGAGGATCTCGCAGCGCGTGGTTCGTCCTATCCGAAATCTCTGCGACCAGGTCGCTGCGATCGAGACGAAGGCGCTGCAGTCCGTTGGGGACACATCCTTGGCTCAGGTCATCAGGATCTCCCTGTTGGAGACGATAGGGGGTCCGGTAGAGGAGCTGTTAAGGGGGACCGAGTTGATCGAGAGACAGGAAAGCGCTAGGACCGCGGAGTCCGACTCGATCGTCCTGGAGTCCTTGACGGACCCCATCGACGAGATAGCCGCAGGACTCGTCAGGGTCGAACGCGAGTTGTCGGGTCAGGCCAAGCATTCGAGGCCCATTGCCTTGGAAAGGATGGTCCACGCGACGACTCGCCTCGTCGAGGCTGTGGAATTTTTCGACGTATCCAAGGTGCCGAATGACTCTTCCAGGCTTCTTCCAATCCTGAAGGACCTCTCCAGGGAACTCGGCGATTATTTGGGAAGGGTCGCGGTGGATCCTGATACCGGATCCATGAGCTCCACCGACACGGTCATCGTAGAGTCCTTGTCGAGGCCTCTTCAGGGTCTCGCTGGTACCCTTGCACGGACTAAAGATGCTCCCTCTGACCAGGAACCAGGAAAGGATTCGCTCATCGAGGATCTAGGACCTTCGGTCGAGGAGCTGAGGACCAAGCTGAAGAGCCTCAACGTCATCGTGCAGAGCCAGGACGAGAGGAGTCCTGGTCTTGACTACCGAGGCACCGAGAACCACGTAGCCGCCCTGACGAGGACCGTGGCGAACCTCGAAGAGGAGATGACCTCCATCTCGGGAAGGGAGGACGAATTTTCGAGAGAGCTCATCCTGTCCGCTCAGAGACTCGGGCAGACCGTGGAAAGTCTGCCGGGGAAGAGATTCGACTTTGAGAAGGCGCGACTGATAGGGGTGCAGGAGGAGCTGAAGAAGACCCTGGAGAACGTAGTCCAGGACGCCAGGAAGAGGGAAACCCTCCAGGAGACCATAATACTCCTTGGAAGGTCCATCGACGGACTGAACGAGGAGTCCTTCAGGCTCAATTCTCGATCCGAGGAATGGGGACTTCCGAAGCTGACGGAGGCCTTGGAAACCCTGAAGGACGCCCTCGCCGAGACGAACCTGGCCGAGCTGGAGAACACTCGAGGTCTGGTAACGCGAACGATCGAACAATTTCGAGAGAAGCTGCAGGTGCAGCGGGACCAGAGGGTCCTGGCGAAGATGAAGAGGTTCAAGGTCGCCGCGGAAAGCCTCGTCGAAATCTCCTCTCGCTTCGATGGAAGAAACGCGGTCCTTGTCCGCAGGGTCTTCGAGGAGCCCCTGGAGAGGATCCTGGGAAGCCTTGGCATCGTCCTGGAAAAAGTCCCCGAAGCGGCTGCAACGGATGCTTTGGAAAGTCTCTTCAGGTGCGTCGGGAACGCAGGAAGGCTCGCAGGATCCATTGGCGACCTTAACGCAAATGACGAAGAGGCCTCGCGAGTTCTCGAAGAGGTCTCGAAAATGGCAGATGAGGCGATTCGCGAGGTCAAGGAGAAATCCGCCGGATTTCCTGAAGGTGGTATCCACGAGATTTCGCGGAGTCTTCGGGAATTACGAAGCAGGGCTTGGGTCGCTGGGAAGATCCTGAGGAACGACTCCCTAGTCAAGGAGGTTTCTCTACAGTTCGAAAATATCGCAGCGATTCTTTGGCCGGACAAGGTCGACTCGGACGACGCGATCAGGTGCCAGGTGAGGTCGCTCTCGAACGCGGTCTCGATCGCCGAAAAATTGCGCGCGGAGGTAGCCGAAGAGGATATTGAGGAGCGGTCGGAAGTCTCGAGGGAGCTGCAGAACGTCATGGAATGTTTGATAAAAGAGTGGAGGGACCTCGTCCGGCAGAAATCTCTGCTCGTCAGCGGTTCCATGGAGAGCCTGGTCCCCTCTTTTCCGGTCAGGGCCAGAAACAGCGTGGCTGCGTTGAAAAAGGCGATATCCTCGATTCAGTCCGAAATCGGCTCGAGTAAATTCGAAAGCGTCTTAGCCCCAGGTAGTCCACTCTACGTGGACTCCCTAAATCGCCTGAAACACGCCCTGGAACTGATAGAAACCAGAGGAATCTCGGTGCTCTCCGAGCGACTCGCCGACCTCGCCAAGGAGGTGGACGGCAGGTCGAGAAGGCGATCCGAGGGAAACTCTGGGAAAAGGGACGAGGCCAAGGCCAGGTCGTCGAGGTCCCCATCGGTGGAGGAACCTCGAAACCTCTCGGAGAAAATTCTAGATCCTCTGATTGGGGTGCAATCTGCCGTCAGTGGAGTTCTTAGCGATACCGGGGTGATCGACGACGAGCTCTTCTGGGGATCCGAAATGGCGGCCAGCTTGCTGGATCTTCGGCAAAGCGTGTCCAACGTGGCACACACTGCGACCACCCTGAAGGAGGGAGAGACGGTGAAGACCGTCCACGACCTCAAGGACTCCCTCTTGGAGCTGCAGCTATCGCTCTCCTCGAATTCGATAACACCCCTGGAGGCGTCCATGCTGGAGAAGCTGGTGGCACCTCTTCGTGAGCTGAAGAGCGTCGTCGAGGTGGTCCAACAGCACGAGAAGTCCAAGGGACCTGCAGGTAAATCCGTCGCATCGGTTATCGCAGTCCTGGAGGACCTGGAGGAAAGCATTCCTCGAGCTCTTCGGCAGGCGGGGACCAGGAGGAGACCTTCCGGGATAGCACTATTAACTCCTGGGATCATAGCCGAGCCGCTAAGTGCGGTGCATTCTGCGATTTCCGGAGCCCTGGAGCACCTTCAGGAGCGTCGATCCTCGATCATCCTGGATCTTGAAGAGGTGAGGAACAACGTGGGGTCCCTCGTAGCCTTGGCCTCTCTAGAGCGGCCGCCTATTGACGAAGACGTGGTTGCCGAGCTGGCAGGGCTGAAGGAACCTCTGTTGAAGCTGAGGAAGGCTCTGGTTGTCAGCGAGGACCAGAAATCCGATTACTCCGAAGAGTGGAGTATAGTGGAATCCCTGGAGGACCCTCTTCGACGCTTGAAGGCGATATTCCTTGATCTGGTGGAGGTTGCCGGCGTCCAGGCCATCCTGCCTACCGTGGAGGTCCTGGAGGACATCGAGAGGGACTTGGGGAAAATGGCGGAGGTGATCCATCATGCGAAGGAAACCGTCCAGGAGCCTAGAAAATTGGAAACGGCCAGCGGGAAAATTCCCGAAATTTTCGAGGCGATTCGCGTCTCGCTCTGCGCCATGTCTCGAGAAAATGAGAGACAGGAGGCTGAGAAGAGTGAAAAGATCGAGAAGGACAAGGAACCTGTCGAAGAGGACACTCTTACGGACTCCATAGGCGAGTTGACGAGAGTCGTCACTGACGTGGCTCTTGCCACTTCGTTCCCTGAACAGCTGGCAGCCGAGGTGGCATTTGACGAAGAGGTGCTGGGAAATCTCGGGCAGCTTACTAGACCCTTGAAGAAGCTCCTGGTCGCCTTGACGACTCAGAGAGAGACGAGCGACCTTGGGGTCCTGGAGAATCTGGATTCTCCCGTGAGGCAGCTACACGGAGTCGTTGAAGAGGCACTAAGGGAGACTCCAGGGTCTGCGAACCTGAAGAACGTCCTGGAGGTTATCGAAGAAGTCGAAAACGCGATTCCCAGGTGCGTCGAGCAGGTGCGTTACAAGAGGGACCTGGGAGAGGCGGCGAGTTCCCTGGAGGTAGCCGATCTTCAGGCTCCACTTCAAGGCCAATTGGGTGAGATTATCGGCGAGGAGACCAAGCCGATAACGGACTCGCCTCCTATCAGGGAATCCGCCAGTGACAGACTGCACAGAGCCGCGGCATCTCTCAACAGCACTCTGGAGGACTTCGAACAGCTGGCCGGGAGTCGACACGCCTCGAAGACCGCCACTTGTCTCGAGACCCTGATGAACACCTTGGGGAAGACTGCCACCACTTTGACACGATCGAGGAGCAAGGAACCGGAGACTGGAAGGTGCGTTTCCAGATCTAAAACATCATTTTTAACAATGGTTGTCCTTTTTTCTAGGAAAATAATACCGAGTCCTGTTTTACAGATCCGATGACGAAAAGGCAGCCCAGAAGCGCGAAGAGGAGGCGAGGACCGTATTGGCCTTGAAAGAATTATCCCAACCCCTGGTCGAGCTTCGAAACGCTCTCAGCACCCAGAATCTGGATTCTGAAAATCAAGGACCCAACAAACACGTGATCCAGGAGCTGCTTATCCTGAATCGCTTGAAAGAGCCTCTTCGGGATATCAAGCTGAGCCTCAGCGAGGCCAGCGAGTCGGCCCTGAACTCCTCCCTCGAGGTCCTCCAGGAAATCGACTCCCTGGTCCCTCTAGTCATCGAAGAGATCGACGCGAAGCAGCGAGTCCTGCGAGTCCTCGAAGAGGTCACGAAACCTCTCGAGGTGGTGAGAGAGTGCACCAGAGATTTAGTCCAGGAGAACCTGCAGAAGTCCGTGGAAAGCGACGTGGCGTCGATCATCGTCGAGCCCCTGGATGCTCTCTGGGAGGTCCTGGAATCCATTGGCCAGGACCTGGACCAGCTGGACCTCCAACGAGAGGTTGTCTTGGAATTGAATGCCCTGGTGGGACCATTGATAGAGTTCCAAAGCAGCTTGTCCGTGGTCAGGAGCAGCCGGAGTGCTGCTCCGGAGGTCGCTCTTCTGGACGAGAGGAGGAACGTCATCTGCCAGGCTCTGGAAGGACTCAGGACCTCCTTGGCCTTGACCCTGGAGAGAACGGAAAAAAGTGGCAGGGCCTCGGATCCGATTTCTCGAGCATTGGTGTCCCTGGACGAGGCCATGGGTTCGGCTCAATGCAGGGTCAGTGGCACCGATTACTCCAGGAGACCGAGCATCACCCTGAGGAGTCGCATGGTCCTGCCCCTGGAGCACCTGGGAGGCGCCATTTTGGCCCTGGAAGAACGAGCTGATGACGCTACCTCTGGAATCGTCAAAGACTCTCTGGAGGCTCTCAGGAAGCAGATCGTCCTGGCCCAGACGCAATTCGGCCAGCCCGAGCAGAGACCAGTTGATGAAGAAGCCATCGTGGAAGGCTTCCTCTATCCCACGAATCGGCTGAGGTCTGCACTAATTGCGCTAAAGGAGAAGCAGAGCCAAGAAGATGGAACAACCACTTCCTTGGTAATCTATTCAATAAAACGTCTTGAAAAAAAATATAGACTACACTTAATATTTTTTATTAATAAATCCTTTTTCTGCGTGATTATGTTTTTCAGCAACCACTCGCTCCAGCGACTGCGGAGCTTCTTCGAGTTTTTGGGGACTGCACTGGAGAACTGTGCTCCTCTCTTCTGGTGCTGCAGGATGAACTGCAACACGAAGCGACTGGACCATCCATTATTGAGACCCTCTCCGCAGTGTTTCCTCCACTGGACGCCATTCGAGAGCTCGTGAAAGAACTAGTGGGAGCTGGGCAGAAACCTGAAGAGGCCCTTGTCGAGGCTCCGGATAATGTTCCCTCGACGGTGGCGGTCACCGAAGTCGAAACTCTTGTTCTGGTGGAAGAGGTCCTTGAAGTGGCGAGTCGGGAAATAGAGTGTCCTGTAGATGCGAGAGAACTTCACGGACAACTGGTATCCCTGCAGGAGTCGATTTCGCCATTGCTATCCGGTGAACCGGAGACTCTTCTCGGCCTTCCTCAGGAACTCCTGGAGGAATCCGTGGATCTGAAACTATTAACGAAACACTTGAAAGTCCTCGAAACTGCTGTGAAAGAGACCCAGACTCAAGGAAATCTGTCGGAAAAGGTTTCTGATATTAAGAAGACGACGTCGTTGCTGAAGAACCTGCGACAGTCGGTCGCCATGATGAAGACTGCCGAGCAACAGTTATATGTAGAAGTAAGCGAACTTCCCGTTGCACTTTCTGCGGTTATCGACGTACACACGGCTACCATAACGGCCTTTGAAGAAGTTGAAGAAGCAATTGATAAATTGACGGTATCCCTGCAGACCGCTCAGGTCGGATCACTTCCGGTGGAGCAGACTCGTGTCCTTTTCGCTCAGTTACAGTCCCTCCAGGAGTCCATTTCCCCGGTTTTATCTACCATACAACCTCTTCAAGTTCCGAACGAGGAAGTTGCAGATCTGCAATCGTTAACGCAACAACTTGTAGTGCTCGAAAACGCCGTCGAAATTGCGAAGACGGAAGGAGGAGCGATGCTGAAGAGTCCTGAAGTCGAGTCGGCGACAGTCCTGCTGGAAGACCTGAGAAAGTCCGTCGTAGCTTTACGAGAAGCCGAAGAAAAATGGCAGGAAGACGTTGGTGAACATCCTGTCGCCTCTTTTGGAGGGTCCGGGGAAGTTGCAACACACACAGCCACCGAGGGCGTTCTTGAAGAAACGCTGCAAGCGATCGGCCGGTTGAACGTCGCCTTGCAGACGTGTCAAGAAAAGTCCCTGGAAGATCTTCCTCAGGTTGCCGAGATCTCTCGTGTTGAGGAAGTTCCTGAAGACCTGGTAGATATTAAGGGAAGCGACATTCAGCAAGCCACAGCTCGACCACTGGAGGAGCTCATCGAGGCCATCGTCGAGGGGGCAACCGATGGCGGGGTCCTTGGAGAACGCCAGAGTTCGCCAATGATCGAAGCAGGGGTCGAAGAGGTTGTTGAAGAAGTTGAAATGCAACATGCCAAAGTAATGGAAGCAGCACTACAGTCACCGGTAGAAGCTGTCCAAGGAGCGGTGGAACTTGAAGAGAGCATGGAGCAGGTCGCTTCGGTTGGCACCTCTGTTGAAATTTTCCAAGAAGCTGAGATCCTGACTGAAGAAAATGTTACTATTACTGAGTCATCGGTGGAGATTCGGGAAATAGATGAAGAGAAGGTCCAGCGAATCGGAGTGGAAGCTGTTGAAGCGACGAGGGATGAAACGACGGCATCCTTGGTGGTTGCATCTGAAACTGCAGAAACAGCTGCATTTATCGAAGAGGTTCAGGAGCTTGCTCCGGTACTTGAATCTTCGGTCGCGGTTCGAGAAAAAGAGGCTGAAGAGGTTCAACAGATCGGACTTGAATCTATCTCAGTGATAGCTGACGAAGCTGCTGCAGCCATACCTATCGAGGCTGGAATTAAAGAAACATCCGCAGTGGTTGAAGAGACCCAAGAGTTAGCTCCTGTTGCCGAATCCTCCGTTGCTCTTCAAGGTCGCGCTGAAGAAGCGATTCAGCAAGTCGGCTTAGAATCTGTAGTAGTAACAAAAGACGAGGTGATCACCGAAGTGCCGATTACAGCTGAATCTGCAGAGACAGCTGTGTCAGTTGAGGAAACTCAAGACCTCGGACCTGTTGCCGAGTCCTCAGTTGCAGTTCAGGGTCAGGTTGAAGAGATCACTCAACAGGTCGGAGTGGAATCTGTGGAGGTAACCAAAGATGAAGTATTTGCCGATATGTCGATGGCAACTCAATCTGCTGAAACAGCTGCAGCAGTGGAGGAAGTACATGAACTCGCACCTGTTGCTGAGTCTTCGGTTGCAGTTCAGGGTCAGGTTGAAGAGGTCACTCAACAGGTCGGAGTGGAATCTGTGGAGATAACAAAAGATGAAGTACTTACTAATGTGTCGATGGCAACTCAATCCGCTGAAACAGCTGCAGCAGTGGAGGAAGTACATGAACTCGCGCCTGCTGCTGAGTCTTCGGTTGCAGTTCAGGGTCAGGTTGAAGAAATCACTCAACAGATCGGGGTGGAATCTGCAGAAATATCAAAGGACGAGATTGCTACTGATGGACTGATTGCAGCTGAATCTGCAGAAATTGCTGTAGCCGTCGAGGAAGTGCAAGAACTTGCTCCCGTTGTCGAATCCTCAGTTGCAGTCCAAGGCCAGGTTGAAGAGGAGATTCAACAAATTGGCGTAGAATCTGTAGAAGTAGCAAAAGACGAAACAGCGACAGACATGTCAGCAATTATTTCAGCAGTCGAAACGGCAACAGAGGTTGAAGAGAAGAAAGAACTCACCTCCGCAACCGAATCCTTGATTACCCCTGAAGGTAAACCTGAGGAAAGGGTTGAAGAATCAGAAGCATTAAAAGACGAAGTAACGGCTACTCTGTCAACAGCTGTTGAAACGGTTGAAACGACTCTTTCTGACGAGACGCAGGAGCACACTTCAACAATTGAAACCGCAATTGCAACAGAGAGTAAAGTTGAAGAATTTCTGGAACAAAGTGGAGTGAAGTCTGTAGAAGTGCTGCAAGACGAAAACGCTACAGCTTTGTCAACTACAGCAGAAGCCGTAGAAACTGAAGAGGTGAAGGAAGAAGTTCCAACTCTAGAATCTCCGATCGTTGCCGAAGTTGAAGTGAAAGAAACTATTCAACACGTGGGAGCAGAATCAGTCGAAATGATAAAGGACGAGATAACGACAATCTTACCAGCCGATGCAGAAAATGCCGAAAAAGCGGCAGAAATAGAGGAATCGAGTGAACAGGCTTCAGCTATTAAATCCGCAGTTGAAATTCAAGGAAAAGCAGAGGAAGTCGTAGAACAGATCAGCGCAGAATCTATCGAAGAAATTAAAGAAAATCTGGAGCAAGTTTCTCCGGCCGAAACATCGATTGCTACCGAAGTCGAGGAAGCAGCTCAGAAAATCGGAGCAGAATCTGTTGAAGTGGTGAAGGAAGAGGAAACGGAGACTTTGGCTGTCCCTGTTGAAGCAGTTGAAGCGCCAATAAAAATCGAGGAAGTCAAAGAAGAGTTGTCGAGTGTTGAACTTCCAATCGTAACTCAAGACACGGTGCAGGAAGTTATTGAACAGGTCGGTGCAGAGTCGGTAGAGGTATTAACTGAAGAAGTAGCATCATCACTTCAGGTTCCCATCGAAATATCTGAAACTGTAACAGAAGTTGAAGAGACGAGGGACCAGGTTTCAGCTACCGAATCTTCGGTTGCGGTCCAAGGAAAAGCAGAGGAAGTCGTCGAACAGATTAGCGCAGAATCGGTATCAGAAATTGAAAGATCAGCTGAGCAAGTTACTTCGGTTGAAACGTCAATTGCTGAAAATGTCGAGGAAGCGGGCCAGAAAGTAGCTGCAGAATCTGTTGAAGTAATACAAGAAGAAGCTGCGGCAGCCTTGGCTGTTATCGCGGAAGCTGTAGAAACTGCGGAAGAAGTTGAAGAAGCGAAGGAACACGTCGCTGCAATCGAATCTTCCATTGCCACGGAGTCTAAAGTTGAAGAATCCACTGAGCAAGTCGAAGTCCAATCCGTGGAGCCATCGAAGGATGAACCAACGACGGATTTGTCAACCGCTGTCGAGGTGCTCGAAACGACCGAAGTTGAAGAAAGGAAGAGTCAGGATGTAGCTGCTGAATTCTTGGTCGCAACTGAGAGCGAAATCAAGGAAGTCGTCGAAAAGATCGCCGCAGAATCGGTAGAAATATCCAAGGAAGAAGAGTCTGCACCGTTCACTGTTTCCACTGAAGTTGAGGAAGCTGCCGTAGTAGTTGAAGAGACGAAAGAGCAGGAATCAGTCATCGAATCCGCGATTGTGACACAAGGTGAAGTTGCAGGTGAGATTGCTCAACAGGTGGTTGTTGAGACCGTCGAAGTGGTACCTGAAGAAGCAACCGTGCCGTTCCTCGTTGCTGAAGATGTCCAGAGTGCAGCAAAGATCGAAGGAATTAAAATCGAAGAAAGTACTCAACTAGCGGCAACAGAGTCCATAGAACTGGCGAAGGAAGAAATACCTGCCGAGTTGCCGATCGCCCTTGAAATTGTCGAAGCAGCAACAGAAGTTGAAGAAGTTGCCGAACACGTTTCCGCCCTTGAATCTTCGATCGCGACCGAAGGAAGAGTTGAAGAGGTCATCGAGCAGATCGGGAAGGAGTCGGTATCTCTGTTACCCGCAGAAACAGCATCCTCGCTGGAACTTCCTGCTGTTGCTGCCGAAAATGCCGCAGAAGCTGAAGAAGTTAAACAAGAAGAGATCGCCACCGAAACCTTGGTCCCGACGCAAGTCGCACCTGCCGAGATGAAAGAAACTGAAGAACAGATTTTAGAAACAGACGCGGCGGAATCTTTAGATGTCGAAGAACTCGAAGAACTTGCACTGGCCGACTGGTCCGTCGTTTCTAGATTATTGGAACCGGTCCAAAAAATAGAAAGAGCCATCGTGGACATTGACACGGAGCTTAGTCTCGTTCTTCGTGAACTAGGCGAAGAGGAAGCTGAAAAGACAGAAAATGTGACGGTCCACGATGCTTTGCGTTCTCTGGTGGATCCATTGGTGAACGTCGAGGCGGCTTTCTCGGCCATCTTGAAAGAGGAAGCAGAGGCCGAAGAGGCTGAAGAGCTTCCTGAAAAGGCGGTCGACCATGAAGAGGCTACCCAAGCGGTAGTAGATTCTCTCTTCGAGCTGGAGAGGTTCATGTCGGTGCTGGTGGAAAGAACGGCGGCGAGTGTCGCGGAACATGCCGAAGAGGAGGCTGATAATTTGGATGAGCTGATTCAACCTCTGCGAGAACTCGGAGAGGCCATCGTTACCATTCAGGAATCTCCGGTGACGTACTTGGAACATCTGGAAAGGCCTTTGGAAGCTGTGAGGATTGCGATGGAAATTGTTCGAGAGAAGATAGTCGCTGCAGCTGCTTCGCCTCTGCCTCCTGAAGAAGAGGAACTACACCCGGAAGGGACTGACTACTCCGAGGAAATAAGAACGAGTCAGAGCACTCCTGGGGACGACCTTGAAATGGAGGAAGAAGAGGCTGAAGTAGAAGTCGAGGAAGAACTTGCTCGGCGCGAAAAGGAAGAAAAGGAACGAGAGACTCGACGACTGGAAGAAGAAGCTCAGCGAGTGAAGGAAAGAGAAGAGCAGGAGCGTATTGCAAGAGAAGAGCTCGAGCAAGAGAAAAAAGAAGAACAGGAGCGTGTTGAGCAAGAGGAACTTGAGCGAAAAAGGAAAGAAGAGCTAGAGCGTCTTGAAAGAGAGGAGATTGAGCGAAAAACGAAAGAAGAGCAGGAGCGCCTTGAAAAGGAGAAAATTGAGCGAAAGAAAAGAGAAGAGCAGGAGCGTATTGAGCGAGAAAAAAAAGAGGAGCAAGAGCGCCTTGAAAGGGAGGAAATTGAACGAAAGAAAAAAGACGAGCAGGAGCGTCTCGAGCGAGAGGAACTTGAGCAAAAAAAGAAAGAAGAGCAAGAACGTCTTGAAAGAGAGGAAATTGAACGAAAGAAAAAAGAAGAGCAGGAGCGACTCGAGCGAGAGGAGCTTGAGCAAAAAAAGAAAGAAGAGCAAGAACGTCTTGAAAGAGAGGAAATTGAACGAAAGAAAAAAGAAGAGCAAGAGCGCCTTGAAAGGGAGGAAATTGAGCGAAAAAAGAAAGAAGAGCAAGAGCGCCTTGAAAGGGAGGAAACTGAGCGAAAAAAGCAAGAAGAGCAAGAGCGCCTAGAGAGAGAGGAAATTGAACGAAAAAAGAAAGAAGAAGAAGACCGCCTTGAGCGAGAGGAGCTTGAACGAAAAGAGAAAGAAAAGCAAGAGCGTCTTCAGCACGAGGAACGTGAACGAAAAGAAAAAGAAGAACGCGAACATCTTGAACGTGAGGAACGCGAAAGGAAAAAAGAAGAAGAGGAGCGTCTTGCCCGAGAACAGCGTGAGCGAAAGGAGAGAGAGGAGCAAGAGCGTCTTGATCGTGAGGAACTTGAGCGAAAGGAAATGGAAGAACGAGAGCGTCTTGAAAGAGAAGAAAATGAGCGAAAAAAGAAAGAAGAGCAAGAGCGCCTAGAGAGAGAGGAGATTGAACGAAAAAAGAAAGAAGAGCAAGAGCGCCTAGAGAGAGAGGAGATTGAACGAAAAAAGAAAGAAGAGCAAGAGCGCCTAGAGAGAGAGGAGATTGAACGAAAAAAGAAAGAAGAGCAAGAGCGCCTAGAGAGAGAGGAGATTGAACGAAAAAAGAAAGAAGAGCAAGAGCGCCTTGAAAGAGAGGAAATTGAGCGAAAGAAGAAAGAAGAACAAGAGCGACTTGAGAGACAGGAAATTGAACGGAAAGAGAAAGAAGAACAGGAGCGTCTTGAGCTTGAGGAACGAAAGAAAAGGGAAGAACAGGCACGTCTCGAACGCGATGAGCTTGAAAGGCAAAAGAAAAAGGAAGAGCAAGAACGTTTAGAAAAAGAAGAGTTGGAACGAAAGAAAAAAGAAGAACAGGAACGTCTCAATCGAGAGGAACGTGAACGAAAGGAAAGAGACGAGCGGGAACGTCTGGAAAGGGAGGAGTTGGAACGAAAAAAGAAGGAGGAAGAAGAGCGCCTTGAACGAGAAGAGCTTGAGCGCAAGAAACAGGAAGAAAAAGAACGTCTTGAGAGAGAGGAACGCGAAAGGAAGGAAAAGGAGGAACGAGAACGTCTTGAACGCGAAGAACTCGAGCGCAAGAAAAAGGAAGAAAAAGAACGTCTTGAGAGAGAGGAACGCGAAAGGGCAGAACAGGAGGAACGAGAACGACTTGAACGCGAAGAACTCGAGCGCAAGAAAAAGGAAGAAAAAGAACGTCTTGAGAGAGAGGAACGCGAAAGGACAGAAAAGGAGGAACGAGAACGTCTTGAACGCGAAGAACTTGAGCACAAGAAAAAGGAAGAACAAAAACGACTTGAGAGAGAGGAACGCGAGAGAAAGGAAAAGGAAGACCGAGAACGCCTCGAAAGAGAGGAAATTGAACGAAAGAAAAAGGAAGAACAAGAACGCCTTGAACGAGAAGAGCTTGAGCGGAAGAAAAAGGAAGAACAGGAACGTCTAGAGCAAGAAGAGCTTGAGCGGAAGAAAAAGAAAGAGGAACAAGAACGCCTCGAAAAAGAGGAAAACAAGCGCAAAAAGAAGGAAGAGAATGAACGTGTAGAGCGAGAAGAGCTTGAGCGAAAGAAAAAAGAGGAGCAAGAGCGCCTCGAACGGGAAGAACTCGAGCGAAAGAAAAAAGAGGAACAAGAACGCCTTGAACGGGAAGAACGCGAGCGAAAGAAAAAAGAAGAACAAGAACGTCTTGAACGGGAAGAAATTGAGCGAAAGAAAAAAGAGGAACAAGAACGTGTTGAAAAAGAGGAAGCTGAACGAAAAAAGAAAGAAGAGCAGGAGCGTCTTGAAAGAGAGGAGCGTGAAAGAAAAAAGAAAAAGAAACTGGAGCGGCTGGAGCGAGAGGAACGTGAACGAAAAGAGGAAGAGGAGCGAGAGCGTCTTGAAAGGGAGGAAGCTGAGCGAAAAAAGAAAGAAGAGCAAGAACGACTTGAGCGAGAGGAGCAAGAACGGAAGGAAAAGGAGGAACAGGAACGTCTTGAACAAGAGGAGCTGAAACGAAAGAAAAAAGAAGAACAGGAACGTCTCGAGCGAGAGGAAGAGGAGCGTAAGAAACAGGAAGCCGAACGCATAAAAAAAGAAAAAGAAGAACGACTGAAGCGCGAGGAGGAGGAACGGAAAAAACAAGAGGAGGAAGAACGAGTCAAGCGCGAGGAAAAGAAACGCAAGAAAATGGAAGAACAGGAGCGTCTCAAGCGGGAAGAGGAGGAGCGTAAAAAAAAGGAAGAGCAGGAACGTTTAGAGAAGGAGGAAGCTGAGAAACAGCGGAAAAAGGAGGAGGACCTGAAAAAGAAAGAAGAGGCTCGAAAGAAGGAGGAAGAAGCTGAGCGGAAGAAACAAGAAGAGCTCGAGAAGAAAAAAAAATTGGAGGCCGAGCGAGTTAAACAGGAAGAGGAGGAATCTCGGCGAAAGGCTCAGGAAGCTGCCGAGAAAGCCAAAAAACTAAAAGAGGAGAACATGCAAAAGGAAGAAGCTAAACGCAAAAAAATTGAGCAAGAAAAAGCGGAAAAGGAGGAAGCCGACCGTCTAAAGAGAGAGAAGGACGAGCAATCAAGAAAAGAGGAAGCCGAGCGGAGAGAACTCGAGCTTCAGAACCGGGAGGACCGGAAACGGAAGCAGCAGGCAGAGGAGGAAGAATGTAAAAAGAGAGTCGTGGAAGAGCGAAAAATGCGCGAGGATGAGGAGCGCTTGAAGAGACGCACCGAGAAACAGCTGATCGCTGAAGAAGAGCGAGTTCGATCTCAAAGAGAAACCAATCGAGCGATGAAGAGGACGGACCGCGAAGAAAGGAAACGAGAAGTGATGGAGCGATTGCAACAGGAAGGAGAGGATTGCCTGAAAAAAGAGGAGCGCAAACGTCGCGCAAGGAAAGATCAGACCGAAGACGAGCATCGCGCAGATGACAACCTGACTGAAAGAACTCAAGAAAACGATACGCAGAAAATCGAAGGAAAAAAAAGGAGAAGACGATCCGAGGTGGATACAATCGAAAAGTACTCGATCAGTGAACCAGGCTTGCCAAAAAGCGAATTAGCGAAAACATCTTCATTCGGGCCAGAAGACGAAGAGGCGGGATACCAGACGCAACGACTAGAAGAGTGGTGTACTCCAGAAAAAGTGAGACCAATCTCTGAAATTCGTTACGTCGCGGATGTCAGAATGAAAGAGATCCGAGCGGTGAATCTTCACTTACACGAAAGGGACACTTCTCCGGTTCGCCGAGCAAGGATCCCAGGGAAGCTGAGTTCCTGGTCCTCCGAGATCTTCACGACCCAAGCCGATGCCCCGAAGGACCGCGAGAAAAGGGACGCCGAAGCGGTAGGACATTATTTATTATTATCAACCATTAGCCAGGAATTATTTCATCTATCACCCGAGCAAAGGAAAAAAATAATCCGGGTCTTTTTTTCAGAGCGTCCGTCGACCGTTCTTCTGCACAAGGCTGAGAGACCGGACGGTGGTCGGAGGCACAAGGGTGAAGCTGATGTGCGCATTCCTGGGTCATCCAGAACCTGAAGTGTCCTGGACCAGAAACGGAGCAAAACTAGGAACCAGCGGTCGATATCGTGCCAGCATGCAGCAGGGTGGAGTAGCCTGCTTAGAATTCTTCTCGATTTCCCCTGACGATTCCGGAGACTACGCCTGCGAGGCCTCCAATCCTCACGGTTTCTCCTCTACGGAATGCAGGATCACGGTTCGACCAGACCTCGTGACCGCTCCTGCGATCGTGCCCAGACCCTTCGTCACCAGTCTCCTGAAAGGTACTCTAATTATCCCCTGATTTATATAAGGGATTCAATAAATTAAATTCGATTTACCCCCAGACTCGTACAGACCCGCCGAGAACGTCCTCATCCTGGAGTGCAGGATCCTGGGAGAGACTTCTCCGAAGATATCCTGGCTGAAGGACGGGACCCTTCTCCAGGGTAGCCGCTACGAGCAGCAGAGCGACCTGCAGGAAGGAATCTGTCGTTTAAGGATTTTTAATCCCGTTTCCACTGACAGCGGGCGGTACATCTGTAGAGCGGAAGGTTTCTCCTTCAGCGACCAGATATCCCACGTGGTCCACTTCGAAGGTGAGGTCCTGTAAAATAAAGATAAAAATTCTAGCCCTTGAAATTGCTTTAAAGTACCTTTCTTCTGCATCCCCTAGGACACGAAAAGCACACCCCTAGCAGATTCCGCGATAGAGCCTCCCCTCAACCCGCGATTCCCCCCAGGGGTAAACCAAGATTCGCCAGTGCGTTAGCCGACCACAGTGTACCAGCTGGTGGAACCATTGCCCTGCAGGTCGAAGTCAGAGGCAGGTTTCGATTAATATTAATCAATGGAACGAGCTGCATAGTTTAATTTTTATTCTGAGAGGATCCTTGCCTTTCCGCAGGTTCTCCATCTCCAGAGGTGATGTGGCTGCACGGGGAGAGGAAGGTTCCCGTCTGCTCCCCGAAGGTGAGGACCTTCTCCGAGGCTGGAATTCATACCCTGTTGGTCCCGGAAGCCACGGAATCCGAGGGTGGCACCTACGTCTGCAGAGCGAGCAACGTCCATGGATTGACGGAGACAATCGCCATGGTTCAGGTCGTCGCTCCGAGTTCTGTAAAAGGAGGAAAACCCGCCATGTTCGTCACCAGGCCTGACGATTGGATGACAGTGACAACCGGCGAGGACGTCAGCGTGTCCTTCAGGGTGACTGGCACCCCGAAGCCTAGGGGTAATTTTTTTTTTTTTAATTCCGTACGTTATTAAGGAGTTCTATTTGAGAGTAATTTCTACGTCCCCATGACAGTGACTTGGATGAAGGGAATAAGAGACATCACGAACAGCACGCGATCCGTTAAGGAGGTCCACGACGACTACGTTCGGTTCACCTTGAAGAGAGCCTTGCCCTCCGACGAAGGCACCTACTGCATCCTGGCGAAAAATTGCTACGGATGCGACAGGGCGTTCTTCACGTTGAAGGTAATTTATATCATTAAAAAAAATACCCTGCAGGAGGATGCTGAAGTAGCATCTGTGATTTTATAATTTTTTTTTAATGTCAGGTAAGGACTCGAGCCAGATCGCTGACGCCGACGACCGATTCTTGGGGAAGTTCGGACACTAATAGCCTCCTCAGCCATATCCACAACAAAGAGAGGTCCTATGTCAAAAGTGAGTGCAAAAGTCTGGACCAATTCAGCGAGCGATCGGATTTCAACCTTAGCGCGATTTCCCGGCCGAGCGAACCGCGGAAATGGGATATTTCCCGCAACTTTTCCAAGGGCATAATTTACGCGATACGCGTCACTCAGAGATTGCGTAATCCCTGGAGAAACGCCAATTGTGACATTCTGACTCGGCTCTTGACCGATCCAGAATACATTTTAATTTTAAAATTGCCTTGCACATTTTACTCCATGTTCCTTGCTGGAACAAAATGCCGGCTGACGTCGTCGACGTGAATCCGAGGACACGGTTGATCGACCGATGTCGCGGATATTTTCTGGACGCGTGCAGGTCAGTTTCTCGAATTTTATGAGTAAACCAGAAATGAGCGGGCTCGGTTAAAGAGCATATTAGCGCGCGGCCAGGAGCCAACATAACCAGCGCCTCGAGGTGTAAATTCGAGGCCACTCCTACGCGTGGAACCACCTCAGCACGAGACCAGCTATTTTCATTTAGCTTACCTAAAAACCGAGGAAACCAGCTCAGTTCGCGAGTGAAGACTGGGTCGTTCCCACGTGCCCCCGGATAAACGAAAATTAATAGCCGGAAAAATCGGACACCGACGAGTAAGAGCCCCCTTAGATTCGCAAAATCTCGATTCACCTCTAAAGTAAACGAATGGTCCGTGATAAGAGTGCAAGATGCGGGAAAAAGTCACCCCAAGTGAAGAAGTCGAGCAGGGTCCGATTCAGAAGTTGAGGGCCTCCTTGTGCAGGAAGTTCCTTGACCCCATATTCTTGGAGTACTTGGTCGGCCACCAAGGTCAGGGTCGCCTAGCTCCGAGAATCGGAAGACGCTCGTCTTATCAGTTTATTAGAAACGGTGGGAACTGCCTTATTTTTTAATTAAACTGTGGATTTTATTCACAGATGTCCCTGGTCCCATTCGAAGCGAACCCATTGCCATCGACGGTGGGAAGAACTGGCTGGCTTTGACATGGGGAAAAGCGGAGCAACGTGGATCAGCCCCTGTGATCGCCTACAAGGTCGACGCCTGGCTGATGGGTGGAGACGGAGGGGCTCGATGGACCGAGGTACCGGAATATCTCAGCCAGTTTCTCTTTCTTCCTTAAACGGGGAAAGATATAAATAATGGCGCGGCAAGGTGTTAAAATCGGCGCGATTTAATCCCCCAGCTTGGAATAACGCCAATCAACGCATACGACGCGTTCAACCTTCGACCTGGCGGAGAGTACACATTTCGAATTACCCCTAGAAGTCGGTACGGCTGGGGAGAGTCGATGGTCTCGACGTCGACCATCGTCGTGGGAGGTGTGGCTGAGATTCCCGAATTTACGAGGGTACTCCCCGGTCAGCTGAAGGCCCTCGTTGGTTCCACCGTGAACCTGGAATGCGAGGTACCATTAAATCTTCGACACTTATTCTAACCATGGATACTCAACCCAGCAGATTTTAAATAAATCCCTTCTTCAGGTTCGGGAAAGGTCGAAGGTAACCAGCATGCGTTGGTTCCGAGACGTGACTCCAATAGAAGAGCAGGATGACCCCAGGTATGTCGTCCGGAATAATGACACCGAAAGCTCTCTCACCATCAGAGACATTAACGAAGACGACTCTGGGAGGTACTTCTGCGAAGCTACCAGTGATGCTGGGAGGGCTTCCACGTTCGCCAGGGTCTTCGTCGTCACCAGTCCTCGCGTCTTCGAGGCGGACACCAACCTGAGGAGGTACCGCTTCGCTCCGATTAACTCATAGCTGAGTAAAAGTGAAATAAATATGTAAATGAATTTTTTCCAGAGTCCTCGACGAAACTCCCGTCGAGGTGCCCCCGCAGTTTACGATGAGGCTTCGAGACCGACGCGTGCAAGCGACTTATCCCGTGAGATTGACTTGTCAAGTCATTGGCAATCCAGAACCGGAAGTGACCTGGTTCAAGGACGGCAAGGAGATCCAGCGGAGAGAAGGTGCCGATCGACGTGGCTATTTACATATTGCAGAGGAGAAACGAGTGCTGAGCTCACAAAAATCGGGTTTACGGTTTCTTCAGGAATGTACACCTTCTGGAACGACGAGGCGCACTTTTACACCCTGGAGATCGTTCACTCCAGTCTGGAGGACTCTGGATGCTACATGGCGACCGCCAGGAATCCCAATGGCTCCGTTTCCTGCCGATGCAGCCTCGTCGTCGACAAAGGCATCCGAGCTTACATCGCTCCCGAGTTTTTGCGAGGATTGGACGACTTTTATACCGTAAAGGCCGGTGGGGAACTGAGGATGGCCGCCCAGATAGAGGCGTACCCCTCGGTCGGAGTTGTATGGTAATTTCCTACAAACAAAAGACCCGAAAAAATTTCATAAGCCACTTCTTCATCTCTTGTTTCCTCTATCAGGTTTAGAAACGGAGTTAGACTGAGACCCAGCAGAAAGATCGTGATGACTCTGAGCCACGATGGGACCGTGGAGATGTCCATGGCAGGCGTCTCGATAAGGGACGAGGGGATTTACGTCTGCACCGCGAACAACGAAGTCGGGAAAGTGGAGACGAGCACGAAAGTCGCCGTCCTGAAGACAGACGACGGAGACACGAGCTACCCTGAAATCTCGATATCCGCACCGTCGGACACCTTCACGACCACCGACGTCCCGTGAGCTCTCTTCCCCTGTTAATTTTTATTTCATCTCTTCTCCCCATCCTAGCAATAAAAATATCCTTCCTCAGGTACTCTAAGGTCCCTCTATTCGTGACGAAGCCGTTGTCCACCGAGGCCGTCGAGGGTGAGACGGTGGTGATTCTCTGCGAGGTGGTGGGCGACCCTAAACCAGAAGTGATGTGGCTCAGAGACTTCTTGAAGGTACCTCCTAGAGGGAAATGGAGTTTCCCTCCCTCGCCACTATTAATACTACGAATTGCATAAGTAAGGAGGCATGCAGGCCGCGGATTAGGACGTAATTACCCGGCCGTGGAAAGACGTAAGCTCGGCGTCGTTGTGCCGAGTCGCCATTTATGGTCGATCGGTGACTCGGCAAAGGAACGACCTGGAAGGCGTTGAATCACGCGAAACTCAAGTGACGCATGTAGGTCAAGGTATCCCCTCGCGGGAGAGCCTACTAGATGAGTGCCTAGGCATTGCCTAATTTATGGTAATCGGGTTCAAGAGAGGACCTCTTTGAGGTCGCTATGCGCGACCATGCGTCGAAGTCTCCCGCTTATTCGGGAGACTTCGACGCCGCCGCAGGCGACGCCCGCGAAAACGCAACGACGTGACTCCTTTTCCGTGCATGGCTGCACTTAAGCCTCCCGCAATCCCCGAATTGGCCGAGTATCGCGGGAAAATGGGTAGGAGAGACTCTGCGTGCAGTTCTGCCTCGGGACGACAGTGCTCCGACACGGTGACGCGCCACTCCGAGATTCGCCATTCTCAACGGAAGTACGAATAGAGCCCGATCAAATTTACTTTAATATTTTTAATTACTCGCTGCGACGTGTAAAATTACCCTCTCTGCGGAAATTAGGCTGTGCGGATCGCTCGACCGTCGCTAAGAAATTTTGACGAATTTAAAAGGGATCGGTCTCCGGCACCGAGTCGCCTTTTCTGGAATTTGGTAAAATCGAGTTATTTTTTTTAAGGAGATGGAGAATCGGGATAAAAGTCGCGACAAGTGTCCGCGGAGTATTTGGCGAACGAGAGACCAATAAGATCAACTTTCGCTCCCTATATGGGTGGTGAATACGAGAAAGGCACTTGCTGCTTTGAACAGTTTGAACCGTTCAGGGGTCCTTGCGAGACGGGTCTTTGAAAAAGGATGGGAGAGAGGAGGGTGACGCGACTCGCCGATGACGGCGTTGATCCTATCTTTTGACACCCTCTTGTAGGGAATTTGTACGACGCGGTGTCGGGATTAAATATTTAATCATGAAGGCTTCTTTTCCTTTTTCCAGCCGGGCTATTACAAGGACGCGCAGCATTTTCGGATGGTAGGTGCAGGACCGCAGTATCGCCTGGAGATCCCTTACGCAAAACTCGACTTCACCGGCACTTACTCCGTGATCGCGAAAAATTGTCATGGGGAAGCGAAGGCCGTGATCTCTTTGCAGATTTATGCCAAAGGCCAAGGCAGGGAAGACACCATGAAGCGATCCTCCGTCAGGACTGGGTACGTCTCTCGACATATAAAATTAATAACAAATTCACAGAGATATAATATTCCGTCCTTTCGTTTCACAGAAAGGTTCTGACTTTGCCGATAGTTAAGAAGGACCTGAGAGACCTGAGATGCTGCGACGGAGACGCGGTCACGTTTAAATGTAAGGTGTCAGCAAGCCCCGAACCGGACATCCGATGGGAGAAGGGAGGAAAGGTGAATCTCTCGATTTTATAAAAAAAAGAAATTATTCCATCATTGATCTAAGCCTCGATTCGATTTCTTTGCGCAGTTGATACCACTAGGAGATGACTTTATGACGAGCTTCGATGGGGAAACGGCTCGGCTGAGCATCCAGAACGTTTACCCTGAAGACGAGGGAGAGTACACTTGCATCGCGTACAACGATCTCGGGAGAGCATTTACTTCGGCGTGTCTCGTGGTCGACGGTGAGTTTTCGATTATTTCTCCGTTAAGAGAAAGATAAAAAGAAAAATAAGAAAAACGTGCGCTCGTAATTTCAGTGCCCGAGGAAAAGGAGGTGCTGCTCAGCAGACAGCTGTCTAGACCCACCGGTCTGCTGTCAGCTGGATCGACTCCTCGTTCAACTCCTCGCTCTACTCCCGTCAGGAGTCTCTCACCTTCCATGACACGTGAGGGAAAATTAATTCCAAGTAACTCCTGAATTACCCCTTCGAGCCGGATATATCGAGATTCCCTTGAATTAATTCCAGGAGGTCGGGAATTCAAGACACCAGCCCGAAGCACGAACCTGAAGCGCGCTAAAGTGACTGCTCCAAAGTTTTACGCGGTTCCCCATAATCGAGTGGCCGAAGAAGGTGAAACGGTTCGATTCCAATGTGCCATCGCTGGTCACCCGTCGCCATGGGCGTCCTGGGACAAGGACGGCGAGCGTGTCACCCCCAGCGCCAGGATCTCGATCCAGGAAAAGGACGACCTCAGGGTCCTCGAAATCTCCGAAGTCACTCTCGAGGACGCTGGGCTGTACAGAGTCACCGTAGAGAATAATATAGGCCGGGTGGAGGCGACTGCCAGGCTCGATATAATCGGTAAATAAATCAAGAGATGACGATACACGATATACACGTTCCTTCGACTCTCCGCTCGAGATACGGCCTGGCACTTTTACGGCGCCGATTTATCTTCGTGTTTGACGTTGCACTTTTCAAGGTCACCACGGGTCCCTTTCTCGGACCGTCAGAACCAGAAGTGCCTCGCCAAGGTCTTGCCCTACTTATGGCCGAGGTCTTGTTGGGTCTGCCGCGAGAGTCAATGGACGTCTTCAGCTTCCCAGCGACGCGCGAAGCGGCACTCGAAGCCCCACTCCGGCGTCTCAGAGGTACCTCTCAAGATGCACCTTGAAATTCTCCATCTCCCCTATTATCATTTTTCTATCGTTTATCTATAGAAATGGGAAGCAGTACGTGCAGTCGAGCAAGGCCGAGCATAACGGAAATGGGAGAATTTCCGCGGCAAAAAAGAAGACGAGGCCTCGTGCCAACGGAGACTGCGACAAAAGGGAAACTGCAATCCTGAATGGGAGCCCTCGCGTACAAAAAGACAATGCAAACGCCAAACTGGTGAACCCAAGACGAGGCAGGCAGTGCTGCTCCAATCAGCCAAAAAGACACGAAGCGATGCGTCCGTCCTCGAGGAGGGTCGCGACTCGAGGACTGCAAGAGAAAAACGAGAAAGCTCGGATTTCGAAGACGTGCTCGAAAATCGAAGGGAAGTCCGGGGCTCCTACTCCGAGATCTCGAACTTCCGAGCAAACGAAAGCTCCGAAAAGCCCGCAGACGCGAGAGGAAGTTAAATTGAATTCGATCGGCGAGTTCACCCCTGATAGATCCGAAAATCTCGAGGACGGAACCACATCGAGGATCGTCGAGAAAAAAGCGTCATCGCCTAAGGATCATTCGGGAGAAATCATCCAGCCGAGTTTCCATCCACAGCCGGTGGTCACGCTAGAATCGCCAATAGACGTAATCGCCCTGAAAGGAACTAAAGTGTTCCTGAGAGTGGCTTATCGCGGACACCCGGAACCGCGAGTTAAATGGTTCATAGCGGTAAGACGACTCTCTCTGGAGCTGATTTTAATTCCCCACTTGAACCCGTTAATCCTAACCCTTCCCCCCTCAGGGACCCACTTTAGGCACCGACATCCTGCATGCGCAAATTTATCATTCCCCGCTAAACCATCTCTTAACGCTTATACTAAATAAGGAAGACTAGCGCCTCCACTCGCTCTCGGGATTTCGCAAGAGACTCGGAAGAAACTCAGGCCGCGTTGAATCTGCATAGCGCGCCGCCACGCTATCACGGCCAATTACGTCGAATACGTGACACACTCCCGAGTACGAGATCGAGTGCGAGTCAAAAGTGGGAAAATAACGGGGGTTTTGATTGAACGTCTTGACGAGGCTCGGCTCGCTTTTAGTTCCCGCTCGCGCCGTGACGAGCGAGTAGCTCCGAGTCATCCGGCGTGGAGAGGATGACGGCACTCGGTCGATCTCGCAAATCGATCCACGATAGTCGGGCCCGGTCAAAGAGCCTCTGTTTCGGCCTGGCATACCTACGAACGCGCGATCCGACCTTGGGGCCCGAGTGTTCGCCGGCGAATCGCAATTCAGGCCTTAAATAGGAACGCGAGACGTACGTCAATACTCGGGCACGCACGTTGCCCGGGAGTGTCGGTCTCGGGCAACTGTCCGCGCCTTCTGTCTCCTCCTGTCCTTTTATTAATTTTGAAAGCCTGGAAAGAGCAGAAGGCCGCCGAGAGCTCGCGCTCTGCGTTCGGAGCGGTGCAATTGCAAAAGTGCAAGCCGAATTGCCAAACAAGTCGCGCCGTCATAGTCGGCTCGTTTAATTTAAGGCAGCCGAGCTCGTGTCGGGCGACGATCCCTCTGGTGTGCGAAGGTAAATACAGGTATCTGGTGTACGTACGCCAGGTCGAATCGAGTGTGTGCAAGAGAGGGTATTTACACGTACCGAGGTGGTCGGCTCGGGAATTCCTGGTTTGCGAGGTAAACCTAAGATTAATTTTCCCGATCGATCCCGAATTCGCTTTCTTCGGGTCGGATCGGCGTCCTCGCGGCGACCTCGTCGACGTCTCGCGACGTGGACACCACGTGCGTATCTCGTTACGCTCATTGTCAACGTCGATCCCGAAGTTGCCGTAACTCGGCTACGTTTCATCTCGGACAATGAGAGTATTGCGTTTCCGAGATGGTCCAGTCGCGAGCTGGAGTGTCTCCAAGGGGGTCCGGGTCTGATTTCGAGTCCCCTAATCGGTCTGGGATTTCTAGAAAAGATAATTAAATTAATAGGACGCCGGCCCTTTATTCAAGGGGGAGGGCGAATGGAGATGAGGATTGTAGAACCTTAGGAATACCATTTCGGGCCGTCTATCGATATGGGGACGCACCTGCGGCTCACGTCGAAGATGCGTTCCCTCGCTTCCTGTACGGTCGAACGGGAGCCTCCTGATTATTTATACAGGCACTCGTGCGTAATCGGAAGGTGCGTTTCCTTTCAGGGTCGAGAACTGACGTCGAGCGACGAGGTGAAAATTACCACCGGCGAGGGCATCTCCTGCCTTTTCCTGGAGAAGGTGACACCAGGTCTGGCAGGGAAGTACACCGTCTCCCTGGAGAACTGCTCCGGCACGGAGTGGAGATGCGCTAGCATCGTTGTCGAAGGTGACCAAAAAGCTGATCTCGGGTCAATGGACCTCGATATCGGATGAGACATTTTCGGGAGGGACGATTTATGTCTCGGGCAGACCCTGACCCCGGAGCCTCTCTTGGTATTCCCGGCCCGGAGTCGCAGATTCTGGTCGCTTTGAATAAATTTCGCCGGTTATGCAAGGGGCTCCGGGCATCATCGGCACTCTAGGCCAATAGCGAGACCCGGGACGAGAGTGCGAGGAGGAGTGGAAGTCATCCTCTGTATCTCTCCCGCTCCCGTTCCGCTCCCCTCGTCGGAACTATTGCAAAATCGCGTCGTAGCCCCTCCTCCTCGAGTCCACGTGTAAGCGACACTTTGCTCGGTTCAGAAGTACACGAGCAGCCGGCGGCTGCACACTTCGATTCACCCCGGAAATGTCGCCTCGGTTTCCGCGATTTTTCACGAATTCCCGAAATGGCGGAATTTTCTGAGCGACCGACCGATTCGCCAGGTCGGTCCAGGGTGCATCGCCGTTGATGGCTCTTTAATTTTGGAAAATGTGGAAGTCTCAGAGTGCGTCTTTTTTTTTTTTCCAGGCCCACCGGACCCACCTGCTGGGATCCCCAACGCTGCTTCAGGAATTCGAGAGGCCATTTTAACGTGGAATTCACCGCACTACGACGGCGGGAGTGCCGTTACGGGATATTCTCTGGACCTGAGGCGAGTCAACGAGCAGACCTGGACGGTCGTCGCGGAAGGCTGTCACTCCCTAAATCACGCCATCGGAGGTCTGACACCGGGAGATGCGCTCAGCTTCCGCGTCAGGGCTGAAAACGCTCACGGTACCAGCGAGCCGAGCGCAGAGTCCAACGTGGTTCACATTCTGGACGACGGTACTCTCCTTGGATCTTTCAAAAATCTCCCCTGATCCCAGGAACACCCTGGAGGTGGGAAATAATTATTACGAATTTTCATCCACCCAGGAAATCCATTCGAAGCCATTTTCGAGGCACCCATGGCAGCCCTCGAGGACGGCAAGTCCTTCGAAAGGCGTTACCTGGTTCACGAAGAGCTCGGCAAGGGCAGATACGGGACGGTCAGAAGAGTCGTGGAGAAGTGCAGTGGCCAAAGTCTGGCGGCGAAGTTCCTCAGGACGATCAAGTCGAAGGACAGGGAGCGGGTCTACGAGGAGATCAGGATCATGAAGGCGTTGAGACACCCGAAGCTGCTCCGGCTGGACGCCGCCTTCGAGAGCCCCAGAGAGATCGTCATGGTCATGGAATAGTGAGGGCAAACTCTTACGAAATCGACCTTCCTTGCCCTGGAGTCGCTCCTCTCATTCTCCATTTTCCTCAGCATCTCCGGGGGTGAGCTCTTCGAGAGGGTCGTGGCCGACGACTTCACCCTCACGGAGCGGGACAGCATCCTCTTCATCAAGCAGATCTGCGAAGGGGTCGAGTACATGCATCAGAACAACGTCGTGCACTTGGACTTGAAAGTAAGCCTATCTTAAGGAGTAGTCATTAATTCCTGTGATAAATTAATCGGCGCGGAATTAATTGTATTCGTTTTCCTCGACGCAGCCGGAGAACGTGATGTGCCATACGCGGACTTCCCACGAAATAAAGCTGATCGACTTCGGCCTGGCCCAGATTCTGAAGCCCGGGACACCCGTGAGAGTACTTTTCGGCACGCCGGAATTTATTCCCCCTGAAATCATCAATTACGAGCCCATCGGCACGGAGTCGGACATGTGGAGCGTCGGCGTAATTTGTTACGTGCTGTGAGCATCCTTCCCTACATCTGCTCCCGACGAGCGCTCTCTGAAGTGTTTCTTTTTTTTTTTTCTTTCTCTTCTCTTCATTCCTACGTCCAATTAATCTTTCCAGTTTAACGGGACTTTCGCCCTTCATGGGCGACAACGACGCCGAGACCTTCGCCAACATCACCCGGGCAGATTACGACTTCGACGACGAAGCCTTCGACGCCATCTCTCAGAATGCCAAAGATTTCATAAGCGCCCTGCTGGAGAAGAAAAAAGAGTGAGTGTAAATAGAATTAATCGGAACAGGGTGGATAATTAGAAAATACTTTATACGGTTCCAGACTTCGCATGCCGGCGAAGGAATGCCTAGAGCATCCCTGGTTGGCCCAACATACCGAGAGAATGAGCAGCATAGCACTCTCGACGGAGAAGCTGAAGAAGTTCATCGTCCGTAGGAAGTGGCAGGTACGTGAAAAGATTTTCCTAGGTTTCCTAAAGCGTGGATGAACTTTTAAACCTCACGTTTCAAAGTCGAGACGGTGCACGGGTGTTCCTCTAATCCAGCATGGCGTTCGGCTTGCCCGTTGCGCGTGTCCTAACAGAAAACCGGGAACGCCATCCGAGCCCTGGGAAGAATGGCGAACCTTTCCGCGAACAGTCGCAGGAGTTCCTCGACGACCAGCTCGGACCCTCCGTCGCCAGTCGAGACCCAAAGTCCGGTGACGCTGGAGGAAGAAAAAACGATCGTTCCCCAGGATCTCGAGGCGTCCTTGGAAGAGGACCTCGTGAGCAAACTAGAGTTCGATTCTCCGAGCGTTCCTTTGCCTCCTGCCTTCTCCCTGTGGTCCCAGAATCTGCTGGGAAAAGGCGATCTAAGCATTCCCGAAGAGGAGACCTCTTCCATCGCGCTCGTGGAAGAGTCCTCTCGTCTCGATACCGGCACACCTGCCGTCCAAGAGAGCGATTCAGGTGAGGGAATTATACGCTACCAGTCGGCGGGAGCAGAAATCCCTGACCTCGCGCAAGACGAGCGGCAGGAGGCGAAGGAATCCGAGGAGATAAGTTCCAGCGAGAGCTCGGCTCCGGATCAGCCTCTATCTCTGGGAGAGGAAGAACAGAATTTCGGCGCCATCGGTGAGGACCTGTCTTCGGCTGCTGTGGAAAAAGGTTTGGTAACCGACAGCTTGGGTTGAGTTTCAATTGGCTTCCTAGTGATGTAAACGACGAACCTTTGGTATCCAATCCCCAGTGGATAAGTAATTTAACTTTTATTCTTTTTTTCTTTCAGCCGAGGAAAAAGATAAGAGACCGGGGCTGAGCCGGGGCCGCGTGATCCACACCGGGAGCGTCAGTCGCACCGCCAGGATGTTCGAGAAAGAGGAGACCTCGCCGTCCGACGAGTGTCCTCGGGGCTCCTTCCGTCGTCCTTCTTCGGCGCTTTCCAGCGTCGGGAAGTCCCAAAACGAGGGCATTCGCCGGGCCTTCGCCTTCTGGAACAAATGAGCGTCGATACTAGAGGTTCCACGGGAAAGGTCCCACGTATTCCCGGGAATTCCTGGCTCGGCCTCGCGGCGCCGTTAAGCTCGTCAATATCTAACCAAAAAAGACTCGAGGGGGCGAGGAAATTCTACGTTACGCCTCGGAAATCGCCGGGTCGCCGGTGTTCTTCGCGATAACCAGACATTTCTTTAGCGACTAAGTATGTACGTCTACGCGGGTTTCGCGAGAGAGTAGGGGAGATATATTCGAATGCAAGAGTGAGCAGGAGGCACGAGTGATGGGAACTCCCCGACCGTACTATTGTAGCGCCTTTTCTACTTTAGCAACCACGCTCTAGGAAACAGGGGTAATTGTTTTCAAAACAAACCGCACGACCCGCGTGGTAGCCGTATTGCGATTGCTCCCTAGGAAGGTAGCTCGTTACTCCACCTGATGCAGTGCGAGGGTGTGTGTGAATAAAGAAGTTGTGGTACATGATTTTTTGCCTCCTTACTTTCGGCTCCGTAATTTTCTAAATACTGACGTCGTTGATGGGGTGAATGGTAGTTTTATGATACATGCTTCACGGGGCGTCTCGTAGATGGCGCTGACTCGGAGTTGCGGTAAGCTTCTCTGCTACGAGTCGGCCATCTTTTCGCCAGTGCGTAGTTCATGACCGACTCTTCTCAGCTCCTCGGGGCGGATCTTTGACTCACTTTGACTCTTTGAGGTTCGTCGGGATTTCGTCGTCACCTAGTCTGCGACGGTTTCGCGGATTTACTGATTATCTTTCATCGGGAACCTTCGTTAAGTCTTCGCCCGTAAGTATGTAACCGTGGGGTCGGTAATAAAGTAAATATGTGACGGTGGATGCGATCGAGAGGCGAAAAAACGTCCGGTCATTTTTCGCGTCCATTTGCGTCCCTTGCGTCCATGTTTGCCCTCGCGTCGGTCCTTGCGTCGCCCTTCCTACCTACCACGGATTAACGGCACTTCATTTGAGACGGTTAAGGAGTTCGTACTTCGCTAATAATAATCTCCCTCGCGGCGGAATAATGCATTCGTTTTATAGATTTAATTTCTTCTCTCGTTTAATATCGCGGAAATTGCATATACTCCGTGGAGGGGAGTGTACTTTGCGGAAGCGTCGCGGCGCGTCAGAACCGTAATCTTTCACCCTCGGATAACGGAGAAGAAAAATATATATACGTATATGTATAAACATAAAGTTCTTTCAATATTAGTGCAGTTGCACCCATATTTCATTTGAAACGTATAGATGCTAAAAATGTAGATTTCATGTTGACCTAGTATTTTAATTTTTTTTTTCATCCACAGGCACTATGTCGTTCAACAGAGGAATGAAGCGGGACTCCTTCGGGAACCGAAGCTTCGGAAATCGAGGCACGGGCAACAACATGGGTGGAGGTGGCATGGGAGGTTTAGGTGGAGGAAGCGGAGGTGGCAGCGGTGGTGGCGGAGGAGGCGGCGGAATGAATCCCTGGGAGAGCGGCATGATGCCGGGACGTGGAATTTTACCTACTCCGAATAATAGCTTGTCGTTGGCTTCTCCTCAAGCGCAGCTAGCTATCGCAAGTAATCTTCTGAGCAACCTCTTACGAACTCAGCAGGATGTACAGCCCCAGGTAATATTTCTCGAGTTAAAAATTCGAGTACGTTCATCGTTTGAAGCATAAGTCACAGGATGGTTTGTATCGCAGGTGCCATCGTTGCTAAGCCTTGGGAACAATTTCGGTGGACCAGGACCAAATTTTCATGGTCAGCAGAACTTCCCACAGGGACGTTTTAACGATCGGGCGATGCGACCTCCGATGAAGAATAATCGACTACAACCTTATAACAAGGTACGAGGGAAAGTAAGGTAACGTGCCAAAAAAAAAGGTGGCACGTCTGGGATAAGAGGGGTACTTATACATGACAAAAACAGTTTTTTCATATTCACCCAATTTTTGCATCGTTGCATCTTGGATTTTATCCGACCCGATAGCAAGATTCGATCTCGTCTTCGTTCACCCCGAATAACGTCGAGTGGATATTTTTTTCCATCCACGTCGTACACGATTACTGGGTTATACGAACATAGTACGCGATTCGAAACCATGTGGCGACCTTGTTTTAGTAGTTTATTGTTTTAGGAATGTGGAAAGAAATCTCTTCCGTGTCGAAGTACATATGCATATCGGTTTGGATTTATCGTTTCTCCTTTATTTGTCAGAAATTAGAAGTTCTTAGAGGGATTTAAAGATACACACCACGGTTCCCTCGACCCTCCTACATGCCCTATTCTCCAGTTACGTTCTTCCAAACTGTTCGAGCACTCCCTGAAACCTAACGCAGCGGCGACATACTAATCGAAATCTTTTGCTTGCATCCAAAGTCATTTCTTTACAGCGACGTATCGTACCCCTCTGCTTATTCTTGAGAATATTCCATCGAGGCTGCTACCTCGACTCGGAGCAGAGATAACGTGCCTACCTTACAGGCCTCGTGCCTTTTTCAGGCACGACTGCTACGGACACGCCCAGGTCGCGTGGGTTCGATCCTAGCGATCGACTTCGCGACAGTTTACCAGAAGACGATTCTTTAAGCGCATTGTCTTCTCCGAGCAGCCTTGCTGCACCCTGTCATTTTTCTTTGGGAGAGCTGTAACCTTCTAATCAACTTGTTCGAAGCATTCTAGTTTCGATAGAAAGTACCGTATACTTTTCCTCCCCCGCACTCCCTGCGGTCACTAGAATCGACTTCGATTCGTGACGATACGCAGCTGTATCGGACATCTCATGATGGTTTGGTCGTTTGACCTACACGAATAGATGGGCAATCGAGCCCGAGACGGCCTCGCTGGGCGACGTGGCCCGAACGCACAACAATCTCGTGCACCCCAGTCCGGCAACCAACGTATCAATGGAAACCAAATTCAGCATCGCAACGATAAATCTTCTAAAGCAATTCCTGCCTCTAAACAAAATCCGAGTGTCAAAAAGGAACCGCAGGATGTTAAGGCCTCTGATAGTGAAAAGGCAGAGACACCCGTTGTCAAAAGGTAAGCCTCCGATGATTGCGAATGGTTTCTTCGAACCTCCGGCAAGTTTCTCATTTTTCTGTCACTTACCTCGGTAGAGAGTTTCGAGTAAAGTCTTATACCACACACGACTACCGTACGTCTGTATATCCGTGGCCTCTCTCCAAACGACTGTTGAAATTTTGTTAACTCGTCGATGCCGCATTGGTGAAACTTAGGACGTATATACGGCCCTTAATTGCGCGGCGTGAGCGTACCTCGTTCAACAAAAGCTAGATTATTTCGTTTTTCCTCGGATTTTCTAATCCTCTTCCGCTTTCGCTCTCGCCCGAACGTCCGACCGATCGGGAGCGAGGTCCGATCGACTAATGAAATTTTCAACAGTCTTATCGATAAACATTTGTCGGTCTTTCCCCTTTTGCCAAAATCAAATTGCCGATTAACGTTCGTTTTCAACTCTTTTTTCCGACCGTACGGGTCTTACGTGTACGCTACTTAGCGCGGTCGTTTTGAGAAAAATTATCCGCGCGCAATCCGAGCTCCGTAAGACGATTCGTAGCTCGAGTTAAGCTCCTTTGTTCATCGGACTTTCATTCATGGCTCACGATATATATGTCTCGTCCACGTGGTAAATTGTTACCTCGTTGTCCCGTAACCTCAAAAATTGTAAAAAGATACAGACGGTACTCTTCAGAGTTTGGGACTGGCTGAGTGCAACGATCGACCGTCCACGTGAGATCGTTTCACCCGCAAAATAAGTAAGAATTAAAATCTACCACCGACGACACTTAGTCTCACAGAAACGGAATAGTTGGCGGCGACTCTCGGAGTTCCTCTTTTATGTATCGTTAATTGCACACAGTTGATATTCCACGCTCGCCTGGATGAGCGATCAGCCATTAGGGAGTCGCTAGAAGGAGACCTTCGTAACGGTTGTATTTGATGTGCTCCCAAAAGTGGCGACGAGTCCGTGGACAAGAAACGGGACTGGAAGGAAGAGAAGAAGTCCGGGGACGCCGAGCAAGCGGGACCCGATGGCACTGCCAAGGCCAAGTTGGACAAGTCCGACCCGAAGGACGCCGGTACCACGTCGGAGAACAAGGTTCCCAACAAGAAATCGGAGGCCAGGCACGCGGAGAGCCGGTACGCCGACGTCCCCATGAACCACATGTTCTGCCATGTCTGCAATAAACACATGTGGGACGGAGCTGTGAGTCCCTGAGAATGAGATTTGTCCTCGTTCTACCTCGAAGAGGGAGGATTAAAATGTGTATTTCTTTCAGTCCTTCGAGAACCACCTCAGAGGACGAGCGCACCAGCTGATGATGGACAAGCTGGACGAGTCCTACAAGCTGAAGGTGAACCTGATGAGACACGAGCTGAGAGTAGCGGAGGAACAGCGCGAGCTCAGCTTGACCAACTCCAAGCGTCACGGCAAAAAGGTATTTCAAGAAGGAAGACACTTGGTATTTAAATCCATGAACTTTGTCTGAGAATGTTATATCTCCTCTCGGCAGCTTCCGATCGACCTGTCCGTGAGGGAGTACTGCACGATGTGCGACCTGAACTTCTACGGGACCCTGTCGAACCACCGGAAAAGCGAGAAGCACCAGCAGCTGAAGACGTTCCTTCACCCGAGGTGTTTCCCCTGCGCCAAGGAGTTCCCCTCTCGAATTGAGTATGACGAGCACTGCCTTACGCCGATCCACATGAAGAACGCCGTGCAGAACGAGGAGCAGAGGAAGATGAAGAAGAAAGGTAATCGGGAGTTCCTGTGTCCCGTGGGTTGCGTGGATCGCCAGAGTTGGCAAGGATGCTGATGGGGATTTTTAATTTGCAGACAAACTCGCCAAAGGGGAATCCGAGGTGCGCAGTGCCGGCGACGAGGAGAAGGACCTAGGTCCCGACTCGAAGGACGACAAGGAGGAGGACATGCCGCAGAGCAGCGAGTACCTCACCGACATTATCGAGGGTAGTCTAGGGGACATGAAATATAAAGTACCGTCGTTTAAGTACTGCCGACAGAACCAGGTTCAGATAGGTACGATTCCTTGGCGAGTGGAGACCTCGAAGAGTCCAGGAGGGTACTCATTTCTTGCCTACCTTTCAGGGAAATCCATGGTGAAGGAGGTCCAAGGCTTCCACTGCGAGAGATGTCGACGCTTCATGCTGACGATCGACGACATGGCTGCCCATCTGCGCAGCATCACTCACTATCGTAACTTCGTGCAGGAGGTGAAGACGTTATCCGCGAACGAGAGCGCCAACCAGAAGCCGACCGCCGAGGAGGCCGCGACTCTGCAGGCAGGAACCGAGCAGAACATTTCCGAAGCTAGCGAGGAGTACGACGGGAATTGGAAACGACGCAAGACCATGAGGAGTGAAGAGGAAGAGGGCGCCGAAGAGAACGAACGGGGGGAGCCCGAAGCGGAGACCGGGACCAAGAAGGCCGACGGCGACGAGAAGTACGATCCTCTCGAGGCCGACGCCGAGTCGGAGGAAGAGGAGGTTCAGCAGGATAACCAGGAACAGCAGGAGGCTGCTCAAGACGTGAAGACTGAGGAGGAGACCGAGCAGGACGGTCAGCTTTCCGCCGAGAAAAAAGAGAACGCGGTGGAGAAGGTTTGGGCCGAAATGGACAACGACAACGACGAGGCCGTGGGCAACCTCCTGGACGACTCGCACGAGGAGAAAACGCAACTCGAATCCGAGGAACTGCAGCAACCACAGTCACAGCCACAGCCACAGCCGCAGCCGCAACCGCAACCGCAACCACAACCACAACTACAACCTCAGCCTCAGCCTCAGCCACAGTCTCAGCCTCAGTCTCAGCCTCAGCCGCAACAGCAGCAGCAGCAGCAACCGCCACAGCAACAGCAGCAACCACAACAGCAACAGCAACAGCCCGTGGTGGTGGTCGAGAGGTCCGACAGTCCCCAGACCAGGACGCCGCCTCAGACCAACAGAGGTCGAGGCTTCGTTCGCGGCCGCGGTGCTCGAGCTCGCAGATCGCGCAGATAAACATCCGGGTCCTGCAAAAGGAAGGCAATATTTCCGTCTTCTACCACTGCTCCGTTTTCATCTTCTCTTTCCTTCCCTTTTTTAACATCGTATTCTAACGAATATATCTGCGATGCGATTAGATCTGTTGGCACGGCCTTAGCTGGGTCTCTGGGCAGGATTGAACGTAAACCGATTAATTGTACAATATTTCTTAGTCCAGTGCATCGTTTGTAACTGAACGGGGTTTATACTATTGTAAATTGAAGTATTAGGGTCAGTCTCCGCGAGGGCGGACTCGGTGTGCTGAATAACACCGGTTACTGTGGTCCCGGGTGGTGGCTCGCGAGAGGTCGGGATGTGGCGATAGATTCTCTCTTGACACGTTTAATCAATTTATAGATTTTTTCGTGGTTATTTCTATAAACTCGTGTATGTCTAATGGGTTTCTTTTTTTAATCGCGTGGCGTTATCTATGGTGTAACGCAGGTATATGATATTATTATTGCAAGATTTGACTAATGTTGCAGCAAGGAACTTTCATCCTTTTTCTTACATGACCGTTCGATTAGCTTACGTTAGTAGACTAGACTATTAACAATTGAGAATAAAGGTGTCGACTTGCCTTTGGGCAAACGTGGGAATTAGGAGGGAGCGATCCTGCGAGTTGGTGTGAATGGTAAATTGATGTCTGGCTGTATAAGAATAAACATTGTCTGTATGAATTTTCATTCCAGTGTCGCAGATTTTTTTCTGGATTCTCGGGTACGCCATGTATGGCACTTAATAAAGGAGAATGAAACCCTAGCGTTAGATTTTCCGTTTTATTAAAAATGTAGCCACCTGTTCGGCTCGGTGCTTCATGAAGGAACGTCCTTAGTCTATTACTTGTTCACGATTATTAATCCAGAACAAGATGTGTTGCCAAGAATTCATCGACAGAATCCGTATCCCACTTATGAATATCTAAAACATCTTCGACTCTATTGTCCACTCCTAGCAACTTAATGATAGGGTCCAGGCCACGAACGTATTTGATTTGCAAATTTTTATACTTGCGCGGGCGATTACTCTTGATGAAAGCTGAAAGTTCATTTCGTAATTTGTAATAATGCCAAAGGAACTCGTGGGAGAAGTAGCTTACCTTGGATTTGAGGGTATGCGCCAAACTTGCACGTACAAACTTCTAAAACAGCCTTGGGATATCGCTTCTGCCCTAACGCATCTTCGTTGTCATCTTTCAAACAACACTCCTTGCAATTGTCACTGAAGAAGTATCATTTTACAATGACATTCGTGTAGAAAATCTCTAACAAGCTTATGTATACTTACTAGATGTCTACGAGATTGTGGGTCATTAACTTCTCACACGTGGAACATAACAAATTAGCTTTATTAAATCCTAGGAGTTTACAGTCATCCGCAGAAAACTGTGACACGGTGGTCCTTGCCTCCAGGAAAAAGAAAAACAAAATTTAGAATATCTATTGTGCAAAGCCAGACATGCAACTCGTTCTTAGGTACTACAATTGTTAAAAAAAAAAAAAAAATACTCGGCATCTCTACACTCACCACTATTCCGAGTACAAAAATGTAAGATAACAACGGATTGACCATTGTCCCGGTACTTGTAAACGAGTATCACTATTTTAAAACTCGAGAATATATCTTGTGCAGAGATGGTCTTGCGTTTAGGTTAAGTTTGGGAGCGCGTGCCTGGTGAAGTAACGGTCTGCCAGATGGCACCACTTCGTTCATCCTGCGCGCGCGGTTTGAAGCCTCTTAAAATTTCATCGGTAAATCCAAATTTCCTGATTTCCCTCCCACTGCAAAAGCAGAACCCTGTCATTTCTTAATATTTAATAAGTCGACAAAATCAATTATCCGAGGAACCGGATTCGGCGCAAGTCTCTTGTTTCCCCTGTATAAACGCAGGCCCCTGGACTGCGGGATTCGAGGGAGACCGACCCTTCCCACCGACCGGCGAATGCGGGCGAGCGAGAGAGACGCCTCATACGGCAGATAGATGAGCACGAGAGAGAGGGGAGACCCCCATTGTGCTCTCGTGCAGGGGTTGCCGCGCCGATTGGCACCGATGGGCGCCAGACGAGTCGAAGCGGAGTCCGAGGGTGGTCCTAGGCCGGTGCGGGAACTCGAGATGGCTGCGGGGTTTCTCCTCAGGTAAAACAACCCTTATAACGGAAGTAATCGCGAAAACCCCCCGATCGATCCGCGACTCGCGGCGCGTCGGTCCTCGTTCCGCCTGACATCGGACTCTGTCAAAAAGGCATCCCTAACCTCCTTTGGTTTCCTAAGCCACATCTCGTGGCAAAAATGTCGACCTGGGCAGGGCGACGATTGACACCATTCGCACAGTGGCTCCGGTCAATGTCGGAAATCCGACCCCTCCGAAATACGCCACACGCGGCGGCGGCGGCGGCCATTTTTAAATTCCTCGGGGGTGTTTCGAGAAAATTACAAATGGCGGCGCGATAAGGCCTCGCGCCCTCTCTCTCGCTCGCGCGGCTCGCGAGCGGGACCGAGGTCGCCGTTATCGGCGCCGCCATTTTCCGACGCCTGACGTCGCGCTCCGTCCGCTGACACCCGACGCCGTTTCGAGTGACACTTGCCAGCTAAGTGAATTACTCCCCGGCGGCGATAAGGCGCGTATCGAGTCGCCGTTCTAGGTGCAAGGTAGGCGCGGGAGCGCGAGCGAGACGGGGCGAGGGAGGGCAGGGCGCGCGGGAGAGAGACGGAGATAAGGAGACGGCAGTAGCGATATTATTTCGCGCGTTTATTCCCGGGGCCTCGGCGCGCGCAAAGGCGGCTTCCCTTCTATAAATACTCCCTTATGGACGCCTCTGGCGCGCGGTGACCCGATTTTTCCGACCGCGCGACCGACGCCGACGCGGGGAACGGGCGGAGTTATCGTGGAGGTTCCCGCTAATCGGCGACATCTTCTCAGGTGCGTCCTCGCCGAGTGAGGCCCCGCCGCGGATGCCGCCCTCGACGCCGGCCTCGACGCTCAGGAAGGACCCAGGGACCGAAGCATGACAGCTGCCGTCATGGAGAACGTTAACTGGGACCCCGGTAAACCCAACGTTTTCTATTTCTATATCGATTCCAGGTTACAGGTGCGTTTCGCTTAGCCGTCTATCTCTTCACGCGAGGTATAAACTCGTGTGATGTATTTCTTTTTTTTTTTTTTAATATTATGATCGAAAAGGTCGCACGTATATCACGGCTGGATATTTGAAAGAGCGCGAGGTGGTTCCTGGGAGACTGTACAGTAGACTCCCGTATAACGCGGTCACAGGAAGATGAATCCCGATATAGGAAATCCTGCCGTAGAGCTTCTCTGGTATAGCGCGCATAATATGTTTTGGTATTTGGTACTTTGTACGAAGATTCGCGTTATATGAGAACAGTCGTTGCAATGTCTTTGTTGTAGGGATTCGCATTGTAAGAACTCGCGGTACATGGGGGTCTAATGTATACGGCTAGAGGACGGGGAGGAAGTATCGATTGGGACGGAAGCCCGTCCCCGGGTTCCTGGTCGGCGTGCACCTCCGGCCGATCGTAATTTCATATCCTGTTTTAGCGCTTTCCAAGCTGCTGCAGTCCTTGGAGGAGAACAAGTCGGAGATCCCGAGCTGCACCGAGGAGGAGTTCGGGTTCCTGAGTGAGCTGCTCCAGTCGAAGGAGCTCAACGCCCTCGTCAACGTCCACAACAAGATTCTCAACAATGTCAAGGACGACAAGTTCTTCCCCGTGCTGTCCAACTCGATGGACATCGACGTCGAGGTGCTCGACCTGCTCTCGACCAAGACGCACCACTCCGACGAGTACAAGGAGCTCTTCCACCTCCTGCAGAAACCACACATACAGGTGTTTAGCGAGACAGGAGGAGGGAACTGATAGACCTTGTTTTTATTTTTTTTTTTTTTGTAATACTCATTCCTCTTCAGGGTCTTCTCTGCGCGCACGACCTGATCGCCCAGAAGGACTACTACCCCAGGCTCCCTGAAATCCCTCTGGAGGTCGACGAAGACGAGGAGACGGTCAAGATCGTCCAGCTGGTCAAGTCCAACGAGCCTCTGGTACGTTTTGGAAACTCCTGGGGGAGGAAAAGAGATTAAGACGGGAAACGATAGGAGATTGAGCTCGCGACCGATTCCGGCCGTCTCGACGTCGCCGATAGTTCCGGATTATTCGCGGCTAGGGATTTAATGCGAATTACACTCAAAGCACTACTCTCTTTCTGTCTGTTTTTCTTCTTTTTTTTTCTAATCGCAAACTTGCCCCGAAGTCCGGTAGCGGCGTTGAACCGATCGTGGTAAGTCCTCTCCAGATCAAACTAGGCCTGTCGACGCGCACTAGGTGTGTCTCTGCGGCGTTAAGATCTTCGCCTCGGGACGGTCCTTCGCCAGAGACCGCCTCGACGTTATATCCGGCATCTCCGCGATTGCGCTTCTCTCATTTCCTGCCACGTCCGCATGATCGCCTCGATGTGTCTTGTTGTTCTTGGCTGCTCACGCATCTCTCGTTGCAGATCGATCACGCAGACTCCATTCCCCGATTCTCGCATGACCGTTCGCCGTCCTCGATTCAGCTTGCCGAGGTGCGAGTCGGCATCGACGGGCACGCTCTTCGCACCCTTGCAGCGGATCTCTACTTCTGGTCTCGTCCTTCTATCATGTTTTCTTTCTTCCTTTTTTTTTCTTTCCTTTTCTTTTCAACGTCGCTGCCGACCTCGCCCTCGGGACTCGTCCTCGAGCAATGATCGTCGCGTCATTCACTCCATTTGGTCCATTTCATTTTTTCCTTCGAGGAGGCGGACGCGAGGCGTCGATGCGCGAGGTGAGAACTTTAGTTTGTTGTACCTGGAATATAGGGCGCGACCATCAAGACCTGCGAGGTCACCGGGAAGATCGTCATCGCGAGGATCATGCACGGTGGCGCCGCCGACCGGTCCGGCCTCATCCACGTCGGCGACGAGGTCTGCGAGGTCAACGGCATCAGCGTGGAGGGAAAGACCCCTAACTGCGTCCTCAAGATCCTGGTAAGAGCCTTGGAGAAGAAGAACGGCGGGATACGTTACTCACGGAGGAAGGGACATTAATCAGTATTATTAATTTCCAGCAAAATTCGGAGGGAACGATTACCTTCAAGATCGTGCCAGCGGATAGCAAGGGTGGAGTGCGCGAGAGCAAGGTGGAGGTCGCCTCTTTGGCTACGTAGTCTGCAAAAGAAGGATTAATGAAATCGACACTTAAATGGTCGTTTTATTGCAGGTGCGGGTAAAGGCTCACTTCTCCTACCGAGCTGGGGACGATCCGTACATCCCCTGCAAGGAGGCCGGCTTGGACTTCTCCAAGGGAGACGTGCTCCACATCGTCAGCCAGGACGACACCTACTGGTGAGTGTTGCGATCGGATGGATCGAATCGATCGAGCGTGATCCGATGTCGAGCAACCTGGTCCCGCAGGTGGCAGGCCAGACGGGAAGGCGACAGGAACATGAGGGCCGGTCTGATCCCCAGCAAGGCTCTGCAAGAGAGGAAGATCACCCTGGAGAGGCAGCATAAGGAGAAGATCGACGACGACGAAGACAGTATCAGTAAGTGGCGAGGGACGCTTCGGTTGGCTTGCTACTAATTTCCAGAGCTGCGACTAACGGCCGCGAGAGACTAACCGAGCTTTGCGCCGATTAATTGACTCGCAACACTGACTCTCTGTCTCGGTCCGCCTTGAATTTAATCCCCGGAAGGGTACCGGGAGACCTGCCGGTTTGCGAATGCATGAAATCCGCTAGGGAGACTCGGAGACTTCTCTTTAACGCGAGGTCTGACCTAACCCTCGGTTAGGCTTGTGTTCTGTTCCAGTGCCTTTGCCCGCGTTGTGCCCCCGTCCCAGTACCTCTTTGCACGCCTCGCCTACAAAGTGCAACTTGCAGGGAATTAAAACTAAAAAAATCATGTATGACGCTGCAGAGAACGACGACTTCGACCGCGAAGAGATACCGACCTACGAGGAGGTCGCCAAGCTCTACCCGAGGCCCGGCCTCTACCGGCCGGTGGTCCTCGTGGGGCCACCCGGGGTCGGCAGGAACGAGCTCAAGAGGCGACTCGTCGCCACCGACCCCGAAAAGTATCGCACCCCAGTACCTTGTGAGTCCAATTCGAGCCCCTCCATGGGAGGATACTTCCCCGTACTCAGGAGAAATATTCGCCAGCGTCTTACGATTTTGTCCTCTTCCGTTTCCTCCACCTGTTGCCCCGTGACGCGAAAATCGGAACGGGCGATTCGATATTCCAGACACCTCGAGGCCGCCGAGGCCGGGCGAGGTCAACGGCAAGGAGTACCACTTCGTCACGAGGGAGGCCATGGAGGAGGACATCGATACCGGCAAGTTCATCGAGTATGGCGAGTACAAGGGAAACTTGTACGGCACCAGTGCCGAAGGCGTCAGCTCCCTCGTCAACGCCGGCTACGTCTGTCTCCTCAGTCCCCATTACCAGGCCCTGAAGATGCTGAGGACTCCCAGACTGAAGCCCTTCGTCATCTACATCAAACCGCCGCGGTTCGAGATCCTCAAGGAGACGAGGAACGAGGCCAGGGCGAGGTCGACCTTCGACGAGAACAACTCCAGAGGGTTCACGGTGAGTATCCGCGCCTAGAAGTAGGAAGACGAAGAGTATGCGATAATTTGTTTAACGTTTCCTCTTTAGGACGAGGAATTCCACGAGATCCTACACAGCGCCGCCAGGATAGAGTTCCTTTACTCCCACCTCTTCGACGAGGTGATCGTAAACGCGGACCTCTCCATGGCCTTTGAACAGCTCGTGGACGCTATCCACAGGGTGGAGACGGAGCCGATGTGGGTCCCCGCCTCTTGGGTCCAGTGAACTCCGCCCTGACCCCTGGAAGTCGTCGGAGATGCTCGTTGGCGACCCGTCGTAGAGTCCGCACACTGCCAGTCTCGAGCGTCCCCAGGACGCTGCCGAGAGGATCCTCGAGGTCGCCCCGAGTCCCTACCCTGAGGCGCATCTCGAGGTCGCCGCCGTTGCCTGCTAAAGCAAGGGCGATCGTTAGTCCCAATTGTTGTTACAATCGTTGCCAAAGAACTCACCGATGAGAGCCGGACGCCACGAGTTAGCGGGGAACGCCGAGGAAGAGAGGAACGAAAGGACCGCCCACGCGCCTCGACGCTCCGACGCTCCTATCGGGGACGATTCCCGGAGCTCTTCGTCGACTCGCCGAGGTCGACGTCGAGGATCCTCCAAAATCGCCGGCGAGACGCGCGCTCCCCGAAACTCGTGGCGCCCCCGGCGAGGTCGCGCGATACGCTATTTTTTCCATGTACCGAGATATGACGACGGGACGACCACCGTCGGCGCGTTACGTCGATCCCGTAGCTGCCCGATCGCATTAAATAGTTCATCCTCGATGTACACTTCTATATGTTATCGAAAGAAATACAGCATTACATCTTTACCGCGGCCATTGGTCAGTGCGTCGTCCGGCCTTCTCGGAGGAAACTCGGTTTCCCTGACAAACGGTCGGGATTACGAAAAAGTCCTCCCTACAGAAAATCCGGAGAACCTTCTAATGGACAACTTTTGCCCGAGACATTTTTTTGTAACGCGAATCGTTTGCGTGGGAGAGGCTCGAGGAGCCGGCGGTTACGCGTACTCGCACATCGTTTACGCCGGCAAGTGCGGTTGATCGATCTCCTGCTGATCGATCGACGATAGATCCTCCCGGTGGTTGGTCATCGGCGATGTTAGGAGCGAAAATAGATGACCTAGGCACAGTTGGCCGAGGTAGCGGGGGGAACTCCATCGGGCGAGAACGGCCAGAGAGTTCGCTCTCTCGCGCGAGCGGTCCTTCTTCGCAGCATCCGAGCCCGATCCGCGGATCCGAATTTGATCTCGCCGCCCGAAGCCCGGCCTCGAAGGGGACGCCATCGTCATTTTTTCTTTAGTTGATTCGCCGACGTCTCGATCGAAGCGTCGCGACGGCGGAGGCGCGCCATGCTCTCGTGCCTGTGAATTCTAAAATAAGACCCAGTTAAATAATATTTTTCCTATTTTTCTTTTTTTTTTTAATAATTCAAGAATCTCCATCGTAATCAGTCAGGTGGTTCTGTTCCACCTTCCGGTGGAATTACCCGCGAGGGCGAGGGACGATGCAATAATTGTGACCCACTAACAGGACGGAAATAAAAATATCGAGAGTTCCTTAATGAGGGGAAAGCACGCGACTGCACCTCCAGAGGTGGAAAAGTCCCTGCGGATGCTCGCCCACATATGACAGTAAGTGCTCCTCGGGTTAACTCGATCGCTCTCGTTTCCTTTTTTTTTCTTTTTCGCTCTCTTTCTATCCTCTCGCCCCGACTCTCGGGACAAGGGATACCTAACTTCCCATTCCGGGGATCGATTAAAGGGGTAGATCGATGCCCTGATCGCGTGCTCGAGGATTTCTAATCTAATCCCAGGCGCCGTTTGCGAGTGTTCACACCTGGAGGGACTCGCGTCTGCGCTAAGGGCGGCTCGGGGTTCCACTTGAAATCTCCGCTACTTCTTGCCGCGAAGTCACCCTGGAACGTCTCCATGGTCCCTTGAGACCTGGAAAAATTCCCTTATACAGTCGTGACTGGAAATTAAACCAACGGTGGAAAGGAAAAGCGAGGACCTCTTCGGGGTGCAGTGCAGTGCTTCTCTGGATCGCCGTCCTGGAAAGCTCGTGCAAGCTCCTCTGCCTCCTTTTTTTATGTCGGATTGTCACGCACCCACTCGGCTCCGGTTCCTCGGAATTCTCGGGCATTTACGTGATCCTCGACGTCATCGCGATCTCGAGGACACTCGAACCTCTCCACGTCAGTCTGACCTGGACGGAAGTCCAGGAAGTCCCGGCGATGGTGGCGAACGGAAGAGCGTCCGATTGCGACCGACATACAAGAGCGACCTCGGGTACTCGAGTCAAGTTGAGGAAGGTCAGTGCCCCGGCATCTGAAATGAAAATCTCGTGGTTACTCGTCCCTGATTAACTTTTCCCTGACGTAAAATCGATATTAATAAACTGCCGGTTAAAGTAAACGTGGTTAAAAAATTCTGAATAAAATAATAAAGGGTATGGCATTTTTTTTTTTTTATAAGCGGAGCGTCTCGCGATCCTCTAAGGCGTTCTTTCAGTGTGTCGGGAGTATGGGATGAGTTATTTTTAATTTATTTACCCGTTATGCCGACCACTGAACGGCGCAATGAGCCAACCGCGCTCGAATCAACATTCGGACGTCACAATCGCGCGGATTTATTTCCAGCTCGGAAACTAATCCGCGAATCCGATCCCGCCGATCGACACGGAAAGTCCTCGCGAGGGTGTTAGCCTTGGCGCTAAGGGGCGCGAACCCTGGGTAGAAAATCACGGGAAGCACGAAAGCTCGACCCTCACCCCTAAATCGTAAAATCGAGGAGGCTCGCACGCCACCGGGTTGTTTAAAAACACCGGGCAATCTCTCGAGGAAATTAAACCCCCCGAAGAGTCCACATCCCGACCCTTCGCCAAATCGTAAGGATGACCCCTCTCGACCCCTGGCCAGGTTAAGGAAAATTCAAATTTAACGCAAACGTCTTCAAGGTCTGAAATTAGGCTTGCCAGGAGTTCATGCAGTCCTTCGTTCCCTGAGATCGTTAAAACAAAATCCCACGGAAACCGTTGCCTCGACCCAGGACGAGAAGGTGGTGCCGGGGGTCCTCACCTGCCCGAACTTTCCCTGATAACGCGAGTGGTGGTGCACCTCCGAGTCCACGATTTGGCATTGGGGTTTACGGGACCCTGACACGGAAGCTCGGAGGAGAGAGAGATAAAAGGAGAGAGGGGAAAAAAAATAGTAACCGAGAATCGATGGTTTCCAGCCGCTCATGGAGGTCGGGGCCCCAGGGGGGACCTCGGGTCGGAGGGCGATGCTGACCAAGGGGGGATCTTCTTCGGGGCTCGGGGCGTCCTCCGCTTTGCCCAGCACTCATCAGGTGAGTTACCTGCGGATTTTCGATTCGGTTAATTCATTCCTCGGTGGGTTTCGCTCGTCCCGGCGGATTGGCCGCGACGTCTTCCCCGGAAACGAGGAAACGCCGCCCGAGGAAAAATTCACCGCGGGGTACCATTCGTCAGGTGAGTTACCTGCGGATTTTCGATTCGGTTAATTCATTCCTTGGTGGGTTTCGCTCGTCCCGGCGGATTGGCCGCGACGTCTTCCCCGGAAACGAGGGAACGCCGCCCGAGGAAAAATTCACCGCGGAGTACCACTCATCAGGTGAGTTACCTGCGGATTTTCGATTCGGTTAATTCATTCCTCGGTGGGTTTCGCTCGTCCCGGTGGATTGGCCGCGACGTCTTCCCCGGAAACGAGGGAACGCCGCCCGAGGAAAAATTCACCGCGGAGGACCCGAAGATCTCTCGAAGCGGCGTATAAATAGCTCGGCTCGATCTTACCCGAGAACAGAGAGAGGAAGAGAGAGAGAGGCCACGATTCGGCCTTACGACGAGAAGTCGCGAACCGCGGCGAAAGCCGGGCTCTTAGGATCGTTGCTACCGCGAGGCCTCGTCCCTCCTCCGGCTCTGGCCGTCGCGACGTCGACGTCTCGTTGTCGATCTAATCGAATCTACGACCGGGACGTGCCGGTGGTGCTCTCCGTCTTCGAGCTCGCCTCGCGGCCAGTAGGCTCGGCATCGCCTTGCTCGAGGAATCGCCTGAAGAAAAGAAACACAGTCAATTAATAATACGGTATACATAAGTGCGCGCAAATAGACCGACAAGCTAGGTAAATATTTGCTCCGGTTTAAAGCCGGCCAAATTACATGTGAACAAGATTAGACTCGGTCTTACGGAGAGATCGGTCTCGGTATCGGTCTTGCATCGTTGAGAATTGTGCCCATAATTATGAAAGTGGTCTAAGTCATATGTTTTTTGTTTCGGGATTACATTGAATTAATTTCGTTTGAAATAATATGGCGTGAAATAACTGATAAACTCATATTTTTTTTTTTTAATTTTGACTTAGACCACTTTCATAATTATGGGCACAATTCTATACATACGATCTATTTATTCATTTATCAATGTAATCTAACGTATTATCTATTAATCAACCACGGTCGAGTGTCGTTCAATTCCCAAGAGGCCGTAAGACCAAGACAGTCTTGTACTAATTGTACATTTTGTATTTTTCCCAAGGATGTAAAACCAAGACTGGTCTTGCTCATTCACTAGGTCGGATTCTACGGAATTAATAGGTAATCCAGTGCGCGGAGTGGGATCGATATGTTTCTTTTTTCTTCTTCTTTTTTTCTTTCCTTTTTCCACCGAGTGTTGGGTGCGGAATAATGAAAGGCGATTCGGTCGAGAGGTCGCCGGGGCGAGAATCGAGGCTCTCGCGTTGACCCGGCCCGAGGTTTGCCTTTGCCACCGGGACGGACAGGTTTTAATTTAACGTGTCAACCGCCGAGGCGAAAATAACCGGGAATAAGCGGAGATTACGCCGGTGCCAGGAGCCGTGCCGGTGATTTAGAGACACCGCGAAGAGGCGTCGATCGCGTCGATACGTTCCTCGTAGCTGGTTTTCGGCAAAGCCAATATTCAAGGTCCGCGAGTCCGATCTGGAGTTTTAAAGTAGCGCAAAAGCGGCGTCAGGGAGGTCTCACTCGTGAAACTTTTCTCCCGACCGGGTGCACCGAATCGTATAAAAATCTAGAATTTAAATTTGGAGGCTGCGAGGAAGATCCGGACTCCCCATGAAATTTCAATTTTTCAAAAATTCGTTTACATAGGTTTAAACAAAATTTTGTACAAAAATTTCACGGGTGTCAGGACCTTCCTTACAGGCTCCACGTTCGCGTTGTAAATTTTCACACGATTCGTTGCACCCAGTTGAGGTGAAAAGTGTGACGAGCTTAGTTTCCCGACACTTGAGACGCGACTTTCGCTTCCCTTTAAATCGTCGTTTACGTCCGATCTCGACAGAAGGTGAGGAAGATCCTGGAGGACCACGCCTCCTGGCAAGAGCACCCGGGCGAGACCGCGGACCCCTTCGCAGGGGGTCCCAGGAGCGTCGCAGGGAACTTCAGCATCGTAGCGTCGCGCGGGCCGCTCGCCCGAAATAGCTTCGCCGTCCGCGAGACCCCGCCTGGCCCCGGAACGGCCGCACCGCGGAAAAAAGCGCCGCTCCTCGGCGGAAAGGTCCAGAGGGAGAGGAGCGAGCCGAGGAACGCCGAGATCAAGGAAGACGCGGAGGAGAGGGGCAGAAATCGACCGACAAGGAACGGCGCGCTCCTAGGAGACCCGGACAACAGGACCGGGAAGAATCGTCCTTTCGCGGGCTCCCTGGAGAGACTCATCCCCGACGACTTCAAGGAAGGTGAGAAGTCGCCCGGCAACGTGTACAGAGTGCGGAAAGTATTCTATCGATTTTATCAATATTTTCTCAGGAACGCAATTGCCTAATAAAATCACGGACACATTAGATCATTAGCATTAGTGTCAACAGACGCTCGAATATCTTCCTCCAGACTTGCCCTATCGTTCAAGACGTTTTGAAAAATCCCGGCAACTTTCCCCGCACTCTGTATACATCAGCTCGAATCGGGAACCGCAGTATTTCCGCGAATCCGCGCGGAAGCAACGCGTGCGGAGGAGCGACTATACCGCTGGGCGGTTATTTATCTAGATTTCTTGGCGGGCGACAAGTCGCGGCGCGGCAGGTTCTCGGAGGAGGGCATCCTGGGCAGGTCCTCGGCGTTCCTGGCGAGCCTCGCGAGTCCTGGGAGCAGGAGCAAGCGGGACCAGCCCCGGCCAAGGTCCTTGGAGAGGTCCTCCAGCTTGAGAGCGGTGCCGACCAGCTGGAAGAAGCGCGCCGACCAGCAGGTGAAGAAGTCGGTCTCCTTCAGCTCGGACACCAGCTTCGAGGAGAAACGTCCGCCCAGGAAGAAAACCGCCGTGCACGAGGCGAAGGTCTACCACCGAGGGGTTCTTCAGGGTGAGGCCGAGCTCTCCTAGGGGATAAAATCGTTTTCATCGATCTACCTGCGGATTCGCGTTCGGTCAACGGATACTGCCCTCTTAGCCCAGGAGCCCAGGGTGCCGGAGGAGTCGAGCGAGGAGGGGAGCGTGTTCACCTGGGGCCCGAAGGTGCTCCTCAGAGCCGCGCGAGAGGCCGATGAGGAGACCATGGAGGACGTCGTGACGAGGATCAGGGAGCCGGTCTGCAGGGGCAGAACCATGGACTTAAATGCGGTGGACGGCAGCGGCAGGGTGAGGGCCACTTCGCTTCTACGCATACAATATATTTATTAATTTACGAAAGTATTAATTAATGGAATAACCGATAAGTGGATTAATGATACGCGAATCGTCGCAGACCGCGGTAAGCTACATGGCGGGGAACGGAGCCTGTGCGATGCTGGAGGCCGCCCTCTCGTTTCCGGGTCTGGACCCGAACATCCCGGACAACGAGGGGAACACCCCCCTGCATTTCGCCGCCCAGGCAGGTGGGTGTCACGCCAGTGACGATTAATCGTAGTTCATCGATTGGCGATCGATCAAAGGCCTCGGCTCTGCAAGCTCATCGCGGTCGGGCGAGGGACCCTCGTCGGGAGGGAGTTTCAGGAACAGAAAACTGACCGGCGAAAAGCTGCGCCGCGGCTCCCCTCGACGTCACCGAACGTCAGCGGAGCCGGAAATAACTTACTAACAGGAGGGGAAGACAGGAGGCGGTAGTAGCCACGAGATTGTCGCTGACGTACTTAGGCTACTACCTGGCAGCGCTCGATCCCGCGTGACAGACGCCGCGACGTGCGTGAAAAAGAAATAAGGAAGACTATTAATATTAAACTCGCATCTACGTAAGGAAAAATATAGGGAGTATCTCACTAAGGACCGTCGCATCCGCAGGTCACACCGAGTGCCTGAGCATCCTGCTGGAGAAGTGTCCAGGAATCGAGGTGGACGCCAGGAACGCCTTGGGATTCACACCGCTGATGAAGGCCGCTCTTCAGGGTAGGACCAAGTGCGCGAAGCTCCTGCTGTTCGCCGGTGAGTTCATCGAGTCCAGGCAAACATCGGCGTCTAGAAAGTGGACCTCTCGGTTCCAGGTGCAAATCCAACGCTGAGGGACCATGGAAGAGGGCTGAGGGCGGAACAATGGGCCAGGTTCTGCGGCAGGTACTCCTGCGCCGACGTGATCGAGCGGTTCGCCAGGCACCGGCTCCTCGACCGGAACACCTCCTGCAGGTGGGGCAGCGAGCCCGAACTCGCGGCCAAGGTTCTACAAGGAAAGGTGAGGACATGAGTACGATCGACATTTTCCCCAGGAATAAGAAGGGAAAATGAAATCTTGAAAATTTCCTTCGGTTCCTCAGGTGACCCCCGTACCTACTAACTTGCCCCCCGCCTCCACGGGGCTCAAGTCGAGGATTCGGCGGGTCTTCAGAACCACTTCCGGTCCCGACAGAGGATTCTCCTTGGTGACCCAGCTGACGAGCGCCGCCCTCTGCGCGAGCAGTCCCGCCTTGCCGAAAGCTGGGGACGTTCCTCCGGTAGTGAAAAGCTTGCTTCGTCCCCTGAGCGTGCCGCAGCTGAGGTGAGCTTTCATTTTCCCAGGCGTTGAGGGTAATTTGGAATGGAACGGCTGTTTCGGTCCGCAGGGTGACGCTGGTACCGCCGCTGGATGGGTAACCAAGGTTAACCATTCGCAACGAAGAGCAAGGTAGACTGGCGTTGCGACTCGAGGAAGGTCGGGATCGCTTCCGCTGGATCTTCCCGCTAATCGCCCGGGGAAAGTGATCTCTCTCGATCGAGGTGGAGTCGCATGTACTAGCAAATTAACCCTTCCGCGGTGAGGGCGATCAGTTCCTGATTCACTAGCTCGAATTAACACGGGTTGGCGCTCGTCTCGCACGAGAGGCGACGTGCCTCTCCCGGATGCAGCGCGTAAACGCGGCAACGAAGATGTAGTTGATAGGTTTTTTTTACGTGTCATAACGAGAAACTCGACGGCATTCTCTAATTCTACGTCACGCAGCATGACCCAATAACACCGTTAACCGGCGTCGGTAGACCAACGCGTCTCCTCGTGCTCTTTTGTATAGCGAGCGGACGAGCTCGCTCGCCTTTCTTGTGTCGATGTGCCCGCGAACTCGGGTAAACGTAGTGAGCATTGTAATAAAGACTATGTTATTATATATAAATATCGTCAACGATGTAGGGGAAACACGGAAAGGGGTAATCCGTAGGTAGCGTCGGTCCCTGAAGATCACTCCGTCCTGCGGTTTCGCCGCTGTCTGCGGTTCCTCGCGCTCGATAAGATCTCGTACGCCTGCTGAATCTCCATGAACTTCTCCTGGGCCCTCCTCTTCTCCTCCTCGGAGCCCTTTACCTTGTCCGGGTGGTGCTCCCTCGAGAGGGCCCTCCACTTCGCCGTGATCTCGCTCTGCGACGACGTCTGCGACAGCTCCAACACCTGCGAGGAATAATTCGAACAGCTGTTAATTTGTCACGCCAAAGAGTCGCGTCGACGGCGTTATCTCGCGTACCCTGTAGGCGTTTATCTCCCCTCGTGGATCCGTCAAGTCGACCAGCTGCGCCCAGGTCGCCCAGAATCCTTGATGCCTGACCTGTCGCCAGGCCTCCTCCAGGTTCGTCTGCAAGATAGGAGGGAAAAGTTGTAACCAAGACGTTAAATCCTCGCTATTATAGTAATCGAACGCGAACCTTGAGGTCCAACCAAATCGGCGAGGTGAGGAAGTGCTTAACGGCCTCCGAGATCTTGATCTCCTCTCCCTCGCTGTCGGTGATGGTGGCGTTGAAGTAAAAATAGCTACCCCAGAGAGAGAGGTAAATTACCGAGGCCAGGAGGAGGATCGCCAGCCTCCGAGGGAGGCTCCTCTTTTTTCGAGGCCTCAGCCTCCACTCCTTGGAGAAGCTGTCGAAGACGAAGGCGGTCGTCGTCACCATCAGTCCCATCCAGGTACTGTCGTCCCCGATATAATACAAGGTGGGATAACAGCAGTACGCCGTCAAAAGTGGGAGCCAGATCGAGCCCTGCTCTCTGCCGATATTCCCTACTACCCATGTGCCTAAAAAAAACCGAGAGAAGATTTTATCCTACAAACTGCAATTTTCAGCCACCAACGACGTCGTGAATTTTCTATTTTTTTCTCTCTTTTTTTCCAGAAACACAAAGCTCGTTTATCTAGGCCTGCGTAACTATTCGTTATCGCGACGCGCCGACAGGTCTGCAGCCTTGAATTTCACGATGTAACGCGGTTCAGAGTGGAAATTTCACCTAAAGCAACTGCGGCAGGAATGAAGATGATGAGGGGCCGGAAGTTAATTCCATGGACCTCGTCCTCGGGAATGGCTATGTACACCAGCTGACCCCAGACGTAGGAGACCACCAGAGCTCCCAAGAAGCGCACCACTGAGAAGGGAGGCTGAAAGGATAATTACGTTAGGATCCCTAGAAAAATCGACATCTTCATTGAGCACTTCTTCTTGAATGGACGGGAGATTGCGTGACGGATTAATCGGAAAAATGTTTGACCTCGTTGGCGGTCGCCGGTGTGAAAGAGACGCCGAGATGACATACAGGGTGACTCAGAACTCTTGTGCGGAGAAAATGAATCGTGCAAGTGAGTGTAATTCCAAACTGGCAATTTGGAATATTATTTCGAAAAGGACATTACCTTTCTATTCGCCCTGACTCGTGTCTTGAGCCACTCGCGGTACTCGGGATCCTCGTTAGCATCCGCCACGTATCCTGGGATCTTGAAGAGGTCCCTGAGCCATCCGATCCCGAAATACCCGCCTAAAGTGCAGAACCACACGAATGCGTGATCGTCCCTTTCCAGATAAACGTGATGGGCTCCAAATACTCCCCCAAAGAGCCAAAATACATATGCCACGAAAACGGACTTCCTCTTCCGGGCAGGACCTTCGTTCCTCGTTTTCGCCTTCTCCCGATCCTTCGATATGAATTTTTCCGTCTCAGGCATGGCGCGGCTCTTCGACTGCGGGCAATTCCACTGGAAAAATGAGACACTGTCCAGGGGGAGACACCACGACAGCCACGACCCCGATTGCATTTCACATTGATACAAGTCCTCCGCTGTGTATTAAAATTCCTTCCTCAGTCGATGTCGATTTCCCTTTAAATCCGTGCCTCGATAACCGAGCATCCCGCCGACGTCCTCCCGCGGTCCACTCCACAGCAGCGTCCTTCCCTCTTCTAAAAGAAACGCAATTATTTAATTCTTTTTCTAAGAATAGCGCGTTTAGATTTATCGCCGCTTTTAGAGGTAGGTGCTGCGAGGTGTACGTGGCTATACTACCGTGGCGTCTCGGGAGGAGCGGTTCAACGATCCGAGGGAATAACGGTACCTTGTCGCAGGTACCTCGGACGTAAGAAGTGGGACGAACGGTTGCGTCGTGCCATACATTTCTCTTCCTTCGCCAGAATATCTAAATTAAACGCCTAATCAACTCTCGATTTTCCTCCCAATTAAACTTACCGGTAACTTAACGTAACATATTAATGTATAATATCGTATTTAATATCAAACGATTGAAGAAGTCTCGCCGTCCCACGCCTGCGCGCCCGCGGCAGGATTCAAAGATGGCGCCAGGCGCGCCGGCAGCGCCACCGGCGGAGGCGTCGTGAATCTCGACTCGGCAGCCCGTCCACCGTCCCAGGGGCACTCAGTGGCCGCGTTTTCCTTCTGGATTCTTCTACGCGTGATACGTTGTCGCGGCTTTTGCTCGTCGGCGACGAGACCTGCAATCAAATCCGATAAAATGTCCAGCTATGGAGGTCGTGAGCGACACAGCGAGCGCAAGACCGACGCATAAGCAATGGCGACGCGTCGCCAAGAGAGAGCGACGTCGACGGCTGCGATGCGCCGCCGCCCGCGAGCGCGAGGTGGACGCGGAGCGACTCAAGATGGCGCTCGAGCGGAGCGCGGGATATTCAAACTGGCTGGCCGAGCAAGAGGAACATGAACGGCAACGAGAAGAGGAGGAAAGGCGCGAGCGCGACGAAAGAGAGAGACTGTGGCTCGAGGAAGAGGTTAGACTAGAGTTTTTATAATTATTTACACGTAATACACACACTGGAATTCCCGATTCGGGGTCGTTACTAGACTTCACGCCTAACAACAATATTCCGCGGTTCTGTTGTTACCGCGAAGACTCCTGACAGTCATTACTAAACCTGGAGTAATATATATTAAGTATTAAATAGATTAAATATTTGTACGTTGAAAAGCGAGTCATGTGGCTGCCGAAGCCCGCAGATTATTTCGTGGTGAGTGCTCGGACATGAAATCGACGTCCAGTTACTCTCCTTTGGGGTTGAGATAATTTATCCCCTTAACCTGCCTCTATTGGTTCCCCGGATTTAATTTGTTGCTGGATTTTAGGTGAAGGCTCAAGAAGAGTGGAGAGTCCAGCAGGAAAGGAAAGCTCGAGCGCGGCAGGAGCAGCTGCAACAGGAGGCGAAGATCCGGCAGGAGTTCGAGGAGAAGCAGAAGGCGCAGCGCGCGAAAAAGGAGGAGGAGCAACGGTTGCGGGACGCGGAATTCGAGAGGCAAAGAGATTTACAGAGAAGGATAGACGAGTATATCGACGAGGGAGCCAGCACTCCGGAGACCTTCCGGGTGGTGACCGACAGTCAGCCCGGCAGGGAGCTCTGTCCATTTTTCACAAAAACGGGAGCATGTCGGTACGGCGACACCTGTTCCAGGAACCATCGCAGGGTGTGCCTGAGCAAGGTGATCCTGGTACCGGGCTTCTACTCCCACTTCTCCTTGGAGAAAAATTCCGCCGAGTACGACACCGACGTGGGCCTCGAGTTCGAGAGCTCCGAGACCCGGCGCCACTTCCGGGAGTTCTACAAGGACGTGGTGCCGGAACTAGAGAGCTTCGGCAGGATCAGGACTCTGAAGTACTGTTGCAACACGGAGATCCATCTTCGAGGTAACTTGTACGTGGAGTATTACACGGAGAGGGAAGCGGCCAGGGCCCTGAGGAAGCTCAAGGGTCGCTGGTACGCCGGGAGGCAGCTCAACTGCGAGTTCGTCAACCTGAAGTCCTGGAGGAACGCCGTCTGCGGCATGGGGAAGTGTCCCAAAGGGAGGGCATGCAACTTCCTCCATACCTTCAGGAATCCTCGGGACGAGTACGACATCAAGAGCCCCCCGATGTGGGCGAAGAGAGCAGGAAGTCAGGACCCCTCGGCAAGCTCCAGGAGGAGTAGCAGCAGGTCGGTCACGTCCCTCGTGGATTTTATTCCTGAAACGAGATACGTGATATTAACACGGTGTAATGTATTTTGCAGGAGGCAGTCCTCGAAATGGGAGGAATCCGTCCGGGGTGAGAACGAGAGCGGAAGCTGGAGGTGGTCCGAGTCTCCGGAGCCGGAGATTCGAGAGAGACGCCGTCGAAAGGACTCCAGAGACGAAGAGCAGCCCCGGAAAAAAAGGACCTCTGCTTCGAGGAGTTCCAGGAGCTCGCAGGACTCATCCCGTAGGCGAACGAAACCCGGCAGGTCCGAGGAAGACGGGACTCGGCCCGCGGGACGTTCCGAAAAGTCCGGAAGCGAGAACCGGAAGGAGCGGTCAACCGGGGCCAGAAAAAATGGAGGAATGGAGTCATCTCGCGAGGGCAGAGGTTCTTCCCGGAAATCGAGGATTCCAGAGAGTTCTTCATCTAGTCGCAGGTCGATCGCATCGGAGAGCGATTCGTCAAAAACGAAGAGAACTTCTAGAAAACGGAAACGTGGCGTATCCGCGTGGGATACGAACGAAAAGAGCGTTGCTTCCGGTTCGGAGAGTGGCGAGTCCAGTTCTTCGGGGTCCTCTGGTGCCGAGAACCCTGAAGATGCCGCCAAAGACAAGCCTCCTTCGAACGGGAATTGGGATACCTCAGACTGCGACGAGGAGCCGCAGAAGACGCGGCGATGAGTTTAACTATTAATTACCGACCTTTTAATTGAATCCAAAGATGGCGGTCGACGCCACACCACCCTACAATAAGCCTGTCTACTTTGTACAATTCGATTAAATATTTTTCTATGCGAGTTCCCGTGGTTCTCATGGTTGCATCCGAGCTCCTATTTATACCGGTTAACTCATTAATTAACTTATCATTCCCCTTATCTCGCCGCCAACAAACGTCCACCGTGACGGAACTTCTTTTCAGAAATCCCCCCGAAGGCATCTCGCCCGTCGATTTCTCCTATCTCCCGCATACCTGTATCTATTTTCTTTTTATCGATCCCGATAAAAGCCGGCGTCACACAATGTGATCGATTGTCCCGTAGAACATCGATACGGCGTGCAAACTCCTGTCTGTGAACCGCGCTCGCGTTATCGACGGTATCAGTCATCTTCGTGAATCCCCGGAACCAACAAGGAATCGGCGACCATGAATCCTGTCCCAGCAATATTCCTGCTCTTCCTGGTCGCCGTCGAGCGCGTACATGGCTTCGGTTTTCGAGGATTCACCTTCGAGGGGATCGATGTCACGGGGTCGCTAAAATCCAGACCGTCCCCCATGTCCCTCTCCAAGGAATGGATCACCCAGCCTCTGGACCACTTCAATCATCGGGACAACAGGACCTGGCAGATGGTATATGCAGGGCATTAATTTGGAAATATATCTCCCCTTTAGTCCTTCTCTAATCCGATAAATTTCTGGCAGCGCTACTTCGAGAACGACGAGTTCTTCGAGGGGTCTGGACCGATCCTGGTGATGCTGGGCGGCGAGTGGGCGATCTCCTGGGGCTTCCTGAGTGCCGGCCTCATGTACGACATCGCTGCGGAGAACAAGGCTCTCATGTATTACACGGAACACCGATATTACGGACACAGTAGACCCACACTGTGCGTAAGTCGTTCATAGTACCGACCAGTAGGGTAGGGAAAAGTGGCCACGCCAGGATAAACCTTACATTTCGGGGTTTCCGTTTCCTCATCAGGGACACCAGCGTGCCGAATTTGCAATTCCTCAACGTGGACCAGGCCCTGGCGGACGTGGCATATTTTATCGAGGCCAAGAAGCGGGAGAGGAACCTGAAGAATGGCACGGTGATCGTCTTCGGAGGGTCCTATGCCGGGAACATGGCAGCCTGGGCCAGGTTGAAGTATCCTCATCTCATCCAGGTCCGTTGACTCGCAGACGCAGTCCTGAAGAGAAAGCTGGTATTAATTCGATCGGGAAAAATTTACCCGTTTATCTTTCAGGGCGCCCTGGCAAGCAGTGCTCCCGTTTTCGCGAAGGCGGACTTCTTCGGTAACGCGATTTCATTTGGCTCGGCCGTTTCGTAACAGGGTTTCATTCTCCTTTTAACTTTCTCATTGTAGAGTACTATCAGGTCGTGGCCGATAGTTTGGGTAGATACAGCCAGCAGTGCGTCAGAGACGTGAAAAGCGCCTTCGACTCGGTAGAAGGGTTGCTCTCCGTCGAGGGGGGTCTGAAGACGCTGAAGAAGTACTTTAAGTACGTGGTAATCCACATTTCGAATATAGGAAAATTATTCCTCACGTGAAAATCACTTTCTTCCAGTCTCTGCAAGACTCCGGACGTGACGGTGCGGAACGACCTTGCCACCTTCATGGTTTACCTAGCCGAGGTAGATCCCTGAAAATTAGAAAATATTAACAAAATAAATACATGCGCGTTATTATTATTTTTTTTTTAACTTTCTTTCTATAGAAATTCGCGGCGGTAGTGCAGTTCGACGGCATCGTGTCCCGGGGGACAAAGATATCCAAGATTTGCGAGGACATGACGAACGTTAAACTAGGCTCTCCGCTTGAAAGATTGGCTAAAGTCGCTCGGCCGACCGACGAGTGCCTCGAGGTCGACTACAAAAGATTTCTGGAGAAATTCGCGGACGTCTCTTGGGCGTCCCCAGCCGCGGCTAGCTCCAGTAGGTTGTTAAGCAATCGTAGAACAAAAGGGAGGACGGAGAAATTAGCAAGTAACTAAAGAAACTCTAATTCTCTTCAGCGAGGCAGTGGTTGTACCAGACGTGCACCGAGTACGGATACTACCAGACGAGTAACTCGAATAGATCCATATTCGGCACGCTGTTCCCCCTGGAATACTTCCTGGACATGTGCGCAGACCTCTACGGAAATTAGTGAGTATAATTAGCCATTCATCGATCTAAAATAACAGCGAAAACGAACGCGAACCTAGCTACGACCGGCCAGCCCTGGAATTCGGGATCGAGAGGACGAACATCATGTACGGAGGCTGGATACCGGAAGTGACGAACGTCATCTTCACCAACGGCAACGTGGACCCCTGGCACTCGTTGTCGATCCTCGAGGACCTCAACGACTCGTCTCCCGCGATCATAGTGAACGGTACGCGATGATAATTCCGAAGAACCCAATGTCAATGGAATTAATTCGCGTCCTTTCGCAGGGACTTCGCACTGCGTCGACCTAATGCCCGACTCGGATTCCGACCTCGAAGAGCTAACACAGGCTCGTTCCAAGGTGCGCGAGATCATCGGGCGATGGATCATCTCCTAGAGTCCTTGAAAATGCGCCTAAGACCTCGCCATAATTCGTATAAAAAATCTTCCCTTTATTTGGAGGACGAAAGAGGGATTAAAAATCGAAGAGTAACCTAATCTACGAGAACACATGCGCCAAGTCTAATTCCTACGTGTGCGAGTGTACTATGCTTAGGCGAATCTGGGTTGCGGGTCCCGAGGGAATGCTGAGAATGATTCAGAATCTGGACTCCGCTAAATCTGGACGCGGCGTTTCCGGCAAGAGTGCACCTCGGGCAATCGCAGCTCCGGTCACTGTGAGGTCTTTAAAGCTAGGCTCCTTAAAGATAGTACAAGGGGATCGGGCAATCGGTTTCCCTCCATCAGTCGATCTCGAGTTTCCTGAAGGACCCCGTGATGCCGTGGGCGGAGTCGCTGGATCCAACGCTGGAGCAGCCGAATCCCTGCTTCAAGGCCGAGACCGCGCCCTCCTTGGCCTTGTCGGAGTAGAACTCCAGACGCACCTTCATCTTGTCGTGGGAGAGCAGAACCGGGCGCAGGTCCATCAGCTCCTGCCTCCATGACACTATTGGAAGGTGTAAAAAAATTATCAGCGACGATGCAACCCCAGGATTCAGGGTCACCAGGTAAACTCCCTCACCGATCATCTCCTTCATGGGGATGGTGCCTCCGTACTCCTTCGGCAGCACGCTTACGTCCAGTTTATTGCTGATCGCGTCCTCCAGACTGGTGTAGACCTTAACTCTATTTCTGATCTTCTCGGATATCAAAGACATTCCGAAGTCGAGGGCGAATTTCAGGGACGGATGGGCGTTTATCGCGTGCACCTCTTTGTGTCTCATCGGTACGGTGCGCTGGATAATTGAAGAAATAATATATGGACCCGTAGTTAGCAACGTGGGGGCTCTTTGCAAGGGTAGTCGAGTTTCTCACCTCGCCGTTCTTCACGATACGCACGGCTTCCCTCGGGGTGAAAAGAGTCAGATGTGGGAAACTGACGCCGGCTCCGTCGGCGAAATGCACGAAACCGCGAATCTGGCTCTCCTCGTCCTCCATCAAGGCCTCGTAAGTGATGGCGTGGATCTTGCACATGTCTGCATTCGTGTACTTGTACGGATCGAAGACACCTGAAAGGATCGGCCGATAAACAGCGACAGGCTTAAGCAACGTTCGGCTCCGGTTGGAGACGGTGGGAAATCTCGCGGTACCTTGAAGGAAGGTTTTTTAAAAAAATTAATTCTTAGTTGGCTTTAGGTTTACCAGGTCTGGCGACTATCACTCGGCGACCTTTCTTGTCTCTGCCGGGAACCGCGAAGAGATACCTGAAATAAGAAATTATAGGATTAAGAATCCCGGGTCCTAGGAAAGCGACAAATGGGTGGACTCACCCCAAGGCGAGGAGTTCCTCCATGGTGTCATCCACGATGTCTAGATTATTAAACGCCGGATGATAAACGTGACGAAGTAGCAAGTATCGTTCGATAGCTTCTTGAGTCATGGGGACGTTGAATTTCTTGGACCTCAGGAACTTCAGGATGAACTTGGAATCTGTGGGAAAAAGGATGCTCTAATTAGCTCATAATTTGGATAAAGAAAAAAAGAAAAAAAGTGATAAACATTCGAGGGAACTCACCGAGCCGACAGTTCTCGATCCTAGGGTTCATCTTGATCCAGTTCCTGACCTGCTCGAGAGCCTGATCTCTGGTGTTCTTGTCCTCCCTGAGCTCATCCTTGGCGATGGTCTTGGTGTCCTCCGAGAGGTACCACTCGTACTTGTCCTCCTCGGAGACCCACTGAACGGGTCCCATGGTTTCCTTTAGAATTTCCACAGGAGGATCCTTCCAATGCCTGAAAATCGGTTCTTAGAGTCCTACAGGATCGATTCCCTCTCCTTCCGGGCGACCTCGATCTTCGATCCGCGGAGGAAGTCGACTCGAAGGAGCCCCTCTCGCCGAAAGAAAGGGAATCGGTCTCAGCGAGAGTGGGTTAGGAAACCATCGTTTCACTTTCTTCCCCGAGATCCCCGGAGACCCAGATCCTCTCTTACGAAATCTCCGAGCATTCCGGTCCGGACAGCTGGTGCCGGTCATAGCGAGACGTAATCCGCCATCCGGGGCGTTGCGTAAAGCTTTTCGATTTTCGAAGTTCGATCCTATATACGACCGGCTTATGTAACGAATTATGCGGAGTCAGGCCGCGTCCCGGGCGCGAACTCTGCCCGTTTCGCAACGACTTTCTCCACTTGCAGGTTGCGCAACCGACCGGTGGACCGGGTTGTTCAACCCATCTTTGTTCGCGACCTGGACCGACGTTACGTGGACTCGGTCTCCGAAATCGAGGACGGCCCTCGAGGAAACGCCGATTCGGTGATCTTGACCCCGATCGCGCCGGTCGAGGCCTAGCGAATTGGCGATTCGCCAGCTCTCGCCGATGGAGAGTGACCGCCACCCGTTAAGCTTCTCTCCTCCCCGAGGAATTGTACATAATTCTAAAAAAATTGCCAAATCCGACAAAACATTTATAAAAGCTCCCCGACGGACTGCGACTGCCCTCCTCGACTCGTTTGACGATTTCTAAAAAGTGCCCACACCCGGAAATATTTTTCGAAGCATTTATCCCGACCCCCCTCGAACACCTTGAGTAATGGGTTCGATGAAAGTTGACCCGTTGCGTGGAGGGATTTTTTTTTTCTTTTTTTTTCCTTCTTTTTCGAGGCAGCGGTAACAGTTGGATAATCGCAGTTGCAGTCGGAGGGAAAGTCCTCGAGACCGGGAGAAATTCAGAATGGTGCGTAACTATCGGGTAGCTTTTTGCCGAAATTAAGGGTGGCCTTTTCCCGGGAGTGATTACAAGTTCGGGGAAGACTTTCTACGCGCTTACGAGGTGATTATAACCATCGTCGGAGTGGCTGGATTAATCGCCGTTGTTACGGTAGGAGTTAAACGTGTGTCTGCGAGTCCCGCGGAAAAATCGCTCCCCTGGCAAGAAGTCGTGAGAAAAAGCCCTCGGCAAATCGGTTCCGGTGTTTGGGAATTAACGGCGCGTTAGCGAAAATCCACGGAGCGTTTTTCCGCAAGTAACAAACGACGTGTAGAGAGGATAATTCCCCGTTACTACTTCCCGGATGACCATCCCCTGGGCGTAGTTTACCGGAGGTATGCAACAACGAGCCTCTTGTAGAAAGCGGTAAATTACTACCCAGTGGCTTTACCGCCCTATCGCAATTAACCCCGGTCGACTCTAAGGACTGATAAAAAAAATTCCGGAACGAGACCTAACTAAAAGATGAGAAATAAAAAAAATTCACATGATCTCCCACGCAAGGACAAGAATACATAAATCCTTAAACAGAGAAGCCACCCCCTGGTCTTTTTGAAAGAATACAATTTTTAAATTATCAGACAAGGTGGGAAAAATTTCGATCTCGCGACACAAAGGGGGTGGTTAGTTAGGCTTAGTGATGGCGGATGAAAGGCGGAATGAAGGTGAAAGAAAATTCGCACTACCGTACTTTCAGGCCGCAGAACTTCGCCGAGAGATCGACTCCTCGAGACTGTCTCTCGGCCACGTGCCGGGCGCAGCTTTATAATTTCCGTACGCACCTTTCCTTCTCCTTCTCCGAGTAGAATCGCGCGCTGTCTTTGTCTCGGAATTGTCAATCAAAGAGGGGCAGAATAGTCGGAGTCGCGCTCGCCGTGATACTTCCCTGCGCACCGGAAAACCGTCTAATGACAAAACCCGTCGAAACGCGGACCTTTTATAGAGCTCTGGCCGGTGTTTTTGTTCCCCGAAATGTAACAGTCTTCCGAAATTACGGAAGAAGTCGGAAATTACGGCGAAACTAGTCCCACGCTTCCGGTCCGAGCCGAACTCGTCGGTCGCTTTCTTCGCCCGATTAGCATTAGACACGCGAGGCCTCGACCTTTGACATCGAAGTACTCGCTATACATTTTTACAGGAAAATCTTAGAATTTGCCCGACGTCGACGTAACCGATCTGCCTCGAGTAAATATGCATTCGTAAAGACGACAGCTCGTTCCCAGAACGAGCGTCTCGGCCGAGAGACCGCGCGTCTGTCCGCTCTCCGGGTCGATTACGAATTTCCGCGTTAACGAGGCGTCGCACAAAAAATCGTTTCCCGTCAAAGTTGCTCCCCGTGATACCGTGAACAACTTTCGTTCGAATCGTTTTTCCATATCACGCGTAGTTACGGCGGAATGTGAACGAGACGCCCGAGCGGCAGGGGCGGAGTTGAGGAGAGTTCGACGCCGGGTTAGGCATACCAAAATCATCGAGAAAGTTTGTACCGCGCGAAGAGCGCCGTTCAACAAAAAAAAGTCTGTACAAACATTGTACGCGTCTTAGAAACAAGCATAACGCATTAATCCACCTATATTCGAGCGACGCAGATACCGATATCCCCGGAACAAGCGCGGCGTCCCGGCAGGAAACGAATTTCTCCTCGAGGCATAAAACTCTGTTTGCGATCGCTCTTTGCGCCGGCGAAGTCTGTTTCCTTAACAAGTGCATAATTCCGACACGCGTCCTGCCCCTTCACAGATCCGCCGATTTCCGGCGCGCAAAGCCGACTCGTCACGTAGCAAACGTCAAAGCGGTCTCAGGACGACGAATTACGTAACTCCTAGGCGTAATGCCTGCACAAGTTAAGAAATAATATCCCCGAGGGAAGTCGAGGGCCTAGGGCCCGGTGGGAGGAACAAACGGCGCGCGCTCCTCGGAAGTGGAGAAGAAAAAAAAAAAGAAAAATACGTAACCGAAAACCCGGCGAGTTTGCATAATCAACGCATACGCATAACGCGACCCAGCCGTAATACCTTTCCTACGTTACGATTCGATTGCGAGGCGTCTCCACGCAATACCGCAGCGCCGTCATTTTGCCGAGAATCAGAAAGTGAAACGCGAGCGAACCCTCTCGCGGAAGTGCCGCACGAAGTATCGACCATGCTCCTCGCAAGCCGCCCTAGGGTGTACCCGATAAAGGTCGTGCATCGTGTCCCATCCGATACACCAAGAGTCGCAAGCATGTCGACTCGAAGTCCTTTTTACTTCCATAGTAGAAGAAATCGCTACCGAGCGAGGTCTCCGTATGCGGAGACTTCGATGCCCGCACGTGAAGCGAGTTCTTTCGCCTAGCTTCGCTTTCGCCTCGCATTTCCGCGGCGTAGGAAAGGTCCTCGCACTAGTTTCGTAATTCCGTAGATGTCATTTCCTGTTCATCGGAGGATCGCAGAACAACGCGGAAAATATACGGAAACGATAATTAGAGGCGTCGGCCTCGCCATATTTCCGATGTTATAAAAGTGATAAGGATCGGGCGGTTTCTCGCCTGCGATTTCTAGGCGCGCGGTTGCGCAATACGTTGGAATATGTCTTTCCAATGTTTCATGATGTTAATTAGATTTATTTTGACGAGGTTCGGTCGTGAGGCGGTTCTAAATCCTTCCGGAAAAGGTCGACCTTCGCGTAAGCCCCTTTGCAGCCGCTGCCGGTCGTTCTCAGGATGTTCCGAATCTCGACTACGTGTTTCCTGGACAGTAGCGTGTTCTTCTCCGCAGCCGCGTGTTCTATGCACGTGTCCAGTGCCTCGTCATCCAATGTCGTGAAACCAATGACCTTTGCGTTTAAATTCTTCCCTTGAAACGCATTCCGCACCTTCGACGTGGCCGCCGCTAGGTCGAGGTGACGCGTTAAATCCTCGCGCGTCTCTTCCATATTGATAAGGGCCACCACGGCGACACGGTGTCGGTCCGTGCACTGCTCGACAAGGTCTGTCATTTTAGCCGCACTTGTGATATCCACTTCTCTCAAATTCTCCAGTACAATCAGGTTGCAGCGAGTAGAGGAGAGCCGGTCGCAAAGACTGCTTTCATTGGATGGCAAAGGGGGAAAGTACACGAAGACGTATCTTCCGTTGGGGAAATTCTTCATTATGATTTCACTGGCTAACGACTTCCCGACACCTGTCCCTCCTACTAGGACAGCTACCTTAAACTCCTCCGTATCTGCGGTGAAGTAATCTATCAACTCCTCGATAGCCACCCGTTGGCCGTATACTCTTTCTCGTAATTCGTTTGCTGTGTCAAAAAAGTCAAACTGTGCCAATCGTGCGGGCTTTTTGTAAAGGTCAAGGTAAAGATTATAAATCAGAGACGTTGCTATAGAAAGCAGTACAAAAAATAATATCTGCCATGGCTTGGAAGATGCCGTAGTCCTCTGTACCGCAGGAGACATTTTTTCATCGTTGCTCTTTTCATCGGTAGTAGCTGCTTTTGTCGATTCCATGTAACTTAATGGCTTGATAATGCAGTTAGGACAGCCAATGCGTAGCTTCGATTCCACAAACGATAAAGGCACGACTTGGAAAGGTCTGTCGAGGTATCCGTATAGCGACGCCTGATTTGCCCACGCGAGGTATTCTCGGTTTCTGCTGGCTCTCACCAGGGCAACTACTTCGATACACCTGCGAATCAAATATATTGGTATATCCAATGGCTTTCTCATTGGCAAAAATGTTTACCTAGTGTCAGGATTGAATATCTCATCACAGCTGAATCTATTAAACAGAATAGGCGAGCTTGCCGAATTCGGAGCCAGCGAACGAAACGTTCCTTGAGAAGAACGCAGCGGTCGTCCCGGCCGACCTTCGGGCTCTCCGCCCTCAACGACTTCGGGACTCGCGTCGAGAATCGTAAGAGCGGCGAAGTGCCGACTCGTAGCTTCCAAAAGAGCTCGGAAGGCCTCCTATCGCAAGAGGTCGGATCAGACTTAACCTCTCGAAACTAACCTCCACCGGTGCCGGCTTACTTCGCTCATCCGGGGTTTCCAGACAGTGACGCCGCCGGGGTACATTCCCTCGGCACAGTACTTCCTCGACAATTACCTCTCCGCTCCTCCCCTGCACCCAGTGCTCGCATTCAACGCTTAAAAATGAAAAAAATCGGCAACTCTTGCCGGCAAACAAAGCGCAGAGTATTCGAAACCGCCGCTGGCTCGACAAGATGGCGCGCGTCCGCTCGACCATAAACCACTCGCTAGTGTAGAGTGCCTCCGTATCCCCCCTATGGCGCTTGCAGCCGCCCGCGCGATTCGAATCTTCTAACCTCATAGATAAGTATATAACCATACCTCCGTATCAAAAAACAGATATTAGTCTTCCTCGATATAAAAGTATTTAAATTCTAGTCGCACCTCTCTGGGAATTCGTCTCAATTTCCTCTTGAGCATAGTTAACCTATTTTTTTCTCGCGTCGTCCACAGTCCACCGTTCCGCCGTCCACGCGGGCCTGTCGTTCCGCATCCGCGCGGTCCACCCATTCGGCGGTCAGTGTGTCCGCCGACTTCTGCTCGCTCGCGCACGCTCGACCGTACACGCGCGTATCGACGGGCCCGGGTTCGCGCACGTCCACGGGCGAGGTTGTGCGAGGCGCTCCAAGGTTGTAGGTTTTCCGATTACACGCGGCGGCGATGTGACGCGTCGTCGACACCCTACGCGCGCAATACCCGGGATGGCCTCTTGGCATCTGTCGGCCCTTTGGGCCCTGCTGGCCCTGCTGGTCCTAGCCTCCGCCAGGATCCACAAGCTGGAGATCCGGGTACGTCCCTACGGGCCCCGAAATTCATTAATCCAGCCCCGCCCCCTTTGACGCGACGTAATGTCAAATTCAAAATGAAAAGCCTTGCATCCCGGTTGTCTGAAATTTTTCGTGTGCCTTGCAGAACGACGTAAGGCGCTACATTGCCCTGAGCACCTTCGGCTTCTACAAGGGCGGCATCCTCCACGTCAACCTGACCAACTTCAAGGCCACTCCCTCCAGTGACGACGCCGTGGTAGGCCGCCGCATTCTCTTCCGCAGTTCCCCGCATTCCCTCCGCATCCCAGGGATCCAATGGCTCGTCGGCTGGCTTTGACGTTTCCGCGCACACCTGTTCGCCTTCTCGCTCGTTCCGCGATTCCTCTCTTCCTCCGCGTCTCCGCGTGCCGCGCCTCATCGACCAATCAACTTTCCCGCCCTTTTGCCCCGAGATTTAAATCTGCGCCCGATTATTCCCGAGTTTTCAAGCCGTTTTTCATGAATTCCGAGAGTGTTGAGTTAACGAGGTTAGAGTGCGGTTGGAAATGATATTTGATGCGGGTGGGTGACCCACAAGGTTGGTTAATAGTTGACCGAGCGAAAGGGAGACAGGACGTAGGCTTGGGTTAGAATTTCTTGGAAAGCCGTTAATGAAACCTTGTCGCGTAGTATGGTTTCAGTTTGGACCGCACGCTAAGCGACGCCATGAATCCGTACCTTGACAGCCACCAGGATAGATGCCTTCTACAGGGCACCAATGGACCGAAACCCATTGAGCCAAAGCAGAGGAATAACAGTGCCGTCATATACTTCACGATGGACCTGAAGAATTTAACGTATGTCATTTAAGTGGAACGGAGGAAGGAGGACGTCTCCGATTGGTTAATCCAGTCGTTAAGGGGGAATTATTAATGTCTTTCAGGATGAAAGTGAATTGCAGTCAGAACGTACATTCGGTGCACATCTATAAAGATTCCGGAATGGTTCCCGTCTTTCGAGCAAAGAGGGACTCGTTGCCAGCCAAGTTGAGCGACACGGCGCTATTCCCGCGAAAGAAGAGAAACGCATTCGTGCAGGGTGAGCGACTCCGAGATGTCATAACGCATTAAATTAACAGGAACTGCAGATGTGACTCGCCGAACAGCTCTGGGATCCAAACGAATCGCCGAGTAATCATTGTTTGTCCCACTCGGTTCAATTAGTGTCAAGCGATGCTACGGATCAAAGTTCCAAGGAGCTGGGCTACTCAATCGAGGCTTCTCTACGAGTCTCTCCCTGGACATGATGCTTCATCGTTGAATGTAGTTCTCCGATGGATATTTCCTGAAATGATTTCAGTGCACTCGGAGTGAACGTATAATTATCTGAATGGGAGGAATCTTCGGGCTGGTCGATTTTTAGGTCCGCAGCCCACACGACTCGCCAAATGACTCTGGCATCAGTGGGAATGCGCGTTTTACCAGGGTGCATACTTTAAAGATACCCGCACAATTCTGGCTCCGGTCCAGCCACCGGAAGGCGGAAACCCGAAAGAGAGTCGATTCACCACTCGGCTACAAAGGTGGCGAGGTGTGTTCACCTCCATTCCCGGATTCAATTTGATTTATCGGGCCGCTATCTCGTCGCCTCCCACGCAGGGCGGCGTTAACGCGAAAATGCAAATTCTCTCTAAATATAATATCCGCGCTCGGGCCGCGAGTATTTTCGGCCGCGGTTCGCGCAACTCTCGGACCGCGAGCCAACAGGTGGACCCTCGGCTTTGGCAGTGAGCGACACGGCGTTATCCCGCCGTGAACTTTATCACCCGCGACGTGGACTTAATGTCTTAATGTCACGTTTCAGATGGAGAAGAAAGGCCGAGGCCGAGAGGAATACATTGTAGCGTCGAGCAAGCCTTGCCTTGGACGTTTCATCCAAGCGCCGACCGGCCCGTGCCGCGGGCTTCCAAAATTGACTCGACTTCCTCTGCATTTTCGACCCCCTGGGCTCGAAAAGTTACACAATCCTATTCTAGACCAAGGCGATCGCTAGAGAAAACAAACGGAGCTCCGCCGAACCGTTGGACGGTTCTTTATAAATTCCAAGCTCCACGCTGTAGAGAAATTCCGTGGATCTGCTGTTGAGTGAGTTCCCGAATCCGGTACCGGGAACCTCGGCAACGAATCAGGAATGCTCGATGAAAAATGAAGAGGAACGCTCGACGAAAGCCTACCCGGGTCGGAATGCCGGAGTTCCCTCGGCTCCAACCGAGGAAGTCGGAACTCTGGCACTCGACCAAGTCGCTCGCGGGAATCGATCCTCGATGTTTATTAATTAAACGCGCCGCGGGCTGTCGCTCCCTTCGGGGTCTAAATCCGTCTGTAAACCGTCGATAAACTGACGTTAATCCGCACCCCGGAAGCCCAAGGTTGTGGGAGAACTCCATCTCGGAGTGACCGGCCTCTGACCGCTTCTCTCTCGCTCCACCCTGTGAAATTGACGGGCGTGATTAAGCCGCGCGAAGTTGAGCGGCGCTAAAATTACCGCGGCTCGTCCTCGATCTTATAAATAACGCAAAACGCAGATACTTTTGAGCGTCAAGTTAGGTAACGGTCTTGTCGAGAGACCGAGCGAACGAACGGCTCGGCCGCGATCGATCTTGCGATCCAATTTGGGTGAGTCGGTGAGCCGAGCCGAGGTCGGCGTTTGGTGGCACGTCGGACCCAACCACGTCCAACTTGACCATCCTATCGCCAGCTTTGGGCTTTGATCTTCTCTTGCCCTACCTAATGTAGCCGAAGATTCTTCCGATGACCCCGTTTGAGACACTTAGGATGTAGGGACCAGAGTTTTAACGAATTTTCTGGGTTTGCTTCCAGAGAGGTCGGTGGAGCCGGTCGAACGTCTCGATGCGAAACCAGCCAGGGTGGGAATGGATGCCGACGCGTGTTCCCACATCAAGCTCCCGATGACGACGGAGACCGTCAGGGGCGAGAAGTACTACAACGCGAGTTTCGTCATGTACGTCGCGAGCAAGGAAGAGGAAGGCCTCTACAATCTGTATTTCCACAGCTGTCCTAACTACAAGCCTGGCACCCGCGTCGCCTTGGACTTCACGGTGAGGCTCCCTCCCAGGAGGCTTCCCAAAGGATCGTCTCGTTGGTGCCATCCTTTCAATGGAGATGTCTAATGAAATATTACTTAATTCTACAGATGCAGATCCAGGAGAACAACGGCGGGAACTTCTTGAGCGCCGGCGAGATGCCCCTCCCGGCCCTCTACTTCATGATGGCTCTTCTCTTCATGCTCTCCGGATGCTTCTGGGTCTTCATCTTGAAGAAGAGCAAGTGCGTAGTCGTAGAGGATGAGGCCGGTTGTGGTCGGTCGTTGCAGGTGTAACGTTTGCGCAGGCATCCGGTCTTCAAGATCCACTACCTCATGGCCGTCCTGGTGTACCTCAAGTCTCTGTCGCTCCTCTTTCACGGGATCAACTACCACTTCATCCAGACGAAGGGCGAGCACGTGGCGGCCTGGGCGATCCTCTACTACATCACCCATCTCCTCAAGGGAGCCGTCCTCTTCATGACGATCGTCCTCGTCGGGACCGGGTGGACCTTCATCAAGCACATTCTGGCCGATAGAGACAAGAAGCTCTTCATGATAGTGATACCGTTGCAGGTCTGCCGCGGAGTTTCTTAAAATGAACGGCGGTCCTTATATCTTAGGCTCTAATTTTTCTCCTCGTCTCTTCTACTCCAGGTCCTCGCCAACATCGCCGAGATCATAATCGAGGAGAGCGAGGAGGGCGACGTGGAGCACGACACCTGGCGAAACGTCTTCATCTTGGTGGACCTCCTTTGCTGCGGGCCCATAATCTTCCCGGTGATGTGGAGCATTCGGCACCTGCAGGAGGCCGCGCACACGAACGGCAAGGCGGCGATCAACCTGCGGAAGCTGAAGCTCTTCCAGCACTTCTACATCATGATATTCGGCTACATTTACTTCACGAGGGTCATCGTATATCTGTTGAAGGCAGGAATCACGTCGAAGATTCTAGCATGTCCGGGAGGAGGCCATCGCTACCTTGACTTTCCTTCTTCCGTCCTCAGATCACCGTGCCGTTCCAGTACGAGTGGCTGGACGAGATGTTCAGGGAGATGGCGACCTACGTCTTCTTCGTCCTAACCGGGTACAAGTTCCGGCCGGCCTCGGCGAACCCCTACTTCACGCTGACGCCCGACGAGCAGGAGTCGCAGGTCGACGAGGACGACGAGATGGACGTCGTGTAAGTACCCCGTCCCCGCTCCATCCCTGTTCTCCGTCTCTCCTCTTCCTCTCGGAGCCCACTCCGGAGGTCCACTCCCGAGAGGAGGTCCCGGACGTGTCTCTCGTCTTCTAACGCGACGACCGTAGCATCTTTTCCAGCGTGTCCGGCGGAAACGGGATGACTGAGGGCCTCAGCAAGGTCAGCAAGGTCTCGAAGCTCTTCAGGCCGACGACCTCGGAGCTCTCCTCCGGCCCCCAGGAGGAGAGGGACAACCTCCTCGACAAGCGGGAGTCCTCCCACGAGTACGACTGATCCTCGCGAGAGCGATCCCACCTCGGCGGAGGCTGGGCCTTGTGATAGGGCGCGAGAGGCGCTCAAAAAGTGCGAACCTATCCTGGATAAAAGATGCCTGTTAAGGGCGGCTGAATGGACGTTGAAGGGCGCGAAAGATATTCCGATTGCAAACCTGTCCCTGGTAAATGACGTGTGGATGTTGAAGAGCGCGAAAGAGAAGCCGAGTGCGAACCTTATCCTGGATAACGGATGCGTGGACGTTGGGCGGCGCTGAAGAGGCCAAATGCTTGACCGAATGAATGCGAACCTTAAAACGCGGATCTTGACGTTCCACGGTGATCGAAGTGGCCGCGATTCCCTGGTGATCCGAGATCATCGTCCGCGGCGTTTCTACGGACCGCACGGTTACGTAGGTACTTCGAAGAATCATTCTATTTCCATTGTTCTCCTCGGTGCGAGGAGCAAGGTGCGTCCACACCGGATGCGGCATCCGCGGTCGACCCTTGAAGAGCCTCCGCATCCCGGGGACGACTTCGCCGGTGTACGCGAGTCCGGGGGTCGATGCCCACCTTCTAGAATTACCAGTTATCCTCACTAAAATTAATTATGACGCGAGGCTATTGTAACGCGCGTCGCGCCGCAATTATCACGGCAACGAGGGCGACTTCCGGTACCGCTCTGTCCCGCGACTCGTGGAGAACCCCGCGGAAGCCACGTTGATTAATAAAGCGGATATTTTTATGCAGGTCGATGCATCGTTCGTTACATTCCCTGAAAGTATTCTTATCGAGGGCCCGATGCACCCGTGCTCGGGTTACACCGCGGTCCGTGAATTACCGACCCGGAAGGAGAGGAGTCCTTTCTTCTTTCGGATAAATCCAACCTTGAAGAAGGGTCCTACCACGATCCTGCGTGAGAAACGCATGCGTAGCTCTTTACCGAGTCACCCTCGCCGTCGAGGCGTCCGGAAAAGCGGTCCAGTCCGTCTCGAAGTGACGTGTCGCGATCTCTCCTCGGGTTCTACTTCACCTTCTCTCCCGGAGAATTCCTATGTCGGGAATAAGTCTATCCTAAGTTGAAAAAGAAAAAGTAGGAAAAGAAATAAAAGCAGAGTTACATTTAATTCCAGCTCGAACTTCGCGAGGAGTGTTACGTGAATCTCGTGACGCAGCTTTTGACATCTCCGACCGGCAAAGAGATATTCGCGTACCGAGATTGTTATAATTACCCTGTGACATAATAAAGGGAAGAGAAAAATACGGAGAACCTCGCGTGTCTCATTGGCGGCGGACATTGTCGGTCATTGGATGACGGGATGATCGTTCCGGGAAAATGGACGGGACGATCTTTTCAATGAGCTGCGCGATCCGCGATCTTCGTCCTCTTGGTCTTCAGGGTGACATTCGAGATATGCGGCCGGGTTTTAACTCCAGTGGGACGGAGATCGAGGTCTGTCCTGTTCCGGAAGTCGAAGGGATACCGGAAGATCCTAGGACGGCGATTCTTCGGCGCATCAGCTATGGCGTCGTTCTTCCTGGCGTGTGTCTTCTAGGGATCGTCGGCAACATCCTTAATCTCGTGGTCCTGACCAGACGCAACATGCGAGGGACCGCCTATGTATACATGAGAGGTGAAGATGAGAAATATATGCGGTCTACGAGTAATTAATTTTTCATTTTTCTTTAACTACTTTTCAGAACACCGCCGCTGCATTGTCGCAAGAATTGAGCGCCTCCGTCGAGGGGTGAATTTTGTTCGCCGATTGAAACGTTGACAAGAGGGAGTTAAAGGGCCCTCGTGGGGGCGGCTGAAAAGCCTCGAACGGCTCTTTATTTACTCGGCTGTCGAGTGCATTAGGAGGAAATTAACGGATAACTCGATTCGACCTAACGCGGAAATCGTGTTAACACGGACGAGGTGCGACGAGTGCCCTTTCGTTCGGCCCGAGCGTCCCACCCTCCCGGAAATGGATTTCCCTCGACTTTTATTCCCTCTTCCGAAGAATGAAAATCACGGCGAAGAGGGAAATCCAATATTTTAGACAGGGGAAAAATCCCCCGGCGATGTCTACCTTATCCGTGCCCGTTAAAAGGTTGCATTTGCGGTTTTGTTAAGAGTAGAATCGTCGGCAAAGCAGGGCGCGAGCCCTCCCTTCAAGTTCTCGAAATATCCCAACGGAGGATGCGATACCGACTCACGGGCTCGAGAAATGTTCCTTGAGAAAATATCAGCGGATAAATCATTGCGTAATTTTATTTTTAGGGTACTCAGCCGCAGCTTTGCTGGCCATCATTTTCTGCATCCCCTTCGCCATGAGGGTCCTGCTGTACAAGGAGACCGGGAGCTGGAGCAACAAGGTCCAGGCTTTTTATCACACGCATCTGGAGCTCTTCCTCGGGAACGGATGTCTGGGTAAGAAACTAGGAAGTAGAGGAGAAACGTTGTGGAAGTAAATGCGAGCCCGTGATATTAATTAACGTGGTTTACGAGCTTGCGGATTAATGGGGCTGCAGGGGTCGGAGTGCTGATGCTGCTGGCCTTGACGGTGGAGAGATACGCGAGCGTGTGTCATCCTGGTGCCCGGTCGCTTCCGGTCTGCGGACCGCCCAATCTGACGGTCTTCCTCATCCCTTTGGCCACCTTCTTGCTCTACCTCCCCGGGGTCTTTCGGTCGAAAATGACGAGCTGCCTGCTACCCACCGATGGCCGGCTCATCTATCAAAAGCGGGAGGATCTCCTCTTCCTGCATTCCGTCTTTTACCAGGTGATCCATCGACCACTTTGCGGGACGCTCCGCTGCCCACGGGGAAGAAATTTCATTTCCCGGGACCCCTCGGTCCTGATGGATCCCCTGTGAAATATAAATAAACGCGGGCAGATTTTTCTAGCCGGCGGAAACGCGCCGATGGAATTTAATATTCCATTCCTACCCCCAGGTCTACAAGGTGGTCCTGGAGCTGATCTTCAAGGTGGGGCCGACGATTCTGCTGGCGGTCCTCAACCTCCGCATCATGATCGTCTACCGCAGGACCTGCGAACGCAGGCGCAGGATGACCCTGTCCAGGACCTCCAGCTCCGACGAAGACTCCAGAACCTTTGCCGAGGAGAGGAGGCTCATCATGCTCCTGGGCAGCACGAGCATCCTCTTCTTGGTCTGCGTCAGCCCAATGGTCATCCTGAACGTCACTCTCAGCGAGAACAATCTCAGCCTCTATCCCTATCAGGTTCGTCTCCAGGGCCGACATGAAAGTCCGGGTTTACGAGGTCGGTAAATCACCTTTTCCTCTTGAAGGTGTTCCGGGCGCTGGCGAACCTGCTGGAGGTCATCAACTACTCCATCACTTTCTACATTTACTGCCTGTTTTCCGAGGACTTCCGGAGCACCCTGGCTCGCACCTTCGGGTGTCCTTGGTCGGTTCTGGGCTCCAAATTCCGGGATAGACCGGGAGGTCGAGGTCGCTCCCCGAAAAAGCGTTCTCCTGTGCCGAGGTCGACCACCACCGCGACGTCCTCGACCCCGGGCTGCGTTCCGGCAAGTGTCTGAAAGATCCAGCCAATGATATCGATCGTATCGATAATTAATAAAATAATATTTTTCAAATTCGCAAACGGGTTCCCCTCCGTCTCGTCCCAGTCCTGGGATGATGGAGAGGCGTCCGCATCCGCGCCGACCCATCCAGCCGCGGGAAATGTTCCTTTCTCGATACAACGGATAGATAGAGACGGATGGGCCTCAGCCGAGAGCATTCTCAGCATCCGGGCGCACGGCGGCAAAAGGAGCACCGGAGCACATAAAAGACACGGTACTCGCAGCGCACCGGGTCCCCGGGGAGGAGCCACCCGTCCGGAAACCCAGTAAACATCCTTAATAAATCGGACAAATATTCCTCCATCTACGAACACGGAGAACACCATCCCGCTCTCGAGGAAGCCCCATCTTCGGCATCTGCCGCGGCAGATTCGATTCGTATCCTACAGCCTCCGCGGAAATGGACCGGAATGCCATTCTTCCGTGCATCTCGAGCACCCTATCGCCCGTCTCTCTCTATCCTCCTCCCGAAAGGAGGAGATAAAAAAGAAATTCCGAGTCGCTGTAGCCCTTGACAAGAATTGTTCTCCATCGCGCATTGTAGGCGTCCATTTTCGATTTTAAAAAATCAATTCGGGGTAGTTCGGTCAGGGGATTATCCGAAGGGAGGGAAATCGTCCTGGAGATCGGGAAAGATTGTAAATAAAAATTCTCGGGTGGTCCAGGTCGCCTGTAACCGTGTAACCATGTAACCATGTAACCACGAAGAGGGAGTTCTTCGGGAGTGCCGGATGTTGGGGATGGTCTCCCCGGGTTCCTGGCTGGTATCGCGGACTTTTTAATAGGCTCTGGGTAATTCGGTTAGGGGACCACCCTGGGAGGGGGTAGATCTCGTCCTGGAAAAATGCGACTAGCTCCAGGAGGGCCGTGGAACGTCCGGGGGCGGCGGAGTCTCCGGCACCCCCGGACGTTCCGGATGGGCGTAGCTGGGTCGATACAGGCTGCGTTCGCGACGAGAACGAGAGGACCGACACCGAGGGTGCATTCGTCTACGCTTCCCTCTTGCACTAGATCGAAATTCCCACCCTCGAGAATTATCAGCCCCCCATCCAGGCAAAAAATGGCTAAGCTCGCTGGACGCGAAAATTGTTTTCCTCCATTTTCATATTTTCTTTTTTTCCCACCGACTCTCCAATCGCTTTTAATCCCTCCGCTAATTTACGCGAAACCTCGTTTCGGTATCTTTCTGAACCCCAGGAAGGAACGGGGTAATGGGAGCCAACGAGCGAGAATGGGATTTAAAGTTGGAAGAGCAGCTCACCCGGGAAATGTCGCTCGCTTAGGGACGCTTAGGTATTCACCGACGGATGCCTTTACTACGGCGCTTAATTACTCTAAGCCTCGGAGCCCCGATTACTTCTCTTCTTCGCTTTGGGCGCTATTTCATCCCCGAAGCCCCGTGACGAGGGCGCGCAAAAAACGTACGATCATACGTCGCGTCAAAGGGAGCCGGGCTTTGACCCGTCCTCCGGAAAAACTCGTCTGGAAAAATCTAATCAATGAAATCATTAGAACCACCGTGCTTGCTTGAATTTTTAAGGGGGACTCGGTTAACGAGGATTTTAGCCCAGGGAGCAGCGAGCTGGTCAACCGCGCTCGAGGGCTGACTATTTACTCGGCGTTACCACTGACCTGTTGCATTAAAAAAATCTCCCCTGTAGAAATTCATTCTACGGGTCGATCTTTCAATCATTAAAACGATCTAGATTTGTTGCACTTTTAAGAGGGATTCGGGCCATGGCCGTTTTAGTGGAACGAACGGTGAACTGGTCAGCCGCGATGGACGGCTATTTTATTTACTCGGGGTTTCCCCTGAGCTCTTGCGTACAAAATTTCTATTATAAAAATTCCATCAATGGAATCATTAAACCGAACGCGATTTGTTGCTTCTTTACGGGGGATTTGGATGGTGGGCATTTCAGTGGAACGAGCAGCGAGCTGGACGGCTAACTATTTACTCGGCGCGTCCACCGCCGGGGAAAAATACGATCGCCCGTCGATCCATTCCATCTCCCGGCCCGATTCGATCGATTTTATCGTCGATCGGACCGAACTGCCCGATGCAAATAGCTCGCGTGCGGCCGCAGTTTACGGCTCCGCTTCCGGATCCGGCGCGTTTTCCCGGGACACCCGACGAAGTCGTTTCCTCTCCGAGGGCCGTTCCATCGGGCCTCCTCGTTATTACGTTTACGCGCCGTTATTACGTTTAATGGCGGTCCTTGGCAGTCTTATTACATCGCCCTTTTTAAGAGAGAAGAAAAGGAAGAAAAAAGAACCGAGCAAAGAGAGACCCTCCTGGGGGGAAACTCAAGCCCGCGGATTTTTCAACTCGACTCGCGCTACATTCGACGGGTAGCCATTTTGTTTCGCGCGAGCGGGGTCGATACTACCCGCGAATATGCTAATTGCTTGCTTTTCTCATGTTAAACCGCATTAGTCATCGTTCTTTCCCGTTTTTCACAGGGGATCGATCGCCCCGCTTGGCTCGCCGACTTTCGGAAGTGATAAACATTTCCCTAGGAAATGGCGTAACGACGACGGCCGGGGATTTTCTTTCCCTATTTCTATTTTAAAACCGACGAATAAGGGTTCCTCGAGATACCGTCGGTACTCGACGCACCAGCGGGTGTATTATTAATACTTATCGCCTTAATATCTACAAGACGGAGGGATTAAAAAAGCTCTCTTGAGTAAGGATCGTCGACCTACCGAAGACGCGATTAACGAGTTATCGGGCTGAATATCGCGAGGTGGGGTATAAGTGGCTCGAGCACGGGGGTGCGATAGTAAAGAGAAAAAAGGGAAGGAAAACAGAGTTACCCCCCCGGCGCGTGAATTATGCATAATCGCGTATCCCCGTGCCTCCCCATATACGGCGAACTATATCATCCATCCCCTTCGGACATTTACCCCGAACTCCCCTATAGGGTGAAGCATGCACATCGGCGGATCGATCGTTTTCATATCTCCCGCGCACAGACTCGGCGACATTATTGCGGCAAGAGTCCCAAAAGACGTGGAACTTGTAAAGGTAAAAATCTCCCCTCGGCTCCTTCGCACTTTTCCCCTATTTTCATAATTTTCCCTCTCAGGGGGACGCCGCGAGTTCGCGGGCTTATCGCGCTATACGACACTCGTATCATTAAGCTCGGACCTAATAAGCGGCCGACGCATAAAGTGAGATCAATGTCCGTCCTGGGTGGTCGAGTGCAAGTACTCACGCATAAAGCCGTATAATACTCGCCCCTGGGTGGACATTTATCCTATTTTACGCCCCGTGTTTACCGGCAGGGTGCAGGTCGCGTATCGGCGGATCGATGCCTCGCGCGGCCGCCATCTTGCGTAGAGATCTGGACCAAGGGCCCTTACGTAAATTTCCCCCGAAAAGGCTGCGAACTAGCCGATAAACTAGAAATACCATCCCGGAAAATGGAGCTCCGGGCTTATTTCCGTCGATTTTCTTCCCTTTCGCCTCGCCGCCACGGGATCTTTGTCGACATATTGCGAAGCGGATCCGCCGTGCCTCGCATTCACGGATAAAAATGGCGGCGCGGGTATATCGGCAGATCGATCGACTACGTGGCGTGCACCTAAAGACCTCGTCGACGGGGGGTTTGAAAGATTCAGGGAGCGCACGCGGAAAAATAAAAGCCACGATCGTCCCGAGGAAGTTACGAGCCGCGCCGATTCGCTATCGATTATCGGTACGCGCGGATTAAACGCGACTTCTTCGGCGCCCCCGTGCCTGTTCTCGCCACGGTATTCCGGTTCATCGACTGCGCCGCCATTTTGGTATCGAGCGTTCTCCGGTCTCGACGTAAATGCCGTGCGCCTGTTAATTATTAATGATCGAATTAACAGATCGAAGGCTGGAAAGGGGTGGATTTCGCCGTCATTGATAAAAGAATCGCGAACAAGCGGAGACTCCGCGCGGGGAAAATGCCGAGTCTTTTTCTAATTAAATCAAACGAAATTAAATGAAATTAAATCGAATTGAATTTCTTTTGGGTCGGTTTGGAAGATTTTCCGGATTTCGGGGGAGCGGAAGTCGCAGCGGGCCGCGGCGTCCTTGGCGTCGGGGCGGCCGACGTCGATGGCTCGCGAGGGCCCGCGAGTTCCAGCCCGGCGTCGGGGCGCTTGCGCCGGGGGGCGCGACCCGCTCGGAGGACGTCGCCGTCGCCGTAGTCGCGAGCCAGTCCGACGGCGGTCGCCGCGACGCTATGACGTCACTGGTCCGCGGGCTCCCGGTCGTCGAAGGCTCGCCGCCGGCGTCGAGGAGCGTCGACGTTGCGTAAGGAGAGGAGACGCCCCGGAAGCATCCCAGCGTCCGAGGATCCGCTCTCTGGCCGCGGTAATGGCAGAGCGCGCCGCGGCCGACTCTCGCGCTCGGTACTTGGCGCGTCCGCTCTACTCGCCCCCGGGCCCCCGAGGCGTGCCCCGACGCGTGCGAGCCTTTTTTACCCCCGTTTTTTCGGTGAGTCCCAAACCCCCGGTGTATCCAAAACTACCCCTAAAAGGCTAACAAATGAAGTATTCACAAAGGTCAGGATTACTCCCCCGATCTAAATGGCATAACTCAAAAGTCCCTCCTGTGTCACAAATCCCCTCAAAAGGGTAAAATTTAGATAATTAGGAATTTCACTCGGACCGAATTTCATACCCTCGTTTATACGGCCAGTTCTAGCTCCTTCCTCCGTGAGAAATTCCCCGGTAAAGAGATTGAGTACCTGCATAATTTTATTAAATCCCTTATAAAGGGAGCATCGAAATCGGGAAATTATTAGGAATTATTAATAACGAGCGCGGAAAATTTTGCGTGAAATCGAGTGTAAGGATCTCCGCTGATCTCCTCTCGGTGCGGTAATCTCTTCTTGCTAGGGACGCAGATTTTCTTTTTCTCTGTTTTCCCCGCCAGACGTTTTCACGAGCCGCAGCGTCGAGGGTGCCGAAGACGCTCGGTTTACTCGTCCCGCTCTCGAGGGCCTCGAGGGGAACCGGGGAACCGTGTCAAGAGGGCTCAGGAGGAGCACAATCAGCGAGATGCTCGCCGATAAAGCAGGCCGCGACTTCCTCTCGCGTGAGGGCGGGAAAATGCGTGGGTGCGTGCGCAACGAGCGTCGCGACGCGTCGCCTTCTCCGGCGCCAGGGACGCGATAATGCCCCGATAAGCCGCGATAAGCGGCGATCAGCGGTCCACTCCGACCGCCGAAACCTATTTCGGGAAATTTGCAAGACCGCCTTGTTATCCTCGCCACCGATAACTACATGTTCCCATTAGCGAGGCGAGTGATAAGGAAGTACAGCAAATGAGTCAATAAGGTCCGAAAAGAGCCGATAAGGCATGCATTCATAATTTACTCCCGCTGTACATCTTCGCGCGATTATTTTCCAACCCACTATCAGCAGTAATTATCTGCTTTTCAATTATCGCGGCCTTCGTGAAAATCCAATTTTAATTAACACGGTGTTAAAATCCGTATAAACGTTGGAAACGTCGTCTACTGGGCGCGAGGACGCGAAGAAATCTCGAGAGGACTCATTTCCGAGGACTTATCTCCTCGACTCCGGATCTCGAAGAAACGATTAAAGCCAACCGGCGCGTCCGAGTTCCCAACTTTCGTGGGAAAAAAAAAAAAAAAAAAAAGAACGAAAAAGGAGGCGGACCGAGGGCATACGGCGCGGAGGTGGAATCACTGCTATCCTCGGGTCTCTGATAAAAAGCCTCCGCCCTGGCTAAAGTCGAGTTTCGAAGCGGCCCGAAATCCCCGGACACACGCGCGAGATGATCCCGATAAGAGCTTGGATTTCCCCGATCCCCCCAAAAAGTAGAGACACACCAATACGATAAGACTCCCTCTCCGGAAAATCCAGCGAAAGACCGAACAACCGAGGCAAAAAATATCCCACCGGAGTAAAATTTGAAAATTTGCAAAATTTGACAATTCGATGATCCCGTATAATGACATTTAATGGAGGGTAAAATGTGTGAAATTCTTCAGGAAATCCCATCTAATGGAGGAAGGAAAGCGAGTCGGGCCAATTAACGCTTCGGCCGGACCCCATAATTGGAGCGATCGAAAGGCGCCCTTTGAGGGGACTCGGGAGAAATCAGGCAGAGAGACGGCCCGCGAGGACTTTTATATCAATAACAATTCTAATAATACCGTTCCCTCTGGGAGAAAGAATTCCAGACCGAGCTCGGCGGCGCCCCGTCCCCCGGGTCGATAAGGATCGCAATCGCACACGTCCGCCCCTCGAAAAGCTCGCAGGGCGCGATTAACCCCGAGGTCGAGGTTCCCCCGGAGGGGCGGATCGATCTCGCGAGGGAGGCGAATTCGCGGTCGGGGCTCTCGTTAAGACGATTTAACGCGGGTGGAGGTTGCTCCGGACAGGGCTGCTGCGCGGAGGCGGATCCATCCGGGGGCAGCGAAAATGGGAAAGAAAAACAGCAAGCTCAAGCAGGACACTATCGACCGGCTGACTACGGACACGTATTGTAAGTACGAGCTCTCTGTACACCTCGAAGGCGCGAACCGCGGCCACCCACCGCCCACCGGCCCGCGGGAAGCGTCGACGTGCGTCGCGAATCTCGACGTGCCGGATCGCCGTCTCCCGAGAGGGTGAGTGCGTCCTCTTCGCTCCCGCGGCACCCGCATCTATGCCTCTCTCTCGCGCAGCGACCGTCCCGCGGCGCATAGGAGCGAGGGAGACCGAGCGAGGCGCGACGCCGTGAGAGCGAGAGAGACCGCTGCCGAAAGCGCGAGCCGAAGGCTCCGATCGATGGACCGGCATGCACGCGTATATTCCGCAGCGTACGCGCGCGCAATCGCGAACCGGACGCACGTGCAGGGGCGGCCTGCGGAGGAGACGCGTGCGTTTATTTTCCGCACCCTGGGTACGGGACTATTGATTGAGGTCGAGCGATTTTCGCGGATTAATTCGGAGTGATTCGCGCCCCGAGGGACTCGCGCCTCGATTTTCCCACCTCGAATTTTTCCGCGTTCGCACCTCGCGTTTACTTCTCGCGTATATTTATCCGACTGATAAGGACACCCTTTCGCTTGAATTCGTTTTCATCTTCCAAGGGGGACCCCGTCTTGAATGTTCTTCAAGATAGAAAAAGGGTAAAGTGGATTATTTCAGGATCTGCGGAGGAAGCTCGAGGGGTGGGTTCTCGAAGGGTAGCTCTCGGCCTATCGGCCTCATCGGACGCCTTATCAAGCCGACGGACGTTATCGCGAGTTTCTCCGGATTTCGGGAAGACCGACGCCAGCTTGATTTATGACGCCCGGAAGTAGATCCGACTCGCGATCTCGATCGAGCCCAAGGGCGCACGCAGCCCTCCCACAGGGCCGAAAAACTTTCCGAATTTTCCGGATCCCGGACATCTCCCGAAGATTCCAGGCCGAGAGGGAAAGCCGACGGCTATATAAAGCCACCGGGTCGGCCGATCGCCTTTAAGCCCGACAAAATGCCGCGGGAATTCGTTCATCCCCTTCGGGGCGAATCGCAGGACGCGACTCTCTCTCTTCGGCCCTCTTTCCTTTTCGATTCCAATTGACCGACCTCGTTGAGGAAAATTCAGGAGAGGGGTGAGACCGTCCCTTGTGGTCGGAAAAAATTCGGATACCTCTGACAACCCCCGAACTCGTTGAGGAAAATTCAGGAGAAGGGTGGGACCGTCCCTTGTGGTCGGGAAAAAATTCAACCCCGGGAACAGACTCCGAGGACCACTCGGCATTTTTCTTTTCTCTCCCCAAATCTGGGAAATACTCGGGTGGGATATTTTTTTTTTTTTTATCCCTCTCCGTAAACGACGTTCTGCAGGCTCGTCCGTTCGTTAAGGGCGGTAAGTGGTCGTCGGTTTTGTCGGCAAAGAGCAAAGGGGCGACCGCGTCCTCGGGGGTGGCCGAAACTGCGCCGCTGCAAATTGTCGCGCAAACGCGAGCCGCCACGACGGAACGTCCTCGGGGGGTAACCGCATTGTTCCCGAGTGCGGAGCTTCCCTGCGGGTTCTCGCCACCGGGCCCGGAAAAGGCTAAAGTGGAGAGCAAGTCCTTTGGCGAGCTCATCCCGCCGAGTGACGTCCTCTTCCCCCTGCCCCTTATCGCGTTCGCGATACACTCGCTTTGAACGCCCGGAAAGAGCCGAAGGCCGAGTTTGCACCGCGACCTCGGAAAGAATCGCAAACCCTCTAAACCTTCGGGAGGGAAAAAAAATTCCGCAACGACCGCGTCACGTTTTCAAGGCCACCTTTATTGGGTCGCCCGATATCGCGAAAAAAAATCTCATTTCTCCCTGAGTTTCCCACAATTACAAACATTAAGGTGCCATAAAAAAGTCACACGCAAGCGTGGAAAATTAATGAAACCACCCAAATCGGGATGCACCAATACAGCATAAAAATTTTTTATTCATCCCAGAGTAGAGCCAAGGACTCGTATTTTTCATTGAAATATGACATTTCAGGAGTATCAATTTTTTCCTTAGGGCTTTCAAAGTAACGCGTCGAAAATTATAATGATTCTTATTGCATTATGGAAATGACTCAGTGCACCCAGTTTTGATAAAGATTTTACATGTATTTCGACGTTTTGATATATACAGAATGGCATTTTGATAACACCTTGATTGCAGCAACGGCATCGGGGGATGCATGAATAATTAACCGGTATCGGTGGGAAAGCTTTTAGAAATTCTCCAAATTTACGAATCTCTTCCGCCACCGAACACATATCGAGGGTAATTGAATCGGGGCGTGGGATAAATAAAATGCGATAAAAATGCGCGGCCACGTACTATCAAGCCGTGAGCTCGTAATTAATCGCTACGTTAGAATTTCAATTCGCGAGGACGAATTTGCAAATTCGAGCCGCTGGTAAGTCCGCGGCCACGTAATGCGACCGCGAGGACGAGGTCTCGCGGATCCTCCGGGGTATCCGCAAATCCAGGGAGTTCCCTGGGCGTTATCGCATTACTGAGAGCGATAGGACGAGGTTACGTATTCCCGGCGCGTGGGAGGAATCCTCTCGGAGTGACGAGATGCATCCCCGAGATGCGACCAACCGGGAGGGCTTCGATTTTCATGGACTTCCTCGACACTTTTCGAGGTCACTAAAGTGCCGGGATAAATATTCAAGATACGACCCAATATCGGATAATGGTTTAAAGTATGAGCACTAATCGGGGGAAAATCAAGAGCACTCGGCGGAGCCAATCACGGGGTCGATTCAGCGTCGAGATAACTACCCTCGATTCAAAATCCCCCCGTCGAATACAACGCGGCTCCCAATTTGCGGAATCGCGGGGATGGGGTGTCCTGGTTTGTGCGGAATAATTGGAGGACCGGCGAGCGTGTAATCGGGATCTCGATTAAATGACGTACGAGAGGCTCGTTACGCGGCGGCGCGTCCGGTCGGCGTCGGAGAGGACGAGGGCGCGAACGACCCCCCGCGAACTCGCGGCTCCTTACGAGCGGATTTACGGACGAGGAGATGGCAGCTCTACCCGCCGCGACATTTCCTGTAGAGACTAATCCCCGAGAGCAGAAGGTCCCCGATTTACGGACCGCGGAACGCGCCCGGCCGGAATTGCGGAATTACGGTATTACGGGGGCGGCTCTTCTCGACTCGCCATAGAGGATGGGACGGCTCTCGGAAGTACCCATATAAAAGTACTTAACGAGTGCTCGACCGAGCACACCCTACAGGTGTGCTCGCTTTACTTAATATCCGCCTCTCCGCCATTAACGAGTGGTAACTCTGCCTGAAAGAGGTATCATATCCCTAGGGAACATGAAACCCCTCGCACTAGGATCTCCGCTCTCCCTCCGAGAAGGGGGTTAGTTCGTGGATTTTGCTGTAATAAAAGATTCTATGAACGTTGTGGATTTTTTAAATGTTAAGCCCGTAGAGATTGAAGGGAAAGGTAGGGTGAAAAGGTGTCCTTTTCATCGGGGGTGGTTTCACCTGGAAAAGAGCATGTCCCCTCGAGTCACGTGGTATCTCCACATGGGTTTCACATCACTCGGGGGTGGACGTTAATCGCTGGGTTTTTCATGTAATTCATTTTCCGGGCTAAAGTTTGAGGTTAAGGGGAAGCTGGGCCCGGAAAATCGTGTCGCAGGTCGCGAGTGATTTTCGCGTCCTTCCTTCGGCCGAATTTGCATCCCTTATCATCCTTGGAGCTTTCAAACGGGTTAAGTCTCGGCTCCCTAACAAATTGTCCTTCGGAGTTGGCCGGCGCCTTGAAGTTCCCTAATCGAGTTCGGAATTCCCTCGCGCCCCGAGGAACCTCGTCCTGGACTTTCAGGGCGGAATCCCTTATTTCCCGGGGAGATCCGAGAGGGCTGCGGGCGTAAAAAAACCAAAGTGGAGGAAAGAGAGGACCCTCGCCACGTTTATTGCCCCGCGCCTCCTGAGGGAGGAAAACTCCCCTCGAGGTGAGCAAACATCCCCGTAAAATCAGGGAGAGGTCGCGGATTCCCGTGGTCCCCGGGAAAATGAAATCCGAAATCGAAGATCCACCGGGGGAGGGAAAAAGAGTCAAGGGGGAAATCTCGAGGCTCTTCGAGGCGGAAGCTCGACGCGATATTACTTCTGCCCTGCAAAGGGAGGATCCACGTGGATTCGGGCCGAAAATGCGTTCGAGGGGTTTGGGGATCCGGAAAACCAGGAACCGTCCAAAGCCGAGGAATATCCGGGATTACGTCTCGAGGGAGGGAAAAAGAGTATCGAGCTCTCGACCAGAGGGTCCTCTCTCTCCGGGACGTGTCTCTCGAGACCCTTCTCTCCAGATCCCCAAGAAGAGTCTTCTTCCTCCCAGAAATCTGAAAACGCAAACTCCACGCTAAATATCCAGTTTTCCAAATATTCCAAATATCGGAAATATAAAAAAATATCCTGAAGTATTCCCCTAGGTCCAACCTTCCTGTCCAGATCGCCGGAATTCAACACCCTGATTTTTTTACGATATAAGTTCTTATCATTTTCCTGCATTTTTAAAGGGGAGAGTGGACGCTAATCAGGGGCAAAAATAAATCCAGCTAAATGGAACAACTCTGGGCGTGATGCGAAATCGTCGTCCGTAATTCGCGGCGGGCATGCTTGCCTTTATATCGGACCACTTTATCGGGGCGAAAGCTCGAGCTTTTATGTCTCCGGGGAAAATAAAAACCTCGGCTTTCCCGGATATCCAGTTTCCCGGAGGAAGGGGGATCTAACCCGAGGATCGATCAGGATCACGCGAACGAACTCGAGTCACGAACCTCGAAGAGGCGAGTCCGGGTCCTGGGAGGGTCGTCGACGTGCTCGGCTCGACTTCCGGTCGATCGAGTGCCTTCCGTTCGGGACGAAAGAGGATTTGTCGAAGGATTCGCCGGCAAGGCCTCGGGGCTCCCGTGGGATGGCCGGGATCCGTGTCGGAGTCTCCAGGACCCTAAGGGGACATCCGGGAACGCGGAAGAGAGCCACTCCGCTGGCTGATCGAATAAACGCCGCTTTTACGCCCCCTAATAACGATCAGTCCCTTTCACGAGTGGGTCCTGCGGAATAAAACGGGAACGGGGACTTCGGGAATAAAGTGGAAATGGATACGGTGGATATTCCTCCAGGTCCGTGGAAATACGTGTCAATTTTATCCCCTGGGCAGGTGGTGGCCGTGTTTCGACAAAAATCCCGCGAATCGGGGCTTCTTCGGGGCGTTATTAGTAATTATTTCCATGTTTCAGTCACCGAGAAGGAGATTCGACAGTGGTAAGTGCCTCGCGGGGAAACAAGATGGCGGCCGGCAGAAGAAGTCGCGGCGCCGGAATTGCAGCGACGCGGCAGCTCGCCCGAGTTTCATTCTCCCTTATTCTTTTTATTCTCCATTAGCGACGACGCTTCTTTCGCGGCCGGGTTATCGTTTCCGGGGGAAAGGAGGAGAGGGGGGTAGAAAAATGCGCGGAAAGGGGGAAAAATGGGGAAAGGAGGAGAGAGTGCCTCAGGCGACGCGGCCGTTCGCCGCAATTCGCGACTCCGCGCCGGAAGTGCAGCCGGAAACGAAGTCCCATCGACCGGTTGGTTAATTCACGGTTTTCTCCCGCAGGCATAAAGGTTTCCTCAAGGACTGCCCTGATGGCCTGCTGACGGAACAGGTGAGTTTCGAACGAAAAGTCGACTTTCGCGAGTCCCCGCGGATTCCAAGATGGCGTCCCTTCGCGACGCGGTGACTCTTCTTCCGCTTACAGGGGTTCATCAAGATCTACAAGCAGTTCTTCCCCCAGGGTGACCCGTCCAAGTTCGCCTCCCTGGTCTTCAGGGTGTTCGACGAGAACAACGTGAGTCCTTTTCTCCCTCTTTCTGAGAAAATAGAAATTCATAACTCGGAAATTAGTCCAAAGCTCGATGTAACGTGTACCTTCCTCTCTCCGGGCGTATTAGTAAATCAACGGAAGATACGATCTGCATCCGCCGTCGCGAGTTCGCGTGCTCGAGGCCGGGGAATTTTCCCTGCACTTTTATCCCTCTGTACTTTTTACGACCGACTATTTTTTTCCCCCCCTAACCCGGCGTCCCTGCCGTTTGATTCCCCAGGACGGGACGATCGAGTTCGAGGAGTTCATCCGCGCGCTGTCTGTGACGTCGCGAGGCAACCTGGACGAGAAATTACGCTGTGAGTCGCCATTTTGTTCGCCATTTTCCCGCTCGACTGGCGCCCCCGACTCGTTATCCGCGAAATTTACCCCGTCCATGGGACGGGTAATACTTTCCTCCAAACGACTCGATCGAAAAGATCGCTAATCGAGGAATTAACCTTTTTTTTTCTTTTTCCCTCAAACCTCCAGGGGCCTTCAGACTCTACGACGTGGACAACGATGGGTTCATCACGAGGGACGAGATGTACAACATCGTCGACGCGATATATCAGATGGTGGTGAGTCGGCGCCCTTAATTACCCCTCGCAAGCTCAACCCGTTATCGGTCTCTATCTATCCCCTGCACCCTGAAAGGGCCCGCGGACGATAAGGGGCGGAAATCCGGAACGGTAACGCGATCGGCGAATCACTTATCGGGACGCTTCCTGCAGGGCCAACAGCCGCAGGCGGAGGACGAGAACACCCCCCAGAAGAGGGTGGACAAGATCTTCGACCAGATGGACAAGAACCACGACGACAAGCTCACCCTGGACGAGTTCCGCGAGGGCAGCAAGGCGGACCCTCGAATCGTGCAGGCCCTCTCCTTGGGGGGTGAGCCGTAACCGGCGCCCCCGGGGGGTCGTATCAGCAATAAAAGGACGTCGGGGGATGAAATGGGTAACGGCGCCCTTCATTGGGAAAATCCGACTCGGAGGAACGTTGCGAATAACGAGAATAACGAGTATTTCAAGAATTTTGAGAATTATAAGAGTTTTACGCGAATTACGAAAATTAAGGGTCGAGGCAGCCTCCAGGTGTTTCCTCCCCCTCGCCGCTGTAAACGTCCTCTCGATTTACGATCGAGAGTCAAAGTGAGGGCAATATATGCGGATAAGCCATAAAACAGCGAAACGAGGGATGAAACCGTCCTGGTCGCGTTCACCCCCCTCGAGGCGGTTCGCCAGAGGGCGCGTCGGCGTTTACGCGCGGAAGAGAAGCGCCGCGACGCTCTCGGCCGTGCCCGCGTATGAATATAAATCTAAGCCGAAGTAAAAGCGACGTATCGGAAAATCGAGAGGGAGAAACCACCCCGGGGCTTCCGTTTTCCGGGGCCGTTTGCGTCCCTTACCCTCACCGACGCGTCGCGTCGCGACGCCGGAGGCACTCGAACCGCGTCAGCCGTCGCTTTTTCCGACCTTTCCCGAGGGTAGAAATTCTGGGGGGGGTCCTCCCCCGACGCTGTCCTTCGAAATCGCGGGGGAGGGGACGGCGTCGCGACGCCGGACGCCGGGCCCGAATTCTCGCCGACGCGGCCGGGAACTTCGGGAACTGGGTGACGGGATCCCCCGACTGCCCCCGGGGAACTTCCCCCCTCTGAGAGCCACCCTCCCTCTCCCGCCGTCCCGGTTTCCGTCCGTATCTCGCGGCCCTCCCGCAACAGCGGAAGGGAGGATGCGGAATTTCTCCGGACCCAACGGAAGTCCTGAGCTGGAAACGGGAGACCCGACGAGGGAGGCCCTTTGGAGAGATATGCCGATCCTCCTCTCTGCGCCCCCTAGGTGAAGGGATGGCGCTGATAACGGCTGATAACCCTTGCGCGGATCCCAAAGTTTCCCTTGGCCGAGTGGCCCATCGCGTAGCAATAATCGGCAGATCGAGTCCGAATCACTATGTATATCGGCCGACCGGAGTCGCCGGCAGCCTCTGATAACGTCTCCCGTGACTCGCGAATCTCGCTCTTATTACTCTAGTTACATGTTATGTACAGCGTTCCACTCGGAGATACCGAAGACTCGCAAACAAGATATAGAAATGGCCGAACGATTTACGTCCCTCTCCGCTACTTTCGACTCGTTATCACCTGTCTGCTCAAATAAGGAGGGATAAATAAAAAATGCGGAGAGGGAGAAATTTGCAGTGTTTCGGGAGGAGATTTTCGGGAGAATTTCGAGAGGACTCGGAGAGATTGGCGAGCTACTTTCGAGAGCTCCACTGGCTGGCTCTTGATAAGTGATAAGGGCGATAATCGCGGTATCACGGCGAGATTCCCGGTGGCTCCTCCGAGCGGCACCCGAGGCCGGCTTAAGCGCACCTTCGTCCCTAGGGACTCGGTTATCGTTTTAGGAGTTAGCGGTTAATTATTAATTCTAGGGATAATCGTAGCCACCTAGCTACCGAGCGTTCCGAGTGTCCGGAGGGCGAGGCACACCCCGAGGGAAGTTCATTACGATCGAGGGCAGTCCTCTCCGCCCTGCATCGCCTCCAGGGCAATGGAACGCAAAAAGTTAAGGGAATAAATTAATAAATAAATCACTCACTACGGAGACCTCGGAAAAGCCACCGAGGTCTTCGACCAAAAGAGCGCGGAGAGACCGCCCCGAGGAAGCCTTGCCTTCCCTCAACCTCGCCCTCCGCCTTAGGCGGCCATCTTGTACTTCTTCGGAATCTTCTTCTAGCTTTCGTGCACGTCGTACTACTGCGCCCGGAGAATGGCGATCCCCTCCCCTGGACGTAGATTTCACTGCGGGATGTTAGATTATTAATCGAAGGGAGACCTGGCGGATACAAAATCTCCTCTCGCTCGCTCCACCGAAATCTCCGTCCCGGTGGAGAACTTTTTCTCGATTTCGATAATCTTCGCTACCACCGCTACCTCCGTTAGTATCGCTAGTCGTAATTCGACCGCGGGATGGATAATCTGCCGCCGTGAGGAACGTTTCCATCTGTTAATAAAAGGAAAGTGGATAATTGGAGTTCCTTCTTGGATAAACAAGATGGCGGCGCGTCCTCCACCGCGGCAGATCCCCGTTTCTCCCTCGCGACCCCCGACCGGCCACTCTGGGATCGCAAGCGAACCTTCGGGATCGTCAAAAAGCAATACCGAGGTGTGAGAACGGAGAGAAAGAGAGAGGGAAATAAAATAGAGAACCCGAAGAAGAAGAGAAAACGTTAAAGCAATCGCTACACCGCCACCGCCGCTGCCTCTAATACCGCTCTTCCGTCTCGACGCCGTTAATAAATAACGATAACGCTAACTACCGCCGCTGTAACGCTAACTACTACTACACCGTTGTTGCTAACTTCTTACTCGTAGCCATTAAATCGAAAAAAGAAAAAAAATAACAAAAAACTATGAAAAAAGGTTTCACTCTTTCCGTCTACGTATACACCCATAATATTAATCGTTATGGTCGTTGTTTTACAAACTTTCTGTGATAATTATTAACAATCAATGAATACGGGGAAGGAGATCCGGCAAAGGCGCGCCCGTGAGAGAGAGAGAAAGAGAGCGCGAGAGAAAAATTAAAAATACTGAGAGAGCGAGAGAGTGTGAGTCGCATTGGGAGTGAGAAAGTGGGACACGTTTTATCGAGAGTCGACGATACCGAGTTTATAAATGTATCGCCGTGTCCCGGAAGGGAATATAAATCGTTCCGATATTTGTTGAGCGCCGATATATACGTATATACATAAACATAAATTATATATATACATCCGTTGAGCGTTGCGCCTTATACAAGATATACTTTGGACTCGTTGCTCGTGACCCCCGAAGGAACTATGCGCCGTTGTTATTTTGTATGATCCCATACGTTTTTCTAACTGACGATTAACGAGAGTACGACGCAACACGAGGCGATCGGCGAGAGAGTGAGAGAGAAAGGAAAAAAAAAAGACATTGAGAGATCAGTAAAAGGACTTGCAGCAGCCAATTTCGGACTTTTCCTTTTCCCAGTCCTCCCGTTCGTCCGGAGTCAGGAAGGACGAGACGCCGATCGTCCTTGAGAGTCGACGCTGGTGGAGCTCTTCCGCTCGTCGTCGCTCCTCCTGCAGGTTCCGGATACGCAGGCGAATCTCCTGCACGGCCATCTCGGCGACCTTGACTCTTAATCGCCTCTCCTCTGTCTGAAAATTTTTTTAAAAATTAATAAGGACGTTGTCGATTAACGTGGCCGCTCGAGATTCGAGATCACCTCCAGTCTGCGCAGCATCAGCTGATGGTCCAGTTCGAATTTGGCCTTCGACCTCGCTCGATCGTTTATCCGAGGATCGGTCGAAGTCTTGCCGAGCCCGGAAGACCTTGGATCGATAGATCCATGATCGACCTCGGGATTCATCTGGAAACACCCAGCATCCCGTTTTTCCTTCTCTGGGATCTTATCGGTCTTCTCTTGACCCGAGTTTTCTGCGTTTTCTTCACGTTCCGTCTTCCCATTGTCCGGAACTTCCTCGGTCCCGGCAAGTTGGCCTCGTTGCTTCCGGTTCTCCTGGTCGCACTTCCGCTTCCGGCTGGATTCCGCGAGGGGACCCAAAGAAGAGGGTCCTCGAAGGTCCCTTTTCTCGTGCCGGAAGACAGAGACGGTGACGCTGTCTCCGGAGAGGCCGGAAACGACCACGTTCCCTTTTCCAGGATCGGCCTTGCAGTTTTCCGGGTTTTCCTCTGAAAGCGGGGAAACTTTACGGGCCAGGAACTACGGCAAGATGAGGACGCAGCAGAGAGAAACTTACCTAAATGAGGTCCCCCCTCTCCGTGAGACTTCATCTCCCTCTGGACCTGTTCCTTGCATCCCTCGTCGACTGACATCGGACTGTCCTGGAATTAAGGCGAGAATTAATATCAAAGATCGCAATTCCAGGCAGCTCGGCGACGTACTTTGGAGATGGCCGTTCTCTTGCAGTGGTACTTGTAATTCTGCCAGTACTTCTTCAGCTGTGCCGAGGTTTTGCTCGAGGAGGCGCCCTCGTTGAACTCCTTCTCTATCGCGTCCCAGATTTCCTTGCGGCCGACTATGGAGACGTTCCTGTCCAACAGAGAGGCGTACATCCCAACAATGGCCACGAGCCGAGCGCGCTCGTCCCTGGTGAACTGGTTCCTCAGCCTCTTCTTGTCGTTCTCCATGGCCGTGGACGCGAACATGCTTCCCAGGAGTTAAGATCATCGACCTTACGTCTCGCTCCCGAAACAAAATTGCCAAACATCCGAGGACCCTCGACAAAAGCGCATCGCTCCACGGAAAACAGGGCAGCGTGGGCTGACTAACGAGGAAGAAAAAAGAGAAGCGCCATTACGCGTCGCGTGGCCATCGCTGCAGAATGCCAGCAATCTGATTTCAGTCGAAGGTCGCGACATTTTACGACGAGCCTTCAACGAGAGTAATTACAGACATCGGAACTAATTACGTTAACAGTCCCTCGTTAAATGTTCGGTAGGTTCTGGCTCGTTTCCTGCGTGGAAAAAATCCGGCAGGTGTATCGGCCTCACATTTGCATCGCGTTCTCCGCCCCAGGGGTTCGAGATACGGAAAAGTGGCCTTTACAAAACTTTCGTGGAATAACCTGAGGAGTAACTTTCGTTCGGAGGAAATTTTCGTACCGTCAACGCGTGAGGCGGAAAAGTGCACGGTAACGAGCGTTGCGTACTGTCAACGGCCGGGAAGCGTGACGAGCATCTTCGTTTCCCCGAGTCACTCCGTCGGTGGCCTTATTATTAACTTGGGAAGTTACGGTTATCGGAACAACTGGTTGGAGAGGCGATGTTTGTCAGCAATGATAGGTCGCGATATATCTGCGTCTTAACGCGCGTGCCGATGAAAAGCGGCATCGCTTCGCGGGGAAGTCGGCACTCGCGAGTCGCGTCATCGGTTTCGTACATATAAGCGCTCGGCAAGAGAGCATTGCAAGTCATTCTTCGTGAAAGGACAAACTGTAGACCATGACTAAGGTACGAGCCTCCGTTCGACGCGAAAAGTTAACGCAATCCGTCCGCAAAGCGACCTGAACCGATTTTCTCGACCGTCGCGCGCTCTCTCCGCGACGACATAATTTCCTAGATATCTCATTTTTCCTCGTTGCGGTTCGCAGGAAGAGTTAGAATTCACCGTGGAGAACGGGGTCTTGAAGGGGAAGAAACGGGAACCCTCGACGAAGAATCCGCATTTGGGGAAAATCATTCTGGAGAACCTGAAGAGGAAGCCGGATTTCGTGGGTCAGGTGAGTCTCCGCTTTCGTACGCTTACTGGAAGAGAGAAAGGCGCGTTTATTAACGATAATCGGTATATAATTGAGGAAGTGAAATTATACGATACTCATAGGTAAGTGCGCTCACCGGGGAGGAGTACACTTTTGGTCAGATACGGGAAAAGACGATAAGATGCGCTCTGTGGCTGAAGAAGCAAGGCGTCTCTCCCGGGGACATCGTCGTGACCTGTTCGGATAACAACATGGACTGTGCCTTACCGATGATAGCGTCCCTCTGTATCGGGGCCACTTTCAATGGCTGGGACCACAAATTGGACGCGAGTACGTCGAGACCTTCCCAAAGTCTCTATGAGACCTTCGAGATCCTCCTCATCGACATCCCTCCGGTGACCCTTCTTCTATCTTCTGCCTCTTCCTCCAGAATCCCTGAAGTACTTCGACTCCCTGGTGAAACCGAAGGTAATCTTCGTCAACGAAAGCGCGGCCCCGGTGGTGTCCTCGGAGCTCGCCAAGGAGAATCCATCTCTCCGGGTCGTGGTCTTCGGCAAGGTGCCGGGGATGCTCTCCTTCTCCGAGGTCATCCTGAACCAGAGTGTCGAGGAGATTCGCGCCTTCGAGTGCTCCGAAGTGTTCAACCCTGCCATCGTGTTCTTGTCTTCCGGTACCACCGGCTGGCCCAAGGCCATCGAGCTCTCCCATGCCTGCCTCCTGGGGCACCTCGACACCTTCCTCACCTTTGAATCCTACAGAGACGTCCTCGGCACATTTTCGACCTTGAACTGGATCAGCGGAGTGCTGATCACCCTTGCTGCCTTGTACTCGGGGTGCAAGAGGTTCGTCTTCCCGAGCTTCGAGGAGGAGCTCAGCTGCAAGCTTCTCCAGGACACCAAGGTGAAGGTCCTCTTCGTCTACTTCTGGCGAAGGATACTCCCTTGTCTCCTCGGGACACCAGATTTATCTTGAGATTTGTCGTAGATCAAGTGGGTGATGATACCCACTAACACGTTGACCAGGTTGACGAAGTTCAAGGACTTCCGCAAGTACGATCTGTCCAGCCTTGAAGTCGTGTCTACAGGAGGCTCGGGGATGAGTTCCACCGTGCAAAAGGCGTGCAGAAATCTCCTGCCCGATTGCGCCGTTCTCCAAATGTACGGTGCGTTGATAAAAAATAAATAACTATCAGAATCTCTTTTCATCCTATCGTGCGATATTTTGCACTTAACGACAAGTATATCCTCGGTCGATTGGCAGAGTTGAGTTCTTATACATATTAATTTCTCTTATCTCGCCAACAGCTGATTACGCTCGTTTTAACAAGACACACGAGCTACAAATAGCTTTTATCGTCTTTCTATTTGCCTGTCCACCTTCGAAAATAGTAAGAAAAAAAAAACGAAAATAGTAAAATATTCGAAAATAGTCAAATAATGTAGTTTCGAAATCGTTGGATTTTTTGGATTTCAGGAATGACGGAGTTTGGCGGAGTCATATGCGCCCAAAAGGACAACAACACCAAACTCGGCTCCTGTGGGACGGTGGTGTCGAACGTGGAGATAAAAATCGTGGACCCGGAGACCGGGAAAATCCTGGGGCCGAACCAGAAGGGTGAGATCCACGCGAAAGCGTACGAGATCATGATGGGCTACAAGGGGAATCCTCAAGCCACCAAGGAAGTCATCGACTCGGAAGGTGAAATAAACTAAGAAAAAAAAAAGGAGAAAAAATTCTTTCAACTTCCTGAATCTCGCGCTTCAGGCTTCCTGAGGACGGGAGACATCGGCTACTACGACGAGAACGGCGAGATCTTCATCATCGACAGGATCAAGGAGCTGATCAAGTACCGAGGGGACCACGTATCCCCTGCCGAGATCGAGGCCGTTCTCCAAAGTCATCCTGGAGTGAAAGAGGCCGCCGTAGTCGGAGTGCCAGTGCCAGGGGACGACGAGCACCCCCTGGCCTTCGTCACCAGGGTTTCGGATAGCAAGGTAAGGGACTCGCTCTTCAGGGATTCGTCTTCGCTTTCCACTTTATTTTCTCGTTCCTACTCGTGGGGCCTGATCTTCAGGGTGGGTCATAGAGGAAATCTCGTCGAAGGGTCTCACGTCTCTTCGATTCCCTTCTCCAGGTGACGGGTAAGGAGCTGATCGACCTGGTAGCGGATCAGCTCGCGGACGTGAAACGCCTGCGAGGTGGAGTGAGGTTCCTGGAGAGCATGCAGTACACCTCGAGCGGGAAAATCGACCGAAAGAAGCTGAAGGCGATGGCCAGGGACCTGGCCTCCAAAGCTTGAGATTAAGATCAGCCGTTCAGCGTGTGATAACGGGAGTGATAACGAGTCAAAGACGCCTTTGTTAGGAGAAGCTAGGGCCACGATTAAGCACTAAGTGCGCCGGAGTAAATCTAAGCCTCTTGGTCAAGGAATGGATTCTCAGTTCCCAGCAGTCTTGGGGTATCCCTTGGCTTTGGCCTCTCGGAAAAGGGCGACGAGGGAGTCCACCACCTCCTGGCCTGTAGGGATGATCTGGTTGGCGGGCAGCAGGAATCCGTATCTGCCCTTATCGCGCAACTCGTAGGTGAACGTGATAGGAGTACGCAGCGTTCCTTTCACCCAGTCCATCGAGCACCCAGAAGCGATATCTAAAAGCGATTCGAGATAAGAAATAAAGATCCACCTAATTTTCTTACACGACTCGACGAACTCGTTCAATATTTACTCGAGCTACTCACAAATGGTCTCGGCGATGTTCCCGGTGACGTATCTGGTGCCGTACCTCTTGGAGAGAGCCTGGATTGTCTTGGTACCGATCTCATACTGGAATCGAGACGCGATAGCGCGATAAGCAAACTTTCCTCGAGGAGGAGCATTGATAAGCGGTCGTGATAGTTTACCAGCTCGTCGTAGTTGTCGAGATGCTGCTTGGTGTGGCCGTAAGGGAAGAGCAGCAACTGCGAGTAGCTGTGGAATGCTATGTATGCGTAGAACTTGTCGCCGATCGAGCCGATGTACTCCGACAAGGTTTGCGTTTCGACCTCGGAGAAGGCGCTGCTGCCAGCAAAAGTCTCGGAACAAGCTGCGGAGCTGGCACCACCCACTGAAATTTCCGAAGAACGTTTTTAACCACTCGAAAATAACAACAGCCTAGCTCGATCTCACTTACTCATCCACTTGTAATCCCAGTTTCGGTTAGCGTCGACTCCCTTGCAGATTCTGCCGTACGGCCTGCGGGTTTTCCTCCAAAGTCGGTCCTAGAAGCATCGAATCAAAAGTGATCCCCTGCAATTGCATCAGAGGCAATGACTCGCAATTGCTACAGCTGTGTCAGCAAAAGTAACGAGGCTCTTTGCGAAAGCGTTAAGTGATCACTTAACGATATTATTATCAGTTAACGATTTCGCAATAGATTGCACAAGTGCTGGACCATAAACCGCGACTTACGCAGCTGACAATTCAAAATCGCTCGATCATTTCCTTGAGAAGAGAACGATCCTCACCCCGGTGTGCGTGAAGATGTAGCCATCGGGATTGAACACTGGGAAGATGTACCAGTCGTGTCTTTCGGCCAGTTCCCTGACTTCAGGGTCCTTGCTGGTCAGGAGCTCGTTCAGGAAGTACGTGACGGTGGCCGGGGTGATCCATTCCCTGGCGTGAATCCCACCCTCGATGAAAACCCCGGGATTATTCTCCTTAAAGGACACGCGGACACCCTTGATCTCTCGGCCCTCGTAGGTAGATCCTCCCTTGACGACGGTGACCTTATCAGGATAAGTTTTCCCCAGGAACTCCAGCCAGTCGTAGATCTCTCCCAGGGTGTGATAACTGGTCCAGCCGAGCTCTCCGGAAACTCGGTTCGCGGAGTCCCTCGGGTTCTCCTGGTCGATCAGGGTCTGCACATCCTGAACGTACTCTTCGTACTCCAAGCCATTCTCCTTAACGAGGTCCTGGAAGCCTTCGAGTTGTTCCGGTGACACCATCAGGTCGACATTGGCTCCCACTTTGCTGGGGCCCAGCCAGAACGAGTACTACAAGAACATCCAAATCCAGGATTAGACCTTCGTCGAGTTACCCTATTGGAGTTACTCCGGATGATATTAATTAATAGCTTTTTACATTTATTCCTACGAGTGAAGATACGCACCCCAAGGTTCTCCAGGTCGCTCAGAGTCTGCAGCTGCTGTGTCGTCTTCGGCAGGACCCTGAAGACCTTGAAGTCCTGATAGGAGACCTTCTCCGCTGTCGCAGTTGCGACCAGGACGGCGATCAGCCCAAACGCATTCCACTTCATCTCTGCTGGATGTTGGGTGGTAAACGGTCAAGCCTGGACGACGGTGGCCAGGCTTCTGGTTCTCCAGGTGACCGCAGGTGCCGTTTATCGTTTCCAACAGGTTTTACACCCGACACCAATCCGAGGCTCCTTCGTTGCGCATCTCGAAGAGCGTCTAAAGGTGATAGCCGCAAGTGCCAACGCCCCATCGAGTCCGTAGAGAGTGAACCCGATATCGATCGACCATCGATCACAGTAACAGCTAAAAATTGATCATTGCCTTAGCATCACAAACATCTCTTATTTCTAGTAAAAGAACCCTTCACAGGGAATTTCTACTAATTATTCTTTACGACCCTCCAATTATTTCCCATGTCTTTTTAGGAGCGCGTGCGCATTCCTCGCGGTATTAATTCCCCGGAGGGGAATAGCCAATCTCAGCGTAGTTAGAAATTGTTGCAGGGGAAATAAGAGAGATGGGAAATTGCACAAGATTATAGGGATTAAAGAACGAAATCCACGCCGGGGAGATATCGGATAAGAGTTACGTGCTCCTTGGACTCGAGGATGATAGTCATCTACTAGGCAGGGTCTATCTGCGTTCGGGATCGATGGCTCCAAAATAAATATTGACCAACGGCGACTGTAAATGATAGTAATGTTAATATTCCCCGTCTCTTAGAGTTAAGTCGGAGTTCGTTTCCTCGCCAGGAACCAGGCGAGTGCCGTTGGGCTGGCAAGGACGTGCTCCGCATTTCAATTAGCGTGGATAATCGCGGAAAGTGGATTACACATGAAAGATATGTGCCACATACTGGAGGCGCCTCGTAGAGTCGAACCAGGGGGCTTTGAACCTGGGGCCAGGTGAACAGCCAGGTGGATGAGGTCAAAGACCTCCAGCCCAGGTCGCGCTCCCTCCTCTCCGGAGTTCACTTGCCTCTCCCTAAAAAAGGAAGGAAACATTCCTTCAGCAAGTGCAACGCTCTAGTAATTCCCTTGCGAAGGGATCCTAGCACTCCGGCGAATGGCCCCGCTAACGGGATGAATGAAAAAGAATCACGTCTTACGACATTCCACCCAGTAGTCTCGGATAAGGAGCGTCGCGGTATTACCAGCGAGTGGGTACTCTTCATCCAAGATGGCGGAGAGTTTGACGAGGTTCCGCCACCCGAGCAGAGATGGCGTTGACGGCGCCACCGATCTTCACTTTACCGACGAGTTGACACAGCAGATCCCTCCCATACCCCTAGTCGCGCAAGACGAGCTCCACAATTTATTCATCCATTCATGTATTCCTTTTCCACTTAACATAGTCACTTTCGTAATCGAAAAACACGCGAAACAAGCGAAGGAAAGATAGCGTCCCCGCATCGGGAAATGAGATGCGCGCCCGACGTCGCTCCCAGTTTACCCAGAGACCTAATTAAAATTGCACCTCCCGATTTCAATTTCTAATCGGTCGCCTCCGAACAATAGGAAAGGCCAGGAAAGCAAAGCGGTAGCCTTGGAAATCTTGCCACCACCTTTTCCTCGTTCCTCCTCGTACCTTTTTCCTCGCGCGGCGAACTTATCAGTCGCGCGACCGGGCGCTATCTCGGCCCCTACGTATCTCTTCCTTTTTTATTGTTAAATTCTCTATGAAATACCGAATTAAGTCTCTCTATAAAATAACGATTCAAGAGCTAAGAGAGGAGGTAAAGTCGGAGAGAGGAACGCACGGATTCTTAATGTGGAATTCGGAGGAGGATACGGAGCGCGCCCTTTTTTTCTTTTTCGCTATCTCTGCGCATTCCTGGCCGAGTAGCGCGCTCGGCCGCGAACTCCGAACTCCGTCGCGCCATCGCCATCGGCGCACGTGTATCGATCCCTCGAATGCCCCACCACGAGGCTCGATGGCCTCCGCCGCCTCCGACCTCGCGATTTCCGCGACTCCTGCGGCGTCGAGGCGGCCTCCGAGCGCACCGTCAGTCTCTATCCGGGTAGGTATGCACGCCGACCGCAACCCGGGAGTGCCTCCTCTCTCCCGGACCTCGAGTTCGCCCTGAATAAGACTTTTCCTCTCCTTTCCACCTGCATCCGCGTAGGAAAAATCCCTTCTATATTCAGTAAACATTCCGCCGTGCCGCGACAAACCGAGTGAAACGATCTAAACGCCAAGCGCGCATAAATGGGCGTCAGATTCTTATAAATTCTCTATATATTTTCTTTTTTTTTTCCGAGTGATTCAGGCGGTTTTCAGGGCGGATTTCAATTTCCCCATAGAGTGGAGAGTATGTAGTTCCAAGTGTGACTGAGATTCCGGGATGAGTCGGCTTTTCGGGCGCTTCGAGGGCGATATTCGAGGAAAGTGGGATCGCGCCCTAGAGCGGACCTTCCCTCGCGACGTGGGCGCATGACGGGTTGCCGGGGGCGCAGGCGCCGGATTTAATTTATTTTTCTTTTCTTCTTTCTTCCCCGAGGTGCAGTTTTTCTTCTCGTTCCAGGGCGCGCATCGTTGCTCGTCGACAGCGAAACCGGGAGCACGTCAGGCCAGAGACCAGGGAACGGATCCAGGAGAAATGGCCGACAGAGTCTATCATCCCCATGCGGAGCTCGCCAAGATCGCGCACTGCTCCGGGATGGACCACTACAGGCGGATGCACAAGAGGTGACCTGGTTTTCTCCCTAAAAAGTCCTAGAAAAATATTCGACTGTCCAGAAACGGAAAATTCCATACGGATAACCCGCACCTTCACCTCGGTGTACTCCACTCTACCACGTTTCCACCCCTTATCAGGTCATTAACGCGTTTGCAGTCGCGTTGATAATGTTCCCACTAGTCCATAGAGGTTCTCGAAGAAGTCCGGATAAAATTTTATACATATAGATTCCAACCTTCGAGACTCTCGGAGAGGTCTGTAGTACTCGTGGAAATGATCCCCTCGTGTTGTCATTATCGAAGTCTAGGGTGATTTTTTTCCTCCCTCTTGCAAGGACCTCTTCCTCGGGGTACATTACGGCGCAAGGCCGTCGCTCTGCCTAGACGCTAGTTAGAAATAGAAGCTCCGTATCGATCCGGCTCGCGAGGCAGCTCGAGGCCGAGCGAGCAATATCCTGCGAGGTCCCCAAGGGTGAAGGGTTCCTGTAAAAAGAGGAGTTCAAGCGTTACGCAACGAGCTCGAAATTTTTACATGCGATTTATGTGATTTAACGAGGATTACCCGACACTCTAGGTCCATCGAGTACCCGGCGCAGTTCTGGGGCGAGATCGCGAAGCAGTTCTACTGGGAGAACCCGACGAGCGACGACAAATTCTTCTCCTACAACTTCGACCTGAACCAAGGGGACGTCTACATTAAATGGATGGAGGGGGCCACGACGAACCTGAGCTTCAATCTGCTCGACAAGAACGTGAAGAGCGGCAACGGGGACAAAATCGCGTTCTACTGGTGAGAGCCTCGGAAAAACCGCGGCAACCCGCGATCTCGACGTCGACGGATCACCCGGGATCTCGCGGAAGTAAAAACAAACCTTCGCAATCTCTCTTCTTGCAATCGCGTGATCCGCGATAATGTGATCGCGCGACCGCCTCCAAGGTGAGCGTTTCCACGAAGTCTGCATCGAGTCGACCAACGAATCGCCATGCATATTTGAGATGCATTCGGGTCCCTTCTTGCGTCCCCGGCCACGTTTCTGCATCTGCAAAACGTGAGAGTAAAGGTAAACCTTCCTAGAAGTGAAGGAAAAGAAAAAACAAAAATGTAAAACAATTAGATAAGCGCGACCGCCGCCATGTTGGAGAACGCCGCTCGAAAGCCAGGAGACGAGAAACGGTCGTTAAACGGAAAACTTAGCGACTCTATGCATGATAATGACGATAAGAAGGCTACGAGAACGTCAACGAGTGCTGACGTAAAGTGCCGTCGTCGGTAGCTGACTCGGCACGTCTCTTTACCTCATTGCGATTCAATATGCCCCGGTCGAAGGTACTCGCAAGTCATTCCTGGAGTTCGACCAGTTCGTTTACGTGCCGGAACCGTTTCTGGTAGTTCGCGGTACACCTCCTTGACCTGCCGATGTTTGTACCGACGCAACGCGTCCGAAGGTACTCACATTTCCGAGCTCGTGACCACGAGTCCCGGGAATGAGCGGATATCGGGGTACAGAAGAGAGGGCGGAGAAATCTAGAGATGGGTGTTTCCTCCCAGGGAAGGCAACCATCCCGAGGACTACTCCAGGTTGACCTACAGGAAGCTCCTGGAGGAGGTGTGCAGGTTCGCCAACGTGTTGAAGTCCAAGGGCGTAGGAAAGGGCGACCGAGTCGCGATCTACATGCCCATGGTCCTGGAACTGCCCATCGCCATGCTGGCGTGCACCAGGATCGGCGCCGTCCACACCGTGGTGGTAAGGACGCTTTTCCCTCCACCTGGAATATTTTACAATTTTTTATCTTCCCCCAAGCTATCTAAAATCGGGTAAAACGCAGTTCGCAGGGTACTCGTCGGATTCGCTGGCAGAGCGGATGTTCGACTCCAAGGCGAAGGTGCTGGTGACGTCCGATGGCGCCTGGAGGGGTGAGAAGCTCTTGTTGCTGAAATCCATCTGCGACGAGGCCCTTGATAAGGTCGCCAAGCTCGGCCACGAGGTCGAGTGCTGCATCGTCGTGGCGCACCTGCGCAGAGTGACCAACCCTAAGGGAAGGTCGGAAGGTGAGGTCCCACCCTTCGGGATCGATCGCTCTTTTGTCACGCAGGTCGGGAACGCTGAACGTCCATTTCCCCTGCCCCGCGGCGCACCTATAAAAATTCCTCCAACCATGATTCGCTTGATAAAGTAACATTGAAAATGAAGTAAGGAAAAATCTGAAGGTACTCACATTTTTTGTATTAATTTCCAGGTAAATCCAATGGAGTGAACGGTGCGACGAAAAACGGGGAACCCGGGGACCTGGAGTCGGTATCCTGGCGAGAGGGTCGAGACTTCTGGTGGCACGACGAGATGGAAGATGCCGAGCCCAGCTGCTACCCCGTCTGGGTGGGATCGGAGGATCCGCTCTTCGTCCTGTACACCAGGTACGATGGTTCCCTCCCTGGTCCTCCGGCTAGTCTTCAAGATCCTCTTCTTGTAGCGGCTCCACCGGCAAACCGAAAGGCGTTCTCCACACGACGGCCGGTTACTTCATCTACGCTGCCACGACCTTCAAGTACGTCTTCGACTACCACCCTGAGGACGTCTACTGGTGCACCGCGGACATCGGCTGGATCACCGGGCACACATACGTGGTCTACGGTCCCCTGGCGAACGGAGCAACTTCTGTCCTCGTAAATACATCAAGAATATATACAAAAATTGGCACAATAATTTCTAAAGGCGTCTTTGGACGCGACTGTTAACGGGGTCGGGTGATTCCAGTTCGAGGGCACGCCGTTTTTCCCGCGGAACGACAGATACTGGTCCATCGTCGAGAAGTACAAGGTCAGCCAGTTTTACACGGCTCCAACTGCGATCAGGTCCCTGATGAAGTTCGGCGACGAGCCGGTCAAGCGACACGACTTGAGTAGCTTGAAGGTGCCGATTGAGTTAGAAAAAAGAAAATATATATTTCCATAGACTCGATGTGACGGACATTTCGTTTCAGGTCCTGGGGTCTGTCGGGGAACCCATCAACCCGGAAGCCTGGCTCTGGTTCTACGACCTGGTGGGACATGGCAAGTGCAGCATCGCCGACACCTTCTGGCAAACGGAGACCGGAGGTCACGTCATCACTCCTCTGCCTGGAGCAACGCCCATGAAGCCCGGATCCGCGGTTAGAGAAACTCTTGAAAGACCCGAAGAGTTTACCAGGAGACATCTTGAAGTAATTCTACGGTTTTATCGCAGACCTTCCCATTCTTCGGCGTATTGCCCGAGCTGCTGGACGAGGACGGCCACGTGATCGAAGGCGAGGGCGAGGGCTACCTGGTTTTCCGGAGACCCTGGCCCGGGATGATGAGGACTCTTCTGGGTAACCACGAGCGCTTCCAGAAGACCTACTTCGACAGATTCCGCGGGTTCTACTGCACGGGCGATGGTAAGGAGGATCGAGTCCCTCGAGAAGGAAGATAGACCAGAGGTGGAAGTGGAGTTCGAGGTGGCTCTTCAGGGTCGTTAGCGTTTGGCTGCCCCCGCATATCTGGCGTCCTTCCCGAGCTCCTCCTCAATCCTGAGTATCTGGTTATATTTGGCGGTCCTCTCGCTCCTGCAAGGTGCTCCAGCCTTGAAGTGGCCCACGGAAAGCCCGACGGCGAAGTCGGCCACGAAGGAGTCCTCGGTCTCTCCGTCCCCTGCGGCCAGGACGCTTCCCCATCCGCTGATCCTGGCCAGTCTGTGGCAATCGATCGCCTCCGAGACGGTCCCGATTTGAGAGAGTCGAATGACCAGACAATTTGCGGCCTGCTTCTCTATGGCCTCTTCGATCCGCTCGATGTTCATAGCTGTGAGGTCGTCAGCCACGATCTGGATGGGCTGATCGGCTAACATCGGCCAACTGTCCCAGTCTTCCAGGTCGAACGGGTCCTCGATGTAGGCGATCGTCGGGAATTCAGTGAGATACTCGAGGTATCGTTCCTTCAGGGCCTCGGCTTCAAGGTAGTCGTCAGGGTCCGAGTCTTCCGACTTGAACTCCATGTCGTACTGCCCTGCGCGGAATCGAGGAAAGGACGTTAGCGGTTCCTCATTTAATTCCACAAAGACTCACCATCCTTGCAGAAGGCCGATGCAGCCATGTCCAGAGCGAGCTTGACCTTGCCCTCGTACCCTGCAGACTTGATGGATTCGTCGATCAGGGTCAAGGCTTCCTTGTCCTCCTCGAACTCCGGGGCGAAGGCTCCCTCGTCTACGACAGGAAGCGGCGGCTTCGAGTCCTGCTGCTCGGCCAGCTTCCTCTCGATCTCGCGGAAGATCTCGGTGGCCATCTTCATGGCGTCCGCGAAGCTCTCCGCCCCTGTAATTTCGGAACCCACGAAGAGGGTATCCCCGTTAACCCGCTCACCTTTTTCATCTCACCACTGGGTACGATCATGAACTCCTGGCAAGGCAGACTGTTCGCCGCGAACCTGCCTCCGGCGATGACGTTGAAGGCCGGAACCGGGAGCCTGATCTCTCCATTTTCCGCCATCTCGGCGACGTATTTATACAATGGCAGACCTCTTTTGGCAGCCCCGGCTTTGCAGCAAGCCATGGAGACCGCTAGAATGGCATTCGCCCCCAGCCTGGACTTATTCTCCGTCCCGTCCAACCTCTTCATCAACTCGTCGATCTCCCTCTGCTGACAGACCTCCAGCTTGGCCTTCAACAACTCCGGTCCCAGGACGTTGTTCACGTTGTCGACGGCCCGAAAGACCGACCTCCCGTTGTAGGCAGCCTCGTTGCCATCCCTGACCTCCAGGGCGGAGTTCGGGTTCTGCCAGAGCACCCCTGGCACCGACGCCCTGAGCAATCCGATGTCCGTAACGAGGTCCACCTCCAGGGCGGGGTCTCCCCTCGCGTCAAAGATCTGTCGAGCCTTCACCTTGAGTATCGGCATCCTGGAGCAGAATTGCCTGTAATTTTCCCAGATTTACATCGGTTCTCTCTTAACATCAATTTCGTCAATTTTGTCAATTTTGTCAATTTTGTCAATTTTGTCAATTTCGCGCGCAGCGAAGCGCGAAGGTCCGATCGATCTTGAACTCCCAGGAAACGATCGCGTGCACATTTTGTTCCATGTACAGGGTGTCGAGTTTAAAAAGCGCAATGTCCTTCAAGGAGTCGTAGGCAGGTTTCATCGACCGTTCCTTTTCGCCGCGACGAATCGATATCTAATTATCATGCCAATGTCCAGGTGCAAGGCGCGACGCCGATGGATATTTATGGGTGACCGGAAGAGTGGACGACATGTTGAACGTGTCAGGTCATCTGATGTCCACTGCCGAGGTCGAAAGCGTCCTGGCGGAGCATCCTTCCGTGGCGGAGGCCGCGGTGGTCAGCAAGACTCACCAGGTCAAGGGTCAGTGCCTCTACTGTTTCGTCACGCCGAACGAGGGGGCCTCCTTCGACCGCAAGCTGCAGGACGAGCTGAAGATAAGAGGTACTCGTCCTTTCCTCCTACAAATCCCTAGGCATCCTTCGGACGTTCCCCTAGACCGGACAAAAAAGCAGGATTAATATCAGCCCATACATGACGTAAATCGCAGATACAAAATACGTCGAATTCCGAGTACCCATCGATATCCATCCATCAGGATATCGACGGCGTATCGAATCCGCCCTCTATCAGCCGAAGCGGAACGCGAATCCCCGAGTTCCTTGCCGGGTTTTTCTTTGTTATCGCATCGATTACGCTCCTGACAAAAAACTTGATCACGCGTCCTCGCAATTAGCCTCCTCGTATCGAGCCGATATAGACCGCGACTCGTTATCTCTAACGATTGCGTATCCGCACACGTAACCACGTGGTCGTAACCGCGCCACGTGCTCTCGCCAGTTGCGTGAAGGAAAATTACCCTAGGACATGGTTATATTTTTTCCAACAGTCCGAGAGAGGATCGGTCCGTTCGCCCAGCCGGACGTGATCCAGCACGCGCCAGGGTTACCGAAGACGCGGTCCGGGAAGATCATGCGGCGGATCCTGCGTAAAATCGCAGCAGGTGACAGGAACGTCGGGGACGTGTCTACTCTAGCCGACGAGGGCATCGTGGACGTCCTCTTTCAGCTGAGGCCAAAGGCCTAGATCCATCTCGAGCGATGACGAAGATATAAGATAAAGGAAGAACGAAGGAGGCGCTCCTGGAGGTCGCTCCCCACGTAGACGAGTACCGCTTCTCGGCTCTCCGTCACTGGCTGATGGTTCCTTCTAGATTGTCCGCATACGTCCAAGGATTCCTGCAATTGTCGAGTCGGAACGTTAGCGGGTGGTCTCGCCGTCTCTCTGTCGCGCAAATATACCTTCATCCACGTCGACGCACAACCCGGTGCTGCTTCGGGTAAGCGGAATTAAGGAGGGAGAAAAATAGGAATGATCCTGGAATAGATGAAAGACCCCCGGAGAAGCGACGTCGAGGCCTCCGATAACGTCCAGCTACGAGATGTCAGGATCTAGCCGCGTCGAGGTGGACCTCGAAGAGGTCCTGCCTGCTCCGGGAGGATTCCGCGCCTCGTCGAAATCCAGCAGGTTCTGTTGGCCTATACCTGGAAACTAATGAAAGTAATGAGAGATCTGCGATACGAGTTAAATATTATGTCACGAGCATGTATATTATATATATTATGTATATATATATATGTACACACAGGGGAGCAGCGCGCTCGAGGCGCGCGCCGCGCCCCGCGATATAGGTTAGTTTCCACCGAACGCTCGTTACGCCTCCTAAAGGCGCACGAAAAGTCCTATTTCCTCTAGAATCATCGTTTACACTAAACGCTTGACGCAAAAGTACGCATTCTATGTCGCGTAACGAGCGATCCATGTAAAGTAAGCCATAACTGGGGGCCTTTCGTCCCGCCGTCCCTCGGGGCGTCGCATACATATCATTCCACGTGGAACAAGTGTAGAGATATAGTCGCGCGGTACCTTGCGATATATGTATACAAATATAAATATAAATATACATATATATATATATCTCGAGTGCGCGCCCGTTCGCGCGCGTACATATGTGCATATGTACATATATGTCTATCTGCGTTGAGAATCATAAATATTCTGTTAAACGATGCCCACCATCTTGTCCTCCCTCTTGATTATCTATAATTTCTTTCTTCTTCGAGAAGGACCGTTCCATCGACTCGACTTCTTGCCCGGCTCTCCCTCTGGAATAATCGTAAATTAACGGGAATTAACGCCCCTCGTCGATTGATCAATTTAATCGCGTTTATTCGAACGCGAACTTTGCGGGCACGGGGCGTATAAATTCCTACTCGAATGGCGCGCGGCGCGCACGTAGTTCGGCGGCTTGCCGCGCGGCGGCGCTGCCGAAAGTGGAACTCGCGGTGGAACCGTCATCGGCAGCTCCTTCAAGCTCCTTCGAGAGCCCGTTGATCCACCGGGGCCGTGTATATGTTATATATCACATAGCAGGATACGTATATATGTGCCACGCGGTACATAATAAATAGCACTCGCCACGGTAGTACTCTCAAGGCGCGCTCCAGTCGGTCGCGAGCTCTCCGTTTGTGCGCGCCATTCCGCGGAGCCATGACGAAGACGGACCAGTTCTACGAGGTGGTCTTCCGCCTCGTCAAGGAGGCCGGGGCGGTGAGTTAGGAGAGCCGAATAATGAAAAAGAATATATATACATATATTAAAAAAAAAAATACCAACCAGAGCGGAAGATAGGGGGAATAAAAATGACTCGGCTCCAGAAATTCGCGGGCTTACGTCGAGCCGGCAGCCAGCGGTATTGATTTCGCCCGAGACCCCAGACCGAGCATGGCTTCGCTCGAGCGTGGCTTGACGGAATTATGACACGTTTCCCTCGATTATAGGATTACATATTTTTCTCATGTTCCTCGCGCAGAACTGAAAATCTACCTCCTGGGATGACTCGCATGCATCTGGCTCGAGCGCTCGATAACGTTATCGGCTCGGGGAAAAAGGTCCCGAAGAATCGCTCCTGACGAAACGCTCCCCGGAGATTTCAACGAGTTAGTCGTTCCAGAGTTTTAGGAAGGTTTCTTTTTCTTTCGAGCATTAGATACGCTCAAGATCTCTCTACCTCGAGCCGCGAGTTATTTACGTAAGCCTCGGGAACGATCGGGAATTTTATGCGAAGTGCATGACGAACGATTCCTTTCCAGATCGTGAAGGACAAGATCAACCGACCGAAGGACATCATGCTGAAGTCCTGCGAGGTCGACCTGGTCACGGAAACCGATCGCCAGGTGGAGAAACTCCTGATCGACGGGATTTCCGCGGAGTTTCCGGACCACAAGTAACGAAAACAAAAGAAAAAGAAAAAGAACAAAACTGCCAGAAGGGAATCGTCTTACAAGTTCTTGGACTACCGGACGCGTATCGAGTTTCCCATCCAGGGGAAAATTGCTACAATCGTGGCCGATCGCATGTGCGGTTCCTCTTTTACATTTCGGATATTTATACGCTATCGCGTGAACATTGTAAATCCAGTACGCATTTGGCAATTTTCCTCTACGGTGTTATTCCGCGTCGAGATGGCCAAACGTTTGCTTAAGCTACTGTATTATTAATCGCAAGTCGTTCGACCGGCCCGCAGAAGGGACCGGTGATTTTCCATCGGGTCGAGGATCTTCTAGAATCGTCTTTTTTCCTCGGTCCTAATCGAGTCAATCCACTGTACGTTCTCGGTCTACATTTTAGTAAGGGCCTCTTCCTCTCAGCGACGTCTGGACGCGTCCCGAGGTCGAGGAACCCCTTCGTCGCGAATCGACCTGTTGCATGAACACGCTCTAGACCGTACATATAAACCACGTCGTAGAAAGTAACCGGGCGACCCTCTTCAAGGTTCATCGGCGAGGAGACTACCGACACGAACGTCAAGGTGAAGCTCACCGACTCGCCAACCTGGATCATCGATCCGATCGACGGGACGATGAACTTCGTGCACGGGCTGCCGCACACCTGCATCTCGATCGCGCTTATGATAAATAAGATAACGGAGATCGGGATCGTCTACAACCCGATTTTGGAGCAGCTCTTCACGGCACGCAGAGGCCAAGGGGCCTTCTTGAACGGAGCCCCGATCCGGGTGTCCGACACCAAAGGTAGTATTCCAGGTTCCCCGTTGAAATTGAGCTGACAGGATTCCACCTCTTCTAGAGCTCTGCGAAGCCTTGCTGATGATCGAGGTGGGCACTTGCAGGGACCCGGAGAAGATGAAGGTCGTCATGGAGAACATGCACATATGTGCGCCCCGGGTTCACGGGTAGGCGTCGGCACCAGGTGCCGTATCATTCCGGTGAGTGCCCGACTTATCCGCTCCTTCGTCCGTAGGACGAGATCCCTAGGATCGGCGGCCCTGAACATGTGCATGGTGGCCATGGGAGGTGCGGACGCCAACTTCGAGTTCGGCATCCACATATGGGACATCGCGGCCGGCGACATCATCGTCCGGGAGGCCGGCGGTGTGTGCATCGACCCTGCAGGTGGATTGTGATATTCCAAAAAAAGAGAGAGAAAAAAAAAGAGCATACCTCACGACGAAGTAATCCACGTCGAATTCCAGGCGGAGTCCTGGACCCCCTAGGAAGGCGAGTCCTGTGTGCCTCGACGGTGGAATTAGCGCAGACGATCGCCAAAATCCTGATGCAGTATTATCCAGAGCGCGACTGATGCGCCACCACGATCCGTACGGCAAGGATCCACCCGATCTCGACCGCCCTTCGACTCCTAGTAGCTGAACGTTAACGCCAGAAGCCAAGACTACCGAGGAACCGACGTCCGAGATCGGTTCCCGGTGCCCGTCCGCCGAGCAAGTACCTGGACAGATCCATCCGACTCAGACCTCGTATCCCATCGAGGAAAAAAGAACCGACACCTCGCGAGGTGAACCGGCGCCCTTAACCTGGAGGACACTCCAGGAAGCCGAGTCCTCCCCGCCCCTCCGAGTGGTTCCCACGACTCCACCCAACACGGATAACCAGAGAAAAACGTATCAACTGTATTTTATTGTAAAACAGAGTTCAACTAACAATAAAGTGTTCGCTCGATCTCGTGCCGGTTATTCCCTGGTGGCCGTCCCCAGGTCGAGTCCTCCGGCGATCCGGCTCGTCCCGGCTAGACCTGAAACCTCAAATTCGCACCGGTTACTATCCCGCGAGCTCGTCCTCGCGAGGCGAGATCCACCCGCGGTCGGGCGATCGAGAAAGCCTAAGAATCGACCATGAGGAAAGCGTAGGCCTTACCTGGAGTTCGTCCACGGGGTCCGTACTTACCGCCGCCCCTCGGGGTCTCGCCCGACCCTAGGCCCTCCCGCCTCCCTCGCCCGGGCCTCTAGCTAAACACCCGAGGACCCGGAGGGGCTCTACGTGGGCGTCTCATCGACCCTCGCCCCTTTTCTCTCTCTCTTTCTCCCCCTTTCTCGTTAAGGCGCTCGCCGACAAACCTTCGTCAAGCCCTCTCTCTCTCATTGTGCCGGCCTCCTGCCTCGTCTCCCCTCCTCACAGGGAGGGCTACAAGTGAAACATTACCAAATAGAGCCAATTAGAAGATATATACTAGCGGCGAAAGCGATAATAAGTCTCGTCGTGTCGTTACGTTCCACACACGCCGGGGTATAGATACTATCGAGATAGTCGGGTCGACGTTAAGGGAGCGCCCGCTCGGGAAGAGGCCAGAGATACCCGAATGGCTTTAAGGATGCGCGTCTCCGAGCCGATACCTCTCTCTATCTCTCTCCTTACAGTATTTCCCGAGAAGCGATCTCAAGGATGAGAAAGGATCTCGAGAAATGCCCGGCAAAAGGTAATAGGAAAGTCCCGAGTGTACTCGGGTCGACGTTAAGGAACTGCTCCGGAAGAGGTTCTATCTCGCTCTCCCTTTCGTCGCGATCTTCCGCGAGAAGAGGTCGCGAGACAATAAGCCCGGGCAAAGAAGTACGAGGAAAGCTCCCGGGGTCTCGGCGTCGTCGTTAAGGCGGTCCGCGAGCGGGTGTACTAAGTATCCCATTAAGGCAGCCCCCATGAATACCTTGCAACGGGAACAGCGCAAAAGGCCCTCGTAAGGTCCGCCCCGCTTAACGGTGATTCGAATCGAAGACTGATCTGAAACATAAGCAGCCTCGTACAATCATGCCTTAACAAATTCGATTAGATCATCCCCGAGGCCGCTAAGCTCGCCGGAAAGGGCACCGATGGTGTCGCGCGACAAACCCAGGGGAATCAAGCCAACGAACGGTGACGTCGAGGCATGAGCATCGACCTCACGAGGAGAAATCTGCGCTCAGCATCGGTGCCATTTCTCCGCGGCGAGGAAAAAGGAGTCAAAGGACTCCTAGGAGTAGGCCCGAGAGGCTCGTCCTCCTCGCGAACAGCCAGGACATTCTCTCATACGGCTTTCTAGGGGAAAACCTCTCTCTCCCCGTGTCCGCGCCACGCGAGCGAGCAAGTTCTCGCAAGGGCCGTCTTAAATCGCTACGTCCTCCCTGGTCTTCGTTTAAGCATCTCTTCTTTTATTTTCCACCACATTAGCTACTTACTATACATGTTCTGTCTCTGTTAGTACACCAAAAATCGTTCATTATCCTGTCCTCTCCCTCTCTCTTTCTCTCCCTGTCTTTACGTGATCCTCAGACTTCCTTTCCTCTCGCTAAATTCCGAAACCTAGAAATGCCGTACCGCGTGCTCGTCCAGGTTCAAAGGGAGCCCGCAATTCTCATCCGCGTACTCGGGAGCTCGACTCGTCCTCCGACATCGGTGACTCCCTCGAGAAACCAAACACGCTGTTTATAGTAGAATTAGTAACCAACTATATGACAATAATAATTTATAAGAAACATCGTCGGGGGTGGGGGAGGGTGGGGGGGAGGCTGCTCGTGCCCGGAGAGACGAAGAGGACTACCGATCGGCGAAGTTTCCCCGCGATCGATCGTCCCTTATCCTCGATCGAAGGACGCCACTTTTGAAACCCCGTACCCTCGCTCGTCCTCGACGGGACGATCGACGAAGTCGCGACCCGGGCGGCGAGTCTCTCCGGAGAAAAAAAGCAAGAAAAAAAGAAAGGAAAAAAAAAAAACAACCCCATAAGAGCAGTCAACAGAGGAAGCACGGACACCTCGCCCTGATCCCACTTCCATGATCAGTCTCCCCGCAATTAAACTAATAAACTAGGTGTAACGAGAACAACGCCCATTGTTACGGCAAGGTAGCTCGAATTCAATGTACAAATCGCTCGGTCCTCGAGGTCGCGCGACCGTTAAGACCGAAAAAAAAAATAGAAGAAAAAGACAGAAAAATAGGGGGGGAAAAAAATACAAATACAACGTCTAAAACACGTATAAATAAACAACGAGCGGCGTCGAAGGGCCGCATCGATTCCAAGGACGAGGTCCGTGCTTCGTGGATCAACGCTCACCGGCGCCGGGAAGAGCGCGCCAGTCGGGAAGGCACACGGTTCGGTCGCCTTCCTTTACCCTCCTGGTCCCTTCTTCCCCAAGGACCTCGCACCGAGCTCCCCTTCCGCGCGGAATGAACCGCGCGCTCCGATGCCGCGGGAAGGCCGCGAGCGCGTTCCGCGGCAACGTCGGAGACTAAACGGCCGTGCCAAGTAAAATTCATAACGAGTTTACGTCAATGAGATCTCCGTGAAGGTGGGAGGTCCCCGTCCCCGGGGTTACCTAGATCTTCTCTTGTATAAAGGGATGGGCCAGGGCGTGGTTCACGGTGATCCTCTTGCCGGCGTCGAGCATCAGGGTCCGCTCAAGGAGGTCCTTCAGCTGTCCGACCTTGCGACTCTGCTCGGCCGGCAGGGAATTGCCGCCGAGCTCGGCACCGAGGTCGCGAGTCGCCGGCAGGGTCGACATTATCACGACCTTCTCCTGGAACGCGTGGGGAAGAATTAATAAAGGTCGATTCCCAACCGCAGGAGGCCAACCAAGTCCAACGCGAGACGATCCTCGACTCACCCGCTCCGTCACTTTGTCGACCTCGTGGTAGAGGAAGTTGCAGTTGGTGTCGAAGTGCTGGTCCTTGAAAGCGCCCTTTCTAATGAGCTTGTTGGGCATCTTGCCCTTGAGGTCCATGAAGAACTTCAACATTTGGTTGTTCGTTTTACCCGAGAACATGATTTTCCCGGTGTACAACTCGTATATCGTGCACCCCACGGACCACATGTCAATTCCAAAATCATACGGTATACCGAGAACTAGAAAACGCCAGAGTTAGTTTGGTTACGGCAGCTCCAGAGAGGGCGCGCGCATTGTTCCGCGTGTATATATATATTTTTTTTTTTCTCTTTCATTTATCTCATAAAGGATACCGTGACCGGAGGTCTCGGATCACGGTACCGGTTCCCCAGCGCTCCGTGACCGGCTCGTTAATTCAAAGAGACGGCCGATCCAGGTATCTTTGGAACGATGCTGGCAGAAAATTTGCGAATCGTTCCCCAATCCCTGCCAGCTCCGGTCGTTAATTAAAAGAAAAGGGAAAAAAAAGGGGGGAAATAGGAAAAACACTCGTTTTTGGCCGAGTGGCCGACTTACTGATTTCGGGGGCCCGGTAGAACCTCGACACGAGGTAGGGCGTGATCTCGTTCTCGTGGGCGTGGGACGCCGAGCCGAAGTCGCAGAGCTTCAGGATGAGCTTGCTCTCACTGACTAGAATGTTGTCCGGCTTGATGTCGGCGTGCAGGATGTTGGCGCGCTTCAGCAGCTTCAGCGCGAGGAAGAGCTGCTGCGTGTACGACCTGACCGCTTTTACGTGGAGGCCCACGTCCTTGCCGTACTTTTTCAGAACCTGGAAGGACGACGAGGAACGGGTTGACATCCCTGTCGAATAACAGCGAGGTTGGGGTCGAATTTAAATTCGGGATAGAAACCCCGTCCACCGCTCACCTCCCTCAGGTTCATAGCCAGCGGCTCGAAGACCATGCAGAGATGATTCTTGTGGAAAAAGTGCCGGAAGAGTCGCAGACAGTGAAACCGGTCTTCCGGGTCTGCGTCGTTCAGCTTCCTCAGGATCTCCAGCTCCTTCAGACCCGTCCTGTGCCTGAAGACGACATGTCCGGTTTTAAAAACGCTCGGAAATCTTTCGTCAAACGGCAACCTTACATAATTTCATTATTCCTGATGATCTTCACCGCCACGTCCAGGCCACCCCGGGCGTTGTCTCGGGCCCTAACGACGTTGCTGAACACCCCTTGGCCGGTGTACCCATACACCACGTACCGGGAATCCAGGGTCTCTCCAACGCGAACTCTGAAACGCGCGACGTTATTCCACTTCTTGGATATTATTTTTTATTTCTGAGCCCAAACATCGACTCACCGGTAGTACCCGTCGGCGTCGTCCCAGTTGTCGGTCAAGCTAGGGTTGTCCGGTCCACCTGGTCTCTTCCCCTCGACCGTGGGACTCTGCGCAAGAAGTAAACGATCGTCGCGATCAACCCTGAAGTGTGAAATCCCTACCCTTAAGATGCTCTTGCGCGCTCCTCCACTTACATTGAAGTCACCGATATTGTCAGCCTCGGCAAACATGTCCCACTCGTTCGCCCTCTTCGAGCACGGCTTCTCCTCGATCTTCGGTTTCTCTTCCGGCTTCTCCTCGCGCTTCTCCGGCTTCTCCACGGCGTTGTCGTCGAACCTTGACTTCCTCTTCTTGGCCGTGGGCTCCGGGGATTTGGGCTTCTCTGGCAAGGGTGGCGTATGGCTCTCGGAGGTCGACTCGTTGTTATTCGAGGTGATCTCCACGGACTTCTGGCTCAGGTTCGAGTGGGTCCCGGAATGCGGAGAACCACCGCCCGCGTTTATGTCCGCGGACATGTTTGAGTCCTCGTTAGGTCCACCCAGCCTCTGTGGACAACGGTAAGGCAATTAATAAAATAAGCTACGGATAAATGGGATCGAAAATAAAAATTATAGGAAAAACAATCTCGCTAGAATTACCTTGAGGAGTTCCTCCCTCTGTTTTCTCCTCCGTTCGATGATCGCCTCCTCGTCCTCCTCTTCCTCGATGTCGATGTCCTTGATCTCCTCCTCGCTGGAGCTGTCTGAGCGCTCAATTTTCAGGCCCTCCGAGAGCGAATCCTTGTACTTGTCATTTCGTTCTCTCTTGCCATTTCTCTCCCGATCCCTGTCGAGATCTCGTGCCCTCCTGTCCCGATCTTGGCGGTAGTTCCGCGAAAGAGACCTCGACCTCGACCTCCTGTGACGGTCGTTGCGGTCCCTCTCCATTCTACCGCCCCTTATCGGGCTACGGGACAATCTTCTGTTGCCTCGAATACGATCGTCCACTCTATCGCGATTCCTGCTATCGCGACGATCACGAGCGCCCACTCGCTCGCGCGACAATCCTCCGTCGTTCCTGTCGTTTCTTTCACGGTGTCTCTCCAAACTCTTCTCCCGCTTTTCTCGCTGAACGACGGCTCGATCTTTACTCATTCCACGATCGCGACTACCTGCCCGGTCGCGACCTTCGTGCTTAGTCAACTGGGTCCTCGAATCCGCCCTGGACTCTCGGGGCTTCGAGTCGTGGCGCTCTGACTCTCGTTTTCTTTCCTCCTCCCTGCTGTCCAGAAAGAAAAGGATCGATTAATTAGAAGTTAAAAGAGAAAAAAAAAATTAGGAAACGAGTAAGCGTACCTTCGATCGTGCTCTCTTTTCCGAGACTCGTCCCTTTTAATCGCGTCCTTGCGCTTGTCCTCTTCCATTCTTCTTCTGGATTCCTCTCTCCTATCGATTACTTTACGAATCTGTTTATCGTCCTTCCTCGACTCCTCTCTTTTCAGGTCCTCCGGACGACTTCGAGGCTTCTCTTCTCTTCGCCGTTCTAATTCCCTTCTCTTATCCTTAGGCTCTTCCCTAATTCTCTTGTCCCTTGTCGTATCGACTATGACGCGCCTTTCAGGTTTCAGGAGTTTTTTCTGTTCTCTACTTGCCGACCTACTTCTATGTCGCTTTTTCCTAGGTACGTGTTCTTCTCCGCTGTCGTCCTCTACGAGTATAACATCGGGAGTAGGTACAGCTTTGACTTCCTCTCGAGCCTCGGGTTCTTTATCCTCTTTTTCGGATTCGTCAGACAAATATTGCACTAGGCATGCCTGCAGTCGTTCCTGTAGCATGTTTTGCATAAGTTTAGTAAAACAATAAATTGAAGCCTCTACTTAATCTAATTAGTCATTGAAAATACCTTTTGTTTCATTAATTCCTCCAAATCTATGTCGTCCTCGATAATGGTACAGTCGACCTCATCCGAGTCAAGATCGACTAGCTTCTCGTCATCACTCTCATCGGTAGATGCAGGGTCTAACCGGGTACTATTTACTTTACCATTTACACTGGTTTCCCTCTTGATGATAACCCGGCGCTCCACTTTTTCTTCCACCGCCCCATTCTCTTCTTTTGCTTTCTTGGAACGTTTCCGTTTCTTGTGTTTTTTCCTAAAAGAGAAATGAGCCTCGTTAAATTTTAACTAAAAATGACATCACCGTCCGAACTCAAACTTATGAACTGCGAACTTCTCTAAAACATCGATCGACGTAGCGAAGCATACTTACTTTTCTTGCTTCTCGGGTTTAGCATCATCCTTTTCTGGTACCTTATCTTTTTTGTGCTTATGGTGTTTGTGCTTTCGTTTCCTCTTCCGCCTTTGCTCACCGAGCAGGTCGGAATCGGAGTCGACGTTATTTGCATCTTTCTTGGCTTCCAAACACTCTGGATCGGACGCGCTGTAGGCATCGAATCGTTCAATGAGATAAAATGACCTCAGAGGATACAAAATTTACGAAGTTTCAAGAACCAAGGAAAAGGAGTCGCAAGTAACGATGCAATCAAACGCAATCTTTTACTGCTGTACCGCATTTAGAAGCGAAACGTAAACACGTCGAGTTCTCGACGAAGCTTGCGTACTCACCCCATTGCGGCCCGTCTAGACGAAAGGCTTTCAAATTCTCTGACTAATGTGGGCGCACTTAACGCGTTTAATCTCTAAAAAACTGCACGTAATTCCTCGCAGCCGAAGCACAAAGTATAACCGGGCTACCGCGAGACGAAAAGCGAAGCGGGGCACGGATCGACAGCCTGGCGAGCCGCCATCTTGGTCGATGGCAAGGATGGCAAATGAGGGTGACGCCAATGAACACGAACGACGATAGAGTAGAAACTCCATATTCCGAAGACGGAGGGCAGATGGTAGTCCACAAAATGGTGCTGCATTAAAAATCCAGAACGTGGGCTTAGTAAATAGTTCGCGCGGACAATTTCTCCAAGCGCAGATGGCGCTAGAGTATAAGTGTGAGACCCCTATACAGGAAAGTGCATGGAAATGCATGGAAGTGTTGCCCCCCTGCACTGGGGTAATGCGACTTCCGGTCAGGACGACGACTCAGATTAAGTTATTGCTTTGTGCGGTTGAAATTTGTTCGTCATTCTGCTGGTTCCTGGAAAAGTTAGGCTTACATCTGTCGGTCACGAACGCGTAAGTACTTTCACGAGAACGCCGCCCGAAATATCTCAGGGCTATGCGTATATTCTGTCAAACGCGACACGGTCTGGCAGACGAGTAGTAGGTGTCTGTGACATTCCCAGACATCTGGCATTTAAAGACCACAGCTGACGTAGTCCTTGGTAAGTTTCTCGTTTTTTCACATTACTAATTTGGAAGATATTACATAAATACACGAGACTGCATTCGTGTAATTCTTGGTCGAGCGAAGGGGAACCTTTCCAATATCGCCAAACTTCAATTCTGACACTCACGATACGTTGAAATGATTCTACTGCATTTTGTTCGATAAATCATTGAATGTATATCGATACAAACTGTTATTCGTTGGCTCTGCAGTTCCTCTGGGATGTCAAATTCTACGGATCGACACTACATGACCGACAGCAGCGATACAGAGACCGATTGCAAGGAAACCGATGGCCATGGGCGACAGAGGGTTTATAAGAACAGGTTGAGGTAATAAAGATCACTGGCTGGGTAAGCACCGGGATATATCGTCGATCGACCTTTAGTGTTTATACTTTCCGGACAAATCCAAGATGTTACGACTCTCGCTCGTTGCTCCTTCTTGGCTTCCAAAGACTAACGTTTGCCAAGCTTGTATATAATGGAACGACCTCTGTTTAGTTATAGATAAGGAAGAGACTTATTTTCAGAGGCTCGTAGCATGAACTCAGGCCTGCCGCTTCTCGACCTTGCTACGTGCATGCTAAGCATTTTTAAATTAATCTAATCGATCCACTGTTTATATCTCCGTTAAGCCAAGATCGTGAAAATATTATTCAAGAATATTCACGGGCAGGCCATATAGCTAGTAAGACATTAGACGGGAGTGTATTCGTATATGTACAGTCTCTATCGGCATGGTCATGTACGGCGGATGTTTTCGATTCGATGTTTCCTGGAAGTAATTGTCCGGAATGATCGACCGATCGAGTCCATTATTTAGAATCTGCAAATAGCAGCCCGTAACGGTTTTTAACGAATCCATCGTTCTCGTTCACGTGGCTTCAAGCATTTTCTTTCTTTTTTTTTTCTTTTGACATCCTTCGTCTTCGCAATCGGTCCAGTTAATCTAGGATTCCGAAGAAATCTCATAACAGTCGAGATTAGCAGCAAATTAGTAAGGAAACATGATTGTTTTGCATGTAGTTGTGGTGGCTCGTCCAAGCCAAAATCTTGTCTGGTACAGAAGGACGGAAGCAACAAGCGGCATTGCCATTCCTTCGATTCGGGCAGATGCGGAGTGAATCAGGCCCTGCGAACAAACAGGTAATACATATAGGTATCGTAATAAGGCTCACCGAGAAGGACCGGCTGCACCTATACCTTGGTATCTCACGCGACTACGTTTCACATTTCTGACTAAAGTAACAAGACGTCCTCTCATTTACTGTACGCTCATCAGTGATTCGCACCACACGTGTCATCTTAGCCTAGCGGTGGTCTCTTATTATTTCTCTCGCAATTCATAGAATTTATAGAAGCTTTCTTAGACGCGAGCGAGAGCACCACCTAACGATCAAGGTAAGCGTTCACTCGACGATCGGTACGATTAAAAAATAGTTCAAGCATATCGGACAGTGTTCGTTTTACTCGGATCTAGTGCCAGGGTCATCTATCACGTCCCACGTAGAGCCCAGAAAAATCCAAGGGTAACTAGCCATTAGACTTTGCGACTATTCTCGAGAAAAAGAAAAACTCAATACCGAATTTAACGATTCCTACCACTCATTGGAGTTTCTCTGGGGTTTGCTCGTCCCTCGATCCAATAACCGAGACCTACTCTAGACATTTTTGTACAGACTACGATCCGGACTGCGAGTCCACCAGAACCAGCAGACGACGACCCGAGAAAGCATGCCGCCATCCGGCTCCACTGCCAGTGTGAACAATCAGCAGGCCAGTGACGAGAGAATCACGCTGATTGTTGACAATACCAGGTGCGTACCCGGTATGATGAACTATTAAAGAGAAAAAAAATAATGGGATGCAAGTGTCACCGCTACGTCTCCTTGTGCAGATTCATCATGGACCCAGGACTGTTCACCGCTCATCCGAACACGATGCTGGGTCGCATGTTCAGCTCCAGCATCGAATTCGCTCAGCCAAACGAAAGAGGAGAATACGAGGTCGCCGATGGAATATCGGCGATGGTGTTCCGGGCGATTCTGGAATATTACAGAGGTGGAGTGATTCGTTGTCCTCCTACGGTGACGGTCCAGGAGCTACGAGAAGCCTGCGACTACTTGCTGGTGCCGTTCGATGCCAGCACCGTCAAGTGCCAAAACTTGAGTAAGTACCACTTTGCCAGACAACGGTAGAGTAAATCTTCGTAGCCACTTGCAGGGAATTAATCAGAGGCGAGGGAAATAGAAAAGAGATCCAACGCGCCACGATCTGTGTCGAGTCTCTGAAAACTATAGGAGTTGATTCCAGGGGGATTACTACATGAATTGTCTAATGAAGGAGCCCGCTGCCAGTTCGAGGTGTTCCTCGAGGATTTGATTCTGCCTTTAATGGTGAACAGTGCTCGCCGAGGAGACAGGGAGTGCCATATCGTGGTTCTGCTGGAGGATGACATCGTCGACTGGGATGAGGAGTACCCTCCGCAGATGGGGGAGGAATACTCCCAGAGTAAGCGCACCTTCTGTAAAACGAGCACAGGTGATGGTACTTGAAAGGATACTCATCGTAATCACGTTTCGTTACCTTCAGCGGTAAACAGCACCGCGATGTACCGGTTCTTCAAGTACATCGAGAACCGGGACGTGGCCAAGCAGGTGATGAAGGAGCGAGGCCTGAAGAAGATCCGGCTGGGGATCGAGGGCTACCCGACTTACAAGGAGAAGGTGAAGAAGAGGGCGGGGGGCCGATCGGAGGTCATCTACAACTACGTGCAGCGGCCCTTCATCCACATGTCCTGGGAGAAGGAGGAGGCGAAGAGTCGCCACGTAGACTTCCAGTGCGTCAAGTCGAAGTCGGTGACGAACCTGGCCGAGGCGACCGCCGACCCGGTGCTGGACGCTCTCGGGAACCCGGTTAACGCCATGGCGCTCGTGGAGGCCGCGGAAGACGTGCCCCAGCCGGAGGTCTCCGCTCTGCCCCCGGGTCTCGGCGCAGCAGGAGTCGAGGCCGAAGGTGCGGCCGGTCCGGCCTCGAACTCCACGGAACTCGCCTCTTCGCCTCCCGAGGAGCTCCAATGAGCAACCCGGTCCTCCCTCTTCGCGCGAGGGACGTCCCTCGTTCTCGTCGAGGCGCTACCCGTGGATGCCGACCGGCCGAGTTCTTTCCTTCAGCTAAGCACCGCACCCAGACACACCTGGGGACGTCGTCGTGCTCGAACCGCCAGCCTTAAAACCCAAGGATCGCTCCTCGCCCCTCGCCCCCAACCGCGGGAAGTTCCAGACGAACGAGCTCGAGCGATTCCCCCAACGGGGCGATCCCTAGATGAGGAAATGCGCTAACTTTCCCCAGGAGTCATTTCGAAGTACCTCAGAGATTCGCCCGACCCCGGCGGACAAGACCTCGCGTCGTCGCGCGAATAGCACGTAGGTGCGCGCGATAAGAGCGGATTACTCGGCCCTGCCTAAAATGTGATTCCCATGAAATGCTTTACCGTTTTATACCGTCAATAAAAACGTCGATTAAGGATTTTCTGCAAATCGGGCTGGCTCATTACTCCGCTCTTCTCCCCTGGCCTCCTCTATCCGCTATCCTCGATATCTCGATAAAAGCAGAGCCAGGAACTAGCGCTTCTATTCGAGGCGACCCCCAGGGTCTAAACCGTGTTAAGGAGACCTTGTCGAGGGCGAACCCCGGCCAGGAATCGGGCCGACCTCGGCGCGTGCGTCGATCGACGTCCTCGTCCCGATCTCCCCGCGATCCGGCGAATCTACTCCGGGTACCTCGAGGGATATCGACTGCATCGGACACGTCGTGGGGAGCCATTCATTGTTGCATGTACTCGAGGAGTCGGTGCATAGCGAGCATCCCGACCCTCGCAAGGTCTCCCTCTAGGGTTGCGTTCCTCGCCGGTGCAGAGCCTTCCGGGAGGTCGCTCGCCGTGTATACAGCCTAGGTCGTTAAGAGATCGGCGAAATGCCGCCTCCTGGCAATCGTTAGGATTGCGAATTATAGGTCGTAAGGTGGACGCGGTTCAAAGGCCGGGCCGAGCCTCGGCGCAGGCGCAGGGAGGATCGATAGATAGACCCGAGTCGAGGGCGAGAGCCCAGTAGCGTACGGGTCCCCGAGCTGCGAGTCGCGACGAGAGATCGGATTTCCGCGCAGGAACCGCCGTACGAACGGACGTTTAGTGGTCCGGCTGCGGAGCAGCTCGTCCAGCATGCAACCACCCCCGAGAAAAGTAAGGACCCGAGCCCTCCCTTCGACCACTTCCGGCTCGGACCTCTCCACTTTAACGAGCACTATTTACGCCTTCGTTTCGCCCCCTCGCCGCGATTAAACGACAGCGCGGCACTCGGGGTAAGCGCGTCGTCTCCTCGGCAAGTACCTCTCGCCAGGAATTAAGAGGACGCCCCGGAAGCTGGAGAGCGGCTCCCAGAATTTCGGGAAATCGGGGACGTTCGATGGGGTTGATCGACCCGGCTACGTGCCAGGGGTTTGCGGCCAATCGCGGAGGGATGATTGCCCCAGGATTTCGGGGAAAATCCCTTCCTGGTTAAGAAGGATCGGACGGGAAATTAAATCAGGGCGGCGTTTAGAACCCGATCTCTAGGAGTCGCCCTTGGAGCCCCGGGGGAAAAAAAATCGCTACTTCCAGATCTACAGGGAATAATTGTCTCGGGGTCGTCGGGAGAACACGTGTACGGTGAAAGGGTACTTCCGATGGTATTCTATTCTTTTTTTCCTTTTTTTTTTTTTTCATTGCCTTCCCCCGAAGAGCCAGAGTTTTATTCCTGCGAATAATTCCTCAAGGTCCGCCGAACCTCCCCATTGTCGGGAATAATCGCTAACGAGATCGCGGGGTCTAAAAAAGCGGACGGAAGAAATGAATGACCAATCGATATCGATTACGAGGACGTATAGGAGCGTATGCAAAGTCGGCCCTCGAGTCGGGGGTGGCTCGAGCCAAGGGTAATCAATCACGGGAGGCGATCGCTCGGTTATTTAATTCCCGGGGGGACGGAATGGCGAGAACGTCCTCGAGGTCGAACCTCGAGTTCCGATCGAATCGAGCGTCCGGAGGGGGCGGTCCGGTCCGGGGGTGGACGCTGGCTCCCGTGGTCTTCCCGAGAGCGAACTCTGACCTGATTTCGTTGAAACATCCCCGAAGAGCGAACTGTGACCCGCTTTCGTTAAAACGTCCCCGAAGAGCGGGGCCGTTCTCGCTGTTTGCCCCGGAGACTAGGCGCGGTCATCGAGCTCTTCCTCTGGGAGACCATTGTTCTCTCCCAGGCTCGAGTGTGTCTTCGAGCCCTTTGAATGCCCGCCTCGTTTCTCTCCTTCCTGTTTGTTCTTTCATTCTCCTCCCTTCTCTGTCTTCTCTCTTCTTTCTCTTCTCCCCCAAAAGAGACGAAGGATCGAGCCCCCGAACGTGCTCACGCGTGCTTTTCCAGGGAAACTATGCAAAGTTTTTAAAAAACGTCCACACGGAGCAGGCCTCGAAGTTGCAAGCGAAGAACCAGCACGAGTGCGACCTCCTCGAGGACATCCGGTGAGGGGTTGATAAACGCTGAAAAATTAAGATATTGAGAGGGTTTAGACGTTACTGCGGGGTCCGGATGAGGACTAGCCGGCTAACCGAGTACCTCCTTTTCAGGAACTTTACCATTAAAAAGTCGGCCATCGAGAAGTCCTATTCCGAGGTAGACCAGCTCTCCTTATTAACGCGGCAATCCCCGAAGGCGGTCCCTGGAACGGTATCGATTGTTGTTTCAGGCGCTACTCAAAATATCTTCAGCCTACTTGAACAAGAAGATACCTAATATACCGGACATTAACATCGAGGGCGGCGAGGAGAAATGGTAAAGGAAGTCGCTCTCCTCCGGAAGGACCGGGGAAGCGATAGATTCGGGGGTCACCGTTCGGTCGGGTTTCAGGAACATGTGGAACGTCTGGAGGATGGTCCTGGAGGAGAACGAGAAACTGGCGAGGGCCCGCCTAGCCGCCGTCGAGGTCTTCCAGCAACAAATCGCTGACGACGCGAAGAGTTTAAAGTTGCATAAGATCCAGATATCGAAGAAGGTACACGTATACGGTATCCGTTACGTACCCTGACCGACGGGCTGACGTTAGACTCGGTACTTCCAGGCGATCGACCAACTGCTAATAGTACAAAAGGAGCTGCAAACCTGCGTCCAGGACGTCGACAAGACGAAGAAGCTCTACTTCGACGAGGAGCACAGCGCCCACGACGTGCGCGACAAGGCCAAGGACATCGAGGAGAAGTGCGTGACTCGCCTCTGATTATCCCCTATTTGCATGAACGGTCCTCGTAGCGCTTCCCCAGGAAGTAAGAAGATAAAGAAAAGAAAACGTATGATCCAAGGACGCGACCTTCTCCTTTCAGGCTCAAGAGGAAGAAAGCCTCGTTCTTCCAGTCGATCACGACGTTGCAGAAGAACAGCGCCAAGGTAAGGTAGGCCCTGCCGGGGTGTCCCCCGGGTCGATCGTAGAAACCGGATGAAAAGTATTCCTCGCAGGTGAGCTCGAAGAGGGACGCCCTGGAGGAGAAGTCGACCGGGGCCCGCAACGACTACTTGCTCAGCCTGGCCGCCGCCAACGCCCACCAGAACCGATACTTCGTGGTCGACCTGCAGAACACCATGCAGGTTATTTCGAGTAACACCTGACTCCTCGATAAGGATGGACCTGCTCGATTGGGAACCTTTGGTCTCTTGCTTCCAGATCCTGGAGCAGGGGGTGTACGACAAGGTGGCGGAGTACCTGACGCTGATGGGTCGCACGGAGCTGCTGACTTGCCTGGCGATGCAGAACAGCTTCGGGAAAATCCGCGACCAGGCTCAGCAGGTGAGCGGGAGTTCCTCTCGATGGTCCCTGAAAAGGATGCGGAAGAGGTGAGACGGGTCCTGGTTGTTTCAGCTCACCAGGGAGTACAACCTGCAGTGTTGTTACCTGTACTACCCGGTCCTGAAGCAGCACATACAGTACGACTACGAGCCTTGCGACAACGATCCCGTAGATAGGTGCGGCAGAGCTTGACCGTTCGATTTGCAAACGGTTATTAATCCTTGATATGTCGTCCAGGATAACGGCGGATCACTCGGCCGCGGTGGCGTTAGGGAAGGAAGCTCGTCGCTGGGCGACGAGGATCGCTCGAGAAATCAGCACCATAAGGGAGAGCACTCGTAAATTGCAGGCTCTCCAGCAGCTCAAGGAATCGGGTCAGAAGGTACTTGACGAACGAATTACGGAGGTGTATTATACGTAGAATATTCCCTCGAGGTTGATGCGCCTCCTTGAAAAATTACAGACTGATCCGAACGACCCGAATGGCCCGGACCTGGACACGAAGATGGACGAGCTGAGGCAAGCCGTACGGCGAGCAGAGGTGCGTCCTGGTCGAGGTACCTTGCGATTGGTATTACCAACTTAAAGCTACACCCTGACGAGCGGGAATTCTCGTTTCAGACGGCGAAAATGAAAGCGGAGGCGCGAATAGAATGTCTCCGGAATGGCGGAGGTAAAAACGGGTCTCGACGGCGGGAGTAATTTAGACTTAGAACAAACGAGAGTAATTCCGAGTTTTCCAGTTAACGTCGACGAGTGGCTACAGGAAGCCGAGACCCTGAGCGTCCAGGACATCCCCCGGTCGGCCAGCTCCCTGTCCGTCAGGACGGATGCATCCGGAACAGCGGTATTTATCTCTCTACTTGCTCCTCGCGTCAAGGAAAAATTCTTTGTAATTTCGCCCCATCCGCTCCACAGGAGCATCCGTCCTCCGATTCCTTCTACGACAGCGACGGCGACGGCGGAAGCGATTTGACGACGGTAGAGAGGCCGGAGAACGTGCGCAACGTCTCTCTACAGGAAGAGGAGTCAACCAAGGAGCGACAAAGGCACGACAGTGCCGAAGTCGATGGTAACCGAACAAAATATACATCCCCGTGAATCCTCTTCCGATCGAGCGACATCGAAGGGGACGTTCCCCGTTAAAAAAAGAAAAGAAAAAAAAAACCACGTCGTTCGGTGTCGAGCACTGAAGTCGCGGAATATCTTCCAGCATTGCTGGAGCAGGAGAAGCAGCGAATCGAGTTGCTGACTGCCGGATGGGATGATCCCACGGCGGTGGACTGGGAAAAGGAGGAGAAGGGCGATACCCAGGAGGCCCCGGAAGCCGCGGATGCGGCCCCGACTCAGCACCTCTACAAATGCACCGCCCTTTATTCGTACACGGTTGGCGGTTTTCCTGAAAATGAAAATAACCGATGAAGAATGATTCCGTGGCTTGACCTCGAGTCTCTCCACCCCCAGGCTCAGAACCCGGACGAGCTGTCGATCGTGGAGAGCGAGCAGCTGGAGGTGGTCGGAGAAGGAGACGGAGACGGCTGGCTCAGGGCCCGGAATTACCGAGGAGAAGAGGGATTCGTCCCGCAGAATTATCTGGACGTGGAGAGAGAGTCGGACACCACGACCGGACTCTCTTCCCAGGGCCCAGGACTGGTCCAGCAGATCTCCTTCTCCTCGGTCGACTACACCATAGACGACCACGAGGCAGTCGACCCGGACGTAGGCCTCCAGGTTGAAGAGGACTTTCCAGTGGCCCCCATTCAACAAAACGGTGGTTAGTTCAACGTTCACGGGTCCTGGGTAGATTAAGATTCCACGAGAAGATGACCTCGACCCTCTGTCTTCAGGAACGGAGGAGTACTGCGTGGCTCTCTACGATTACGACGCCACCTGCGACGAGGAGCTCACGTTCATGGAAGGGGACGTTCTGAAGATCCTGAGGAAGGAGCCGCACGACGTCGACGACGGCTGGTGGGAAGGGGAACTGTGTGGACTGCGAGGAATATTCCCATCTCTCATCGTGGAGCCCTGCGCCCCGGACGGCTCACCTCTGACCCCGCAGGTAAGGGACGGGAGTCGACTCCGATCCTGGTGAACAAAAACAAGGTCCATTATTTCTGACGAGACAACGTCCTTCAGGAGGATACCACCCCGCCGAGCTCGGCGCCGCCGGTCTTCGCGCCCCCAGAGATCCCGGAATTCCTCCTGACCGAGGAGATGCTTAACGGTAATTTCCACAATCATCGCGGATTTATCGGTATCGGTGCGGTAAGCCGAGGGACAGGTGTGGGATAAAAAAAATTGGAAGATCGTTTCGATGCTTCCTTCGCAGAGTCAGGGATCCTGGGAGACGAGAGGTCCGCCAGCACGGATGAGGGCCAGCAGGCGAGCTTCGCGATAAACCTGACCAAGGGCCAGAAGGACCACTACGGGTCACAGTTCGACGAGAACTCCGAGACTCCTGGGATCCTAGGTAACGTATCCTCGCCATCCGATGGATCCTCTTGGGACCGTTGGTCCGCCCTCCGGTTCTAATCTGGCCCTGTAAAAATTAATATCTCTGTACCCGTCCCGCTGCTTCAGTCGAGGAGGTTGCAGACGACTCGGCCGTTCAGGTAAAAATCGCGGTGCATCGGAGATTCGATATCGCGATTCGATCCCTGGCCGGTAGCCAGGGGCCGAATGGTCGACGTACTTCGTTCAGCGATTCCGACGTTTCTATTATCAAGCATGCGGTTTATCTGGTCGAGTTCAAAGGTCTGACGAACGCGAAATTGCAGGACGGCTCGGATGGGAAGGCTCGCAAGGCTTCGACGGAAGGTCAGGACGGCGAGAAGGACGACTTGGGTCTGGGCGTAGCACAGATTGTCATTACAGCCGCAACTCCCATGGAGGAGGTGGATCGCCCTTTTCCAGGGGTAGAGGAAGCCGAGGAAGCCGAGGCCGAGGCAGGGGAGGCGTCTCAGGCGGATGCCGAAGAGTCCACCGACAAGACCGGCACCGTCGAGGACGAGGACTCCGAGGAGACCACTACGATCCAGAACGCCCCAGGAGGGCAGCGCCCTTCGGAGGCAACGACGACGCGCGTCGAGTCGGAGGAGAAATCCGTCGTCGACGACCTGCCCGCCGACTCGGCACCGTTTCCCGTGAGCAGCAGCTCCGGCAGCGAGGCAGACTCCACGTCCGGACCCAGCACCGCGGATAATTCTCAATCGATGACTCCCAGAGGCGGTAACATCGCCGCGAGTCATCCCCAGGAAGTGGTCGCAGTCGAGGAAGAAGACGAGGAACCGGTCGACATCGTGCCGGAGAAGGTGCTCGTCGGCGGCAGGGCGAGCATCCCCGACGAGCTGCAGCCCGACCAGCTGGAGAAGCTCCAGAATCTGAAAGAGTCGAATGCCTAGGATTGACTAGACCTCGGAGACGACAACTGCAATCCTGCCTTACCGAACAAACTGGCTCTTCCGAAAGATCATCAGAACAACTTCCAGCACCTGCTGGACTTCTGGAAATCTCCCAAGGTTGGCGGGACGAAGGACTAAGGGTGAACGCCGGGTTGTATGTACGAATGATTAGAGACCGTACTCGACACACGACACACACGTACCCAGACACAACACGCGACACGTTCGTTCACACGTACACGCTCGTAACTGAATATTTTTATGTTAATATTATGAACACAATTTTTGCTAGGCCGATACCGAGGTAAATTATCCAAGGTATATAAGTTGCGACTTTTGCAACGTGTATTTACAAAGATGCATTAATGTACAGACATAAGTAATAAAGAGAATTGTCGATACCTGTATAACAATGTACTTTCGGTTGGTACCTTTGTAAATGCAATAAATCGTAGCAACTGAGGTTATCCCGAGTGTTTGACGTCCCGTTTCATGACTGGACTTTGTGGTAGACCAACTCTCCGACTCTACGAGATTCCAGAATGTATGTAAATCAGTGCGATATATTAAACTTTGCGGGTCCATACACTTGCCATTAGTCCTATCATCATTTCCGGCTTCTGGGTCCCTTTGGGAATATTAGGCTTGCATTCGGAGAGCACCGTCTAATCTTATCGTTTCACCGTTCAATAGAGGATTCTCTATGACAGACTGTACCAATTGAGCGTACTCGTCAGGCTTCCCTAATCTTTGGGGGAAAGGAATTGTCTTTGCCAGGAAGATACGAACTTTTTCTGGCAGAGACTGCAGTAGCGGAGTGTCAAAAAGCCCTGGAGCTATGGTCACGACTCGTATACCATTAGAAGACAAATCTCGAGCTAGCGGTAGAGTCATTCCAACGATTGCACCTTTGCTAGCCGAATATGCAGCTTGGCCCACCTGGCCATCGAATGCTGCTACGCTAGCGGTGTTAACGACCACGCCCCGTTGGCCATCTTCGTTGGGCTCATTTTCGCCAATAAGACCCACACCTAATCTGATAACGTTAAAAGTACCTACTGTATTAACGTTAATTACTCTCTGGAAATCATCCAAAGCATGTGGCAATTTCTTATTAAAGTTGTAGGTCTTATAGGCAACTGCGATACCTGCAGCATTCACTATGTAATCCAGTCTGCCAAATTTTTGTTTAGTAGCATTCAGAGCATTCAGCACGTCGTTCTCCGACGTTACCTAAAGTGAATAATGATCGCTATATTTCAGAGCCTATAATTGAAAACTACAAACATTAAAAAAAAAGAAAACATTACATCCACCGGTGCAAATAAAGTCGATTCCCCTAAATCACTGGACAACTCCTTTCCTTTTGATGACGGCAGATCGGCGATCACAACCTTGGCTCCATTTCTTACAAATCTTTCCACGGCACTTCGTCCCAAACCAGAGGCTCCTCCAGTTATCAATGCAACAGATCCCTGTACATATTATATGAGAAATTAAAACAAGAAGCTTATCACACTCGTCTTTCACTTGTATATTCTCGTCAAATATCAGTTAAACAGTTTCAAAGTTTACCTTCAACATTTTTCGGCTGCGACTTTCTGTTAAACTGAGTAAAATATAAAAAAACGGTTGTACAAAACCAGGGTGTAGTGGCTACGGAACGATGGAGGAATGCTCCAAATTAATCAGATGCAAGTATACGTAACCGATATCACTTTCAACTTTGCACTGACTTCGTACTTTGATCGCCGGCCTTCCCACTACTTCTCACGTCTTCCAAATTATTCCACCGACGTTCTGAAATGAGATAGTTGAGATGAGATCGATGAGATACTTGAGGTAAGAGAGTGTGATAAGAGAGCTGATATGAAAAATGAGATGAGAGAAGACTGTTGGGTCGATTTAAGCGCCGTGTTCGGGTACTGCTCTCTGTAAAAAATTTAAAAACTTCATCCATATATACAGTGGCGACAACTGAAAGTTATCCACATAAACGGCTCACGGTGTAAAATACCTAGTAATTTAAAGTAAAAAATTATCTAGGGGTATTTCACTTACCCAACCCTGTGCATAAATGAAATTTGAATCTTGGATCAGCTTACCGACCGCAAAATCTTATCGTCACCTTTTGTTGAACGTGACATAACCTTCCACAAACGCTGGTGGTAAATCCATTTTCTGGCATCGAACTGGCAAGGGTTTGTTACTCTCGCAAAGCTGCAATTCATTCAGGAGCAGGTGAGAACAGCTGATTCTTCCCCTGTGACATTCGCTCGATGCAAAGGGAGATATACATTCAGTCTGTTGACAGAAACGAGAAGAGCGAATTTACTATGGCTCTTAGCTGGAGCTTACGAAGATCTAGGTGACCTGGTGAAAGCATTGAAAACAGCTGTCCAAGTTCATCCCCGATAAGGGAATCCTATCGGTTGGATTATCTGCTGGCATAATGGCTACCTCCAGCAGTAGCACCAGCAATAGTTACGACTTTAAAGTCGTATTACTTGGAGAAGGAAGCGTAGGAAAGACCTCTGTCATCCTGCGATACGTTGAGGATAAGTTTAACGATAAACATACATTCACTACCCAGGTAAAATGCAGTTATGCTTATATTCTGACTTTGTTAATAATGTTGCTACTGACTAAAGATATATTTATCTTTTCAGGCGTCTTATCTGGATAAGAAGTTAAATATCAATGGTAAGAGAATTAATCTAGCGATCTGGGATACGGCAGGGCAGGAGAAGTTCCACGCTCTAGGTCCAATTTATTACCGCATGTCTAATGGTGCTGTCTTGGTTTATGATATTACGGAGAAGTATACGTTTAAAAAAGTATGGATTGTCGGTAGTTACTTACCAAAGTTTTATCTTGAGAGATAGAAAGTGATTCATATTTTTTTGTACAGGTTAAAGATTGGGTAAAGGAATTAAGAAAAATGTTAGGCTATGACGTATGCTTGGCCATAGCTGGTAATAAAATAGACCTTGAGAAAAACCGAAACGTTTCGATCGAGGAAGCGGAGGAGTAAGTTAATACTACAACTAAATTATAGAAAGATTAGTAACATGCCTTCTCAAGTATTATGAGAAAATAATTTATTCATCGGCACACTCTGATTTTTAGATATGCAAAACAAGTAGGCGCGATGCATTTTCACACTTCGGCCAAATTAAACCAAAATATTGAGGAAATGTTCTTAGACCTGACGCAGCGTATGATGGAGAAAGCAGATGAGGCTGAGCGAACGGCAACATTAACGCGAACAAATAGTACACGACGTAATGTTGTAATAGTTGAGGATGAGTCGGAACAACAGCAACCACCTACTAAAAGTTCTTGTTGCGGTGGCTCTACTCAAGTTCCATGATCACTGGCTACATGTCGCGGAGAAGAACTTTAATCTCTCATAAAATGTAAATATGTGCAGAATATTTCAAAACTCAATGCGATACAAATATTATAAAGTCATTTTTGTTATAGAATCAGGTGCAGTTGTCTCGTTTAATATTATGGTTGTCGAGAAGAACAAACAACCTGCAGGAAGCTGTTCCTGCAGAAGTACCATGCGACTCTCAGGCTCGCCAATAATACACCGCAAAGAACAGCTTTAACTTCTACATAAATGTACATACAGTGCACGTGTATTGTCTCTCAAGATTTTGGAAAAGTTTACTGCCTTTACGTTTCATCTCGTTAGATTTATACTAAAAATCGAGGACCCATTGTTTTCAAAGGAGTCGATTAAGTTCCCAGTGAACATCTTGGAGGATGCGACTCGGATACAGGGAGGCACAATCTCCTCTATTTCATTTCCAAGACATTTGTGCAATCTAGCTGTGTGCAACGCTGCAGTGATAATTCAATCGAAAGTGATGTTTGTATTTTGCAATTCCACTGTTGGAATGTTTCCTATTGTGAACAAGAAAAGAGTATTGTGTTTATTGTTTGTACGAGTGTCTGACATGGATATTGGGGCATATCATCGTTATACGCTTTCGTAGATTTAATAGATGCAGAGCGATGCATCACCTGGAGTTTCAGTTTAACAAGGAATCGTTAAGAGCATTTGCTTCCCCTATGTACAAAGTTACAGTCTTTTCTAATACTTTTATATCCGAGTTGAAGGAAAATTGTGTTTTTCTTTAATATCAATTTGACAGTCTCATCGTGATATAACGCATTGTTGCAACAGCCCTGATCGCGTAAGTTCGATACGTAAATTATGTAGAGACAGAGCATAGTCACTAGATCGCAGCATTGCGTACTCTGTCATTACGATTCTCCGCAGTTTTCTCGTTCGCGTGTTATTTCACTGTCCTGAACGTGTCGCGTAGTTTCGTATATACGAAAATGTACATATTGTATACCGGCCGTTGCCAGTTGTTCCGTGAAAAAAAAATGCCTGTTTTGTTATCTACGTGAATCTTAGATAAAGCCATATTTAAGCTGGTGTAGAATTTAATTTTGAGCTGTCGCGCTGTGTGAACGTTATTGTCCGACTTCACTTTTTGACTGAATTTTACAGTAACGGATCACCTAAAAATGATGACTCGTTTTCAAGAGTCGTTATACAATGAACATTTCTATCAAGGGCTCGTGATATATCCCTAGGGGAAATAATCAAATCGTGAAACAGAAGAACAAATCAGCATCCTACGAATTGATAATTAATTGTACGCTTTGTGTGGCTACTCGTAATGAAAATGCGTCTTACCCATACTCCAACGAAGCATAAAATGCCGTACGGAGTCATTTTGTGGCCAAAGCCATAAATCTTAACACAATGACATGTAACATGATTTACAATAGAATAATGATTTGATTTACACTTGATTTACACTTAACCGCCATACTATATTTGTAAATACAGTAGGCCTATAGTTATTCGAATAAAATTCCCATTAATGAAATTACTCGTCCAACTTGTTCTTTTACTCTTTGAACATTCATCTATAATTTTTAATAAGGGTTCATAAGGGGATCGAATAAACCATACGACGAGATTGAAAAATGTGCGAAAGGTCTTTCATATCGTATCCATTTAATTTCCTGTATGCTGTTTGTCGGATAAAGATTTATATATATATATAATATATATAATATATATTTATATATGTATATATTAATAATCATTACCCTATCACAGGTATGTATAATACATGGACTGTGCACGTATTGGCATCACGTTGCTCATGAAAGAGCTATCCGTTGTTACAGTACCGAGTGCGAGCCAACTAGATACACCTCTAACGAGTACAATTACTTTGGATTTAGTGTACAAACATTGAAAACCTCGAAAGGAATGAGAGAACGACGTTATTAGAATTTTAGAATATAGTCATTTCCATCGATACCCACGGAAATTAATCGCTCTCGTGTTATTTTGGGCGAGGTTCGCATACCAGCCAGTCCGCCTTAATTCCCGACTGTTTTTTGTCAACAAATAAGGCATACATGTACTTATTAGTTCGCTACATTATTAGTACGTAAAATGAGAGCTGGATGGCCCTTCCCACGGAATGGTATCGAAACCCTGCTCCTCATTACGACCCGTCTGTTTTTCTATTTAATTAAAAAAAAAAAAAAAAAAAATGCGTCGTCACTTGGTGACATTAATACACGTGGAAACACATCCATCAAGATCTGCAGCTCGCACGGTGCGCCCAAAAATAATCGAGAAAGAAGGTCCCGGGCGCGACGTAATAAATTAGCCATTAATTAACTTTGATAATACTCGGTCGACGTATTCTGTGCGCGAGGCGCGTCGCGGTACCACTTTCTAATTACTTTCTGTGAAATCATTCTCGGATGGGCTACACCCGTTAGAAATTTATTTAAGAAACGAGTCGCTACGCTCCTATTTAATATGTATACATACACGCTAGACTTTCCCTTACGCGCTATATCAGGTTATTCTCCGAATATGTACAATATTATTAATATAATGTCGGACGCGTCCGTTACCCTACCGGTACCAGGAAATCTGTTCAATCGCTGTGCAACATGTCCGAGACATAATAACAGACCTGGCAAATATCGAACGAAAAGCAGATACGCTAATTACCGAGACGGACGGTCCGCTTCGTAGTTACGCTTATCCAGGATCTGCAGCGGCAGATCCTAGGAAAGGATAAACCCGGGATTTAATTTCACAATCAACTAGAATTAACCGGGGACCCCGAAATCTCGTGATTAGATAGCAGACTTGTCTACCGTCATCAGAGTAGATACGCGTATCCAGAATCTGAGACCTGGTCCAGGCGGATCTATCTTTGATCGGCGGGGAAACAATAATTCGTTGTGCTCTAGAAACGCATGACGCGAGGCGAAAGCAATCTGGAATGTTTCTTAGGAAACGGCTTACAATGATTACTAGAAAATAGGGACCGAAAAACTCGCGTCGGCTAGCGAAAGGGCTCGAAGGTCCTAATAAGAAATGGTACAGACTTCTAGAAAAAAAAAAAAAAAAACACGTATTCCAGAACTGCACGATCCCTCGTATCGCCCTGCTCCCGTTAAACGCCGTTAATCCCATATGCGCGGACTTAAACGCCGCGAATAACTCTACATTTTACATTAATCGCATGACGCTTTCATTGATCTTTGGTATAGAGTCACAAATTTCATATATATATATGTATGTATAAATATACACGAATTTCAAGCTGACATCATCGATCACCATCGCGGTGCGCTCAACGCCCGTTCAACGCTCCTTTTCGCGCGTTAACGGCCACGTCGTCGACGAGGATGGTTTCTTGTGCACGGAACTGCATTGGCTTGTACAAAAGAGATTCATAAGAGACGGTACAGACGTGCGTAAAGAGGAATCCTATTTAAAATCCTAATTAATCCCTTGCCTAACGCGTCATACGGGAGTGCGTTTAATTCCTGTCGACCGGTATCGTAAGGCAAGGATTAAACGTATCTTTAGACACCTCGCGCGACTTAAACGACCAACCGGGAGTTTAACCGCGCTTCTCTCGAAAGATCATATAAAAATATCCTAATCGAATCATATTCAGTCGATGGGAAATAGAAAACGCTATAATAAATATCCTCTCGCGAGGGGGCGAGATGATGCCAACACCTCGTGACGCGTTCTACGCTCGTTATAAATACACCGTTGACTGGGAATTTCGTTAAAAAGGGCCGCTTAGAAGTAACCCTCGGGTAAGGCGGTGCGCGACCTCCTGGCACTCCTCGTTAATACGTTATTACTCTCCGTTAACTAGAATAAATATTTACTGGCGCGGGGCCAACCGAAGGATTAATTTCTCGAGCTCGTGGCGACGCCCTCCTTCCCTCCTCGTCCTCGTATCTCGCGTTTCGTTACGTCTCGAAGCGCGTTAACAAAATATAAAATAAAAATCTAATATAATAAACGAAAGGACAAGACAGAGTTAGAATATCCTTGCGCTGAGTAACTTGTTTCGGTGATGTCTCTATGACGTTATCGCGCACCGTCAATGGGCACGGTAATTCGTCCGATAACGGAATCGGTTGATCGAGAGAAGAAATGCACAGACTCATTGGCACAAGGGTGAAAATGAGATTGATATAGAATAATCCTAGAAAGTGTTGAGGACGTTATTTACCTAGATTGAATTCCTGACGACCCTAGAGTCGGAGTCACTTTGGGTCGTTTCGACCCAATCCCGGTAGTTGAATATATCTGCATCCCGAATTCGCTCGAAATGCAGATTTGATTAGAACTTAGGCCGTTGATCGCCGCTCGACTCGGCTTTAAATTATGAAGATCTTGTCCTGGTAGATGAAGAGAAAGTCGATGAACTGGTTGATGGGGCCTATCGCCGATAAAGACATTCCTTTCGACGGAGGCGCTCTGACCAGATTCGGACCGAAGACCACGGCAAGATTGCTGGACGTCATCTTGTTCAAGTCGCAGCGATCCATTACCTGCAACGTGGTACTTGCAATTGTTAAAAATCTTATTAAACTTAATCCTCTTGTTTTCAGGACGTTTTCCATAAAACAAGTGGCTGTACGTACCCTGGACAAGAATTGCACGATATACTTGAGTAATTGGTAATTGTCTTCGGGCAATTTCTCAAGAACCAGAATCTTCACTCTGCGAGGTCGTTCGTCTTTCGAGAAAGCTAAGGAAACGCAAGGACGATTGATTAGCAGAGGAAGATAAACCTTTCAGGCGCGAGAGCAGTGATTTCGGAGTCTTTACTTTGGAATTGCGTTATCTCGTCGTATAACTCGTATGTCATTAGAGGCTCCTCGAGTTCTCGCAGAAACGTCTTGAGAAGGACCGCGGCTATGTGAGGATCACCGCGGAAGTCGACTGGCAATCCTTGATTGCATCGACTTTGAAGTTCCTTGATCACCGTTACATTCGCTGATCGTCTGAATATACCTTCTGTTTCTAGCGCATCAGGCGTGTCAAGGAATTCTACGCATTGCCGTACTATCGGAGGTATCGGATCGCCATCGTTATTCTCTTTGATGAATTGTAACGTCGCTCCGAACTGAGTTGTACCAACTGGAGTCGCTACTACACTGGACGGCGAGCTCGCCAAAGAATTTTTCTTATTCTTTGCTGTCAATTGCTCATCGTGCCTTGAAAAATATTAAAGATATCAGTAACACCTACGGAATAATCCTGAAATCAAACGCAAACGTGATTTGCTTACTCGATGACTTGCTGAGGTATTATGAGTTGATCGAGGTTAATATATTGTGCTAGTTCTTCTAAATAATTGACGTACATGACTTTCCGTCCAAATTTTGCGCTAAACAAAATACAAGGGTTTAGGAAATGAAAAATATAAAGCTTAGTATACAGAATTCTTTAGAACTACCTGATAGCTGGCTTAAAAATCTGCCAGACTATTTTGATGAAATTTGTTGGATGAACTAAATAAAGAGCTTTCAAGTTCTTCTTGTATTTCCTGTCGAAGGCCTTGTATGCTTGCCAAAGCCATGAAAGTGGAGGTTTATTTTTTGATGTCAGACCACAGTGAAAATATACTAAACTATAATCTTGCTCAACAAATGTATCCAAAGTGCGGGTTAAATATCTAAAAAAAATATTAAATTCTTACGATAATTAAACATTTATTCTAATGCCTAAAAAAACATCCATCGCCCTAATTGCTCGACTGTATGGATCATACCTTAAAAGTTTGGCATGATTGAATACTTCTTTACCAACAGGCGGAAGTTTGCATGCCGACACAACAATGATTTTACGGCCAGCACTATCATCTCCCACGACTTCGACAATACCGAGCTTAGCAATATCTTGATAGTCCTCTTCATCGGCAAGCTCTGTATCCAGAGCTGCAAGGTCTTCCTCTGATAAACATTTATAAAAACTCTGATAAACACTGCTCCCATTCTCGTCATCTATGGCACTTCGGTACTTCAAATGTCATGACATTTAGCACCCGTTGGGATATAAAGGTTACATACCGGTTATTATAACTGGGGCATCCACAAGAGCCTCTTCAAAATTTTCTTCAATCGTACCATCGCTGACTGGACTCTCTAAATAGTCTACCACAACTCCACTTGAACTCAGCTCCAGTTTCTCATCCAAAAGCCTTACTAAAAAATTATAATCACGTTAATACTTTAATTATTTACATGAACGATTAATACCTTAACAAACCATTTATTTCCCCCGATAATACCACATAACAAGTACCATTAATTATATTTATCGATCAACGTGTCCAAACGTCATTCTTTAACAGACCATAAACTACTCACCCGTATTTGACGTAGTTTGCAATTCCGTATCATCGAACTCCAGATTTGGTTCATAATCATGGTAATCCGATAAACTTGGATATGGGTCTTCGCTATCATTACACATTGCTATCGCATACAAAGACGTACCAAACATTAATCGTAAAAATTAAATCACATCGCTTAGGTCTAAAGACGCCAATAATTGAAGGTTTCTTTTAAAAGATTAATTCACATAGTAAGTTGAAAACAAATTCTAGACATTGAAACGTTTGTTTGCTTCACTAGACAAGAGTATACATCCGTCAACATATCGTCACCGCTCTCTCTCTTTCTCTCTCTCTCCCTCTTTTTCGCTCACCTGTCAAAGCGCGAGCTGGGCTGGGTTGATGATAATCAGCCTCCATGTTTATTAAACGAGTCGTATCGCGAGTTACCGATTGACACGACCCGCCGTTCAGACCAGCAAATCCCTTTTCCACTGCGACATTATTCCGGGACGCGATTATGGAAAACTCACGAACCACCAACACGTCACGCTTTCATCTGTCGCAGCTAATCGCAATCGCCGTTGACTCCAGTCGATTCGTCACTCCCCGTTCCGTATTCGATTAGGGATAAACTTCGCGCGACTCGCTGATTGGTCGCCTCCGACTCGCCGCCATTCCGCGCCAAATTTGAATGTAGTACCCCTTTCATCTCATCTATAGTTGTAGTTTCTCATGCCTCGAGAGAAATAACCTCTTTACAGGAAATTACAACATTAGATCTTTGCTGCAAAACTTCGTCAAGAATGTGCGTAAGCACCGAGAGTATTAGTCATGTTACGCTTCTTATAAAGCCAGCGGATGTTCATTATGATTCCTCATGAATTAGTATTCTCCAAAGGTAAATCGCTCACGTCAGAGAAAAGGGAAGCGCCCACTACACGTATTATGTACGACAAGATGAATGTAGTAGTATGTACCTATAGTATGATTTCAGTAGAAATCAAACATGCAACTCGCTTTTTGATAGGCATCATACAATCTGCATTTTTTATAACAGATGTACACGCTTCCTAGGTCCCCTCTTATCTCTTCGAGGAACTGCAATTTGATACTATTTTTCCAGCCAGGTCATTGTTTTGTCTGCCTGATTGCATGAGAATGAAAGAAAAAGTCCTGCTACGTTTATTCAAAGGGACATTTTGGAAGTCCTGAAAATTCTTAAGGCTAAACGTTAGACCCATAGAGGAGGATTTTATATATCAAGGTCTGTCATTTTGTCAGCAATTGTATTAATGTAAATACAACATTGTTCTCTTTTCTTAGATGGATAAGACACTGGAGAAAAAGTTCCGGTCTGACCAGATGTTTAACCTCATAAACAAAAAATTTGTTTCTTTACAAAAAGACGATATCAAAAAGAATAATCAACACTTAAGTAAGGTCTGAAAAATTCTAAATGTCATAATGTTTTCTAACGTTTCTTTATAATTAATTTAACGTTAAGGAAAGAATCATGTACAGGTACAATACAAGATATTTTCGCTTTAATTTCTTAATGTATTTTATTGAATTGTGAAATTATGTTATGCATTTTGTTACACTAACTACTGTACATGAGTAATTGCATTCATTCATTTCTATATCAATATTCTATTCATACAATGACTAAATCAGGCTGTTTAGCTAGGATGACTAGTTGAGGTAGAAGCTAGAAATACAGTATATACCTTTAACATTTTTGTACTAATAAGAATGCTCACTTGTAAAAACCTGACTTAGTAAAGTATTTCTTATTCGAATCCTCGAGATACTAATCCTTCTTTCTGAACATTGTGATTGGAACCGCGTTCCTATCAGCCCAAGCTACAAAAATATCTGCAAATTGACTAAGGCACTTTATGATTCTTAGACAGTCTCCTTCTGCTGTATGCTGCTTGTCTGATGCGGAGTCTACAAAATGTTTATTTGCTGTACTTAAAATCAGCTGGTCAACAGCTGGTCTGAAGAAAGTATAATTGTTTTCGTGCAACATTTACTGTCCATCACAAAAGAAAGCATTTTGCCTGATCCTTTATTAAAAAAAAAAAAATGAAAAAAGTCACTACCTGTCGATTCTAAAGCAGCACTGGCAAAATCCATGTACAGAGATGAACCACTCGCTGCAGAATTTTTATCAAAATAGTGTTTAAATACATTAAGAGTATCGATCGCTAAAATGTCTTCAGGCAGTGTCTGGAAAGCAAGTTAACACCTTCGATGTCACAAATGTACTTTTAGATTTGATGAAGAAAAATTAATAACATTACCTTTCCAATACTTTCTGCCTCATGCAAAAGAATTGGATACTGAATTTGACTGCCATTATGAGCAACGAAACAAACAGGAGGTACAAGACTGTTAATGAATTTCATTAATAGCGTGTAAGTGTTATCATTGAAGGGTGGTACACCCTCTAATTCATTGTTAAATAGACCTAAGAAAAAATAAAAAATAAATATATCCCAAATAATAAATTCAGATTATTTCTAATTACATAGGTCAAGCAATATAACTATGTCAAATCTTATCGTGCTTAATCAGAAATGAGCACCTGTTAAAAGCGAAACCATAGCAGGGATCTTAACACTTGGATTAACTGGTATTACGAGTTCCTGCGTAAATTCTGGTGGCACCCCCTTGCTTTGGCACAAAGACATTCGAGAAACAGCAAGGAGAGCTATTTCAGTTAGTTTGGGTAGACTTAATCCCTTAGGTAAACTCGTTGTCTCGACACCAAAAAATATAAAGCTTTGAATCATGGTGACATTGTCTTCCTCCATTTTTACTCCGGCGACGTTCATTTCCATCCCTTTGAGTTTTCAAGTACAATTATAATGATACCGTTTCAAAGGCACAGGATTTCTTGATACCACGCTTCCAACGGATTAATGACAAAACGGTTTGACATATTCGAACGAGCATATTTGAATACGACCGAAAGATGGCCGAGAAAATGTGGGAAAATTTGGCTTCATTTTCACCGGACGTCTTATTTTCATTTCAGTCTTAAACAGAGATGAGTTGGTGAATTGTCGATCGGGAGAAGAGACGATACGGTAATTGCGGATTCCCTATCATTTTGCAAGGTATGTACCTTTATTTAAAATAGTACTAGATCGGAATTGCTAGTGATCTCGTTTTTTCATATAGCGAATACGTAATTCGGCGCATAAACCCACGTGAGATGAAAGTGCGAGAAGTGAGCGCTCTCGTAAAAAAATACGTAATAAACGCCCTGCACCTCTTTGGCTTCGACTTTCCCGACTTCACAATTTACCTACGTGCTGTAGGCTTTCTAGGCAAGATGGTAGCGGTGAGCCGGTATCTCGATTAGGTGTTAAGAAATCAATTTCATCAGTCTCACGGGAATTAAGAAAACATTTATGAATGAGCTATGGCGCATCAATTACTATCATCCGCTACGAAACTAGAGAGGTTGGTTCTCAAGTCTGTGCAAAAAGGCCGTCTCAATCATTTCCAGGTAAGACGTAACCTATCATAACCTATAGACGTTGTTATGATATAACAAGAATTGTGCGTCATGTGAATTTATACATTAAGGCCCTTACCAGTTACCCAGAATTTAGCTAATTTCGATATTGAGCAGTTAGTGCACCTATAAATGACTTCTGTCGTCGCGTTGATGTAACACCTTTGATATGTTTCGCTCCATTAATTTCCATGCTCTGGATCGGTACTTATTTTCAAAGCTACGATGTTTACTTGATATACTATTAGTGTAACCGATTGTGTTATAGTTATGGAGAAAATTATCTCTACTAAAATCTAACACTGGACCATCTATGTTCGAACGTGTACAACTTCAATGGAGACTTTTCGCTGAAGAGCCACCGAAAGGATTTGAAAAATTTTTCAAACCTGGTATGGACTTAACATAATTGAACACATATCAATGAAGCACTTTTATTATATTACATTTACTATTTGACTATTGTCTGTAAGACGATCGAGCAAAAATTTATTATAAGCCGTAACGTGAAATAGGTTGGAAAAAGGATCAACCATCTAAGCCTAGTGCTACCAAAGATGCTCCGAGTAAACAGCCGAGTGGGTCAGAGGGATCAAAACAGTCACAAAATCCATGGTCGTTTGGAGCTTTTGGCCCAACCAGGCCAGGCGGTTCAAACAAAGGCCGTGATGGCGGTATGGACAAATGGGTTGCTTTCGGTGCTGTCGGTACCGTCGGTGCACTAGGTCTTTATCTCCTTTCCGTAAGCAATGAAAAAGAAATTACGTGGAGAGAATTTGTGTACAGGTTAGTTGATAATACCAAATACCTGCTAGTCGATGTATAATTATTAAGTGAACTGCATTTGTAACTGAATTTTTTTTTAGTTACTTAAATAAAGGACTGGTAGAGAAGCTCGAAGTTGTTAATAAAAAATGGGTGCGTGTCCGATTAGTCCCTGGAGCTGCGGTTAACAAGTCTGTAAGTCTGACAACAATTTTCTCGTTTTCTTTCTATAAAATATTTGAAAATTTATCGAAAGGAAATATGCATGTGTAATTTTTGTTTATAATGGTGGCTTTCTGCTCATCTTTAATGGATTGCGATATTTTGCCGGTGTCTCAGGGATGTTTATGGTTTAACATCGGTAGTACAGATAGCTTTGAGAGGAATCTGGAGAATGCTCAGCTCGAATTAAATATAGAACCCCAGAATCACATACCAGTTATCTACAGGAGTGAATTTGAACCTAAATTCCTCATTACGTACTTACCAACTCTCGTTCTTTTAGGTATTTATGACCGTTTTTCTCATGTAATAAAGCTAAGGTATAGAATAACAAACACAACGTACTGTTCATAGGATGCATCATATACGTAATGCGACGTTCTGCGGAGATGATGGGCGGAAAAGGTCGGAAGCGAGGGTTGTTCGGTGGCGTTATGGAATCCACAGCCAAACTAATCAATTCCGATGAGATCGGCGTTCGCTTCAAGTAAGGCATGGCAAATCTCAGCTAAGAAAATTCTGATCACTATAGCCATTACTTTTACTTCCAACATAGAGATGTAGCTGGTTGCGAGGAAGCAAAAATCGAAATTATGGAATTCGTGAATTTCCTTAAGAACCCGCAACAGTATATCGACCTCGGTGCTAAAATACCTAAAGGCGCCATGTTAACAGGTGATCGCAGTACTTTCAGTCCCTAATGATAATCGAATTATGGGTTCGAAGAACTGTAACAAACGTTTGAATGTTCGTTAGGTCCTCCTGGTACTGGGAAGACGTTATTAGCGAAAGCAACAGCAGGCGAAGCAAACGTTCCTTTCATAACCGTGTCTGGTTCCGAGTTCCTCGAAATGTTCGTGGGAGTGGGTCCCTCTCGAGTCCGGGACATGTTTGCGATGGCGAGGAAGCATGCTCCGTGTATATTGTTTATAGACGAGATTGACGCCGTCGGTAGGAAGAGGGGCGGTCGAAATTTCGGCGGCCATTCGGAACAAGAAAATACTCTGAATCAGCTTTTAGTAGAAATGGACGGTGGGTGCGCTCCTTTTAATTAACGTAGAGTGAACACTAGTAACGAGGACCTTGAATGGCTGCGGCGTAAGGGCGGTTTAACTACCTTTTGTACATGGCAGTCATCTCCACCGACCTCTGCGCTGACAAGGCCTTGAGGTGCTTTGCATTTTTAATACTTCTTTATTTCTGCCTAATAAGGTTTCAACACTACGACGAACGTCGTCGTTTTAGCAGCAACAAATCGTGTCGACATTTTGGATAAGGCTCTCATGCGACCGGGCAGATTCGACCGACAAATATTCGTCCCCGCTCCGGACATTAAGGGACGCGCGTCCATTTTCAAGGTTCACTTGGAACCTTTGAAGACAACGTTAGACAAGGCGCAGCTGGCCAGGAAGATGGCATCCTTGACCCCTGGATTCACGGGTAATAATTTTGAAAAATGTAGAAATTCGCTGAAGTTCCTCCAGTCTACGGACGAGACGTTCAAACGAACCGTTCCGTTTAGGGGCGGACATCGCTAACGTCTGCAACGAGGCGGCGCTCATCGCTGCAAGAGATATGAATGACAACATTCAACTGAAAAACTTCGAACAGGCCATCGAGCGTGTCGTAGCCGGTATGGAGAAAAAGACTAACGTTCTTCAGCCGGAGGAGAAGAAGACGGTAGCATATCATGAAGCAGGACACGCCGTGGCGGGTTGGTTCCTACAGTATGCGGACCCATTGTTGAAGGTACCGTCATAAGTATTAAATTTATTTTAAAGATTAATTATCCGATCGTCGGCGTTTTCGTAAAATCATCTTTTCCTTCATGGATCCTCTCTCTAGGTGTCCATCATTCCGCGTGGAAAGGGTCTAGGATACGCTCAGTATTTACCACGTGAACAGTATCTTTATACGAAGGAGCAATTGTTCGATCGTATGTGCATGACTTTGGGTGGACGGGTGTCCGAGGAGATATTCTTTGGTAGAATAACGACAGGCGCGCAGGATGATCTAAAGAAGGTAATTTCAGTCAACGGAGACCTGGATCTTCGCCTTACTCCTAATGCAATAATTTTTTGTTATCCCGCCGCGTCTTTTGCTAGATTACGCAAAGTGCTTATTCCCAAGTTGTGCTCTTCGGAATGAACGAGAAAGTCGGGAACGTCAGCTTCGATATGCCTCAACCCGGGGACATGGTCTTGGACAAACCGTACTCGGAACACACGGCGCAACTCATTGATCAGGAAGTCAGGACACTGATCAGCGAGGCGCACAAACGTACTCACGAGCTTCTCCGGGAACACAAGGAGAACGTGCAAAAGGTAGGAGAATCGTCAATTTTTCTTTTCTTTTTTTTTTGTCAATATTTCATTCCCTTCATCGAGGGTCGTAATCCGATGTACCTGCCACTTCCTTTTTACCTCCAGGTAGCTGAAAGGTTATTAAAACAAGAAATCCTGAGTAGGGACGATATGATAGAATTGTTGGGACCGCGTCCCTTCCCCGAAAAGTCGACGTATGAACAATTCGTCGAAGGAACCGGCTCCTTGGAGGAGGACACGTCGTTACCCGCTGGTCTTAAACAGTGGAACGAGTCGCGAGACGAGGCCCCGAAGGAGAAACCTCCGACGGGGGAGGTCCCCGTTAGCGAGAAGTCCGATAAAGTTCCACTTTCAGAGGGAACGCAACCTGTACAACAATCCTCTACGTCCGCGGAGGCGCCGAAAGATCAGCCGCAACAGCGATTGTGATTTATTGGCACCTCTGCATGATAAGTAACAGTCATCACCATACCCTGCTTTTACTTTGTACAATAGTTAAAAATATATAATGTACTATTAATGCGGTCCACTTACTTGGGTCCTGGATAAACGACGGTACGCGATCGCTAGTCTACCGAGAGGTGGGGATATGTTTTCTACGTAGAATATTAGCAGGGGGAAGTGGAGAAACACTCACGGGACTTTTACAACGTATAATTTAATTAATAAAGTTTACAAATCTGGTGCAATGAAACTTTCCCATTATCCTTAAGTATCGTAAATAAGCATGTAAGTGGTTTTTGCGATTCCCATGTAAGTTACCGTCTTGATTTACCATCCCTTGCGGGCTGGGACGTATTTATCGGTACGTTGAGTTGCACTACCCCTTCTAAAACGGTGGAGGCAGCCAGAAAAACTTTCAAGCGTGATGCGTCGAGTTTGAATATAATTTTGCGAGGACGACTTCTCGGCGAAATTAATTTCTTTTTCTTTTTTTACGGTCTTCGAGGAACCCATTGCGGTCGTTTTCCCGACGAGTTTCGTAGTTCCTCGGGCATGAACGTTCAGAGGGGGCTCGATTTAATGCGAGGGCGGAAGTTCGTTCTTTCGGCGGAGGATCTTCGGGCTTGGGAACTTTATACGGTCGTTAAAGGGATGCGTAAACGGCGGATTAGGTCGTCAATGAATGTAGCCTCCTACAGCTCGAGCGAGATGACAAGCTCGCTCGGGTACTCCCAATTAAGCGAATTCGAAAGGTCATAAAGCTCGGTAACGTGTACGGAATTTGGCACCGCGACTACGATCGTGTAACAACTAGAACATCCAACCGGTTCATTCCGATAAAATGAAATTATCACGACGGTTAAATCGTCAGATAGTGCAGAGGATTGTACGTTTCTTCGATCTCTCTCTGCGCCAAATATCTATGTACAGTGGGTAATAAAATCATTGTATTGGTGGTCACAGGAATTTATTTAAAAATGTGCCTGTTAAGAAGCATGTAAAGTAACACCTTTTAAGCATACTCCGTGATCGTCTCAGCTGTTTATTGCGTGGTATTGCATTGTCATCGGAAACTGATTCGGTTAATTCGATGCTGATGACGTCACTGTCGACGACAGTCCACGGCGTTTCACGTATACCGAAATAAATAGGTTTGATGTCCTTGTAACTCTAGTTACAGTTCGTACCTCCTCCCACCCCCCCACCCCACCTTACGCAGCTAAAGAAAAATTTGGAGAACACTCGAAAATTGCGTCGGTACATCCAAATTCTTTTGTTGTTTCGTGTGTGTCATTTTTTTTTCTCTTTTTTTAATCTTCTCGTCTCTTTTGATCCCAAGACAGCGTTTTTCTCAGACTCTCGCTCCTTCGCTCTCTTCCCCTGTGGAAATCTCCCTTCCGTTCTACAAAACTATATGACTTTTATCGAGTTAAATATTTATAGGTTCCCGAAAGTACCGTTTAACTTAGCACTAATCGCTAATCAAATATCATACAATCACTAAATTATTGCTTTGTCGTACCTTGTATCACACTAATCTAAGTTCCTATATTCTTAAACGCGTTTTACCATCATTATCAGATATTCTTTTTTTTTTTTCGACGTTTCTGACAAGCTACTTCCGGATTGGATCGTGCCTTACGATTTATCATACTCGAGAGGACAATACGACCGAAGCTCGACATTCCGGGGAGAGACTTGACTTCGATAATGTGTAGCTTTGTCGGGAGGTGATAAAGAATTGGTAAAACGTCCACTGGGTTTAAATGATAAGACACGACCGTCCAGAGGTGGCTTCGCATCCTTTGCATATCTAAATAGCATCAACTGTCAATTTGTAATACTATGGGCTTACTATTACGGACCTTAGTAGTCCGTGTTTACGAATATCAGTTCTGCAGCTCGTAATTTCGTATTTCCGTTGATTTACGTAATTGCTCTCGCCGTAAATCAATATACATACCGTACCCGCGTACGTGTATGTATACATTTTACGGGATTAATCGCGTGCTCGGTCGCACCTGAAAATCCGAGTGCCTTGCTTCGAGTACTTTTCTTCTTTTTTCTTTTCCTTTTTCTCCAAAAAGTGGACACAGCGCAACGTTTTTTCGATTTCCTTGTAAGTGCATCTCCCGCAAAACGTGCCCAGGTGCCATGTGAGAATGATCAGCTGATCGTGTCTCGAAGTTGTTTTTTCTTTTTTTTTTTCTTTTTGCAGGTCGTACGCGCCAATCGGCGGATTAGTTTACGTGAGAAATGAGCAGCTTCGGTGGAGGGTTTATCAATATTTGCCGCGTCTAGGCACGTTCCGCGTATCGTTTATTGACTATAGTTACGTGAGTACTATATTATATTCGATTGACTGTCGAGTACGGGTATTATGATTAAAACGTTATTAATGTTTGATACAATTGCACGGTTAGCTTGCAGGGCAGAAAGAAAGGGTTTTGGACACGCCGCCTCCTCGTGATATGCATCGCGCAAGGTTAGAAACTGAAAGGCACGTATTTTAAAACGTCTATCCGCCGGTTACGTCCGTCCTCGACGCCAGAGGAAGTCGAAGGAGGACGACCGACGACCGACGCCCTCGAAAACGAAAGCCAGAAGGAGAGAAAGCCTCGGTAAGCCAGACTAGTCTCATCTCCGAAACGCCGCGAATAGATTAAAATTAATTTCTGGGCACTAACGACCCGACTAGAGGGAAATGGAAGAGAGAAAAAAATGGATACAGCCTCTTCTACGAGCAAACTGTCGCTAAGAAATAATCATGGCACAGCATCCGGCCGACTAGAAAACGGTAAATGCGTTAGACTCGAGCGATTGCACCGACTACTTAAGAACTAATCCGCAAATGAATGCCTATGTTCCAGCATGCCTATCCCGCGGTTATTCTGCAGATTTGCTCGCTCCTACGAAACGGAAAACGCGGCTCTACGTCGCCTTCCCTGGCGCCACCTGTAATCGACCACGGTACTTTAATGGCGTGAAATAACGAGAGAATTGCCGAACTATCCCAGTGAGACGAGGTAACTCGGAATCCAAGCCTTCCAAGGCGTCTAGGAAAGGAAAAAGTGAAGGCCGCTGCCTGCCGTTAGGTCGCGGCGCCGTCTCTACCCGCCGCCATCTTGGATCGGGCAGGGGACGCGACGATTTCGCGAACGGGGAGATTTCCCTGGCGAAAACGCCCCGCTTACGAGGAGAGTGCTCGCGCGACAGTTTAGCGTCGGTAACGACGCGTTCCATAATTCAGGGGGCAACGGGAACGGTCGTTCCCCCTTTCCCGTCAAACGGTCACTCTCGTCGCATTCAACAGGTGGCGCCGGTTTGCGGTGGAGCGTTCGCGAAAATCACTTAGCCAGGAGACCCCAAAAAGACGCTCCACCAAGTCCCAGGAGGCCGGTAGACGGCGAGGCCCTCCGAAGGATCTCGGTCTCGGCTTCCTGAAGCCTGAATCGGTATTTCTGTTTCAGCGCTTGCGGCACTTCCGGCAGAAGACCTGGATCCTCGAGCCAGAGCCGTCGTGGTGCCTCCTCTCCTCTCCTCGACGCTCGGATTGGAAACCCTAGGGGAGGGCTCCATTTCCGTGGATGGATCTTCAGCCCAGGATTTTCCTGGCAAACCCGTGAGTACCCTGGTGGATTCCACGAACTCTGAATAACGAAGGACTCGTCGACTCGCAGGACCGCGGATACGCCTAAGGAGGCGAGTCCACGTCGTTGCTGCTCTCGTCGCCGTTCTCCCTCTGGCAGGCCGACTCCAGGTGCTTGTTCAGGTAAGACTTGAGGGCGAAGGACTTGTGGCACTTGGGGCACTCGTAGTTCTTGTCGCCCGAGTGGGTCTGCATGTGAGCCCTCAGGTTGGACCTGTCGGCGAAGGCCTTCCCGCAGTGGGCGCAGCCGTAGGGCTTCTCCCCGGTGTGGCTCCTCAGGTGTCCCTGCAGCAGCCACGGCCTGGAGAACAGCTTCCCGCAGACGCCGCAGCTGTGGGTCAGCTTGTGCGTCAACACGTGCATCGCCAGGGCGGGCATGCTGACGTAGGCCTTCCCGCAGTGGATGCACTTCTTCGCCGACTGGGAGTCTATGCTGCGGTGGGTCTGCTTGTGGCGAGACAAGTTCGACGACGTGGCGTATTGTTTGCCTGAAACGATTGAAACCTTCACTTCAGTTTTGGCTTAAGGTGACGTGAAAGTGGCCTCAAAGAGGTCTCGCCTGTTTAACTTTTCCCCAAACTAGGGGCACCGAGTCGTTTCGATCCTTGCAACATAAGACCATAAGGACGCTTCCTCGGAACTAATTTTCTTTTTTTTTTTCTAATTTGCATATGGACGCTTTAAATTTCTTTTATAAATTGCGACGTTTGAAAACCCGGTTTGGAGAAAAGTTTCACGAAGGGTCGACCCCTCGGATGCCACTTTCGTGCTCCCTTAACGGAGATGCTACTACGGGAAGGTACTTTTAGGCGCTTCGAGGGAAACTGAAATCCACCTCTTCCGGGTAGGGGAGAAAGGAAAGGGCGAAGAGGTAGGCCCATCCCAAACCCACCGCATTCGCAGCAGACGTAGCTTCCGGTCTTGGGCTTATTTTCCGTTGATTCCCCGAGCTCGGACTCGTTGACGGGCTTCTGCGGCGGGGACTTCTTGTTCTTGGACCGGCCATCGGCCACCAGGAGGGTGTCGAAAGTGTAGGCTGCGGCCTTGACCTCGGCCTGCTCGGTGACGGTCTGCACCTCCTTGTCTCTCATGGGCTGAGCATTGGGACTGTTGTTCTCGATGTCGCTGCTGCACTCGGAGGCAGGTGGCGTCAACGGAGGCGGCTCCAGCGGTGGAGTGACGATGGATGGGATGGAGGTCGGCGCGCTGTACGTGAAGAGGATCTCCTGGATCGGCGACAGCGGGATGAAGACGCCCCCAGGGGTCTGCTGGACGATCGGGGCCGGCTCGTAGATAATGCCGGCGGGATGGGGCTGATACACCGGGCTGGCCAGGTCGATGGTGTTCACCTGGTACATCGGCTGATCCGGCTGATAGACCGTCATCTCCTGCACGTCCGCCGAGGGAGCCTCCACGACGCTGTGCGGACCAACGGCGACGCTGGGAGGCGGCAGAGGAGGCAGCGACCTGGAGAGCTCCAGAAGATCGTGGGCAGCCTCCGTCTCGGCCGCCGACCTGTCCTTGAAGAGCGGCATCTCCTGGGGGGCGCCGACCATGGTGCCGATCCCCGTGCGCACGTGCTCGCTCCCCGCGTCCCTGTAGGAAGGGATCGGGCAGCACGTCGAAGAGGAGGTCACCAGGGGCCGGTGCAGAGTGGAGATCCGGGGCTCGTCCAGCGACACCATCGTGCTCTCCGGCGACGTCGGGACCGACGGATCCTCCGACCGCAATGCCAGCGACGTCGGGTCCGAAGGCGAAGGATAGACGGAGGGCGTCGAGCAGGTCGTCACGTCGATGATCTCGTCCGTCTCCGTCGACGAGTAGGTGGGAGACGGTGCCCTGCACGCCGGCGTCGTCGACGTAGTCGCGGTCCCCGCTCCGTAGTCCTGGCAGCTCGTCGGGTCCGACGTCGGCATGCCGGGCCCTGTCGGGAACTGCGGCGTCGGGCATTCTGGGGAAACGAGAAAATCCGTTGTCGGTGCGTCGGTTTTAACGATTCCCCGGCTCGACGGGTCTCGGACGGCGGACGACGTTAATAAGCGGCCAAATTGTGCCGCGCGTCGCTCTTCGTCACGCTACCCTTCGGTCGGGGCGCGTCACGTCCCGGCGGGAAGGGTGAAACCAGGTGACAGTCGGTCCCCGATAACGGAGCGCTCCCTTGATCGATCGCCCCGCCGATAAATCCGATTACGCGAACGAGCCTCGATCGCCATTAATTATCGAGGCCCCCCCGCGGCGTTGAGAAATCTCCGCCATTACCGGCCCCGGGAACGGAGCCGTTCGACGTCGCGAGGGAACCACTTCCGCGCGTTTCTGATTAATGGCCGGAAAGAAAGGGAGCCCCGCGACAAGGACGAGAAGCAACACGGAGGTACCGGAGAAAGGGTTCGACAGGGTTTAGGGACTCGTTTGGAGAGGTCGACCGGGTATACCTCGTGCAGGTGCAGCCGCAGGGGACGCCTCCACCTGGGAGGCTTGCAGCTGGACCACGCTCGGGGACGGCGAGTCCCTTCCTCGACCCCAGCTCTCGAATCCCCTGGCGACGCTGGTGATGTACTTGTTGCACGGGGCCTTCTTCACCATGTAGCACCGCGGCATCTTGACTCCTATCCCCTCGAAGCCTGGTATTCCTTCTTCCTAGAAACCTGCGGGACCGCCCTCTAAGGCTCCCCCGGAATAACGAACGTCTATAAAAGTGCAAATGTAAAAGCGACCCCGAGATCGGGGGCGATCCGTCCGCTTAAGCGACGGGATCTCCCGAGCGCATCCTCGTGTTCCGGGGAGAAGCCTCGGCGTCCTCTTCGCCCTTGGGGGCAAACGGCGAAAGTCGGCGTCTCGTTGGTCCGTTCCTTGGATCGGCGAAGAGGGACGCGAAGCGGCCGACGAGGTGTTTTAAAATTGCGAGGGTGTCTTCAAAATCGAAGACGACACCCCGGGGATCGCTCTCGCGTCCGGCTCCTATCTAAACCTAGGTATCGTTGCACGGTCGTTCAGCGGTCGAGGGCTCACCCTCTGGGTGGCCCCAAAATATTCGGCTGCCTCGAAAAGTGAGCTAAATCTGTAAAAATCTGCGCCAGGTGGACGCGACCGGACTCGGGGTCCCGAGGCGACGGCGTCCCGGGGGCGTCGCGGCGTCCCCGGCGCTCGCGCCCTCCTCGGTCCTCTCGTCCGAGGATCCCTGCCGGCTCCGCTACCTTGTTCAGTATTGCTTTCGTTGTATCTCACGGGTGGAAGATTATCGGGCGAGTCGCGTGGCCACGTGCCACGGCGCTCCCTCCGCGGACGCTCCTCCGGGTCCTACGACTTAGGTGACTAGATGCTCGCATGCGCGAATATAAATACTTATCGGTAGCTAGTCTACTCCGCGCCGGAGTAGGCGCGGGGACGTGGGGGTATACGTCGCGTATCAAAGTCTCGGCGTCTCTCTCGCTCTCGAGTCGCGCCACCCCATGAGCGGCGCCTACGCCGTCCCGGCCGCCGTGCCGCCGCCCCGCGGGCTCCCGGGTCCTGGTCGCGTCGCCATCCTCGGGGACGCCTCCGGAGTCCCGGGGCCCTCCTCCTCCTCCGCTTGTCCAAAAGGGCGCGGGTCTCTCATCGGGCAGGGCGAGCAACAAGTTGGACAACAGGTCCGCGCGCGCGGTGTGGTCGATAAATCCGAAGTCTCGCGGACGCGCAGCGGCCCTCGGCGCCGCGACGCATCCCGGCGGCGAGTACCAGGGCCGGCGCGGCCGCCCGGAGGCTGCCCGCCCTAGGGGGCCGGGGGCGCCCCCTCCATGGCCCGTTCACTCGCGCCCGGGGCCCGACTGCCCCGACTGCCCCCCTCCCCCACCACCGCACCGGGCCCCGGTCGCCACTCCGCCGCCACTGGCGGCGACTCCCGCGCGGCCCGACTTCCCGGCCGGATCCCGGCCCCCGGCGAGGAGGCCGTCGCAGCTAAGAATACCACCACCTGTGGGTGAAGCAACAATTGTCCGCCGTACGCGCGGAGGGCAGACCCGACTCTCTACATGGCGCGTCCGGGTGTGGCTGGGGTGCGACTGGACGGCGTCTCGCGCCGCGGCGGCCGGCTCGTCGCGACGCCCCGGGCGCAGGCGCAGGGCGGCCGGGGGGACGGCGCCTCGCGGCCCCCGCCGACGCCGAGCCGAGCCGTGCGCCCCATCGATTTTACAAGTTCGGGCCAGACCAACACCTGTTACCGCCACGGCGATAGTCAGCGGCGAACTCCTAATCGATAGCGCCGCCGAGGCCGGACGATTGCGACGGAGGGAGCGCGACGACGACGCCGAGGGTGGCAGGGGCGAGCAGGGGCCGGATCCTCCACGAGCCAACGCGAGACGATCTCCGTCCCGGCTCGGGCCCTTTGGAGGGCGCTCCCTCTTCCTCCGCGTTCCAACCCCGGGTGCCGCTCGACGTCGCGGCAGGCCAGACGGGGGAGGGACGATGGCCCGCGATTTATGGATGTTGGGTCGGGGCTTATGAGGCACGCAACGAGATTTACAGGGATTCTCGTAAATCTCCCGAGTTTTGGGCCGCGTCCTCGACGCGACGCCCCTGCGTCGCGGGCGCCGACCGGCAGGGGATAGGACGCGCCACCGTGGACGCTGCGTCGGGATTTACGATCCTTCCCTGCGCCCGGGCCAGGACATCGACCTCGAAGCCGGGCCATGGGGGAGGAACCTCCCCCGGAGGGGTGCCGACCTGGCCGGAAATTGCGTGAGAGATCGCACGAGACCCCGGACTCCCCCCGGCCCGAGGGGCACGCGACGGGCCCAGCTGGCCCGTTTCACCCTCCCGTGACTTTTCCCTGCAGGACCAACACCTGTTACCCCTGCGACGCCCGATCGATAGTCGACGCTCCGCCGAACCCGACGACGACCTCGGGGACCCGTCGCCTCCCCTGACCTCCGACCGACGCGACGCGCTTCGAGGTTATGTCCCCGGAATGGGCATTTACGAGCGCTCTTGGCTCGCTACCTCGCCAACTCGGGGCGGCCATGACGGCCACATGGAGGCTCGGGAAAGGGGACCCCGAGCACCCCGTAATCGAGCGGTCGTCCGGCGCCATGTTGGACTCCGCGGGATACAGAATCCGAGATCCGTCTCCCCGCTGCCTTTTAATAAGTCAGACTGGACCAACGCGGCCGACGTTGGTGCAGTCTCGCCTCCCTGGGCGCCGCTGATAGCGGCCAGGTTGCCCGGCAACCCCGAGCAACCCCGAGCAACCCGTCGCGATTCGAGATGTCCTCCGTACCGAAGACCTCGACTCTCCCGCGCGTTCCTCATTTTGTTATATAAATTCGATACATAGAGGTACACGAGGTACCGTATACACGCGTTCCTCATTTTGTTATATAAATTCGATACATAGAGGTACACGAGGTACCGTATACACGCGTTCCTCATTTTGTTATATAAATTCGATACATAGAGGTACACGAGGTACCGTATACACGCGTTCCTCATTTTGTTATATAAATTCGATACATAGAGGTACACGAGGTACCGTATACAGGAGCCTGAACGAGTACAGCCGGAAAGAGGGGAAACGGTCCAAATGGACCCGAAGATGGATAACGCCGGGTTTCGGCGCCGACTACGAGCGATTGCTCGCCGGTGGCCGTTTCGATTAATCCGTAACCCGAGAGCACCGCTCGGTTTCGTGCATCGAAGGGCTTCCGATGAGCCGTCTCGAATCCAGAGGTACGACGAGCCACGTAACGATCGGACCGATGTACTCGAAGGGCCCAGTCGATACCCTCTCGGTGCACGTGCCGAAGGGGGAATAACTCGCCCACCGCTTCTTTCTCACGTTGTGCGCGATCCTCGATCGTCGCTCCAATTGTTTCGCTTATCGACGGGATGTCCCCTGGCTCGGTTATCGTCCCAGATGCCGGGGACAGGGATCCGGTCGTCGTATATCCGCGGGAAAAATACCTGCCGATATTTCGGGACGTATTAAAGGTAATCGGGCGATCAGGGAAGCGGAGGTTCGATCGGAGGGCTGTCCCTGTGTTATATTTAGGTCTTACGTAAGCGCGAGGTTCCACGTGGTACTTTCTCGACCGGGGGAAATAATTGATGGCGTCTTGTCCCAGGTCCGATTTTAGGGGGCGATTTTCGCCGCGATCCCAGGCCTCGATAGGTCGAGGCGGACGTAAAGCTCCCCGCTCGAAATTAGTCCGCCCACCCTCGATGGGAATCTCCATTGACACGCTAATCGCCTCCGCGGGGGCATTCTTCGAGAAGCTCTGGAAGCACCGCCATTAACCCCCGGAGTACAAACTCGTTAATACGAGCGAAGTGCCCAGTGGCGATCGCGACTTCGAGACACCCCCTGACTCGTAAACCAACCCTTTAAGCGATCCGCGTCGCGCCTCGATTCGGGAACAAAAGATGGCGACGCGCGCAACGGGACGCCATATTGGATTTTCTGCAAATTCACAATTTCTTCCTCCAGCGCCTAAGGTTAACGGCGCCCTGGGAGTCCGTGATGGCGGTTACAGGGCGGGAGTCGGGAAATTCTTATCGCAGGGGTGGTTGTCCTCCGGGGGGTCGGGGAAACGCTACAATGGCGGATCTCTCGGGCCCGCAAAAAGTCCGGAGAATTCCCGAGGCGGCAGGTAATTCGCGAATTGACGACCCCCTCGAGGATCCCCCGCGGGACAAACCTCCGGGTTTGGCTCCCTTTCCCGGGACTAGGGGGTGGAAAAAGGGAATTTCGAGCGGCCGGCACTTCGCCGTAATTGGCGCAGACGCGCGGTGACGCGACAATGCTAATTAGGAGCGCGCCGGGAGGGGAGGCCAGGAAAGTGCGGAACGGAAGTGAGCCAGAAGTAATTGCGCGAAATTTCCCCGAGTATCGCGGGCATAACTCGTGTATCCACAGGTAGTCGGCTGTAACGCGACTCCTGGCTTCCGCAACTGGTGTGCTTCCTGCGGGAGGTAACGACTTTACCTGTGCCGCCGAGCGACGTTGGATGTGTTTTTTTTTCCCTTTTTTTTATTTCTTCATATCTCCTGTTTAAATACAACTTTTGCAGGTTTTCATATTTAATTGGCATATCGGGAAGGGCCGGAAATAATCGGCACGACGGAACGTCGCGTAGCCACAGGTAGTCGACGCCGCGACGCCGTTCCTGGTCGCCGCGACCGGAAGTAATGCATAATAATGCAATTATGCCGTTAATGCGGATTTTTTGAGGAATTAAGGCCGACCATTGCACGGCCTCGGGGGTGACTCGTCCGAGTTAATTATTTATGCAATATTCCACCCTCTTGGGGGGGGGGGCGATCGCTTCGCGGTTTCCGCACTTATTGGCGCGGGCTGCAACGTCTTGAACTGCGGAAGAGACGGGAAGGGAGCGACACAAAATGGCATCCGAATTACCCCGAGATATCAGCAGCTGTTGCGAATACGCAACAACTTGTGGAGGTATCCACAGGTAGTTGATTTTACTGCAGTTCCTGCTTTCCGCAACTGGTGCGCTCGATATGAAACCCGAAGCGGAAAGGGCCGGGGAAAGAATTGCAAATGGCGGTCGGTTTCAAAATGCATTATGGATAGAGGAGACGGCGACGATTATAGTTTGCTCATTTCGGAGGCGATAATGGAGTTACTTGTACGCGCGCTTCGGGGGTGGAGGTGACGCTCCGAGGGAGGGTCGGAGACGGGGGCGAGTATGGATTAAGTTGGGAGAAAAAAAAATAATATAGGTGTGCATATATATATATATATGCACACCCCGGGGGTTGCGAATACGCAACAACTTGTAGAAGTATCCACAGGTAGTTGACTTCGGCCCCTTCTTTTCCGTCCGCAAAGATCCGCAACTGGTGGGCTCCGTCCGGGTCATAATGGCGCGTACCTTCCGCAACGCATCGACCATTGCACGCGGCCTCTGATAACGGATCCGCGATATCGCGAACGAGTCTCCTCCGTTCCATAAATTCTCCGGCGGGGGGAAATCTGGAAATCATCGCGAGCCCCGCGCGTCGCGATATCGATAACGTTCCCCTCGCGAGCGGGCGGCGGCCATCTTGGATCGATCGCCTCGTTATCGAGGAGGGATCTTCGAGTCGTTTGAACCCTTTGAGGGCACTTATTAATGGTTGCCTCGAGAGATCTCGAAATAATTACCGACTTTCTAGGTACAGGTTAGCGGGAGGGCAAGAATTCGCGAGCGCCGCCATCTTGGATCGCGCGTCTCGTTATCGAGGAGGGATCTTCGAGCGGTTCTTTTGAGTAAGCGCGACTCGCTCGTTACCGGCTCCTCGCGGGGATCAAAGGCGAAGTCCGACGACTCGGAAGCTCCTTCCGAGAAAAAGCCGGGCTCCCCTTTTACGGCCGCGGCCGACTTCCGCGCGGACTCCTACGCCTCCGTTGTAGGTCAAGCGGCGACATTTATGAATCCTTCATTCCGGCCGCAAACGCTATTTCCCCGCCGATCGGAGTGGCGTTCGGTCACGGGCTCGGGGATTTATTGACGGGGCGAGAGGCAGCGGAGGCGCGATCGGGGTCAAAGAGGCGACGAAGGCTCACCTGGGGCAGATGTTGGCCGCGCTCCAGAGGAAGCCGAGCCGCCCCGAAACGGGGTCTGCCAATCGATGGGAGAAGTTTAGGTTTAACGCTCCCCCGAACGAGACTCGCCCTCCTAGAAAAACGGACGATACATCTTCCGTCCGGTGTTCCATCCGGTTACGCATTGTATCGCAGACGAATCCGAATACCCGGATTCGGGTGCCGTTCCAGGTTAGGATCCCTGGATCCCCGGGCGATTCCGGGAATCCGACGTGGACCGAGCCATCCCGGGCCGGGACCGGCGTTAAACGCGAGTTTGTCGGAGAGGGCGGGCGTGGGGGTGAAATATCGGCGATTCGTTGGCCGAGTCCTTTGCCGAGTCCCCGGGGAGCTTTCCTTCGGATTCGGGGTCTTCCGGCCGCTTCCAGGACCGGGTGCTCGAGGGCGATAAAGGGCGCGCGGGGTGGGGGGTTGATCGACGCCCGTGCAATTCGCCGGCCTGCGGAGAAACGCATTGGCGTGGGTCAGTAGACGGAACGGGAAGGCCAGTGGGATATTCGATACGAGGGTCGCGGAGGGGCGGGACGGGGGTAGCGTGGCTCGGCGAAGCCAGCGAGGGGGTCGCGCGTGGCTCGTGTGTGTGCGCGTCCGCGCGGTCCACCGCTGCACGTGGGGTGCTACCAGGTGTTGCCTAGGCGGCGGGTCGATGCGGCGTCGCGGCGCATGTGCGACCGGACGCGGTCCCCTCCGCGCGGGGAGGGGGCGGCCCGACCGCGCCACGCGAGGCCACGCCGCGCCGCACCGCGCCACTCCGGCTCGCTCGCACGCTCCGCGCTTCCGTGCACCCCCTCCCGCCCTGGCACCGTTACGCGAGCCCCGACAGCGGCCCGCACCCCGAGGCGCGCCGCAGGGTGCACCGCCGCCCCTCTTGGCAACGCCGCCAGCCCCCACCCGGCGCGCCCTTATATACCGTCCGCGGGCACTCGGCGGCGCCCGTAGGTGGGGGGGTTGCGCGGCGCCGATGCGCGCCGGCGCCCGCAGCGCCCGCATACTCGCGCGCCTCGTCCGTACACGGGGTATAAGGAGGTGTGCGCGGACGCGTGCTCGCCAGTCCGTGGCGGGCGCGGCTCCCCTCGGGGGAAGCGGGAGCGCGCCCCCTCGAGCGGCGCGGACCCGGCGGAGGGGGTCTCACCCCAACTGCGCCGCGACGGCTCCGACGCCGGCACCGACGTCGGCGGAAGCCGCCCCTCCGCGCGGGGTGGGGCGCGGGCGGGGACCGGCGGAGCGCGGTGCCGCCGCCGCCGCACCGAGGAGCAGTCGCACCCCGTTCCGCCTTGGCCGCACAGTCGCAGCGCCCCAGCCCCGCAGTGGCCCCAGCCTTCGCCTTTGCCGAGCCGAGGCGCGACCGAGGGGCAGGGCCCGAGTCCCGCGCGCGGGCCCCGGGAGGGAGGCCCCGGAGGGTGGTGCGCTCGGGCTGAGCCGATGACGAGGCCACCCGAAACGCGCCGCAGCCGCAGCCGCCCCCGCTCGCCGCCAGCGGCCTTCCGCGCCCAGCGCCCCGCGAGACGGCGCCCCCGGGGCCCGGCCGGGTCCTCCCGCCGAGATGCCGCGCTGCCTCATGGCCAAGAAGTGGAAGGCCTACCCCTGGCCCGACCGGGAGGACGACGCCGACCTCCAGGAACTGCGCGCCCCTGAGGACCTTCGACATCCGCCGGACCCCCAGGAACGACTCGGCCAGCGCGGCGACGGGACCGAGGATGAGGAGATCGACGTGGTGGGCGACACCGACCCCCGCGCCGCCCAGACCTGCTGGGGGCCCCACAGCCCCACCGCCGGCGCCACCGCGCCGAGCCCCCCGCCCCTCAATGCCGCCGGGGCCCTCTACTATCACGGTGAGGGCCTTTCGCTTATCGGCACCGGAAATCGACCACGCCCTCCGCTCCCGATCCCGAGATCTCGAAAGCCCGAGAGGAGATCCTCTATTTACAACGCCGCGAGCCGAATCATGCGTGGAAGGGCACGCGACCCGCCCGCGATCGTTGCACGCCGTGTGGAAGGTCGGGCACCTCGAGTGCGTTACTTCCCCTAAAATCGTTAATTCCTGAGCTCGACGTCTCGCGTCCTCGTGCGCGTTTTCATTCCGCGTGTACGAGCACGCGTTCGGTCCATTCTCGGGGAGTCCTTTTCGCATTCGGGGTGACTTTTGATCGCGCCTCTTTGTCGGCTCCGAGGCGGGTCGTGACCCCTCGACGATGTCTCCGGTGGGCACGTAGAGCACCCGGAACCGGAGGACGGCTCAACAAGTAGGCGGGTGCCGAGCCTTTCGAAAATGTGTCACGTCGATACTCGCCGATGCGGAGGCCTCCTCTCTCCCTCGGTTTCTCCCCTTTCTCGAAATTAGCCCGACAGTGGCAGCTTGGGCGATTTTTCATCTCGTTAACCCGCCGAGTGGCTCCGGGTGGAGGAGTCCCACATTGGGGACCGCACACGTGTGCATTCGCACGGGGATGCCGTGCCCGAAAGGCCGCTTCGCTCGATATTTTCCGTTTTTCTCCCCCCTCCAGGCAGACTTTTCGTCCACGGGATTCCCGACGCGAGATTTTCCGCCATTGTCGCGTTGTGGAAATTCTCCGTCCATCTCATGTGCTTTTCCCGATATCTTCGGTTCCTCTCCTTGCACTCCCGACTTGGAAACCTCGAGAACGAGGAAGGGACCGATTCACGTGGGCATAACCTCAAAATCTTGAAAAATCTTGAAATTTCTTCGAAGATGGGGAGGAGTCGTCTCGCGCTCTAGGGGGAATAGGGAGCTTCTTAGATTCGAATGGAGTCGATTTCGAGAGAAAGGGGCGACAAGGGAAAGGGGGTGAAATATCGGTAGTCCGTCGTTGGTCGTTGATTCCCCGTTATCGATCCACCCTCCGACCCCCTTTTCCGGGTCTGTTGATCAAATGCACGACCTGATACATCCAGGTTGACTTCCTTTTATTTAGCCCGCTAATAGACGCGCGGCCGGAGATCGATAGCGCGATTTCCTGATTTATTGGACGGGCCGCGTGCTCGAATTGCCTGCGAAATTACTAGGAAAATAAATTCCTGCCCTGGGAGATTGCGATTCGAGGCGGCGGATGGATTCAAGGGGTGGTCTCGGTTGCCGGGGTGAAAGCGTCGGATACGAACGTCGTTATCGGGTCGGGTGGGCTTCCGGTGCAGCGGGTGCATCGACGGGTTGGGATTACTCCCCGATTACGAATATTACCACCAGGTATCGATATATTTCTTGGCGCACACATGGCGTCGAGCAGCTGCTGCACCGGAGTCGTTGCAGGAAGCGCGAGAGCCGGCGGTGATTCATGCGCCTGAATATTCATGGCGGAGACTATCGGCGGTAATGAGGTCTTTTCGAAAATGGAAATCCCCGGACCCTCCACTTTGACGGTTTCCTCGGGTTTCCCTTTTTCCCCTCGCGGCGCGACCCCCGAGTGGATAAACTTTCCCTCGGGACCGGGGAAAATATTGATGTTGGGATATCGCTGGAGTCACGGAGCACCGATACTTGCAATTTCATTATCAGATGTAATCTTGGCGCGACGTGACGCTCAGGCCGGAAGGGCAGTCGAGGCATTATCTTCCGGAGGAAGTATTCTCTTTTACGCGGCCATCCTGGTCCTTGGATAAGGACCCCGCTCTTGGTGGACCTCGTCGTCGACGACCCTCCGCGATAACGCCGGTCCTTCGAGGGTTCCTCGAGGTAGAGAAACTCGAGGCAGAGTTTCGAGCCAAATACGTTTCAGCGAGGAATTTCATTAGTTGATGCAATCTCGACGCCCTAGTCGGGCCGGGGAATATTCCTTTTTATGCGTATATCTCAGTTCCCGGATAAGGAGCCCCCCTCGTCATCGGTGACTCCTGATAACGCGAGTCCTTCGAGCTTCCTCGGGCTATCCGGGATATCCAGCGACATGGCGATTCGACGTTATAAAGATAAACTCCGTCCGGGCAGGGCCGGCCGTCATAATTCTTCCCAGGACGCGTCCCTAATCTCGGTCCCCTCTTCCCGGTCGCGTTTTTATGGCCGACGATAAAGGGCCAGGATTCGCGGCATCCTCGGACGTCCCGGAGGTCGTGGCAGCTCGGAGGTCCTTTTTCTCCAGGGCGCGCCGCCCCGATCCGAAAATCCTGAGGGTCCCGGTCCCCCAAGGACCCGGTCCCTCGCCCGGGGGATAAGGTCCTTTACTGCCGATTACCCAGGATTTATTGCGCCCCGGGAGCGGCGCGTCCTGCCGGGGGTCCCGAATTAAAATTCCGAATGCGCAGAAAGGGGGAGCGAGGGGAATGCAGGATTCGCGAGTCCTGGTCCTCTTCCTTCGAGGTCCTCCAGGAGCGGACCAATCTCGGCTCCCATTCCGCCGCAACGACGTGGATTTAGGTATCCGGATCGGTCCTTGTTCCTCTTTCGTAATCTGCCGAGCTTTCGGAGGATGATGTCTCCGTTATTTCGTCCTTAGGAAGCGCCGGGGGGTGGACGGTCGTCCTTTAGCCGGCTTTATCGTGTCCGAGGGAGAGGGCTCTCCGAGTACCTAGGAAGACAAATGGCGTTACAATTTTGCCATTCCGCAAAGGAGGATTTCGAGCCGAATCGTCCCGCCCCTCGCGGCCCCGAGGACTGGAACCAATTCCATCAACTGGTGGATCAGGACTCCGGGATCGTCCTTCCTAATCTAATCGAAAATTCCGCGGAGGAGTCCTCCTTCCTCGGTGAGCTCCTCTTTCGGAGACTTTCCCCCCTCGGCGGAACAATGGGCGGATTCGAATGCAGATCCCGCGAAAAGAGGTGTCCTGCAATTGTTTCGATTATTCCGGGGAACCGTATTTACCTTATCTCGTAGGGGCCGGCCATTGTGTCCTCTTTTCCCCCATTCGGAACCTTCCAATTTCTCCGGTCCCGGACGCGAACCAATTTCATCAGTCCCGCAGTGCCTACAACGACCTGGATTTAGGTCCCCCGGATCGTCGCGAATTTCTCCTTTGTAATCTCGGAAGAGGATCCTGGAGGATCCCGGAGGATACGGGACGCCGTATCCGTGTCACGTTGCCCCTAGGAAATTTACCCTTCCGCGAAAAAAACGATATCCCAAATCCCGGGACGTTTTAATAACGCCCCACCCGGAGGAACGTCCTTTCGGTCCTCCTTTTATGCCTGGATAACGTTAAGAGTCTACTTTGAAAAACGCTGACTGTCCGTAACGTGCCCACCGGAGTGCGGTTCTCTTTCCCTGGGTTTTTCACCTCCCATTTAATAAGTATCCGCGCCGGAGGAATACGAGGATGACTTTTGATAACGGACGAGCGGAGCTTTTAATTTATCGGGGAAGCGATTTATATCTACGCCAGGCAGCTCCGAAGGAATACAGGATTCGCGAACCCTTCCTTGCCGCCCTCTCTCCTCCGCTCCTGCACATCCCAGCGTTCCAATTCCTTCGTTTTCCAATATCCGGACCAATTTCATGGTCCCATCGCCATAATGACGTAGATTTATGTCTCCTGCGCCGCTGGGCATTCTTCTCCACGTGCGGCCTTCTTCCCGTTCCGACTCTCCTTCCTTTTCCAAACACGGGCGAAAATCGTCCCACAGAGGTGTCTCCTTTACGTACGTTATTCCTTGGCTGACTCAAAACGTCGCATCGTCCTTCCAGGATACACGCACGAGACGTGGCTGAACCATGAGGAGCCTCCAAAGTACGCGACGCTGCGCTCGGCGGCCGAGTTGGCGAGTCCGGTTGGCCCAGCCTCCCCGGTCCAACATCAGGCCCAGGACCTGCAGCCGGCCACCCTGCCGCCCAGGAAGAGCCTGGCGATGTGCTTCACCAGCACCGGCACGGCCCTCTCGCTACCGCCCAAGAAGAAGGACATCTACCGGCCGTACAGTCTGCAGCCGGAAATCCGAACCGCAGCGGAGGAGGACCTATCGGCGGCGCAGGCGATCCTCGACCTGAGCGCGTCCCCCGCGGCGCCGACGCACTCCGTCTTCGTCCACACGCTGTCACCGGGTCCCGCACCGCATCAGGCCCCGGTGGCGCCTCCTCCCCCCGCCCAGCCGGCCCCAATCCCCGTGTCCGTCTTGGTCCCGGTGCCCTCGCAGACCCCCCAACGCCAAGAGCCCCAGACCCCGCAGCCCAGGTCGCCCACTCCCGCCGAGGAGTCCCACAACAAGACCGTAGCCTACACCTACGAGGCCTTCTTCGTCTCCGACGGCAGGTCCAAGCGCAAGTCCAGCAACGCCGCTGTCCCCGACAAGGACTCCGCCGCTCAGCCGGACAAGCCGAAATTCACCTGCACGGAGTGCGGCAAGCAGTACGCCACCTCCTCGAACCTCTCCAGGCACAAGCAGACCCACCGCAGCCTGGACTCCCAGTCGGCGAAGAAGTGCATCCACTGCGGGAAGGCCTACGTCAGCATGCCCGCCCTGGCGATGCACGTGCTGACGCACAAGCTGGCCCACAGCTGCGGCGTCTGCGGGAAGCTGTTCTCCAGGCCGTGGCTGCTCCAGGGACACCTGAGGAGCCACACCGGGGAGAAGCCCTTCGGATGCGCCCACTGCGGGAAGGCCTTCGCCGACCGGTCCAACCTGAGGGCTCACATGCAGACCCACTCGGCCGACAAGAACTACGAGTGCGGCAGGTGCCACAAGACCTTCGCGCTCAAGTCCTACCTGAACAAGCACCTGGAGTCCGCCTGCCTGAGGGACGAGGAGCTGCCCCCCAGGGCTCAGCCCGCCCAGGCCCAGAACCGCGGCTTGTAGCGCCAGCCGAGGGACCCCGACCACCCGACCAGGTTGGACCCTGCGGATCGACCTGCCGAGGAGGAGAGCTAACCGGGTACACCTGGCCGGCCGAGGTGGGCTATCGCGATCCAAGGCCGGACTGGCGCGGATTGGACTCCTGGAACGCTCCTGGCTTAGGTAGGAGGAAGAACGAAAGGGAGGATTTCTCGTCTCTTGCAGGGCCTGGAACGTGGAGGGTGCAAGACCCGATCGAAGCTGCCGACCGGTGATTTCGGGCACCTTTGCCCGATCCCATCGATCGGGCGCGAACGAATCTCGGGGGGGCTTTTTTAGGAGCTCCGGGTGCCGGACAGGGTGGAGCCGCGGGGGCGTTCCGGAGTGCAAACTCGCGACCACTTTCGGCGAGCTCGCGCCTAGGTTTAAGTAGTAAAAGTGCCAGTAGAGAGATTATCTAATGATTACATTAAAAACGTCCAGTAAGTCTTAAGGCAAGCATCGAACGGTGACGTCCACACCCTCACCCGACACGCACGCCACCCTACACACACACACACGTACACACACCTCACGGGAGGACGCGACACGTGCAGTCTAGTCACTCTAGTCGATTATACCTTGTATGGATAGTCTATTTAAACTTAACGTGGTACATTCCAGTCTAGTCACGCTCGTTAACAGATTGTACTTATTTAGCTGCCTAATAACGTTTCCAGGCTGTAAAGGTATTAACCTAGAGGGCCCCCGATCGGAGGGCGCGACGGTCGAGAGTTAGAGGCATAATTATATTGTTATACACATATTTTATAGAAGCAATATAAACGGATAAAAAAAAAAGTAATAACGACGACACGTACGGTCAAAGCAATGTTTCGAAACAACGAATTATATTATATATATTATATTATATATATATAAATATTATATATATATATATATACTATACACATAGAGGCGACATCGAAGGAAACCCCGAGAACCATTTAGCCGCGGCCAAACCGGACACTCCTGCCTGACNCGGATAAAATTTAAGGCCCTCGCAATCTCCCCTGGACGCGAGGGATGCACGTATAGATACGTAGCCGTATAGTCTCCTATATATATATATATATATATACTATACACATAGAGGCGACATCGAAGGAAACCCCGAGAACCATTTAGCCGCGGCCAAACCGGACACTCCTGCCTGACCTCGTCGCCGCGTCTTCGGGGGCGATGAAATGGTCGAAGTTAGGCTAATATTCACCCGAGGACGTCTATGATGATAGAATTAATCGAATTAACGCGACCGATCGGGCGGCGGCCATCTTGAATCGGGACGCGGACGCGACGGACGCCGAAAACTCCATCTTTTCTCGCCTGGCGCTCGAGCGAGGTCCTGGCGGTCTTTTATACCCTGTAAATCGACAAATAATCTCATTGCCTGTACAGTAGACGACTCGACGCAGTATTTTCGCAGAGGTTATGACGCGTACTCGCCCGAGACGTGGGTGCAGCTTCGGCGGCCGATACCAAAGATTGGAGAACGATCGATGAGTCCTCATCGACTTCGGTGGGCCATCGTAAGGCGCCGAGGACTTTAATATATCGAGGAAAAGATCCTTTGATTACGAAGAGTATAAAAAAAAAAATATCATCGGTTTAGAACCTTGGATTCGGTTGATATATTTGTAGATTCTGGGAAACCGAAAGTCGACGCCATTGTGGCGACTCTGGGTGGGTTGAAATGTGGTAGGGTATTTTTTATCCGGTTTTATCGATGTTATATTAATACCATGGTCGGATAGGAGTCGATTGCGAGGCCTCGACGACCGTTCTCCAGCGCTACCAATGAGACCATGCCGAAAAAAGATGGCGGAGGCAAGAGTTGGCCGGAAACGCGGCATCGACGAATCGCCGGGTGTTTCCCGATTGGCAGGATGAACATCGAACGTTTTAGCACGATGAGCAATAAATTTAAGCAATATAGTTGTCTCGAGTTCGCTTAGGTACTGCGTTAAGAGTGCTTGTCAGGAGGCTTTTCGAGATTAGTGCACCTCTCGAGCCCCTCACCAATGGCCGCCGACAGGGCGCATCTAGGCGGCTTCGGGATCGGAAAATCTCCCGAAGTACTCGTTACGATTTATCTATTTATTTATTTATTAATTAATTTATTAATTTATTTATTTCCTAGTCTATTTGTTTAGCGATTAAAGTTCGGTTGGATCGATCGGCGGATATTGTGTTCTCCGAAAAGTGGCTGGATTATAAATAACCACGGGCATTCTCGTGGCCGTAGCGGTTCACCTGTTGTTTTCCTTTTATCGATTCCTCCATTGGACGCGTACGCCCCTTGGTTACCCTGATTTCGCCTTAATCGCGATGCAACGACGCGACACAACGATCGCGAGCTTTAGGACGCTTTTATCGGAACGTTGCGTTGTTTCGAGAATTAGTTGGAAAAACCGCGAGAGCTCGGCTCCACCTCACCGCGGTAAGGCTCATTTTCGCGGAGCATAGGCCCGGGAATACGAGCCTTACGCCGCGGAGGGCGGAGCGCGCTGCCAGTGATTCCCTCCTCGGCACGACGTCGGAGCTTTAATCTGGGAAAACGTTTTCCCTTTAAGGTGGGAGCCCTGCGGGAAGGAAGGGTTGGATCCGGGACGAAGGGAAGGAAAAGGGAAAAAATCCGATCCGCCCGGGAAGACCGGGGAAACGGCGAGGGCGAATTTTTTCTGTTTTTTTTCGCCTCCTATACGGGGGTGGAAAACAAGGAAGTTGGGAAAACTCGTTGCTGCCTCGTTCGACAGGAAGGAAAACGCGATCGCTGGCGAGGACGGAGTCCCTAGGGATGGAAGGGTTGGATCGGGAAGATGGAAAAATTCGCCGACGCCTTTTTTTCCGGCGGGAGGGGGCACGCGATCGGAGTTTAAGCTCAATCCATCACACCAGTTTATCATATGAGATTCGATGTTACTAGAGGTGCTCAAACAAGTGTGTACAAAACATAGATGAACAAGGTTAAATTTGATGGTATATTTAGCGATAATGCGGGAACCTAGCGATAATTACGCCGGTGCGGGGAAATCTGATCGATTTTCCCAGGACGTGGATGTAGGTGCACCCGCGTGTCCAATTGCATACGGGGGTGCATTCACGTGCACGGATGTACGGCGACCCTGCGCGGTGCAGTACGAAGTTTATCTTTAAAGGAGAGACAACTCAAGCTTCCATATTCGGGCTCGACTAACTTCGAGAACTTGCTAGCTCGCTAACTTGCTAACTCGCTAACTAGAGGCGACGAGACGAGATCTCTCTCTCTCCGTCTCGGTCCGAGCTGAATTTTCTTCTCCTCTTCCTCGTCTTATCAGCGACTGCGGATAAAATTTAAGGCCCTCGCAATCTCCCCTGGACGCGAGGGATGCACGTATAGATACGTAGCCGTATAGTCTCCTATATATATATATATATATATACTCATATATATATTTTCCGGGGAAAAGTCACCCCATCGCCTCTTCGAAAATTGAATTGTATCGATTCCGAGGTATTTCGTTATCGGCAATCTCTCTTTCTCTCTCTTCGACTTCCTTCCGGGGATAACGAACGTCCGCCCCCGAGGGGGGTAGTTATCGCCACTCGGGGACGCCGGCTGTCAGGCTGGGAGGATAAAGGGAAATTCTTGACAATTCCCGACCGGGACGCCCAGGGAAACGTGTACTTGGCTCGGGACTCTACCGAGTCTCCCGGTCCCGTCTGCGGTCGCTGATCTCAACTAGCCGCCCGACGAGCTCTAATTATCCAGGACTCTTCTTCGCGCCTATGCGCTTCGCTAAAAGCTAAACGCCAATCTCGTTCGACGTGTCCTCAAGAAGCCGATAAGGCGCGACCGCGATAACGCGAGATCGAGCGAAGAAGCTTTTCTCCTCTCCCCCTCGTGGAGTTTCCTTCCCCTCTCGCGTGTCCGTCCGCCGGTTTTCGCGAAATCTGGAAATCTCGGCTCCCCTTGCCGAAGGAGAAAAAAGGTCGAAGGAAGAATCCTTTTCCCTTTGCTCGAATTACCACCCCCGTCCCTCCCTAATAACGGGGCGAGTCCCGGGGAAGGGGAACGCCGGACAAACACGTCGATAACGACCCCTCTTTATCCCCCGTGTTGCATTTCGCCTATCTTCGCGTTTTGCTTCCCTCCTCCCCTCCTTCCCGTCCCTCGGTGGATTTTTTTCCACCGATGCGAGACAATGTCGGCGCGAAAAACACCCCCGCGGCCTTTTCCCGCCCCGCTCGACCGATTGTCTCCGTTTCCGCCCTCCCTAATAATAAGGCGGCCTAAAAAGGAGGGCGAGGGGACGTAGAGGGGGGACTCGATAAGGGCTCCTCTTCGCCTCCCTAGTACCTATCCTCCCCTGCTCCCGACTGTATCTTTTCGCACCGGGAAGCAAAAGGCATCAAAGTATCCCCCTTTCTCTCTTACTCGGCGTTTTATCCGGTTAGAGTCCGTCTGAGAATAAGAGGCGACTCTTCGGCCCCACTTCCGGTCGTCCTAATAACGCGGAGGCGCCAACAAGGGAGGAGGGTATCGAATGAACACCTCGATAAGGAGTCCTCGCCTATATCGCCGCGTTTTGCTGCTCCATTTCCGGGGATTCCTCTCGGGGAGGGAGGAGAGGACGCTTTCCGGGGGTTTCTCTAGCCGACAATGATGGCGCCGCGAAGAAGAAGAAGGCTACGGCCGAAGTGGCTCTAAACTATTTCCTCCCTCCCCGGGCGACGATATGACTAAGGGAACTTGGGAAAAACACCCTGGCAGATGATCTCATCTTTCTCCCCTAGTCGGCGCTCCCTTTCTCCCGGTGGGACCCCAAAGTCCTTCCCGATCAATCTTACCCCTGGTTTCTTCGGCACGCACAAGTGCCCGGGTCCCTTCTTAAGTCTTCGCAAATATTCCCTTCTCCCGTCGTCGTCCACTGCCCTCTATCCTGCATCCGGGTCCAGACTTCGTCCCTTCGCGTCGCGACGCTAGCCGGCGGAGGATGCGCCGG